TACATTAAATTAATAGTCTAAACAGAGAATAGAGAGTAAATGAAGAGATCAAAATAAAGAATGATATAATTACTTAAAGAAAATTAATTTCATACAACATTCTTTTAAAATTCAATTAGGATATTATATGATAGATTTTCTATTATTTAGAATAGGGAAAGATATAAAAAATATAAATTAATAATTTTGTAAGATTAATTCTAATACAACAATAGTAAAAGGATATATTTTATCAATAAAAAAATAAAAAAAACATTAATCATATCCCGTAAAAGAATTATGATATAAGGAGATACTTATTATATCTTCCCTAACAATCATCTAAGAATCTTAATTATTAATTACTGATTAACTTATAGAACTACGTAATTTTTTACATACATCAAATAATTAACATTTATAAATATCTGAGATTATGAGATTATGTATAATCATTGTTAACTTCAAGAGGATTTTCACGAAATTAATTTATATCTAAACGAAAAATAATATCCCATAAGATTTTCAAAACTCATCAACTGATTAAATAAATAAATTATCATAATTTCTAATAATTAAAAATCAAATCTATTATAAAAATGGAAGGAATAGATTAATAAAAGTAAACCATACATATCCACAATATTAAATCTTTAAAAAAAACCCAATTTCTCTTCTCTATAAAAATGAGATTAACACCCGATAATGAAATAGGATGATAAATTTTTAGAACTAACTAAATTATACTAAAAATCCAAAATTAATGATAAAATTCATTTCCCTCACGTAAATTTATGTGATTATTTATTTATTTTAGAAAATAATTATTCATTAATATACAATTTTATAATCATAAATTGAAGAATTAATGTTTATTACAATATTTAAAAATATAGGATTTAACGTTACCTAATTAAAAATAATTTATTTACTTTATAAGAAAGGGTTTATAATTGAAACAGTCGCTGTAAAGCTTAAAATTGGCCTTTTTGGAAAAGCTTAGACCTATAGTAATGAAAAAAGAAATACTATCTCATTAAACCTTATTTTCTTTATATAATGATTATTTTGCCATTAGAAAGATGGATATATGGTATTATGAGAGAAAGAGACTGACATAATTTCCCAAGTATGACCATCTAATTTGGGTTTTTATTATCCTGTTTTGACAATAAAAAAATCTAAAGATGCTGGTTTCGAGTTCACTTATTCTTTTAAAACTCTTTTATATTATATTTTGATTAATTACTGTTCTTTATTTTTTAATTACTCTTATCACAAATGTCATCTTGTTTTTTTTCTGGTTTTTTAGTCTTTTAATAATGCTCCAAATGATTAATAATTTGGAGCTACATCAGTTTCACCCCTCCCATTGTTCCTCTCCATTTGTTGAATAGTAATCAAAGAGCTAGAAAAACTGGTCTTTCGTAGGAGCCAATCCATTTATTGTATGCCTTTAATCTTATCATTCATGATCGAATATTCTCTAAAAAAAACTATACCGTCTTTATCTTATTTATTATGCCTTTTGTATGCTTATCCATAAATAAAGCTTTAGCTAAGAAATAAAGACCCATTTTTAAATGGAATTTTGGATTAATGGCTTCTTTGTCAACTTCAGAATATTACCTATTAAAAAAAATGAGAAATACAAAAATAATTAATATTGATTGATTTTTAATTTACAGAAGAAGGGATAAAAATTAAACTCAAAAGAAGGCAAGCTGTAAATATTATTTAAAAGATGCCTAAAATATTAGAAAAGAACCAAATTATTTCTCCTAATCTTTTCTCAAAGTCACTGAATGGTATACTCCTGTTCCTTAAAGTAGCAATAATTCTGATTTTTTTACAAGAAATTTATAAAGAGAATCTAGAAAAATCAGGATAAGAGAAATTACAAAAATTAAAACAGGCAAGGAGCTAAACATATTCATGATATGTTACAACTTTTTAAGAATAATTTGAATGAATTTTTTATCTATTACTTGGCCCACAATTAATACATAATATAAGTAGTTAAACTTCAGATAGATCTTTAGCTTTTCACTAATTACTTTTTGTTGAGCCAACATCAGAAACAAGTTTGAATAATAATATAAATGAAATATATTATAGAGGTAATTTGTAATTGCTTTTGATATTGGCTATATTTCTAAATCTTTCCTGCCAAATTTGATATTAGAAGTTAAGTAATGGGAATAATTAATCAGCAAAATTAAGTTGGAAGAATATAATTTCAAGTTGACAAAAATTATGAAAAAATGAATGATAATAAAAAGAAGTGTAGTTGATATTCCTATAAGTTTTTTTGAGTGATTATTTAAAATTATGATAATTAGTATTGCAAAAGACATATTAATTAATAAAATTCAAACTTGATATTATATGTAGAATATGTAATTGCATTTATAGATAAATTCAATTAAATGCAATGAAAAAGAGCTTCGTATGTCTATATATTTACAAGCAAATATGATAATAAAATAAAAAATAGTTAAGGATAATGCATATTGGACGATTTTATAGATTGTATTAAGGATATACTAACATAAATTAATTATTATTTAAAAAACATTATATTATGATTTTTTAATTCTCATCCTATATTAAAGCATGTCCATCAATTTTGGCTTTATTTTTCTTTGTGCCAACTTTGATAATTAATAATTTACTTTCTTATAATATTAGAGAATTTCAGAAAATTTGAAAGTTTTGAGAAATCCACAAATAAATTCTTTTAGCCTAAATCTGTTGTTGAAAAAAATGATTTTTAATGATGGTTTAAATCCAGAAAAAAATTAAATATAAAATTTGATAAACATATTTTAGATGGTATCTTTTTATCTTAAAATTATCTAGTTATGAAAATTTTAGCTCTTTTCTTTAAAAAACTTCAGATAATAAAACTAATTTTTTTAGTTAATTAGCTAACTATAAAACTTTGTAACTTATTTCTAAAAGATGTAGGATATCTTCTTCTTATATCTGTGGGATATTGTTTTTTAATTATTAAGGAAGCTGAAAGAATCATCAATTGTATTTGTTACTAAAATATTGGAGCATAAATTATTCTAAAAAATGAATCAATCAGAAATTAATTTATGTATACTTAATTCATATTTATAAAATTAAATTTTAATAGGCAAATGACACATACAAAAAATTATCATATCATTTTCAGATATTGTATTGCACAATGTCATCATCTATTTACTCTGGTTTTGACAGAATATCTGGGTTACTTTATTAGTGAACTCTGGTTTTAAGTACATTCTATCTTCTGTTCCATAAAGCACCAGATATGATTAATGAAATCAAAACTACACCTCCCACTGCGCAAACAACTGAAATCAATAAAATATTGTCGTTTGAATTGTCTTAAGGTTATTTGAGTCCTTTTTTAGTTTGGTTTTAGAAGACATTTTCTTCACTTGAATCATCATTAGAATTGCCAACATAATCATTTTGTTGAAGGAGATCATCATTGAGAGTCGGATCTATGTATTCTTCATCTCCTTAGTTCACTGGTTCATTTCCATAATAAGGATCATCAGAACCAGAGGGTGAACCAGAGTTATTGGCAGAAGGATCAGGTTGCTCAGTTGAAGTGAAATTCAAAGAGCTAATAGTTTATATTTCTGCAGTGTTGCTGATGACTGTTCCTAATTCAACAGGGTTAAACGATTGGAGATTAGCAGCAATTTATTCAAGATTTGATTGAGAACTTTGAGCTTCAACTGTGCCTATATCAGCATTATCAATAATAGCCCATTGAACATCAACAAAGTTAGATAAAAATCTTCTGTTCTTTGATTTGTAAGTTCCAACAATAAAGTAATTATATGGATCACCTCCAAGAAGGGCAAATGCATATTATAAGAATTTATCTCCAAAGAATTCTTAAGTAGTTATTTCCAATCTAGTAGAAATCATCAAGGTGTTTTTAAGTGAAAGAGACACTTTGCAACCAGTTGTCACAACAAAATGAATTGTACGATTTTCATAGAAATAATTATTTGAACCACAAACATTGGTGTATTCCATTAAATTCATATGTTAATTAATCTAAAATATTATATTATAAAATTACTCTTGTTAATCCAGGTTAAACTAATTTACCATCGGCACTGACTTACACTATATTAGGAACATCAAATTGTAATTCAATGATCACCCATTCATTATTTGGTCCAGCGATAGTTCTCTTACTTAACCAATAATCTGAATTTGTTGGATTCTCTCCCTTATTAGTCATATTGATTGTAGTATTTATTTAAATCAATCCAACAAATTTGGATTCTCTCGAGTTTTAAGGTTCAGGTCCATTCCAATTCCATTCAGCAAATGCATTCAATATATTTTTGAATCCTGATCCCATTAAAGTAGTTGGTGAAAATAGTCTTAAATTTTGATCTGGTGCTGTGCTAAGGAAGTTCAAGACTCCAATGTTAAATAAGGGGCACCAATATCCATTCCATTATTCTTATCTACTGCAATATGCTGCACTTGGACCGAAATATGAATTATTACCAATAGCCTAACCTTTTTCACCAAAGAAGCTACCAGTCTAATCTTCAATTAAGAAGTTAACTTAACCAATGCATTCCATTTGACCACAACCTCCATACCATCCTAATTTAGCATAATTTGGATTTCTCAAACTATACAGTAATGCATTAAATTCACAATTTTAACATATTGTATTAGTCAAGTAATGTTGACCAACCACATCCAATGCATAAATATTTTATCTAAAGACAGCATTATTACTGCATTATGGGTGTTGATCATAAGCCAATCTGTATCCATCAAATTAGACATTATCAATATATACTCTAGTATCCATTCTTTGAATTGTGTTAATAATATCTGCATTATTAGATGATCTACTAACAGGTGGGTAGGCATTTGAGGAGACAGAAACTAATTAGAAAGCAACAGTATTAGAGCATCTCAATCCTTCAAAGACAGCACCAATATAACCATTAGAAACTTAAATGACATTGGCATAATTGTTGGAAGATCCTGGTTTGATGACAACTCCTCTATCGGCTTCAATGATTTAGAAGTCCTTCAATTTAAAGGTTTCAGTATAAATAGAGGCCATAACGCCGACACCAGAGTTATAAGCTTAGAGTTGTTTAACAACATTGCATTTTGTGTTAGATTAGGTTAAATGGAAACATGCCTATACTGTGTTAAAACATTAGTTTGCAAAGAATCCTGCTTAAGATTCATCATCACAGTGAGAAGCCATAATATGGAATCCTGTGTCAGTGGAGCCGATACCAACATTATTTGAGACAAGGATAAAATTCTTTGTTATCTTGGTGCCTGAAGCGTATCTGAAGGAAGCTAAGACAGCCCAATTATAGGTGCCTGTTATAGCAGAATTGATTGAAATTACTCTCTTTTATACTAATACCATAGTATTGTATTAGAATTTAATATATTTGGAATTAATGAATTGAACCAAGGCTTTTTATCCATTGTAAAATACATTATGGACGGCATTAACATATTCTGAATCCTCTACTTTGAATAAGTAACCATCACTATCATGGAATGAACATCCAATAATATCACTAGACGGAGCTGGATCACCACCAACAGCACTTTAGAAATCTAAACCTGCAAATTCTTTATTCACTTATCCAACATTAATGAATTCAACACCTTATAATTATACATATCCTCTTCTTAATCTTGTCCTTTCAGTAAATGAATAAACTAAGACTCTAGCTCCCCAAGTTGCACCAGAAATTCTAATATTTCTAGTCAAATGTAAAACTGTTGCTCTGGTATCAACAAGAGTGCTAGTTGATATTCCATTATGATTGTATTTAAGGGAAACGCTAAAGATTACTGTAGTTCCAACAATTTAAGAAATTTAAACTTTTTCAGCTTCGTCTGGATTGGCGCCTGTGGGTGAGATAACAATCCAATCTCCAACTTACCAATCTGTAGTGTCTGTCACAGTAATTGAACTAGATCCAGCTGATGCAGTTGCTGTTAATCTAGCAACCTTACTTGATGGTACTTTACCATATAATTCTAATCCACCTGTAACAGCTAAAACATTGTTTCCTGCCTCAATATTATTATCAATTAATAGTTCATAATCACTTGAAGTACCGGTAAGGATAATATTAATTATACCAGTATATACTTGAGTAATACTTCCTGCAACTAATTTACCATTTCTTACAAAGATCTTTCTTGCTTTTATTGTAGTAACTGCTCTTCCATTATCAAACCATAATTCTCCTAGAATTAAAATTGTATCAAATTCTGGCAATTCTATGTCAATAATGATAATGTATTCATAAGATATTGTTACATTTTCTCCTGCTATTGGTAATCTACCATTTGGCCAAATTGAAACGTCTGACCATTTCTTTTATATTTTTACAAGAACGTCATCAGTATATGCAGGACAAGTCTCCCTGCAGAAGATTCCATATAGTGCAACTGAATCTTGTTGTATTCTTTATTTGCCAGAGATACAAATATAAAAGAATGATGTAGTTCTATCATTGAACCAGTCACCATTGTTACAAGTATTTGGATTTGGAATTTCTGAAACTTAACTGTAATTTGAAAGGAATTTGTGATTTCTGTTCCTATAAACATCAAAGGTTTCTCTTTAAACAGTATAGTTGAATCTGAATACAAGACCAGGTTCTTGAGAACTCATGTATTAAGATGACATGATCGATAGACTTAACCAATTGTTGTACCAATTTATATTATATGTTTATCCCAAAGCAAATTGAGATGCATGACTGTAAGCAATATCTCCACTCCAAATTCCAACATATTATTCATATTAATATTTTGTTAATTCAAGCGGTAATGGAGCATTCAAAGAGGGAACTCTATAAATTCTTAAAGCTTGATTGACATGAGAATCATAAGGAGTAGGGTAATTGAATACAACATCTCTTAATTTTGTTTATTATGAATCGCAAATCAAAGAATTATCCCATTATACAGTATTTTAATATGTACATCCATTCAAACCATCCAAATGCAATTTATATGCCACAATTTAAGCTCCAGTTGGTATGTTAGTTAGAGTACCATCTAAATCCCAAAAGATTTCTCTTCTGAAATTGTTCCAATGAATAATTCTTGCACTTGCAGAATTTATAATCTTAATTCCTTTAAAGTGAGTATTCTTTCCTCCTGTTACCCAAACCAAATAATTATTGCAAGCTGAACATGATTCAATCAAGGTTGATGTACCTGGGAAGTTTGCAAATCTGACTGTGTCAGCCAAAAATCCATTTGTTCTAGGCACAATCAAACCAGTATTAGTTTGTGAACCAACAATAACAAAATTTCTAATAGTGGTACCTTCAGCTGAGAAATTAGCTTTATGTTGTTGATAACCAGCAATCTTTGAACTTGCAATCAATACGTTTTCAATCAAAACATTTCCTAAATTATCTGCTAAAACACCAACTTAAGCATTTGCCCATGTTATAAATCCTGATAATTTAGTTTAGACACTTGGATTAGCACTAAATGGATCATCTAATGCATCATTTCTATGAGAAACACATGGAGCAACTTTTGGAATCAAGGTTCCAATTCTTAATCCAATTCTTCCTGTTGAATGAGCGGCGTTATTAGTAAAGTTCAACAATGGTACACCAGTTGGACAAACATCACTTGTAGATGCAACACCAGAAGGGTTTGATTTAAATGCTAAATAGAATCCATACCATTCTGCTCCACCTACTCTATTATTGAAAAATGTATTCTTAGGATTTGTAATCCAAAAGGCTGCTGCTGTTGCATCTGATTGATATAATTACCAAGATGATTTAACGACAGCTACAAGATTGTGTTCAAAAGTGTTGTACATTTCATTACCATTTTAAATGTAGATAGCATGGCCAACAATGTTGTAGCAAATGTTATCTGTAACTTCCAAATGTGATACACTTTACAATCCTATGCAACGAGCATTTGAATTGTGAATTGAATTGCTTCTAATATATGAGTTTGAAACTACTCCATTATTATTGAAATTAATTGGGAATCTATTTAAATATCTTTATTGACCACCATTTACTATTTCTACATTTTCAATTCTTGCTTCAGTGCCTTCATTTTGTGTTCCTTAAATGTAAATATGAACTCCATGATAATTCATTTAATCACCTTAGATTCTTATACTTCTGGTCAAACATCCTACCTCCACCTTTCTTGGGAATTCAACTCCATCAAAATGTTCTGAGACTGTTTCATGAATATAATTCAGAGTCTCATTCAAAGTCAATGTTCTTTTATCAATAGAAATTGAAACAATTTTTCTAACTTCAGCTTCGCTTTAGGCTTAATTGCTGGATGTAATGATTATTTCATCTCCAACCAACCAATTTACTGGTTCATCTACAGTTACAGTACCGTCATTAGTGGTTGTTTAGGATAATAAAGTCCATGATGGTGTTCTATCTTTACCATGAATATCGATTTTGCATTGATTGCAACCAATCATTTTATTACCCATATTTGGATATTATATTCCTCTTTCCTCACCTCTAATTGTAATTTTAACATTATGTTAATGTGGAACGGCTTAAGTACCAATTTAGAAAGTTCCTCTATTAATAACAAGATATTATGCATCTAAAGAAGTATCAGCATCATCTGCAAATACTAAATTACCCTCAACCAAAACTTGCACTAATTTTGGAGTATGTACATCGACAATCAAAGTTGCACCTTGATATACCATAACAGAATCTCCATCAGATGGGAAAACGTATCCTCCCCAAGTCTAAATATCTGACCATCTTTATCCATAGATGACTTAAGCATTATTAACTGCCTCATCTCCATCTACAACAACTTTGAATTTGTTAGTCACACTAGCAGTTGTAACATCTTTCAATCCACTTAAACATTTAATTTCAGTAGCAGTCACAGATTAAATTTAGCATTCAATGTCATCAATAAATACTGAGGTTGATCCTGAGATGAAGCCTGTACCAGTGATGGTAATGACAGTTTAAGTATGAGGGGGAATATCTTTAGGTAAGACATTAATAATAACAGGTGTAGCAGATGTATCATAAGTGACACTAGAATTTATAACACCCATCGAGTCATCGTCAACAAATATTTCAGTATCACAAGAACTACTAGTCTCATTATCTGAATCATTCTCAAGCCATCCTCTAAAATCTATATCAGCAATTTAGCATCTGGATCCACTAGCTCCTCTTGGATCTATGAATTTAATAGCTCTGATGCCATCTAAATCAATATTCTTATTGTGATGTTCAGGTTCATCATCTTCATCTCTACCACCATGAGAATTTTTTTATTTTGAATTTTCACATTTGGTGGGTCTTTCAACATTCCATCCTTTATGAACATCATCATCAATAGTGAACCAATCTTTAAAGGTTACACCATCAGTAGAATATTAGAATTTAGCTCCTTTCAGATAAGAAGCACCAACATCAATTCTAGGTAAGAAACTAAGGTGCTCTAATTTCATTTTTCTGTTCTTTCCAAAATCAATTTAAACCCAACAATTTGTAGCTGAATTAGATATATGATAAGTAGTTTCAGATTCATCATAGAATCTTTTTACAACACTTTTATCTGTAACATCAGAAGTCACCCTGAATTCTTCATGATCAAGTTTGTAATTTTTGGATTACAAACCCTTCTATACTTTTTTAGCCCATGCTGGGTTAAAATCTGGTACTCTACATAATATACTGTGATAATTAACATTTATCAAATCACATTTCTTTCCACAAACTTTAACATTATGACTCTCATGGAAACCATGACCATGAATTTCTAAATGTTTTCCTCCTTTACATGATGCCTTAGGTAACGATCCACTCAAAACTGGATTTTAGAAAATAATCTTCTAATATTACCAGGTTGTCCATATTGCAACTTTATCATCACATTAAACAACAATATCAAATTATCCTAAAGGAACATTAGCGAAGGAAACTTGAATTAATGTAGCATTATTAGAAACAATAGTTCCTACAATATCATCAAGACCATCTTTTTCTAAACGGACATTCAATGTTGTAGCACCCAAATTAGTACCTAAAATATTGAAAGTCAAGGTTTCAGTTGATGCATTATAAGTATAAGCTGATTTTCCAGAAACATATACAATTCCAGCATTATTATTAATTTATGTTATAGCAGGTTAACCAATATTAGTAACAGTAAGATTAGTTGAAAATTAGCATGATGACTTTGCTTATAAATTCTTTCTAATATCACGATAGAGTATTTTAACACCATATCCAGCATTTGTTGTGATTCTTGGAGTTCTGCATTTTAATTTTCTATGTCCAGTCTTCTTCAATCTTAAGCACTTCCATGTTCCAATGTATACTTCAATTTCATTATCATCTCCAAATCCACTTCCTTCAATTTCAATATCTTATCCACCTTATACAATTGTAGTTGTTGAAATTGCTGTAATTTACAATTCAACATTAGTTATCCACATTCCTGTTGCATATCCAGTAGATGTAAGGATTCTTGTCTTGTATTCACCTTAAGGTAAATCAGGTACTGTATATACCAATTATCCAGTCTCTGAAATGGATCCTGTTACTGAGTATTTATCATTGAATACTATGGTTACCGTTTATGAGCTAGTTGTAATGCATTATATGTTTTCGACTTAATCAACTGTGTAATTTTTAATCTTATCAAAGATGTAATCATTCCAGAATGATAAGTCTCTTCTTGAACTAGTTTCATAACTTTAGTAATGACTAATTCCAGAAGAAGGCTTAATTCTTTTTGGTTCAGGGTGTTCTCTCTTTTGTAAAATGTATTTTTAATAATCTGGTAATCCAAGTTAATCTTCAGATAATAGTCTTGAACCTTCGCTTGCAGTGGAATCAGATGGTGCACCACAGGCTAAGGTCTATGTGGAATCATAAGTGAACTCACAATTTCCTTGGCAAATAGAATCAAATAAAATTCTTGTTGTCACAATAACTTATTGAGGAGTTGTGTATCTATAATGTTTTGGTGGAGTCACACAATATAATTCTGTAGAACTAGAAGCATCTTCGTCTAAATCACATATCCAATTGATTTCATCACCAATAAATACAATAGTTTCTTAAGGAACAAAATTAAATCCATTAATTTTGATTCTAGTACCTCCTGCATCACTTCCTGATGCATTTTCAATACTAGTTATAACTGTATTGTATTAAAATTTATTGGCATCTCCAGCGGCTGTTGCTTCTCCTACTCCAGCTCTATTCACAATGAATCTGTATTCTCCTGGTAGACCTCCTCTTAAATAAACAACAATCTCATCATCCTTTACACTAACAACAGGACATTCATAAGTTTTCTCTGCATTTACTAATTCAACTGTAATATCAGAAATGATCGATCCAAACCCAGTACCAATAATAGTGTTGAATCCTTTGTAAATTGGAGTTAATATTGTCTCTTATACTCTTGTGATTGAAATATGAGTTGTATGATCATAAGTAAAATCAGGGTTTTGAGCTTGCCCATCCTTAAAATGCAAAATAATTATTGAATCAGGCATTGATTAATCATATGTTGGAGTCTTTATAACCACTTAGTTACTTGAGGTTGATTTGATGACAGTCTAAATTCCTCCAAGATTAACAGTTAATTCTGATGTAATTTCTTTAGGGAATCCTTTACCAAATATAGTAACAACAGTGCCACCATCTTCTGATCCACTTGTAGGAGTGATGTGTGTTATTATCAAAGGAGCTTAATATGGAAGCACATTTGGATCAACATCAGCATTTCCATATTCTTCATAATGGAATACTGGGAAGTATTATCCATACTCAAATTCTGTTCCATCAACAGTACAAGTGAAATCATATTCATAGTCATCAGTCTTAACCATTGCTATGTCATAACAATCGTAATCACCGAAAGTGATAGTGGATAAGGTATCATCCAAACTATTTCCTAAAGTAGTACTACCCTCTGTTGATATATGGAGAGCAAGTGTTGTAGCTTCATCATAAGTAAAATCAGTCATAGTCAATTTCAAATCAACAGGAGCATCCAAATTGCAAGCACCTTCTTAAGCACAAGCACTTAATAAGCCATCTAAAGTGATGGAAACAGTTGGTGTTTTTGAATAAGTAAACAATAACTCATTTGGAATTGGTTCATAAAGAATATTTGAACTAGCTTAAGAAAGAGTTGTGATGGTTACTTTGACTTCTCCATTTCCAGATATCAAATTATTGGTAACAACCCTAAAATTAGTTAATTCTTAAACTCCTTTCATTTAGACCTTCCATGTATATCCATCTAATGGTGTTCCTTCAGTCCAAACTAAAGGTCTATATCCAGTTGTAGTCTAAATAGCATCAGCTAAAGCAGAAGCAGATAAATCAAATGGTAAATCAACTGATGTACCAAATTTCAAGTATTATTCAACACTCTCATAATCAAAATAGCTTAACTGGAATGTACCTTCAATAGGAGTTGATGGAGTTACCAAAATAGCTGAGGATTTACCAATAGCACTGTTAGCATTACTTGTGATATTAAATACAAATGTTGGTTTGACTTAAACTGTTCTGTATCTTTAGAATGTAATCACATATCTAAAACCAGCAAATGTAGTGGATGTTTAGTCTATCAAATCTTCACCAACAGAATCTACTTTAGTGCTAGTTGCTGTCACACTGTAGACACCAAGTGCATTAATAGCTTATGCAACTTAATCAGCAGTGGCAAGAGTTGAAAGCCAACCTGTAGTATAAGAGAAAGCTGGATTAGCAGTTGAGCTTGCAAAAACCAATTGATATTAACCTGATAATTTAGTATCCTCAACTGAGTTAAACACTTTATATTCTACTTCCTCTTTAATTGGATCATATGTAGTTTAGATACTGTATAGGGCACCAACTGAATATTCAGTGAATGTTTCGTCTTCAATTTCAACTGAGACTGTAAGATATCCTGGACCAGCACCATTTGTATGATTAATTTGGATCTAATAGTATTAACCTTCTTCAAGATTGATATAATCTGATATAGAATTAACTGGGGTGCTAGAAAATTCACTTTACCAGTAGTTTCTATAACCTGAAAGATAATTCTCAGCAATCAATTCTAATTTTGTATTATCTATTGATGAAGGGTTTCTATTCAATTCAACAGTGGCTTTATCATCAGAAGCTACATAGAATCTATATTATCCTGTCTTTGGAGCTTTAAAGAATCCTTTGAATTATTAATTATAATATGTTCCATAAACATTTTGAACATCTGGTTCTCCAATGAAATCATTCTAGTACACAGTGTTTCCCCACCATCTTTTATATCTAAGACCACTTCCATCAACGTAGGCTTCTTTACCTTCAATGGTGATATTGAAAAACTTAACGGTGATGGTGGATCCATCATTTCCAACAACTACAGTATTTTTTAATTAGAGTTATCCTCCAACATAAACTCTAACTTAACAAGTACCATATCCAAAACCAAGACCATAAATACTTAACATTCCTCCCTTCTTTGACAACATTTTTGTACTTAAACCTGTAATAACAGGAAGTATGATTGATTGGTAAGTTTCTGTAGTAGTGGTATATTATTATGACACTGATACACTGTTCTATTAATTACCATTTACAGTTGTTATGTAGATCGGGTAGATGCCTGCTATACCATCTGTGGGTACTTAGCACTTAATAATGTCATCATTGGCATCAATATCTGATTGTGAAGATTAGCTTCTATCACAAATTTAATTCTCAAATTAAATCTATAATTGTGCACTTGACAAAGAGCTCACTAAAAATCTACCTCTGAAAAAGCTCCATTGACTGGGGTAGTTAACTCTTGGACTTACGAAATTAAGTTGGCTTGTCAAGGATTTCAAATAGGTAAAGTAACAATAAACACCTGCAGTGCATGTAGAATCTGCAGATCCTTTTACTTTAATTACGATTGGAAGTGACCCAAGACTTTAGTCATCTGGCTTGGCTGGAGAAGTAACACAAATGATTGACAACCCTGAAACCCCATTTTCTGGTACTATGCAAGGGTATGTTCCCACAAACACTTCGTTTTTTGAGACAGTAGTACTTAATCCAGAAGCCTAATAGTAGTTTAAAAATAATTTACTTGTATATACAAAGTTGTTCCTCCAGCTAATGAGCCTTAAGGTATGGCAGCAGATGCTGGACGGCAGGATGCGCTTGTAATGATCACAGGAACTACAGTTTTTGGTTTTGTAGGTTTCGTTTAAGCTTGAACTAAATGTATTAGGTAATACTTACTCTCTGCCACGAAATAAATGAAGAATAATGCTAAAGAAAGATAAATTTACATGTAAAATAAATTAATTATTGATTATATGGTGTTGATCAATCCCTTAAATACTCAACGAATCATATTTTTTTATAAATTTAGATTCGTTTTTTTCTAGATTAGTCTCAATTAAATGAATCTATATCAGTAATTAAATATTCATGTAAATGGTATTCCTTAAAGGAATAAAAGCTCATACTAAACTTTATTGGATTCTCATTACTGAATTGATTTTTCCACTGTTTATCATAATCCAAATAAATTCAAGTGATCAATTTTCAACGTTTTTACATTTATATATATATCAAATATTCATGATTTATCTAATCTCTTTAAAGGTCTATCCTTATCATGGCTTTTCTTCTTTTTTGGAACTTGTCTACCATCTGTTTTGTTATTTTGATTTCTTCTCTCTTCTGAATGTTCCTTGTGATTATATTCTTCATGCTCTCCATCAGCTCCTTTTCCAACTGATTTCATTTTTTCTTAATTTGGCGCCTACTTTTTTGATTCATGGGCTGCGTTTGTATTCTTTGGAGCATAAACTGGTAGAGTATTGATTTTATCTTCAATATGGAAATTCTTTATCTAAGTTTTAATGTCCTGTATGTGACCATAATCCTTTTCCACATCTTATAAATATATTTTAATATATTCAGCCATTTGCTGAGTTGGAGGAAAAATATCTTAAACTCTTTTCAAAAATATCAAGGCATTACGAACCTAACATATAACCATTAATATATACTTATGTCTCATTGTTTTTCAAAATTCTGATAAACTAGGCCATCTTGAAAAAAATGTTTTAAATTATATACTGTTTTTCTCTATCATATCCTTCAATTGAGGTGTCAAAGTAGTTTCTAAGGTCGTTCTTAAACTTAGTTTCATCATTCCAATTAGCATACGGTATGATCAGTTACTACATAAATATACTCAAATTTGATGCTTCCTCTTCAGTTGCACATTATAAATATGTAAATGTGAAATAGATGATTTCCTTAGGTACATAAAATGTGTAAGTGTATCTTGGTTTACCAATTTTTAACATTTTTTGTACAAATTTAGCACAATAAATGGCTTCAGCGGGATCTATCAGAATCCTTGGCAACAAGCAAACTTATGATAAACATTAAGCAAATTTGATATGATAATTCTCTTTTGCTTGATCAGCTTCTTTGAAACTAAAAACATGTTTCTTGTCTCTCAAACACTTATCAAATTATTCTTGTCGTTTTTTATTGTTGTCTAATTCATTCTACAATTTATCAAATGCCTTTTAATGCTGTTTACTTTATCTGTCCTTAGTATCAGGATTTTTATTGATATTCTCTTGTAGCCATTTGAGTTATTAATCATAAATAGCTTATGGCACATAAATATTATCCAAACTCAAAAGCCAAAATATTGTAAACAATTCTGGATTAATAATAGTCCATAAGATATCCTTAACATAAGTATGACATATTAATGGTAATTGTGGAACTTATTGATTGTTAATATCTGGATTGATACACATTATTTTTGGATCAATTTTATCATAGATATTCTTGATATTATCAACTTCTTCTTAAAATTCTTCTTCACTCATATTATACAAGCTCTTATAACTGTATCTCACAATATGAAAAGCAATCTCAAACGGTAATTTAAAGTCTATAACCATTCTTTCGAGTGGATTCTCTGGAAATAATTAAGCATAATGTGTTGGTTTGTCAGTTTAAAACAATAAACATTTGGTTAGTTAATTGATACTGCAAGTAAAATTATCATATAATGCAACTAACGGTTTCAAATTTTGATTATGATAATTTAAAATGAATCTAGACCTCTATTAACATAAAACTACTAGCATTAAAAATGCTAATGAAACAACTTCTTCTTGATTATTCTGATTCAAAATTCTCTGAGAGTTTATGGTTTATGACCAAAAGAATTATTCTAAAGCACTAGAACTTTTTCTAGATCTTCTAAATTCATTTGTTTATGAAGTAGTTTCAAGTTAAATATACCTTCCTCCTGCCAAAGCTTATATTTATTAAGGTGTAAGATCCTCAATATGAACTATTCCTGTCATTTTCTCAATCAATTCTCTTAATATTAAAATTTCTGGTTTAATTATTGATTCATTTTTAGATATTGAAGGATTACTTTGATCAGTAGAAAATACATCAATCAAATATGCAAACAATCCTTACATATCAATAGTATAATATTTTCTTAGCACACTTGCTATGAATTATGCAATATTTTTAAACCAATATCTACATTCAATATCTTTATCTCTAACTTTTGATTCATCATTAAAATCACATAACCATTAAATCATTATAAATTATAAAATATCTAAAGATAATGGAGTTGCCAATCCTAAGGTATGAACAATTACTGAATTATTATCTGGAATTTCTAATCTATTTCTCCTTAAAACATTCATTACAATCATAGGTTGATTATGAGAAAGTTTTGCAAATTTCACCATCATTTTATCTTTATTATCTTTATCAATTTTATTAAAGAAACTTCTAATATGTTCTTTAGTAAGTTGAGCTGCTCTGATTGTCTAATTAATTGTAGAAAATTAATGAAGATCTTTCCATTTTGAATAGCAATCAAATCTCTTGCGAAAATCTAATTATCCCAAATATTTCCATAATTCTATTACAATAGGCAAACATTCTCCACTCTATAAAGCTGGTACTAAATGATCTAGAATCAATGGTTAAACATCAGGATTTTATGATTATATCAATACTTTACACAATTTGTGAAATACTAAAGGATACTCACCAATATATGGTGAAAATATTGATAATATCTCATTTAATATAGATATTGCATCTTCATCTATAACTTCTAATTATTTTATTTAAAATGCTGTAGTACAATTTGGATCATATATAAACTAGATTGAATATTGAAAATAATTACTTTCTTTTACTCTCTAGATCTACTTTTAAATAGAGTTTTATTGAATTATTATTCATGTAATGGATCAATCATCCAATCAATTAAATCAGCTATGGTTCTTTTGATAGGTAAGAATATTGTAAAATCAACTATTCCTTCAAAAGATTTGTATAATTCTTAAAATATATTGAAAGCATTAATATGGATTAATCCTTACATCAACCATAATTTTTGATTATCTAATTAATAAATTAATGAATAATACATAATTATTATCCAAATAAATCTTTTTTTAATTTTTCCGATTAATCATTATTATTTCTTGAATCTCTTAATTCTTCTACTTGCATTACTTAATCAAATGATTTATAAAATTTATAACTGTCTTCTGCTAGATCTTCAAAGATTTTAGAAAAATCTTGATCATTAGGTTATAAATATTTCCAAATATTTCCAAGTTCAAATAATTTGTATTTTAAGGCTGTTGCTGTAATAATGATTAATTTATGATCAGGAATTTTCTAATCAGTTTACATAACTTAAGCTGAATTAGCCATTTTAGTCATTAAAATACTTATATTATTGTTGTTTGACAGGGTTTAAACAATTGATTCGAATCTTTTACCTAAGAATTAGCAAACAGAGATGCATTTAAATTATTTTAGTATTTTAACATAAGACAAACTACATGGATATTCTGTCCAACTTTGAATTATGATATCAACAACTCTATCTGGATCTAAATCAAAATATCCAATCAAATGTATTATGTTTTCTATTCTTTATTTAATTTCTTCATCATATATATCAGTGTGTTTTGCTGCATCTAATATTTCAACCATCAATTTGCTATATCCTTCATTTTCATCTTTCATTGACCAAAACTTATTTTGAAAAAAATTTTTATCTGTGTTTATTTTTCTCTTTCTTTAAGAAAAAGTATCTTATTAAACAAATCCACATTCCCATAATACTTCTTCATCAAAGTTGTCAAAAAATATTTATTTTTAAGTTTAAGTCAATCTTTCCGCCAAACTTTGCATTAACTATATTAAAAGTTTTCTTGAATCTGACGATTATTAAATAACCATTGTACACAAATAAAGATTTTCTAAAAGAATTGTAAAAGATGCTTCATTTTACTAAACAATAATTTAAATTGAATTACTTAGATATTTCTAAGGAATTATATTACTTTGTCAAATGGAATTTTTTGTTTTAAGTAAAAATCAGACAAATATTGATATATGAATTTATTCTTCCTTCTTAGATCGCTTACTGTAAAGTAATTGATTGTTCTAAATGCATTATTCTAAAAATTACCTATCTACATCGTTTATTAATTCTTAAGTGATCACTAATATATCACTCATTAATATAATTTTAATATATAAATAAATAAATTAATTTTCTCATTTCAATGCTGAGATAAGTAATACTTCTGCATCTCTAAATCTTTAGTTCATCGAAGAACAATTTAAAACAACAATTATGGCCTCCATATCATTATTCTTATAATATCCTGTGAAGCAAGGTCCAGCATTAGGAGTAACACCTGTCTTTACTCCCATCCAACCAGACTTTTTAAGTAATTTATTTGTATTTTTCCATTTATATAAAGTAGCTTTGCCTCCTTTATCTGTTAGAGCATGAGTCTTAAAAATTTTGGTTGTTATTATCTCAAGGAAAACTTCTAATTAAATGCATTTCTCTATTAATTTACTAATTTATATTGACTATAAACATATACCTTATATCATTAGGACATGATACATTCTTCTCATCATTTAAACCATGAACAGACGAATAATTAGTATTTTCCATTTTGATAGAAATTGCATGCTTATTCATTTGATCGAGGAATGTATGTTTAAGTAATTTTTTGTTCCTTTCAATCTATGGTTCTATGTCAATTATAGCACCTTTCAAATATCGATTATATTAATAAATCTCTGTCTTTTGTAAAATCATCAAATATGCTATAGTAAAACTTAAAACAAGTGCTGCATCATTTCCAGAAGGTAACATAAGAGCGAATAACAATTATTTAATTGTTAATATGCCTCCTGCATTTAAAAAGGCACTAGTACCATCAATACATTCAGCATGGCCTGGAATTTTTATTTTTATTTAATCAGGCTCAATATTGTATTCTTTTAAATACGTTAATGTTGTGTAACAAGTCATAATCTTTGTGATACTGGCTACTTCCCCTTTTTGAAACTCTTGCCATCCAACTGATTTATTAAAACATTTTTCATTCTTTTATTTAGTGAACATGACCCATCTTTTAGCACTTACTTTATGTTTAATAGATGGAATAGCTTAATGAACTGATAATGATACAGTTAGTTTATTTGGGAGTATTTTTTTAGTCATTAGACTTGTTGCAGTTTTGATTACTTTCTTGGGCTACCTTTATGCTAATTGAGATTCTACTAATTTATTGATATTCAAAATTACTAGATTAAGGTTCTTTTTATTAACTTTATGCATAAACTCTCATCCTTTCTCTCATCAATTAAGCAGGCAAGTTAGGCAAAGTAGGTTAAGGATTTATTGAAATTTGTTGTTCTGAAAATTCTTCAGATTAAATAGTTTATCCATTACCCTATTTATACTTTTTCTCCTCTTAAGCAATTACATGTAAAGCATCTAAGTAAGTGTCCACAAATACATACTCAGATTAGTTCTCATATCTTCTCTATATCCATAAATAAAACTGAATACTACATTAGCTTTTTTTATAGGATCATTTAGTATACACTAGGCGTCATGTACATAAAATTTTAAAATATGAGGTGATCTTTTGGGAGATGCTTTAATTTTCGCACTCTGCAATCCTCTAACCTTCAACTCAGGAAGCGGTATATTAGGAAGATCATTTAGTTAATTGCATCCACTAGTGTTAGCCATTTGAGAGTGAAGACTTTTTCTATGAAATTTTGATAAGGAAACTGAGAAACCATCTTTAGGGTTGGCATTCATATTATAATATTAAAATAATATGTTGTAAAAATTAAGTTAAGCAGATGATTTTTCATCTTATGAAATTTATTATAAATGAGAGGGTTTCAACATTCATATAATTGTGGTCAATATATTTAAAAGTGATATAATTATCTATTTTATAATCAAAATAAATTATTAATATACCTTTAATCTATAAGTATTATATTTGGATGAGAATTCTAATTAATTCAAAATAATTATATAGCAGACTTAAAGATAATCTATTATTCTTTAAAAAATAATAAAATTGTTATTATATTTTTAATAAATCAAATAGCAAACATATAAGAGAATTATTGAAATGTTCATAATCTTTTAATTATTGTTCAATAGAATTAAAAAAATAAGATTGGAAATTACATAAATTTATATGTTCTGAAATTTAATTAATGTAATAAAAAAAAAAACAGAGAACAGAAAGAAATCTATTGAAGATTTTGCTTATTTTGATGTTTTTCTGATATTTATAGAGTAAGAGAAATTGAAACCAATAAAATTTTCGTATTAAAATAGATGAATAAAATAAAATTAACTTAAGTAAAAGAGGAAAAAATACATTCCATTCATAAATTTGGTATTGAACTTAGAGATATAAAGAGTGAAAATATACTTTTCACTAAAGATAAATAAATAAGGTTTATTAATTTAAGAACTGTAAGTGATATGAATGATCAAACTTTTGAAGGAAGTGGAAGTGGAAGAAAAAGTAATCAGAATAAATAATTATCAAATAATTTAATTTTAAACATTTTGTGGGAACTCCATAATTTATGGCTCTTGAATGCATTAGAGATAAAGATTCTAATAAAAAATCAGATATTTATTTATTAGGAGTGTTATGTTAGGATATTGATTACCTAGTGTTTACATAAGCAATTGAAATAGAACTTAAATTTCCCAAGTTTGAATGAAATTATGAAGAATTAATTGTTGAGTGAGAATTTCGATTGGAAAACTCAATAAGGTAAAATTGTTGGTTCGAATAAGATTTTTAGAAAATATTAAATGATTTAAGCAAAATTGATAGATATACTTATTATATGGGTTAGAATTAAATAATGTAGGAAATTGGTAGAGTAAGGATAGTTTCAAATATGAAACTAATAAGGTTTTAGGGGAATAAGAAAAATTAATAAAAGATGAAAATTACCAAAAGAGATTTAATGATATGAAATAGATTTTGGAATAGAAGAGATAAAATATGGGAGAGAATGATGATGAAGAGGCTTAATAAATCAAAGGATTTTATGAAATACAATTTACAAAAAGAGAATCACTATATTCTAAATTGTTTTTTTTGATTTGAGAGGGATTTAACTTTCAAATCAAGTTGTTAGGCTTCTTATCTAATTTAGACATAATTTCTAACAAGTTTTTCATTTTATAAATATAATTGTTCCAATAATTATAATTATTGATCTGTGTTTCCTAATTAATAAAATTTATGTCTTTAGACTCTACTATTTTCAATAATAGAAAATAATGATTATCTTAGACTATTTAATTCTTAATTATCACTTTTTTGATAAGAATCATTTTGTTGAACCTTAAACTTAGTATATCTATTATGTGATTATTCATAGTTAGATTATATTTTATCAACAATTTCTATTTTAATTTAATTTTATGGAAGATTAGTATTCAATTTGATTTGTTTTGACAACTCCTCTTCTTCTTCAAATTATGTTGAAACAATTAATGAATTTTTGGAAACCATATTGGAAATTGATCGAGTTCGCTTATACTCAATTTAAAATTACTTTTGAAGTTAACTTGGTTTATGGTTCCAATTTATTTTAACTTAATGAGCTTTTACGTTTGTTTTCTGTAATGAATCTGTGATATTTTTATTTAACACTATTATACGATAACTTTTTAATAAGTTCTGTTGTTTATTAATTTAGTAATGACACATTATTAGTTGTATTTTTTTGATTTCTGGCACTTGGAGATCTTGATTGTTTAATTGAGGGTAATTTAAGATGTTTGTAAATTGAAGGAGATATCAAATGATTTGATTATAATGGTGATATATTTTGTCGAGTATTTCTAACTTCAACTGAACGATCGATACATATTCGAATTCTGTTATTGTTTGAATCTTATCTCCTTTGCATTAAATATTTATTAATAAAAAATATACTTTTTTTTCCGTCAATCACTGACCAGTGATACCTGGTGATCTCTATAAACAATATTTAGAGTCATAAGAGATTGAATGAATTAAACAAATTATTTTAATAAAAATGCATCACTATATTAAAGAAGCTTATTACAATGTTAATTAAGTCGAATGTGAAATCCTATAAGAATATTTAGGATAACCCAAGACTTAGTCATTAATGTATTATTCATTAATCATTAATTCTCTTATAGATAGTAATTTGCCAAGTCATCTGAATCTAATATATTAGTCACACCATCAGGATTAGTAGTATAATGTTGTGGTAACACAAATATAATTAAGAAATTTGGTACTCTTTAAATGTCAAAAGGTACACATATTTGGGAGATTATTGCAATTTATGATTGTGCTTAAATGCAAGTATTGTTTATAGTTTTATTATTCAAGATTGGAGTGAGCACTGTTAGTAATCCAGGATAAGAGAAAGTTTATTTATAATCTTTCACAGCAAGTACAATTAGAACAATAACAGTTATTCTAAATATTGAATTAGGAGAACTTAATTTTTATTTGAATGGAAATCATAATTAAAAAAAAACACTTCCTGTTGAAAAGAATGCAACATATGTTCCTTTAGTATAATTTGCACCACATGGTAAAGTTGCAGCATTGAATCCATTTGCATAACATCCAAATCTTCAATATCCTAGAATTAAATGTTTACCCCTTAATTTATTTACTTAGAAGAATTAATTTTAGATACCAAATTTTCATTTTCTATAAAAATTGATTGATATTTAATCAAATGAGTTGCATTGTGATTAAATGATCAAAATAGCAAATAATTTCATCTATTTTAATAATAATAAAATGAAATTGCTAAGACCTAAATTAGGAAAATCAAATATTGATAATACATAATTAATTAACATATTTTCAAATAGACCAGAAACTCCTTAATCAATGATTTATATCAAATTAATCAAATAACATTATGAATTAATCTCTGAATCTTTCATTTGGAAGAAATCGTTAGAAGATGGATTAACAAATCCAAATATGATAGAATAATTTCATTAATATTGGACATAAGCTAAATCATTAGATACATAAGTTTTGATTTAAATCCCATATATTTTAATGAAATAAATAGTACTTTCATAATTAGATGAATATGAATAAGATTTTGGACTCATTTCAAAAATAGATGAATAAGTAGAAAGCTGCAAAGTTATAAAAATAATTAGAATTTTATTAGAAATAGATGAATAATTATATGCAATGACATTAAACAATAAACAATTTGAATCATTTAATGCAACAACATCTTTCAATTTAGTTCCAAGAATATTCTCTTAATTTCATAGATTATACAGTTTCTTAGATTCAAATAATTATCCTTATGATATAATTTAATTAACAGAATTAGGACTTTTAAAACTTCCAGGTTTCTCAAATATATTTAGACATTTTACTAATTATAGACATTAAATTGAACCAATTACTTATTAGAATGATTTATCTAATATTTTACCAACTGAGAAAATATACAGTTATGTAGATATTCCTTTAGCTTTGACTATTAATAATATTCCATATGTAGATTTAGAATCTAATTTATAATTAGTCAAATCAGTAAATGATTCAATCTATTTTACTCTTGTAAATGATGAAGGAAATATATAAATTTGGAATGGAGAATTAAGTTTACATAAATGTTTGTAATTTAATCTTAGATCATTTGAAGAAAAGGTAGAAGATTAAAATTAATTGGCTACTCTTTTTGCTGAACCATAATCAGAAAATAATCCTTCTTCTAATATTGAAAATTAGGATAGTTTAAGTGAAGAATCTTAAGAAGCTGCTGTTGTTGTTCCTAATGAAGATTTATTAGAACAACTTTACAATATGGGTTTTTCTATTGAAGCATCAAAATAAGCATTAATAGAAACTAAAAATAAAATAGAAGATGCTATTGAAAAAGTATTTGGAATTTAAGAGTAGAAGGCTAAAGAAAAATAATAATAATAATAATCAATATAAGAAGAAGTTAAAATATCTAAATTAAAACCATATTGGACATGTAAAGAATGTACTTTATTAAATTCAAATGAAAATATCAAATGTTAAGCATGTGATGCTTAACCTCCACAAGATGCTTATGAAAAAGAAGATATTATTGCAATTTAAGAATAAATACTTGAATAATAAATAGAAATTATAGAAGAAAATAATTAGAAAATATAAGAGGATAATAATGAAAAATTTAGAAATATTTTCAAAAATTCTAAATTATCAAATATCATTTAAATCAATCTTTAAAAACCATTTAGACATTTATTATTTGCCCATATCTTTACTACAGAATAATAATCCTATCTAGTATTGAATAGATTCTACTAGAGTATCAAATACTTAAGTTAATTTTTTAGAATTAATAATGAAGGAAGTTATTCAATTTTAACTAATAAAACATAATAATAAATAGTAAATATATAAAATTTATTAAAATTATTAAATGAAGGAGAAAATAGTAGATTTATATATGAAACACTCTATCCAGTTTTAACTGTAAATATATTAAATATAATTTTAGTAATCACAAGAAGAATTTGAATTTAAAGATCAAATTATTTTATAAATAGATGAATTCATTACAAATTTGAATTTCCAAGATGACAAAATTATTATTTAAGGTACTAATAAGAGTTGGGAATGTACATTATTTGATGGTAATAAATTAATATTATAATTTAAGGAGAAAATTATATACCAAAATTAGTATTAGTCTAAAACTAAGAAAAGCCAGTATTATCATAATAATTGAATAATAAATCTTAAGTAGATTAATAAGTTATTATTTAATAAAATGATATTATTGAATCTTTTGATGATTTAACAAAATTAACACCTGAAGAAATCTCTGATTTAGCTAAATTAAATGAACATTAGGATGTATACTTTTAACCTATTAGTAATAATCCTATGATCTTATCAAAATCTAATAATGATTATTGGGCTAACATAATTGTAGATGTTAATCAAAATAGTGAGAATGTAATTTAATTAAATTTATCTAACTAATAATAAATGATGAAATTAATTGTAACAGGATACAGTGATAAAAAATCTGAATTTAAATCAGATGGTATTATATCTATAGATGGATTAAGACCTGAGAAAGATGATTAATTACCTCTTACAATTTTTACACATAAAGGATCTCAATTTAATGTTCAACAATGCATATCAAAAATTTGTTTTGTTTAATAAGAAATATTTTCTACTGTGTATTCCAAACCAGAATTTATATTCAAACATTTACATGGAAAATTAATGAGTTTTTCTAAATTTTCAATTGCAAGTCCAAATAAATTTTAAAATACTGGAGTTCCTTTAGGATCTGGATTAATTTTTATTGGAAACAATGCAAATGACTTTTTATTTTGTTAGAAATTCTAATCTTTTAATAAGGAACAATATCAAAAATGGTTTGAAGATAGACAAAAAGATATTAGACCTTTAAAACCTTGGGAACCAGTAGCCTTTTTTGAATTAGGACCAAATGAAGAATAATTGACATTCTAATTAGAGAGTCCTAAAATAGGAAAATATGTATTATTAATGACTTTGTCTGCAAAATAGACTGATTAAGTGAAATTTGAATAAAATCCTCTAACTTTGAATTATTTTGTTGCATATGGTACTGTTGTGAAAGAGAATATTGGAGATTAATTAATTTAAAGTCAATAATCTTTTGATTTATTTAAAGATATTACATTAAAAGTAAATGGAGATATTATGGATAAAGGATAATGTCAATTTAGAGAAGATACTTATGGTAATTACAATAAATTTATTTGTGAAATTCCTGCATCTTTATTAACAAATGTGTAAACTATAAACATAGAATTCTAAAAATCTGATTTAAGTTTTCTTTAAATAAATGGAGTTAAACAAAAACATATTAATCAAAGGCTTTTGCAAAAATTACCTCAAGCTCATTTGATTACAACTTTAATGCATGATGTTTCAAAATATCATGAATTTAATTAAAAACTTATGTAACTTACACATAATAACAAGGCTTCTGAATAATAAAGATTTAGTGCAATAAAGGTTTTATGTAAATTATTTTAAAGTATACCTTAATTTGTGAATATATGCTATAAAGATTTAGATATTTTAGAATTTATTAAATTAAATCTACTTACATAATAATAATAAGAAGAATCTTGTGTTTAAACATTCTTTTAATAATTCTTAATTATACCTGAATTCAATGGTTAATTAGTCAAAGCAGTTAAAGATATCATTAATAATATATTTACTTTATCAAATATTATTAAACCTGCAGGTTTCATTTAATTGATTTAAATGCTAAAGAAATATGCTTCATTGGATTCAAAAGAATACTATCCATATATTTTAAGTCATTTAAAGTAAATTGCTAAATTTATTCATAAAATTGATTCAACACATTTCAGCAAATTGAATCAATAACAAATTTTCTTAATGTTAACTGAAGAATAATTATTCTCAGATAGATACTATAAATTGACTTAATTTGTAGAGGAAACTCCATTGATATCATAAGTTTTAGGGGAAGTTTAAAAATAAATTCAAATTAGTACCAAAGAAAAGGTTGAATAAGATAAACCAAATAATTTAAGCATTCTTGATATTAATATTAAGAAACCTCTTTATTCAATTATTTAATTTAATAGATAACCTCATTATGATGAATACACAATTGATCTCTTATGTTCATATGATTTACATCAATTTTAATTAGTATTTAATACTCCTTAGATAAATTGTAGAGTAATTAGAGTGACTTTATATAATGGATAGACTAATGAACCTATTTTAGATGTCATATTACCAGATTGGCTATTAATTTAATTGACAAAGTATGCAGATTAACATGCATCAAATATGCCAAAGAGTAAATTAAATGTTATTTCATGGAATATTAAAGTTAAGGAAGTAAGAACTTTAAAATTGTAAATCACATATTCATTAAGTGCTGCTACTAGAACAAAAGAAGAGAGTAATACTGCTCCAAAAGAATTGTGCATTATTCCTTAATTCAAAGGATAATTGAGTTAAAGTATAGAAAAATAGGATTAAATTTAGACTTAACTATTTTTAATTGAGGATGAATTAGTGTTTGAAAAGGATTTAAGTTTTGTTAACTCTTTGAAATACTAAAAATATATAAGTTAAGGAACAATTTATTTAGATTCAGCTTAAATTTTAGGAATGAAACAAAAATCTGTATAATTACAAATAAAAGAATAGAATAATTCAAATAGTCCACATACTTAAATGATATCTTAATATTATAGAGCTTTACTTGTATAAAAATAAAAAGAATTAAAATAAAAATTATAATAAAATTAAGGAAAAGAAAAGATTTAAGAAACAATCTAAATTATTAGAAAATTATAACTTGAACTTATTCAAGATCCTAATTCTAACATAAATTTAAGTAAATCTTTAGATTTTTTATACACTTATGCATATGAACTGATAAAAATATTAATACATGCTGATTCTACATGTCAATAATGGAGATCAGATGTAGCTTTAAGAGAATAAGAAGGATTGAAAATGGCCTAATTAATTTACAAGACTTTTGTTTAAGCAAATTAAGGTCCTATTACAGATATCAGTTTTCAAATACTTAATATTATATTAAATAATTTGAATTTAAAATATTGGATTCTATTTACATTTGCTCAATATTAGAAAATTGATTAAGATAACAATATTTTAAATACCTTGAAAATACTTCATATCCCTATTTGCTAGACTATAATGTACATTTCAATTATTTTAAATGAAAAATAATAAATTAAATAAGCTTAATAATTAATTGGATTAGTGTTGACAAAATTAGTAGATTAATAATAATTTAACAATAAGGAATTAGTGGATCCTTAAATCTAAATAAAACCATTAGGAACATTAAGATCAACAAGTAGTCAAGATTTAGAGATTGGATAAGTGGAAAAATTAACAGATGAATGTTTTGAATTAACAAAACTAAAAGTATTTACAACTCTCTTTTCCATTATGAAATGGATTTTATAAAATTAATAATAATATTAAATCTAAGATGTACAAAACTTATTTTTAAAAACAAGTAGTGTATTGATGAAATTAAATAATGATGAACTTATTTTATTTGTAACAGAAATTATAAATCCTACAGATCCAACTTAATCAGGATTATTTTAATTATTAGCTAATGCTATATAATCAAATGATTCTAATACAATCTTAAATTAAATCAAATTACTTATAGAAAAATTATGCACTCCATAAACTTATAAACTTATTTTTTATTTCTTTTAAATTGTATTGAATGCTATAGTTAAGTATGCAAATGAAAATCTTTCAATATTTGAAAAGCCATTAGATAGTTCAGCTTGGTTTTCCTTTTTATCATTTGTAGTAGGTTAATTAATATAATTATCAAATATGAATATTAATTAAGGAGATTAAAAATAAAATTAAAGAAAAAGATCAATAAAATATTAGACAATTTAGAATTTTTAAGAATTTTCAGAAAAATTAGATGAAGGAGGATTCTTTCAAATATGTAATATAGAAACTGTATCATAAATGATTAGATTCTTAATTGAACCAAGAAAGAACTTAATCAATAATGAAACTTTAGAGAATTCATTAACTTATTGGGGATTGTTGTTAAATTTGATTAGTAAGATTCCAATTCAATTAATTATGGAATACAAGATATATGATTAATTATTATCAATTTACTTGAAATTAGATACAACTAAATAAACAGCAATATAATTTAGATTTATTGAAATGACAAAATCAATATTAGAACATACTTAAAGTATTGAATTCAATAGTAATTTAATTAAATAAATTTTCTAATATTAAGGAACAACACTTATAGATGGATTATTAAATATTGTGGCATCTTAAGAAAGGAAAATAAGTGCATCAATATTTAAAGTAATATTCTCAGAAACTGCACATTATTTATCTAAATATTGTAATGTTGGTAGACATGATGGAGTTTATAGTTGTGAATTATCTTTATTGAAAAAATTACTATTCGGAAACAAATTATTATAATTAATGAAAAAAGCAGAGTGTCCCATAAAAGTATAAATTTTAATATAAGAAATACCATAATATGGTGATATTATTAATAAATACATTCATTGGTATATGCTTAATAAATCAAATATACCTAATGTTACACCTGCTACTGAGATCTTAGGATGTATTAGTAAATAAGTAAGATAAATATTTGATTGGTTATAAATAGATTAATAATTAGCAACAGAATCACTAATTCAATTATTCAAATTTTAAAAAGAATTCGATATTGTTATTTAAGAATAGATGAATCAAATGACAAATATATTAGGTTATTCATTATTAAAACACACTTAAGAGATTTTTGAAGAATTAAATGAATTATGGATGACTACTGATTAAGTAGTTAGAGAAATAGCTATAAATGGAAATGCTTTTGAATATTTACTTGAAAAAACACATTTGACTTCAACTACTTATGAAGATAAGACTGAATCAAATGAATAATAACCATAAGAAGAAGAGTTTGCCAATAAATTAGTTATGATTGAATCTTCAAAACCTCCTGGATAACCATAATAGGTAAAAGATTGGTAAGTGAATAAGAAGGGAGTCAAAGCAAAAGTGCATGTTTTAACACTTAAAGATGAATTATCTGAAGATTACATACTTGAATTCTAATTAGAAAAATGTATTGAATTAAAATAAATAAAAATTGGATTTTAAGCTTACACTCCAGAATATAATGATAGGATATTGGGTATACCAGAGGTTGTGGTTGTTGAAGTTAAGAATAAGACTTCAGATAATCTTTGGTATCCTATTGGTGTAATGACTTTAATAGAAGATGAAGCATATACATATTATAGTGTGAAAGTGATGGCTTTGAATATTTGGAGATTAACTGGTTAAGGTAATTTAAATTAATAACTAAAATCATTGATTCAATAACCTATATCTTATATAAGATTTATAATGAAAAAACCATAGATTACATTTTTGGAATAGATTTCTTAATTATCTTTCAAACAATACAATAATATTCAAATTGGTGTAAGTTTTATTTCAATTACAGGATATGATTCATAAATAAATAGAAATAAATAAATATAAACAATTTAAGAGAAAACAGCAAGTAGATTATTAGGGAAGATGTGTTCTTAAAAGTTTAGAAATACATTATATGATATCAGTAATAATTAGAAAATAATATAATAAATAAAAAAGAGTTTTAAAAATATTAGTTAAGCATTATAATCAAATGAATCTACTTTATCTCCACTTTTTATAGGATTAACTAAATATAATCCAGAATTTGGAGATTGGGTATTAGAATAAATTATGGATATCACATTAGAATGGGCACATGCTAAATTAACTGCTGAAATAGTATTGTAAGATAAGGATAAATAATTAGATAGATTAAAGAGATTTTTAGATTATATTTTGAATTAAATTAAATAAATTAATTAGATTGTTAAATCATAAGATTAATTCACATAATTAACTCTTTTAATTGAAGCCTTAACTTATGCTATATTAATATCAAGTAAATAAAAGAACAAGGATCCAATAATGTTAGAAGTAGAAGAATAAGATTTCTTGAATATACTATAGGCAATTGAAGTTACAAGTTAATCATATGAACATTCTAATATGATAATTAGATTATTCATTACACTTATTAAGTTACCTTAACCATATGTATTGAATATACAATTATAACAAACTGGTATTATAGATATGACATCATAGTTATTGTAAAAGTAATCATTATATAAATTAAAATTACTTTCTATTTTAGTACAAATTAGTAATGATGTTGTTAGTTTAATTAAACCTTTTATACCTAATATCTTTGAATAAACAATTGAATCATTGAAAAAGACAGACAATACAACATTATCTGATTACTTTTTCTTCTTTGATTCTTCATCTAATGTTCCTGAACTCAATAAATTCTATTGTGATAATAATTATCATTTATAAGTTTATGAAAATTTGAAAGTTCCAAATCCTACTATAACTTTATTAAAATAAATTGATTAATTGACATTAAGTCATATTGTTAATTTTATTGGTAAAATAACTTTATCAACACCTGAAGCAATTAATTAATTGGCTTAAAAATTGATTAATGATATTCATTTATTATCATAAATTGTAGATATCACTTATGTTGAAAATGTACTCATACCATTACTTAATTTTGAAGAAAAAGTAGATTTTACAATTGATATATGGGATAAAGAAAGTTAAATATATGTTGGTGATATAAGAAAATTGAGTTCTCTTCATATTTAAGAAGATGAAAATACTGAAATTAGTGGTTCTGGATCTCATGAATTAAATGGATTCTAAGCTAAAGAATTTACTCCTTAATATTATGATTCCCTATAATAAGCAATTTAGAAAGTTATTAAAACAAATTCCTTAAAGAAAGGAGGAAGATGGGTTAAAGAAATGGAATTATAATAAGGAGGTTCATATTTTCATAAAACATTATCTACTCTATAAAAGGGACCATTCTTAATATTATTATTTGGAAAGAATAATAATTAGAGTGAAAATTGTATTATTGGATTATTCAGTACTTAAAAATGTGGAAATTTGGTAAGTGAATTCTAACATGATTATTATCCAGGAGAAGTATATCCTATTCCAGAAAATGGAGAATAATTTGGATTTACATATGAAAAAGGTAAAATCTATCATTTGTTAAATAATGATCGTAAAACATTTGGTGTTGGAATGGATCATGTTAATGGAGGGTCTTTTTCATTTTTATTAGAAAGAATCAATTTAACATTTTCTGATGATCAAGAAGTATCTAGTGTTTCTATTGGAATACATGATTTTGAACTCTTAGAATAAAAACCAGAAGAAGATTATTATTTTGATGATTTCTGGATGTAAAGAATGGAAATTTGGATATATTAATAACCACAATAAGTATCTAAAAATACTTAAAAACCATTATTTAGTGGATAATAAGGAAATTAATTAATAGAAGCTAATGATACTTCTACTTTTGGTTATGGAATACTTAGTAATCCAATATTATAAGATAAATATTTTGCCAAATAATCTGTCTTTAATTATTTAAGTGCCACTCCTATATATTCCATACCAGGAAATTGTACTAATACAAATATTTTGTAATGTATCTATATTTCAAATATGTTTATAAATGAATAAGCCATTAAAAATTCTTCTATTATTTAAATTAATGGTACATTAAATTAATAACAACATATTAAACCATTCCCAACATTTACAGTAGATGGATTAGAATTATTAGGATAATTAAATTCTCTTACAGAAACTCCATTGTAATATTCAGCTTCATTAAAAATCTTTGAAGCATTTTAAAATTAAGATGGAGTTAAATAAATTATTTTAGCTGTTTAAGATGCAACTAAAAAATGGTAAAATTAAGAATTAACATAAATTTGGAATTCATATGTATCTGAATTAAGTGCATTTTGTTCAGTACCATAATTTTTCAGTTATTATTTGAAGAATAAGAAATCTATGGAATTGTTATTTTAATTATTAGCAGGAATTCCAGACTAACCTAATAGTGATGAGAAGGCTTGGAAAGAAAAAGAAATTGAAGCAGTTAAATTCATTTATGATACTTTATCTGATGTATTTAAGACACATAATAATTAAGAAATTAGAAATATTGCTATAAAAGATAATTTAATTTAAAAGATATTAGATAAAATTGCTATTGTAAGTAAGGAAAAGAAAAGAGTATATTAAGCTATTATACTTGAAGAACCTTAATAATAATAAGTTTAAATAATATAAGGAGATAAATCAGTTGATAGAAAACCTAAAAAGAAATAAGGTGTTGGTTATGGTAGTGATTAAACTGGATAAAATTAAAAATGGAATACTTAAGAATATTTAGATAAAAAGAAAATTAGATCAGAATAGTTAAAATCTCTATTAGAAATTATTAGAAACTTTTTCAGTTATGATAATTGGCATTTAAATTAGGAATTATCATAATAAATTAATGAAATGATATTTGAAAGTGCTTTGTTATCTTTATTAGAAGCTGCATTTAGATCAGGTTCATTATTAGAGATGTCAAAAGATTTTGATCTCAATTTATGTTATCTTCAATTAACTAAAACTTTAGCAAAACATAAAAACTTAACTCCATTATTATTAAAGATACCTACAAATTATATTCCTAAATAAATTGAATCTATAGCCTAATTATTAAGTAACTTAAAAAATATAGCACACATATTCTTATCTTGTTTAAAAACAAATGAATTATCAGAAAAAGATTAAATTTCAAAGTAAATTGCTACAGTTATTATTGAAACAGATACATGTGTTTAGGATGCAATAGAAAGATTTTAATGTGATTAATCAGATAATGAATAAGAAGAAGCAAAAGAACATGAATTATAAGAAATACTCAAATTACCATTAAATGAGGCTTATAAATTATTATTAAAAGACTTAAGATTCGATTACGTTTCATTTAAAGGATAAAATTAATAATATTAACACTATTATGATAAATAGATAACATAAGCTCCAATTCCAACACCAGCAAAATTGATTCGTTTAGCTTAAGAGTTTGCAGATATGTCTAATTCCTTACCTGTCGAACATACAAATTCAATATTTGTTAGAGCTGATAAAGATAGAGTAGATGTAATAAAAGCATTGGTTATGGGAGCATCTGGGACACCATATGCTCATGGAGCCTATTTATTTGATATATATTTTGAAGATCAATATCCTAATACTCCTCCAAAGATGAATCTATCAACTACTGGAGGTGGAAAGATCAGATTTAATCCAAATTTGTATGCATGTGGTAAAGTGTGTTTATCATTATTGGGAACATGGAGAGGACATGCATCTGAAAATTGGGATCCAAAATTATCAACTATTTTATAAGTATTAGTTTCAACTTAAGCTATTATCATGTCTGAGGATGTGTATTTCAATGAACCAGGATTTGAAGGAGAAGCAGGTTAATAAGATGGTGAAATGAAGAATGAGGCTTATTCAAACATAGTTAGATATGGAAATATATAATATGCAATGATTGAGAATATCAAGAACCCTCCTGTAGGATTTGAAACTATTATAAGAAGACATTTTTATTTGAAGAAAATAGAAATTATGGAAGAGGTTAAGAAATGGCTTCAATATGCAGAGTAAAGATAAGCCTTATATATGGGTTTGGTTAGTGATCATAATAGCCAATGGTGTTCAGTATTCAAGAAATCGAAGACTTAATATTTGGAAATGTTAAAGGATGCAACTGCTGAATTAGAAAAGGCTTTAAATAGTTTATAATAGCCAAGTATAAAAGAAATTAGTCCAAAAATAAATTAAAGAAGAAAAAAGAAATAATAAGAAAATTAAGTTAATGTTGAAAAGGTCACTGAAGGTATTCTCAATTTAGAAGAAGTTGATATGACATATGATAAAGCTATTTAAGAATAAGTGATGGATGTGAGTAGTGAATAAGTAAGAGATAGATGGAGTAGATATATAGGAGCTATGGGAATTGAAGCAGTTAAAAAATAAGCAAATGCAAAAGTCTTACTTTGTGGAATAGGTTCTTTAGGTGTTGAGATTGCTAAAAATGTTGTACTCTCTGGAGTTGGAGTTTTTGCTGTTTTTGATAATAAAGTAGTAAATGAAGATGATTTAATTGGACAGTTCTTCCTTTCTTAATCAGATATAGGTAAATAGAGAGCTGTTGCATGTATAGATAAAATCTAATAATTAAATAATTATGTTCGAGTCAAGGTTATAGAAAAGGATGTATAATAGTATATAACTACAGAGAAATTTGATATAGCTATTTTAACAGATGTCTATGATTATAATGAACTTACATGTTGGGATAATCTCTGTAGAACTCATTCTATCAAACTTATCATTGCTAATGCCAATTCTGTTTATGGAAGAATAATAAATGATTTTGGATCTGAGTTCAAAGTTATTGATAAGAATGGTGAGGATATTCCAGATGTATTGATTAAATCCATTTCTGGAGAAGGAGTAGTGGAATTATTGGATGGACAAAGATCTCAATTTGCAGATGGAGATTCAATTATTTTATTACAAGTATAAGGAATGTAATATGGAGATTAATCAATCAACAATCAACTTCTAAAAATCCAAACAATTTCTACTAAGAAATTCAAGATATTAGATGATATTTCTAGATATACTCCTTATATTTCAAGTGGAATTGCTAGACATGTAAAACAAACAATTACATTCACTAATAAACCATTGGATGTCATTATCAATAGTGATGACTGCTTAGATTCCAATTTGAAAGACAGTGATAGCATTAAGCCAGTCGAACAAAATCTATTACATCTGGCTTATAGAACATTATCATACAACAATGGAGATCTTAATAATCTACTTGAATCCATTATTAAGTTCGATAAGGGAAACTTTATTTAATAAAATTCAAAAAATGCAAAGTATTTAGAATACTATCTCAAAATATTTTAGAAGGTTTTCACTTTACCAGCATTCCCTCCTCTAGCTGCTTATCTAGGAGGTTTTGTATCATAAGAAATAATTAAGGCTCTAACTAATAAATTTACTCCAATCAATCAAGCTTATTATTTTGATTGTATAGAAGTGTTACCATTTTAAATATGGGATGAAAAAGGTGATTAGTAGGCTTAGATCCAAATATTAGATTAATTTTAACTAACAGGAAAAGATTCTTTAACTAAATTAATGGGTGAAGATTTATACTAGAAAGTAAAGAGCACTAACTTATTCATGGTTGGTTGTGGTGCTATAGGATGCGAACTACTCAAGAATTTTGCTATGATTAATTTAAGTATTGAAGGATAAATCACTATAACTGATCCTGATCATATTGAAACTTCTAATCTTAATAGATAATTCTTATTTAGAGAAAAACATATTCATAAACCAAAGTCTTAAACTGCAGCTGCAGCAGTCATTCAAATGAATCCTCTTCTTAAAGGTAAATTAGTTGCTAGAATGGATAAAGTACATGAACAAACTGAAAATATTTTCAATGATCAATACTTTGAATAATTATCACTTGTTGCTAATGCTCTTGATAATGTTTAAGCAAGACGATATGTAGATCGTAGATGTGTTAAAGCAAAAATACCATTATTAGAATCTGGTACTTTGGGACCCAAAGGTCATGTGTAATGCATCATACCATTCTAAACAGAATCATATAATAGTATGTAAGATCCTGTAGAAGAAGGAGAGATTCCTTATTGTACTTTAAAAATGTTCCCTGAAGAGACATTCCATTGTATTGAATTTGCTAGAGATAAATTTAATAAACTATTTTCATTGAAACCAAAATTAGCTATGAATATTATAGATAATAAATCATTTAATCCATCAAATCCAGATGAAATTAAATAATTGAAATCTACTATCAAATTACTATAATATGCACCTAATAAATTCGAAGATTGTATTTAATGGGCTAAAAACAAATTTTATAAGTACTTTATAAATGATATAAAATAACTATTGTACACATATCCTATTGATGTCAAAACTAAAGATGGATAACCATTTTGGAAATTACCAAAAAGACCTCCAAAATGTTTAAATTATGATATTGAAAATCTTATCGTAGTTTAATTTATATCAACTATGGCTTTTTTAAGAGCTAAACAATACAATCTACTCACACCAGGTGACTGGAGATAAGAAAAGAATAGAATTGATGTAGCTATATTAGGTTAGAAAATGAAATGTAAGGAATGGATACCTAATGATTCAAAAAAGAAGGAGATGGAAGAATAAGTATTGAAATTAGAAAGCAAATAATAAAAATAATAAGAAGAAGAATAAGAATAAGAAAGTAATATATTTGATGATACATCAAAATTATTAGCATAAATTGAAGATTTAAGATCTGCTGGGTATTTATATATTTATTATTTATAGAATTAAATTATAATCATAAGAATTTGAGAAGGATTGTGATATGAATGGTCACATAGATTTTATTCATTCTCTAGGAAATCTAAGAGCTTTGAATTATGGTCTAGATGAAATGGATTGGATTACTGTGAAATTAAAGGCAGGTAGAATAGTTCCTGCTTTAGCTACTACTACAGCAGTTGTTTCAGGATTATAGACAATTGAATTAGTCAAAATTTTAAAGAATTGCAAACTTGAAAATATGAAAAATGGATTTATTAATTTAGCTGTTCCCATTGTTTAGTTGACTGAACCAATGAAAGCTGAAACAATCAAACTTAATGAAGGAGTGAATGTCACTTTATGGGATAGATGGGATGTGAAGATAGGAAAAGAAATCACCTTATAGAGTTTATTCCAACATTTGAAAGAAACTTATCATTTATAACCCATTAATGTTTTCAAATAATCCTCAGTTATTTATATGCATGACCTTCATAAAGGTTCAGCTGTATTTACTTAGCCAATCATTGAATTATTGGATGTTAAGGTTCAAATTTATTATTTATATTAATAGAATGACTATGTCGATTTAGTAATTAATTTTGTTAAAGATGAATAAATCTTAAAAAATGTACCTGAAGTTAGAGTTTACTTTAATGAATGATGTCTATTATATGTATAAAATTATCAAAAGGAAAATATATATATTAATTTATAAAATTTGTTACAATCCTTAGTTTTTTAATACAAAAAAAATAATAAATAATTTAATGGGAAATTGCTGTGGATAATCTTCAATCATGGAGTGTCACTCACAATAAATTGTTACAAAGGATTAAATGGATGCAGAATAAGCAAATAAAGCTGCTTTAACAATTTAATGTAATCCAACTATTTATCCTTTAAGCATATGTTCGAGGATACTTAACCAGAAAAAAACATAAACATCATCATAAAAATAGTAGTGTAGCCATCACTTGCACTAATGAATACACTTCATCAAAAAAATAAAGCAGATAAGAAATTTAATTGGTAGATCTAAAGAAGTTTAATTCTTTTTCAAAAGAAACTAATGTGCCTTAAAATCTAAAAACTATCGAGAAGGTGCCAGAAACACTTGATAATTTAACCAAATAAGTATAGTTATTCTTTAAATTTGATTTTCTTTTTAGTTGAGGAAAGGCCTACCCGAATTTATTTATGATGCTTGCTAATCAGAACCAGACTTGATAACAAGAGGACCTGTACAAGATGAACATGATCATATATATATAGGTTAATGGAAGGATAAGTATAACCCTTGGCTATTTTAGTGCAAAATGGGGTAAAGGAATTTAATACTGGTCAGATGGTTCATATTATGAAGGATATTGGAAGGATAATAAATAAAATGGAAAGGGAAGACTTATACATGTGGAAGGAGATGTTTATGAAGGAGATTGGAAAGATGACAAAGCCCATGGTTATGTATGTACATTCCTGATTAAATTAGGGTAAATTAACTACTTCAAGTGGTGGATATTATGTAGGTTAATGGATTAATGATAAATAGAATGGTTAAGGCAAAGAACTTTGGCCAGATGGAGCAAGTTTTGAGGGAAATTATGTTGATGGAATTAAATTCGGTTAAGGAGTATATACAGTTGCAAATGGTTCTTAATATGTGGGAGAGTTTGCAGAAAATTGTTTTTGTGGTTATGGAACGTATAAATGCTCAGATGGGACTAAATATATAGGGTATTGGAAATAAAATAAAATGAATGGATAAGGAGTAAAATATTTAAATTTATATAAAGGAATTTTATTGGAATGATGGATCTAAATATGTTGGTGAATTTTTTAATGATTTAAGAGATGGATATGGTACATTTTATTATGGTGATGGAAGAGTAAGTATTCAAAATATCATTTTAGATTTATAAAGGTTAATGGAAAAATGGAAAGAGACATGGTAATGGAACATATATTGGGAAAAACTAAATAGAAAAATAAGGATAATGGTAAAATGGAGTTTTTGTGGTTTGGGAAAAATAATTTACAAATTAATCTGTAGGTGACGATCCTTTATTTCATTGAGTATATTTTTCGAATCTGTATTATGTTATAAATAAATTCCTTTTTTGATTTAATACATTTATAATTCAAAATATTATTATTGAAATAAGTATAAATTTCTTAACTTTTGAATTCAATAGAACGTGTTATTTTGATGCATATATAAAAAATTTCCTATTTTTCATTTTTCAATATATGAAATCTACAAGAGTTGATCAAATAAGAGATAAGGTTTACAATTCTTTTGATGAAAGCTTGCCTGTTTTAATGGATATTTTAAGAATCCCAAGTATGTCAAGAGAATTTGATAATGAATATTTAACTAATGGATTACTCTTAAAGACAGCTCAATCTTTTGAATAATATATAAGACAAGCAAATTTAAAGAGTATTTACAAATATCAAATATAGATGCCTAAATTTAACTTTATAATGATGAAGGTTTTTCTCCATTTTTGTTCGTTGAGGTTGAAGGCTCTGATGGAATGACAGATGGTACTGTTTTATTTTATGGACACATGGATAAGCAACCACCATTTACAGGATGGAGAGAGGGGATATCAGCTTATGATCCAAAAATAATTGATGATAAACTTTATGGACGAGGAGGAGCAGATGATGGATATGCAATTATGGCATCTGTTATTGCTATTAAAACTATACAAGAGCTCGGGCTAAAACATCCTAGAATAATAATGGCATTTGAAGCAGATGAAGAAAGTGGATCTCAACATATATATCATTATTTAGACAAATTAAAAGAAAAAATTGGTTAAGTGGATTTAGTGATTGCTTTGGATGCAAGTTGTGGGAGCTATGATAGACTATGGGTTACAACAACATTGAGAGGTATAGTTGTGGGTACTGTTACAGTTTAAGTATTGAATGAAGGAATTCACTCAGGTGAATCTGGAATAATTCCATCCTCTTTTAGAATTTTCAGATAACTTTTAAATAGAATTGATAATCCATAAACTGGAGATGTGGTTGATGATTTTCAAGTTATCATACCTGGCAAGAGATATTTAGAAACTCAAAAAACTGCAGAAGTTTTTAAAGAAGTGATTACTAAATTTCCATTTCATTAAAATACTTAACCTGTTTTTCAAGATCGTTTCCTAGTTTACTTAAATAAAATATGGAGAGCCTAATTATCAGTTACTGGTGGAGATGATATACCTAATTGTAATCAAGCTGGAAATGTTATAACACCTAAAACTACTCTAAAATTATCTTTAAGATTACCTCCTACTAAAAATCACTTAGAAGCTAAAGAAAGCTTTGTTAAATTAGTATATTTTTATAATATATTTTAAGTTAACGACTAATGTTCCATATAATGCATCTGTTACAATCAGTGGTTTGAGATCAGGACCTGGATTTAATGCATTAGATAATCAGCCCTATTTAGATTCAATAATTAATTAAGCATCCTTAAATTATTATGGAAATGAAGCAACCACATTTGGAGATGGAGGAGCTATTTATTTAATGACTCATTTATAATTAATACATCCTAAAGCTTCATTTTTAATTATCGGGGTATTAGGGACAGGTGCTAATGAACATGGTCCAAACGAATGTTTAGATTTACCCAACGTTAGAAAATTAATAAGTTGCATAACTGAAATCATATCAGAAGTATAACCTCATATAAAAAAATGAAAGTCATATTTATAATCTATAATTTCATCTTTAAGATAAAATATACAAAATATTTAACTTCCTTAAGTCCATAAATTTTCTACTCTTAATTAACAACTAAATCTACTTTTAATATTCTTTATTTGTTTAATTTATTTCGAAATTTATTCTTTTAATTAATTTTACAATTAAAATTTTATATTCACAAAGATTTTCTTAATTCATATTCATTTAAATAGAATAGAGTGTTATTAAATTATGAAAGCATTTAAAAAAATCTAATTGGATGAATGTTTTGTACAAAAATTGAACTAAAAAAGATATGATCATATTTGATATTTAAATAGTAATAATAAATGGTTTTTTTAATGATACTTCACTCTTAAATCAGATTATTAATGAATAAATAAGTTAAGAAAATTTTATGTTGTGAATAATTATCATTATCAGAAGTAGAAAAAATTAGTTAATCGTTTTTAATAATTTATCGATAATTAATAATACACATAATCATTGAATATTATTTATAATGTAAAACTTAATTATTTCAATTAATTTATTTTATAAAATAATGACTTTAAATTTTATATTGAAATATGAAAATTTTTATTTTCATAAACTGTTAAAGCTAAACTCAAATTTTTTGTTAAAACTATTCTTATTGAGTCGTTAATAATATTTGCTTGTGTTTGAATAATAGAATGTTCTCTTTCTTTTGATCCTAAACTTAAATTTATTGAACTTAATCATAATTTTAATTCACAATTCATCATTCTCATTTTTTGAAGGCATTTCTAGCTTCCAAATTTGAATTTTTGATTATTATGTTCTAACAATATTAAATATACCTTATTTCAAGGATTACTCTAAAAAAAAAAATACATATATCCACCAAACTTCTTTTTATATTGTTAATTTTTTATAAATTTTGCTAGAAGTTCTGCAGACTTGAGTTGAATATATATATATTCATAATTATGCTTTGGATGATCAGCAATTTTTTTATTGCTTAAGTTTTGAATTAAGATTTTCAAGGACATAATTATAAATCCAGGTTAGATGTTACATATAGATCTTACATTTCACAAAATGAATATGATATTCCCTCCTGGTTGAGTATTAGATCCATATTTATTCATTGTATTCTCATAAATAACAGCCTTTAATTGATCATAAGTTAAAAGACAGGTCTTAAACTCTAAAAACAATATTTAATCATATTCTTAAATCAATGTAATACATAAATACCAATTACAATTGAAAAATACCGTTAGAAAAGGATGAAGTGATACAGAAACTTTTATGTGTTAATTTAATTAATGATGACGATTATAAAAAAATGGTTAAGAATCTTAAATTAATTCAAATAATTTTTAGATTATCAAATATTTAATAATTAAAATAAAAAAATAAATTTAAACTTCAAATGAAGAGAACTTTATTCATTATAGTCTTAATAAATATTGCAACTTGCCAAGTAGTAAGTAAAACTGAAGCTTGTACTTGTGCGTAGTTGTTAATTGCTTCGGATTGTAATCTAAACTATTTATGCACATGGAATCAAACAAAATTAGCATGTGAAGTATCATAAAGTACAGGAACAGAAACTACTATTAAGAAGTATGGAAAATCACTGTATTGTGAAGGATAAGGACAAAATGATTGTCTTAATAAGAATGAATGTGCATGGATTGATAATAAGTGTACATTCTTTACAAGTTGCACACCTTTTCAAAAGACAAATAAAGATGAATGTTAAGCACAATCAAAAAGATGTACATCAGATGGATATACTTGTGTAGAAATTGATTTATGTTCAACTTATCTCACCTCAAATTCCTGTTATTAAAGTAGGACAAATTACTGTTTTTGGGACGAAATAACAAAGAAATGTTCAGATGTAACTGAATGTAGTTAATTGCCATCTACTCTAACAAAAGATTCTGAATGTAGGTCATAATTAAAGTATGAATGTACAGCTAAAACTGGAGGAGGATGTTTAGAATCTGGTACTAATTGTGAAGATTAAATATCAGAAGTAGGTTGTGTAACTAATAAGGCAAGAACAGTTAATTGTTTTTGGGGAAATAATAAATGCTATGAAAAGAAATGTGAGTTTGCATTAACATCTAATAGAACTCATGATGATTGCTAAAAGTTTTTTAATAAATGTACAGCAAAAGAAAATGGTGGATGTGTTGATATAAAAACATGTTCAGATGGAAGGATAAGCGAGGGTTGCAAGATTGATAGTACAGGAAAGGAATGTTATTGGTCATCAATAGAGAATAAATGTAAAGATAAACTTTGTATAAATGCACCTAACACATTGAAATCAAATTCTGAATGTCAAAAATAATTATTACCTTCATGTATAACAAATGGTGCAGGATGTGTTGATGATATAAGTTGTGCAAGTTCTATTGTTCCTGATTAATGTGGTATTGATAGATTTAATAATAAATAATGTATATGGAATGGTACATGCAAAGACAAAACATGTGAAAATGCAGGAAGTGAAATTATTGGTCATGAATAATGTTCAACTTACTCAATAAAGTGTACTGGCAAAGCTAATAATGTTGCAGGATGTTAAAATAGAACTTGTGAAAATGCCCCAAATACAATTACTACAAATTCTGGATGTGAAGAATATCTTTCAAATAAGAATTGCATCACCAAAAAAGATGGTGGATGTGTTACTAATACTACTTGTTCAACCATTTTAATAAAGGATGCTTGCTTTAAAGATATTAATGGCAAAGATTGCTATTGGGATATTTTAGGAGATAAATGTTTAGATAAGACATGTGCAAGTTTACCATCTAGATTTAATACTCATTCTTTATGTAATGAACAAATTAATACTTGTACTGTTAACTCATCTGGTACTTGTGTTGATTTAATTTGTGAAAATATTATTGATAAGGATAATTGCATAAAAAATAAGGATGGTGGTGAATGTATTTACTATGAATCTTGTTACTAAAAATAATGTAATTCTGCTCCATAAACATACATAACTCATGCAGAATGCTAAGAATATCTAAAGAAATGTACTTTATCAAACACAAAGAAAGGATGTATGGATATACCATTAACATGTTCAGCATTAACTATTAAAGAAAATTGTGAGTTGAAATCTAATGGTGGTAGATGTGGTTGGAATGGATTATCTTGTATTGATTTTACTTGCTCTACTGCTCCAATTAAGACTGATGATGTTTATACAGTAGCTCTATGTGAGGCATATAAACAGAAATCTAATTGTGTACCTAATTTAAGTAAGAAAGGATGTATGGAGCTAGTTATTTAATGTGAGTTACGTAAAATCGTAGAATAATGTGATGTTGTAGGTACAAAAAGAAATGGAGGTAAGACATGTCTCTGGGATGGATAAAATTGTTATGAGAAAACATGTGCTAATGCTACAAGAGTAGGCTATGCAAATAGTGTAGTAGTATTAGATGATAAAGTAAGCCATGATGATTGTCAAAATTGGTTAAAGGATAAAGATGATAATCCTCTTTGTATTGTTGGAAAATCAAATAAGGTATGTGCAGTATATCCAACTAATTGTAATGGTTTAGGTGAGAATTCCTGTTTACCTAATGTTCTAAAAATTCCTAATACAGATCCTATATAATATTTAAATTGCTATTGGAATACTATATAACAATTATGTGTAGATGGAGATGTATGTGCAAATTTGGATAAATCCACTCATGATGGTTGTTCAAATGCATCCAATAATAAATGTACAATCAGTGCTGATGGAACCAAATGCGTTGATAGATAAGTTTGTAATTAATATTCTAAAAAAATCTAATGTGTAAAAGATAAATATGATTTTCCATGCAAATGGGATGGGAATGATAATGATACTAATAAGTGTATTAATTAAGAATGTTAGTAACCACAATGTGAAATTAAAAAAAACACTTGTGCTGAATATAAATATAGAGAATCATGTTTGGGAGGAATTCTAGGTAATAAATTATAATGTAAATGGAATGAAGATACTAAAAGCTGCGTATATGCATCAATAAATTGTTCAGAGTTTTAGGAGTAAGCTTGCTCGGAACAAATTGTTGATGGAGTATAATAATGTTTTTGGAAAGGCTATCATGATTTTTTGAATAAAGGAGTTTGTGAGGATGCTATATTTGATTGTACAAAAGTAAAGGGTTCTGGTCTAACTATTAACTATTGTTATAATTTGAATAGTAAGTGTTCAGTCAATAAAACTGGTGATTCTTGCATTTTTGGAAAATATGAGTGTGAAGATTATACTTTGCTTAATGACTGTGCTCGGGTAATATCTACCGGTCTTCAAACATGCTATGTGCAGGATAACACTTGTAAGAAACTGTTTTTAGAGTGCGATGAAATTAATGGAAAAGATGATGAAGAATGTCAAGCAATTTCAAGCATATGCATATATAAAGGAGATGGTAAGTGCAAACCTAATGCTTCAATTATTAATGGAACGCATACTTATGATACATGCAAAGAGATAGATCGAAAATTGAGTGTTAAAAATGATGGAACCGGATGTTATTACGTAGATTAGAATTGTTCTAACTTACCAATCACTACATGCACATAGGGATTAGATGGACAATGTCTTATCGAGAATTCTCTTTGTGTGGCTGGGTTTATAAGTGATTGTGAGAGCCTTATAATGTAATCATAAGGATCTGCAAAATTATCTCATTGGTAATGTTCTTATATCAGTAATTTAAAATGTGGAGTGTATTACGATTAATCAAAGTGTAGAAACATTAGGAATTAATGTTCCGATTATAGCACTAATAATTAGAACCTTAACGAATGTTATTTTTAAACAATATAATACTAGATATGCATATTAAATGCATCTAAAGATACTTGTATAGAATATGACAGATCTACTAGTAAATGTTCAGATATTATTTTAGGAGGTGAAATTAACTAAACTCATGAAATGTGCTAATTTTACAGTAACTAATGTACAGCTACAAACCCTCCCAGTAATGCATGCACAGATTATATAAGATGTAAAGAGTACAAAGGAATTTATACATTCTCTAATTGTTACCAATTTGATATAAAATGTTCTGTAAATTTTGATAACACTGCCTGCATAGAAAAAAAAGACTATTGTAAAGATTATGATTTAAAACAAAATTGTGCATATGCACTAATTGAAGGACCATGTGTTTGGGATGAAATCCAAAAATGTATTTAAAAATCTTGCAGTTGGATAACTGATCTTACAAGTCCAAGTGCAGAATAATGCTAAGCAAAATAATTAAGTTGTAATCTTCCAGCTGAATAACAAGGGGAAGAAGCTTGCATAAAGAGAGGACCTTGCTCAAGTTACACAGAATCAACTTCATGCATCGTGAGTAATATAGGATAAAAATGTATTTGGAATTCTATATCCAAAAAATGTTTTGATAGAACCTGTGCTAATGCTGATTCTACTTATGTAAATCATATTAAATGTTAAGAGGTAGGAAACTGTACAGTTAAAGTAGGAGCGAATGGAACAACTTTGGAAGGATGCATAAATTTGGATGCTTGTATAAATTATAAAGTAGAAGAATAATGTAAGATAAATACCTAAAAGAAAGAATGTGTATGGAGTTTAGCTGAAACACCCAATAAATGTGTTGATAAATCTTGTAGATCTGCTGATCCTAATTAATACACTAATTTTGAATAATGCTAAAATTATTATAAAATTGGAGAATGTACATTAGGAGCTAAAAAGGAAGCTGATGGAACATACAAAGAATTTGGATGTATGCCAATTGCATTATGTACAGAATATTATACTTCTGGATAATGCAAAATAAGTAAGAATAAGGATGATGATGATAATTTTTTAAATTGCTATTGGAATGAAACAACTAAAAAATGTGGAGATGCAAGTTGTGCATAAGCTGATGATACATTCACTACACATGATGCTTGCGTATCATATGGTAATGCTGCCAATCTAAAATGTACAATTGATAGGGATGAGAAAGGATGTGTTCCTATTCCTAATACATGTGAAGAAATGTCAAAAGTACAATGTGTTGATGAAGATGCTAAATAGAATAAATGCATTTGGTTGGAAAGTAATGGATCTGGATAATGTGTTCAAAGAACTTGTTAAAATGCTGTTAATCCAACAAGTTCTTCTGATTGTTAATCACACCTTTATTATTGTACAATGATAGATACAGGAAATAAATGCAAAACTAAAAGTTGTGAAGATTATTATTTCACTGAAGATTCAGCTTGTGCTGCAATCTTTAAAAATTCTAAGTGTACAACAAATGGTAAATTTTGTGTTAATAGAGGATCGTGTACAATAGTGTAAAATTAAAATGGATGTACATCAGATTCCAGTGGCAATCCTTGTGAATGGATTGTTCCTGAAGATCCAAATAAAATAGCTTATTGTGTTTTGAAGACATGTACTACAGCTCCAAAAACATTGGTATCTGAGAGTTAATGCTTACAATACTTCACTCCAAAATCAGGAGTTACTTGCAATACTCAATAAGGTGGAGGTTGTATTGAAAGAAGTACTTGCTCTGCTGCTAAAGGTGAAGCTGCTTGTAATACTGATGCAAATGGATAAATTTGTGCTTGGGATTCAGAAACATTTATTTGTAGAAATTAGGAATGTAAGGATATTTCTGGTTCTACTCATTAAACTTGTTAAAATCCAAGTGATAAAAACTTAAAAGGTAAATGTACAGCTGGTAAAAGTAGTAGATGTGCTCCAATTTAAAATTGTACATCAACTACTTTTCAAGCAGCTTGTGTTGTAGGAACTGATGGACCATGTATTTGGTTGCCTGATTATCCTAATGATGATAATACTAAAGGTGCATGTTTCCGTTATGATTCATGTAAAAGCCTTTATTGGACTTAAGATTCATTATGTAAATATATATCAGATAAATGTACTACTGATGGAACATCATGTATTGGTATTACATCATGTGATAAAACAAATGTAAATGGAGGATGTGTGACTGGTACAGATGGTACTTGTATTACAATAGTCTAATCCCTAGGATCTGCCAATAAATCTTGTACTAAATATGTCAGTTGTACTTTAGCCTTATTTAAAACTCATTCAGAATGCTAAGCTGCTAATCCTAACTGTACTACAAATGGAACAACATCTTGTATTGAATTAGGTTAATGTGCAATTTATGTTAAAGATGCTTGCCATTTTAATAAAGTTGGTAGAGTAACTAATTTAATGAAATAAATAACTTCAACAGGCAAATGTAATTGGGATCAAACAATTAATTCTTGTAGAGATGAAAACTGTATTGATTTCTAAGGAGCAACTCATTAGGCTTGTTCTTCTTAATTAATTACATGTACAACTGATGGTACAAAATGTATCGTTAAAGATTCATGTACTTAATACACAAAAAACAATACCTGTACCAATGCATTGGGAACTGAAGGTTTGTGTACTTGGGTTTAAAGTACAAATACTTGTAGGGTTAAGACATGTGATGATATTACTGGTGGTACTACTTTAATGGCTTGTAGTATTGTGAATAATTGTATTACTGATGGAACTAAATGTATCCTTAGAAGTACCTGCGATAAATATACAACCAAAATTGGATGTTATTCTAAAGGAACTGATGGATTTTGTATTTGGACTGAAACTAAAATTGGAAATACAACAACAGGAAAATGTTCATTAATGAGAAATTGTGCAAGTGCTGCTAAAGATTAAGATGCATGTTAATAAGCATCAGATAGATGTAAATGGACTGCTGCTACTACAACTACAAGTAGCTCTTGTGTTGATCATACTTGTGAATCTTTTGGTACTTAATCTGGTAGATGTTTATATTTCCCTAGTTGGGATTCATCTAAGTTAAATATTTGCCGTAATGTGAATGGTAAATGTACAGCCACTGATCCCAAAGCCTTACTTGATACAGAATGTTACAATTTATCAGCTTACATGTATTCATGGAATTCCAAAACTAACTCATGTTCTTAATGTTAAATTGTTATGACTCCTAACAATTCTACAATAGGAAATGATTTAAATTAAACTGATGATTCAGGTTATGTTTTAAGTTTAACAGTCTTGATAGGATACTTATTGTATTGAAAAATAGAAGAAGAGTTGAAATGATTCATTAAATTTATTAAGGAAAATTCATAATAAATTATTCATTAATTTTCAATATATTTAAATGATAATGATAAATCTTCAAACCCTAACATTAACTTGTTTCCATATATACATAAAATATACTAAAGGGTTATATAGACTAATTTCATATAATTAAATATAAGTTTATCGTTAATAAAATATTATTTTAATTTCAACAATTTTTATTAATATATATTACAATTATATAATTTTTTCAAAATTTGAAATTTTGAGTTCTTTCTTGATACGCATATTAAAATTGCAAAAATTTTGAATAAAATAATATTAACAAGCAGAATGATAAAATTTTAAATATTCTGTCTTATTAGATATAAGCATTTTTAGTTATAAGATATACTGCAATGTCTAAAATATTAAAACCAGTATGACTAAGATTAATTTATAAATGATTTAAATTAATAATCTTATTTATCTTTTTTAGTCCCTAACTAAGACATAATTAAATATATTTGATTTCTTTTGCTTTAATACTTATTTTGCATTTTATATGATACAAAAGAAACTTTAATAAAAATAAATAAATAAATTTAAAATTTGTAATTTATAAAAATAAATACAATTCAAAATCATCTAATGTTTTTATTATTCATCCTATAAGACTATTTCATAATGATAAGATTAATGAAAATCATACTTAATATTTATTCTTGAAAAATATGTCTAAATAATAAATTATAATATTTAATCATTCTCATCTTAGTCAAAAATAATTATTTCTTCCATGTTAATTTATTATTAATTTTATGCAGAATTTTTTATATTCCACAAGTCCTAATTGTAATTTTTAATTAATATAAGACTGAAAAATTAAATTGATCAGAATGACCCAAATATATGGATTTTTTAAATATGGAATTGAGAAAAAAATGATATTAAAAAAAATAAATTTATGAATCAAGATAGCAATCCATAAAATTAGGAATCATAAGAAGAATGGTTATAGAAAGCAAAAGATCATTTTGAAAAATCTCAGGTAGTTAAATATTTTTTATCCAGACCTTACAATAAAATCAAAAGATTGATGAAGCTCTTAATGAAGTTAATGAAGCCTTAAAATTAAATACTAATTATTCATAAGCCTTTAATTTAAAAGGTAACAATAACTAAATACATTATATTAGGTGAGTTATTAATAAAAAAAGGAGATCTGAAAGAGGCATAAGAGGAATTAAATAAGGCTATTTAACTAAATCCTCAACTAATAGAGGCTTATTATAACAGATGTATCTTGCCATGTCATTTTAGCTCTTATCCATAGAAAAAACAAAATTTACAATTTGGCTATCAATGATGCTGAAATGTGTTTTCAATTAGATCCATAATTTGTTAAAAGTATTAACTTAAAGGGTATAATTATTTTGAGCCATTATAGGTTTAATTATGAAAGAACAAGGCAGTTTATAAGAAGCTCTTGTTGTATTTTAGAAAACTTTGGAGTTAGACAAAATGAATTATCCTGCCCACTATTAAAGAGGTATTAGAGATATCATGTATAATTAGGTTTGATCCTTCGAACATTAGGAAAGCATGAAGAAGCTTTATTAGAACTTAATTAGGCAATTGAAACAAGGCCAACTTCTAGTGAAGCTTTTCTTGAAAGAGGAGAATTGTTTTAAGATATGAAAAGGAAATCAGATGCTTTGGAAGATTTTAATAAATCAATTGAAATTGATCCAAAAAGAGCTTACTCTTATTAATGTAGAGGTATTTTATAATAGTAATGAAAGGAATACTTTTAAAATAAATGGAGAAATATTAAGAGGCACTTTTAGATTATAATTAAGCCATTTTATTAAATCCAAAAGTAGCCAATTATTATGTTAATAGAGGTATTAAATTTTTTTAAAGAAAGGAATCTTATTTAAAGATACGAATGAAAAAGAAAAGGCTCTTGAAGAATTTAATTTAGCTTTAGAGATTAACCCTAAATTTGTCAAGGCATATAAAAATAGAGGTAATTTGATTTTCTATTTGTAGCCATTCTTTATAAAGAAATTAATCAAAATGAAAAGGCTTTGAATGATTACAATAAAATCTTAGAATTAAACCCTAAAGATGTCAATGTTTATATTTATAGAGGTAAGAGATTAATTTTAATTAAAGGAAATTTACTAAAATATCTTGGATAGAATGAGTAAGCTCTTTAAGATTATACAAAAGCTATTGAAATTAATCCTAATGAAACTGAGAATTATTGCAAAAGAGGTATATATTTATAAAATAGAAAAGCTAATATGTATAAAGAGTTAGGCTAGAATGATTTAGCAATGAAAGATTATGATAAAATTTTAGAGATTGCTCCAAAAAATTCAGATGGTTATTGGAAGAAAGGTATAAATATTCATTATGTAAGCTATCTTTTTAGAAGAATTGAAGTAAAATGAACTTGCCATAACAGTATTGAATTAATATATAGAATTAAATCCATTAGATGAGAATGCTTATATGAAAAGATGTAGATATTTTATAGTATATAAAATTAGCTGATCTTTATAAATTGATCGATAAACTTGATTAGGCTTTAAATGATTAATCAAAAATTATAGAAATAAATCCAACCAATATAATTGCTTTAAAGAATAGAGGTTTCAAGTCTTATATATATTTCTGTAGCCTTAATTTTCAAGTAAATGAATGAATTCGAAAAAGCATTATAAGATTTAAATAGAATCTTAGAAATTCATCCAAATCATATTAATACCATTAATATCAGAGGTAAATGTCATTATTAAATTTAGGAAATTTGTACAAAGATCTAAATTAGAATGATTTAGCTTTTTAAGATTTTAATAAAATAATAGAAATTGATCCAAGCATTTACCTTGCCTATTATAATCGTGGTAAAATGTAAAAATATTTTTAAAAGCTAAAATTTATTAAAGATATTAAAAGAATGATTTGGCACTTCAAGATTTAAATAAATCAATAGAATTAAACCTAGAAGTCACATTTACTCTTAATGAAAGAGGTATAATTGTAATCTATTATAGGCAACCATTTTATTAATATGAACTAAAAGGACTTGGCATTAAATGATTATAATAAGGCTCTTGAAATAAACCCAAAATGTATTGACGCCTATATTAACAAAGGTAATTAATTATGATATTCATACTTAGGCAATTTATTGAAATCTTTAGATTAATACGAATAAGCTCTTGAGAATTTCAATAAAGCTTTAGAAATTAATCAAAATAGTTTTGTTGTTTATCATAATAGAGGTATATTATTGTTATCCAATTATATTAAGCTTTACTGTGGACTAAAATGAATGAAAAAGAAAAAGCACTTGCTGATTATGATAAAGCTATTCAATCCAATCCTAAAAGTGCAACTACATATTCTTCAAGAGGATAATTGTTATAATAATAAATGAATGATAAAGATAGAGCTCTAGAAGACTACAATAAATCTTTACAAATCAATCCAAAATAAGGTGATATTCTAATAATTCGAGGTAAGCAATATATTTTATATAATAAGGAAATTTATATAGAGAAAAAAAATTAATATCTTAAGCTATTTAAGATTATTCAGATGCTATTCTGATTAACCCTAATTAAACTGATTATTATCTATGTAGAGGTAATTATCATTTTGATATTTAGGTAACATTTTACAAGATCCAGTGAAGGACTACCAAAAGGCATTATAAGATTATAATAAAGCAATTGAAATTGATCCAAATTATTTTAATGGATTTTATTAGAGAGGTATTATCCATTCTTAATGAAGCATTGTGTTACAGATGTATTAACAAAAATGACTTCGCAATTGATGATTGTAACAAATGTATTGAAATAAATCCAAAAAACGAACTTCCTTATATTCTTAAGGGTATTATAGATATGCTTATATAAGGTTTAATATTGAAAGAAATGAATAAACCAGAATTGGCGATTATAGAATACAATACAGCTTTATAGATTAATCCAAATAATTAAAATACAATTATAAAGAGAGGTATCAAATATATTACAACAAATTAAGGAGATGCCTATAATTTAATGAAAAATCAATAATTAGCTTTAAATGACTTCACAAAGGCTATAGAAATAAGTCCAAATGAATCATTCGCTTATTCTAGTAGAGGTTATTGAATTTATAAAATTTTAGCCAATCTATTGCTGAGTATGGATTAAAAGGAAGCAGCTTTATAGGATTATAATAAAGCAATAGAATTGAATCCTACAAATGCAACCCTATATTATAATCGAGGTAGAATTGAATATATTTAAAGCCATCTTTTACATTAACAATAAAAAGAAGGGATTGTCACTTCAAGATTACAATAAAACTCTCGAAATAGATCCTAATTACAGTTTAGCTTATAATAATAGAGGTATATTTATCATATAAGAGTAGGCCTTTTACTTTAGAGTATTGGTAAGAAAGATGAAGCTTTATAAGATTTTTTAAATGCAATTAGAATATGTCCTGATAATCCATTATTTTTGGTAAACACAGGAGATCGATATTATTCAGATTAACAATTTGAATTAGCTACTCAATATTATAAATAAGCATAATATTAAATAGAAAATTTAACCGATTAAAGGAAAAATGAATTAAGATTGAATTAGGGAAATTTAAATTTTATTTAAACAAAAGTTAAATTAATTACTAAGATTGAAAATGAAATTCAAAAAATGAAAAAATAAATAGAAGAATTACCTAAAACAAATACAAATACTTAATAGATTTAAGAATATTTAGAAAAAGTAACATGTATTGAAAGGTCTGTATCATATTCTGTTTAACCTATAAATCAGGATTCACAATCTGATGCACAATAAGCGATGATTTCATATTTTTCATAGATGGAATAATAATTGAAAGAACTTTAAAACAAAGTAAATGCATAAGATAAAGTTATTAATCAATTAGTCTAATAAGATTCATTTAAAATTGAATAGGAAATGAATCAAATAAAATAACCTTAAAATAAACATCAATTAACTTATTTCAGATCTTTATTTTGGCATTTATATTATTATTTACATGCTATGTCTGAGATATCTACAAATTTGTTTTAAGTTAATACAAATGCTATGATAGAAAGTACATCTGAAAAAGTATTAAATATTGTCAAAAAAGCATTTAATGTTGGAACAAAAGTATTAGAAAAAGTACATATTGCTGAACATGCATTCCATATTATTAATGAAGCATTGAATATTGTAGTAGATTATAAAAGAGAGGAAAAGTTTAAAAAAAGATTAATGCTCTTAACTAACATATTGAAATTATTTGCAATTACTCCTTCAGAATTAGAAAGAGAAGTCTAATTTACTGCTATTGAATTAGGCAGAACTTAATAACCTGGATTGAAAGAGATACAAAATTCAAAATTTATTGAATTTATTAAAAAATTATCTGAGGAAGAAAGTATTTCAGAAGAGAGTAGTAAAGACATCTATTGGAAAAAGGGTATTGAAGATACTTTGATTATATTAAAATATTTAGAGAAGTTTAATCAGAAAATTATAAAAGAGGATCAAAATAAAAAATTAAGAGAAGTATTTTTGGATGCTATTAAATAAAACATATCTGAGAAGAGCAATAAAAAACAAAAAGATTAATCAAAAACTTAATCAAAATAAAACAAACCTAAAAAGGAGAATTAAGAATAATGTAATATTTAATGATACAATAAAACATTATTCATAATAATATATATATTTAAAAATATTAATAAATTATCAATTCTAAAATTAAATATGTTATAAATTTCATCATTTATTATTGTGTTAGAATTTAAATAAGGTATTCATCTTATAATTTAAGAATAGTTTATTTGGGATAATTAGTTTATAAACATAAAAATAACTATTATGCCTATTAGATATAATTATTGATTATATAGTTTAATGTGAATTGTTTTTTCCTATTTATAGATATTATATCATCTTAAAACTTAATTTTTCCTTATTTTTTCTTTTTTGAATATATTTGATAACATTAAAATGCGTTATATTCATCCCACTTATTAATTATAAATTCATCTTCATTAAAGTATCCCATCTCTAAATTATCAATTAGTATATTTCTATCTATTTTTCAGCCTATTATATTGATTGATTCTCTAAAGAAGACCCATCAATTAATTAAGAATTCAGATTTCAAAAATAAATTTTATTTAGATATAACTTTGGGACAACTCTAAATATGATATTTTGGCAATAAAAAATATAAAGGATTAACTAATATGAATAATAATAACATAGTCTACAGTATTTTTGAAATGAACATTGTAAAAATTAATAGAAAAAGATATTGAAATGAAGCAAAAACGATATTGATATTTTCGATACACATTTATTAATATTCTTATTGATATATTATCTATTATTGATTTTATTAGGTAATTAAACCAGAGAAAGTGTTTAATCAGTGATTATAAATCTATATTAAATTGATAAAATTTAAGAAATAGATTAAATGCAAATATGCATATGAGAAAAAAAGAAATATTGATATCTAATTAATAGATTAATTCTTGAATAACTAATCATTTCTTGGCTTATTTCTTGGGAGCCTTCTTTGTGGCTTTTTTAGTAGCTTTCTTTGGTTTAGTTGCTTGCTTTCCTTATTTTTTGGGTGTTGTTGCAGCAACTGGTGTTGCAGTGGTAGGTGCAGGTGGTGTAGTTGTCACTGGGGCTGGTGCTGGAGTAGCATCAGTGGTCTTTTTAGTTACTTTCTTAACATTCTTTGTAGCTTCTACAATAAATTAAATAATTGACTTGGTGTTCCAGCTTTCTTAGCTCCTTTATTTCCCTTTGTTGCTCCTTTTGCCATTTTTATTATTTTTTTCTTATTTTATTATTAATTTTTTTGTTATAAGCTTTAAATTCGAATTATTAAAATTTCGTTAATTTCATTGGTTTATTTGTGATATTTTTGGATAATGATATTGCATATCTTTAATTTACAAATATCCAATTCTGCACATCCTCTTCCTGGTAGTTTATTTTAAACATCATTTAATTTCAAAATTTCCCCTACTAGAGCACCTCAAAATGTAAATTATTTTCCTTAATTTGTCAATTTAAAGCATGAAATCATTATGAAAGACCTTAACATAAGAGTAATCTTATGTTAATATACTAAAATTAATCCATTTCAAATCTTTAAACAAAGTTTGAAGTGGAATTTTTTAAATATTTGTTTATACAAAAAAAGTAATAATAATTTTATTTTTTTAATTTTTGAATGAAATTAATTTAATTATTTAATAAATTATTATCAACTTATTTTCATACTCCTTCTTATTACTAAGAACCTTTCTACAGCTTCAGCTAAGTCTGGTCCACCACATTCAAGTACTGCATTAATAACATCAGCCATATTCTATTTGCCATTTAAAACAGCTTTTTCAAGTTATAAGATTTCTTTTTCAAGAGATTATTATCTTTATTCGCTCAATTCAACAATGTTCTTTCTCTTAATATCATATTGATTACTTTATTGATGCCTAATTATTTCTATAAACTCTCAAGCTTGACTTAATCCTTTCTATTTTAATGGACTAAATGTAAATTAAATTTATAATATACCCAAAGTTTAATTTTCTTATTTAAGACTTGCATTTAGAGTAGAATATTCATTGATAAGATATGTCAAATCAAAATTCTACTTATCTGGTGATTATAAGTATAAATTGATTTAAGTTTTTAATTTTTCAATTTCTAAGGCCCTACTACTACATTCATTATTTACTTTGACTTTATTTCTTAATTACTTTCAATTAATTTTTATTTTAACTAATTAATTTCCAATTCTAATTTTAAATTAATTTATTGTAATTCCTCTGAACATTTGGATTATTATTTTCCTCCTTTTTCTTAAAATAGTAGATTTTATTTTGTTTATTTTAATTCCTAATAATAATTATCAATTTCAATTCTTTAATTTTTTATGATATTCTTCATTTAATCTAAATTATGATTATTATATTCATTTTCTTAATTTAAATGATTCTATAGATTTATATCTTAAAATATTGTTTAATTATTTTATTAATTAAGTAAATCTTATTCTAAAGTATTAATTTTATATTATTTATCTTAAATATCCTTTAAGAGATCATTATATTCAATATTTTTATTAATAACTTCTTTTTTAATTTATTCTAGATCCATTTATAATTAAATATTTTCTCTTTTTGTTATTTCTAATTCTATTTTCTATAATTCAGTTTCCTTCTTACTAAATTCAATCTCTTTTTACTTCTATTCTAATTCTTTTTTAATAAATTCATATTCTTTATTCATAATAAATGTATTATTTGAACTATCATAATTTTTAATTTAGACTTTCTTATATTCATTTCTAAGTGTTGTATATGTTTCTGATAATAAATTAAATGTTGCTTCACTTTTTATTAATTGATCTTTCAATTCTTAATTCTCTAATGATAACTTTTATATCTAATTTTTCATTAATTGATTTTCATTTAATAATTACTAAATTGATATTTATTAACACTCTTTTTCTATTTATTAATCTATTTCTAATTATCTACTTGTAAAGAATCCAGGTTCTAAATGTTTTTAACCATATTTCCCTTAATCTTCTGTTACTACTGCTTTTTTACAAATAACTTTTTATTTTGTTATTCCTTTATTTACATCATATTCTTCATTCTAATGACTATGAATTCTAATTTTTACTCCCTAATCATTAGGACTTTTCTATAGAATCCTTAATCCTTATTCTTTCACATTTGTTTTAGAATCGCTATAAGTTTATCTTGTATTAATTTATTTTTTATAATGTTCTAATAATCCAGAAGACTTTTAAATTTTTTACTTTTTTGCAAATTTATTATCCTTAGGTGTTTAAAATCTTTGAGAATTTGCTGTTTCGAGATTTGCTTTTGGATTTTCTTCTATTTTTTCATCTTCCAATTATTTCTTTTATTCTATGGATTTATTATCAATCTATTCTTATTTATTTTCTAAAAAATAGTTCTATTCAGAACAGATTTTATTCATTGTTCTATTTTCAATTTTATGATATATCTCTATTGGTACTCTATTTGCTGTTTATTAAGATAATTTTATAAATAATGGTTATTCTCTTATGGGATTAATCTATTGAATTTCTTTAGTTTGTATTTATTCCAATTAGTTCCAACCTAAACTCATCTCAACATAAGCTTCCTGATCATACTTACTCTATATTGTAATATTGTCTATAATAACAGGAAGACTATTTTCAATGTAAAATCCTAAATTAATAGTGGCTTCTCCGAAAATAATTTAACCATCATAAATCTATAGTCTCAACTACAATCATATAAATAACTTATACTTACATTTCCTTTTTCAAAGTATTATATATTTAAATCAATTCTTTCTCTAATTTCTTGAATATCTCTACATCTACATTTCAATATTGACTTCAATGGAGTTGAGGATAAGTCTATTATAAATATCTTATACTATGAATAAATTAAATCGAACAGAATTCTGTCATTGAATTAATATAAAATTAGATTGTCCTCACCTCTAACTATAATTGCAGCATTTTAAATAATAAATGTTAATGTTTAGAATTAAGTGCTGTAAATTAAAATTTTAAGATCTTTATTCAATCTACCCTTAAACATATCTAAATTTAAGTTAAAAAAATCATAAATTACTAATTTTAATGGATAAAGTTAGTTTAACAAAAAATAATAGAATATTACAGAAAAAAATCTAATTACTCAAGTTTGTAATTGTTAATATCAATTATAATTATTCATTTCATTTAAATTCTTATTTATTATTATATTAATCTTTGTTGTTATACTTCAATTTATTTAATTATGAAACTTTTCATATTAAAAAACATTTTTGTAATCAAAATACAATAATTATTTAAGTTTTTTTGAAATATATTAACAAAATTAAGGATATTAACAAAAGACATTTGATCAAATACAATAATAAATTTTAATTATATAGTTAAAACAAAATTTAAATTATGAATTCAACAACTCCTAAATCAAGTGGAATCAATTACGCAAGTATAATTTAATTATAAAATGATGGTAGAATTAAGAAAACAAAGATCAAACTAAGACACTTTACCAAAATCAATGTCAACTAATATAAAAATGGATATTAATTAGACATAATAATTTGGAGGTATTAAACATAGAAGTACTTCTTAACATAATATTAATGAAATGGCATAAATATAATTATTTGATTAATGTTTAGAGAAATAAGCAAATTAAAATGAATTTTTAGTTTTCCTTGATCGATAGATGTAATATTTTTGTCAAAATACTCCTGTACTTAATAATTAATAAACTTAGTAAAATTATTCATCATTTCGAATTACTAATAAGGTTGTATAAGAAGAAAAGAAAAAATTGTAGGTCGAACTCCAAAAATTTAATTAAGAGAATGCTTATTTAATAAAGGAAATAAAGGATTTAAATAAAACTAAATAAATGCTTGTTAAGAGATATGATGCTTTACAAGGTTTAATTTTAAAAGAAAGATTAAATAACTAGCCTAAAAATCGTTAATTTAGCAATCAAAAATTTCAACATCTTTTTAATCAAATTTCACCAGTTTAAGAGACTATATCTTCATTAACAGATGAGAGAGTAATAAAATTTATATTTTTCTATTTTTAGTTTGAGAGTAATACAACTTCTCTAGATTCTTCTTTATCATATGAGGATGATCAATCATCTGCTTCATAATTATTAGATTTATTATAGAAAAATTCCAAACATAGATTTAATTTTCAAAAACAAATGGTATGATAATATTTAATTATTTTGTTTTTCTTTTTTTTAATTTTTATAATTAACTAAAATAAACTAAATGGTAATTTTATTTAACAAAACATAAATATATCATTTATTTAATATGCCAGAAGCAATTTCTTTTAAAAATCCTTTATTATCTGTAACTTCTCTATCAGTTTCCCAATTTTTAAGTCTGCTTTTCATTTTTTTTAATTGTTTTTTCATTTCTACTATTTTTGGTTCAAAATCTGAAGGAAATTTAAATTTCTCATCATTTTGTTCCTATATTAAATCTTTGATTTTTTTATTACTGTCTAAAAATTATTTGATATACTCCTTTTGAATAAGAGATGGTAATTTAAAATTTAGAAAATGTTAATGTTTAGATGTAGTTTGTTAGATTTATTTTTTCACAAAAATAAGTGAAGGAGATCTTGATTATTTTAATTTTTCAAATGTAGATATTGGAAATAGTTATAAATTTTCAGAGCTTTAATTCTTGAGTATTGTCTGTTGAGGTGGAGATTAAATAATTTGTTTCTTTTTATTTAATATATTTTCATAAGCAGCCTTTTTATATTCTTCAAATTAAGGTTAGATTGATTAATCTTAGGAGAGTAATAGACTTTATCTTTCTGTAGTTGTCTAAATGACTTTCATTCGCAATTCAGCATTAGATCTACTCCTTTACTTATCTAAATAAATTTAAAATTGATTACTCTAATGTCGATCTTCTAAAGAATGTCTTTTTGGTGGCAATTTCAACTTCATAGGATCATGTTAAATCCATTTTTCATTTACAATTTCAGGAACTTATTAGATATTTTATTTTTTAGGTGTTGAGTATTTATCTCCTTAAACAAGTCTATTCATTTTATCTCTTTCATTAATGAATGGAATAAATATTGAATCTCCTTACTTTGGTTCATTCTAATATTCTAAATAAATATAAAATTTTTATAGTTATACTATCGTTTTCATGATTCTAAAGAGTCATTAAAGTGGGCATAGCACCTGGTACATTATTAGTTTAAGGTATGGAAAGTGCACATTTGGCTCTAATTATGCCTATACTCATAGTAAAATAATTATAATTAATATTTAGTTTAATTTATTAAGTTGGCCAATCATTTTTTTTAATTTTCAAATTGATTGAAGTTTAAAGTCTGAAGATTGATGATAGAATTGTTATATTAAAATATTTAATTTGATTATAATTCATTGATAAAAGTTCTCATACTTTTTTAAGATTTCATCAAATTCAACATAATTAAATTCAATGCCCTAATAAGCAAATCTACAATAATATAAATAATTAATAAAACCTTTTGCAAATTACTCTAAATTGATCATCAGTTAATGGTAATTTATGAAAGTCCATAATAGATCTAAATCTAGTGAAAGTTATTTTGCCTGATTTAGTTTTATCCTAAACATTACTTATTATTTATATACTTTATCTTGAAAGTGAGGTTTAAGCAAAATCCTATGTTTTCTTACAACTTCACCAAGTCTTAACATAATTGCATGTAAGGCTTCTTCTTCATCTTGAGTTAAAGCATCTCTTGGATCAAGGAATGTGGGAATTATATGAACAGGTGGTTTCATTAATGGATCTTTATCTAATCCCTAATTACATTTTCAATAAATTATATTACTGTTTTAGTAAATACGATTTCTACATCCTCAATAAACTTTGCATAATTTACTCTTATTGGATCTTCAGGTACAACATACATAGTTTCTAATAGATCCAAACTTTCTTAATCTAAATCGATTTTCATTTGACTAAGAACACCTCTAAATTTATTTGTAGGCATCATTCCTTTTCTTAGAGGATCAAAATCCTTGAAATAATCACCTAATCTTAATCTCTTTACTTTAACAGCTACTTTAATCTATTCTAATAATACAGAAGGTTATAACTAAATAATATAAAAATATATACTTTTTCTTTCTCTTTTGGCTTAACACCAACATAAGCCTAAGATGCTCCAGACTCTGTTAAGATTTCTAATGGTGGTTATGTATCATTTATAAATTGAACATATCTGATATCACCATCATCTTCTGCAGCATAGATTTTTACAACTGCTTAGAATTCTTCATCTGATAATATAAAATTAACAGTAGCCAATGTCTATCTAAATTATTTTGGAGACACTTTATTTCTTCCCAATTTATCCCAATCTTAAAAGAATTATTTGATATCAAGTCTAGTTGCTTTACAAAAATATTAGAATTTCTTTTTCACAACTTCAGCTACCTATCTATCTCTTTCAGTAATAGATACTCTACCATAATTGTATTGAGTAGACATCTATGGAACATCTTCTGATGGACTTACTTTCTCCAAATTTTTAGTAGTGAATACTTAATCTACTTAATCAGTAAATTCTTTCCAAAATACAAATCCTTATTTATCCTTACATCCAAAATTATTTAATATCAATTAGAATTCTGCATCTGATAAAAGGATCTTTGCCATACTTAATCCTTTTCTCAATTAAGTAATTGTTATAGTTCCACTTCTTAATTTATCAAAATCTCTAAGGAATTCTGCAATTCTTTATCTTTATTCTTTTACAATTCTTCTTAATTTAGCCATTAAATCTTCAAAATCATTTGGTTAATCATTTCTAATAAATGCTTAACTCTAATTATCTGATTTAACATAATTTTTAAATGCATCTGCATGTGATCTACTAATTGCAACACCTTCATCTGATTAATCTACAATTCTGCAAAAATCATAATAATTCACTTCATTTAGATTTGCTTTATCAACAAATCTTTTTAATAATAAATTCAATGAAATTGGATCAGGAAATAAATTAAATTGATTAAGAATTCTTAAAAATTGATTAGTTGTAATATAACCTTATTTAGTCTTATCAAAATCTTCAAAAACGGGTTTTAATAAAACTCTCTTATTTTATATAGCTTATTTATATTTCATAAGTAACTCATCTAATTAAATAGCTTCCTATTCTGTCATTTATAAATATCTTCTTCTGGCAGGTAAAGTAGTAGAATCATCTATTTAAGGAACCTAAGCTTATGGTTCCTTATCAATACCCTTTATTGTAAATATTTTATCAACATCCTCACAAAATTAATTATAATCAACTTAACCATTTGGAATCTTATCAATTTTATATTGATTTAACAGCAATTAGATTTCTTTTTCAGAAACAGGAATATTTTGAATATGTAAAATTCTAGCAAACTATATTAATATATTGATGTAATACTTAAGATTCAGTCACCAAACCTTTTCTTAAAGGGTCAAAATCTTTAAAAAACTCTCTTATTCTAATTCTTTTCATAACAACATCTCCTTATATCTTTTTTAATACTTAATTCAAAGTATTAATATTATCTGTTAATTTTTTTGATGTAAATAAAGTAGAAATTAAGTCTAAACCCTCTTTATCTTCTATAAAATCATCATCTGGATGAACCTAAAAGATTATATTTTTAATTATACATCTTTTGGATTTTATTTGATTCCTGTTATCACTCCACTTAGCATTTCTTACACATTATCAACATCATCACAAAACTTTACATAATTAACTTCTTTAGGATTTCCATTGTCAATATATTATCTTATAAGTAATTGTAAATATTGATCTTTTGGCAATAATCCTAATTAATTTAAAACTCTTGAAAATTAATCAATAGTAATATGTGAACATGCAGTTCTATCAAAGTCTTAAAATGGCTATTTTAAGAATATTCTTTTAGTAGCAATCTTTCTTTTTATGGCCTACATTAATCTTTTTACAGTATCCTCCTCATCTTAATTGAAAATCTAAATATAACCAATTTATACTTGAGGTGCTTAGAATACCTGAGCTTTTGCTTCATTATTCAGAAATTGCTCTTCAAGTTTATTACAAAATGTTGTATATTGGACTAGACCATCATTTAATTTGTATCTTCTAATGATTTCCTCAATATCATCCTTTGTAAAATGAAAATTTATCATTGAAAGAGCAGAACGAAACTATAGATCAATCATAAAGCAATACCTTGTCTTCTGTCACCCAACCCTTTCTTAATCGATCAAAATCAGTAAAGAATTCTCTGACTCTAATTTGTTTTTTATACACATCTTATTGTAATCTTGTCTCTATATCTTGTTATACATAAGTTCCAACTAACCCTTTGAATAAGACCATATTACTTATAGATTGTCCTGCAGAAACTAATGCTGTAGCCATCCTTCGGTTATTTTTTTGAGTATATATATTAATTAATTAATTGTCTTTTGAAGCATCATAATAATTATAATTTCTCAAATTTTAAAATCAGAACCACCATCTAATTATTATTATGATCATCTATATATAAAATACTCAAAAATTATTTTCAAAATAATATTAATAAAAATAACCAAACTTTTAGTCCAATAATGCTTCCTCAAAGAACTGTGTAGAACAAAAAAATATAGTTTGTAAATTATGTAACACTTCCAATTTTGAGATAAATTTAACAGCAAACCTTGCAAAATGGAGAAAAAAAGATTGAAAAAGAAAAATGAAAATTGATCCTACCTAATTTGAATTATATTTTAAAGCATTTTCTTAAAAATTTACATCTAAAACCACATCATTTTAGTATGTTTTATAGAAAATTTAATTTTAATAATCTCATATGAAAAACAATTATTATAAATTCATTGACCTTTACTTTACTAGTATGAATCAAACATGTTTATTAACTTTCCTAAATTAATTTAACATCTTTATTTAGATATTGAAAATTTTGATTAAATTTTATCGAAGACTTATGAGGAGGTTTGTTTAAGATATTTCTCAAAGTATTTAGAAAAATTGTCTCTTCTTTATCTAATCAATTTTGATTATTTATTTTTATTGAATTTAAAAAACTTTTTTTCATTTTAGAAATGTTTCAAAGCATTTTACTTATGTTTAATCATATATTATCATAATAAATTAAAAATGAATAATATTCAAATATCTTTCTAATTTTTCATATTAGCATTAAAGATGTAAATATGATATTTAAATTAATAATATTTGATAAATATTATTAAATTGCTTCCCAATAAACTAGGAAATTCTATTATATTAAGAAACAATTATTTTTTATTCAGTTTATAATATTTTTTTTATTTATATCTTTTAAAATTTCTTAATTATAGCTTTGTATGAGGCATAAAGTTTTATTTATAAAAATTAAAAAAGAAATATAAGCTATTATTCAAGATTCTACTTTAAAACTAATAAAATAAACAAAAATTTTATAATTCATTTTAATTATTATTTAATCCTATCTATAATAGACTTGTATTGAAATTAATAATATTTTAAGAATATTTTGTAAAAATCATTAATATAAAAAGGTTTTTAATATATAAGATAACATTAATTCCATCATAATGGATGCATAAATAATTCTTTTGATTTTAAAATAGATATATTATTAATAATATTAATATTATTTTTTGTAATAAAAATATTTGAAATTGTATTTAATTAATAAGATATGAATTTTAAATAAAATTATTTTATATAAGTCATTTCTAATAAGGTTAAATGAACGGTTGAAAAACATAATTGGATGGCCCAAAAGATGTGAGTTAATTCTTGATTTATTCACACCATAAAGAAAGCATCATAAAATTATTATTATTTTGATTTTCCTAAATTTCTTTTTATTCATTTTCTTCCTTCTAACTTTTAATAGATTTTTCTATGCAGCTCTCTGTCTTTTAAGAATAGAGATAGGTTGACATTTGTGGTTGGATAGGATTTAATACAATATCATATACTCGAATTATTTTCTTAAGTTTCCTAACTCGACTCTCTTTTTTTCCAACTCTTCCCTCTTTCATATAAGTGTTGATAATTGATTTACAAGTAGATTATAATATATTATGTTCTTAGGAAACCTATGATTAATGAGGTTAATTACATCTGCTATTGATTTCTTTTCATTCAAGATCTAGTGAATGATCTGTTCTCTTAACTCATTATTTATTTTGCTGTATTATTTCTTAAGGTCTTCCATTATTGAATTATATTTTTATTATAAGATGACAAAAAAAATTTTAGAACTTAATTATATCATAATCCTTAAATTTAAATGATCATAATTTGCATTAATTTATATCATATTTATAATCTTTCTAATTATAACCTGTATTTTCTATTTTTTAAACAGTACATACTTTTATAAACTCTTATAATTAATGGAATTTATTTTCATTTTTATTAATGGTTTTATAAATTATATTATTATAGTTTAAGTATTAATATGATTAATCTTATTCTTCATTATATTATTTTTTTATAATATTATGCTAAATAGTATTAATGAATAAATTATTCGAGTTTTTCTTTCAAATAAAAAATTATTTAAGTATTTACTAACTATTTATATATCCAGACTGATATTTTTTTGTATATTAATTTTGAGATATCAAAAAAATAATAATGATGGCTTAAATACAGATTTATTTTATACTGAGGTTCCTCAACATCAAATTTTTTTCGCTATTCTTCCTGAAACAATCAACCTTTTTCAATCAAAAATATGTATTCTATTTTTAAATAAGATAACAAGTGCTTTTAAATTTTTATTGTATTTTTCTCCAAAATGGAAGTCATAATGTAAATTTATTATAATTATTATTATTAAGATTAATACGCATCTAGTGATATCAAATTAATTTAGTTTAGCCAGTCTCTTGAATGGAATTAAATAGCTCTCTTTTTATTCGTTTGTTTTTTGTCTACTTATCTTACTAATTATTAATTATCTAATCAAAGATAAAGATTATTATAAACCATACTTTAATTGGTTTTATCCTAAATTTTCTTATACCAAAAATTTAATTTGTCTAACTTATTATTTCAAAATTCATTTTGTCTTTTAAGTATTCACAATTAAAAATTAATAGGTTTTATTTTATCATCTAAAAATTAAATATCTGATGGATTTAAGTATATTATTTTAGAATAAGAATTAAAAAGTCTAATTTAGTAAGAATATTATTTATTTTACAATATTAATCTTAAATTTTATTAAATCTAAAATGCAATCAAATCTTGAATGTGATAATTAAATATTATTAGTTCTTAGAGCTTAAATTTAATTTTACTACTTTATTTCTCTTTAATTTATATAAATAAATAACAGAGAATGTCATATAGTTATCTATTCAAATTCATTCTAATTGGTGAAACAGGTATTGAAAATGCGTAAATTCTTAAGGAGTTGGAAAATCATGTCTGTTACTTTAGTTCATCGATAAACGATTTAGACAAAAACATGAGGTAACTATTGGTGTTGAATTATGAGCAAAACTTATCGAATTAGATGGTTTAAATATATAGTTAAAAATATGGGATACTGTATTAATATTGAGTAAAAATTAGGCTGGCCAAGAATCCTTTCTATATATAAATCAATCATATTATAGATCTGCAGCAGGTGCTATTGTTGTTTATGATATTACAAAAAGGAAAAGTTATAAAAATATGGTTAGATGGATGGAAGAAGTGAAAAAAAATGGAAATCCTAAATTATCTATACTCTTAGTTGGTAATAAAGGAGATTTAGAGTCAGAGTAATTATAGTATTAAATATCAAGACGCTAAATATCATATAATGAGGCACACTAATTTGCAAAAGAATGTGGAATAGAATTTCTTGAAACCAGTGCTAAAACAGCAAATAATGTTGAAGAAATATTTATAAAGATGGCTTAAATTCTATTAGAAAAAATCAATTTAGAATAAATTGACCCTAAAAATGAAAATTTTGGAATTAAATTAGGTAGTGAATAAGCCACATATTCCCATGAGAATTAAAATTTTACTAATTTAGAATAACAACAAGAATATTAAACTTATGAAGAAAAGAAAAAATCAAATATTTGTTGTTGAAAAATTGATATTTTTTAAGTATTATTATCATTTTACGGTACGGTTTTAATATATTTAATTGATGTATTATTATATTATAAAGTTCATAATTATGAATAAAGTTGAAAATTTCAAAGAAGAAAAAAATGAAATTTCTAAATCTCAAGTTGCTCCAATAGATATTATTTAAATTATTTAGGAAAAGTACTCAAGAAAATCAAATTAATATCAAGAGTGTATAATTAAACACAATAATAGAGATAATCATCAATGAAATTCCTGAGTCATCAAAAATTATTGATTCTACTCTTCAAAAATAAGAGAGTAAACAATAACTAATATTTCACAAAGACATTTATGCAAGAAGTTTTTATAAATATAAATTTAGATTCATTTAAGAGTGTAGGTTGCATTTGTAGAATATGTGAATTCCCAGAATACAAAGATAATCCCCTTATACGTGTATGTAAATGTATAAGATCTCAAAAATATGTTCATGAATATTGTTTGAAAAAACAAATTATTACAAAATATCGTAATAAACTAGATAAAGCAAAATGTGAAATATGTTCTGACACTTATTAAATGGAACTCAAAATTGAAAAGATATTTGATCCTGTAATTAAAAATTTTTACTTTTTAGTAAACAGCATGGTCTCAAAGCAAAGATAAATTACCTTTATTTTGTTTATTGGTTTTTTTGATTGTAATGATAGTTGTTGTAATCTTACTAGGAATTCGATTGTATGAACTTTATTGTAATTTAGAAAAGAGGCTAATTAAATTACTGATAGGAAGAACTTTCTAGACTCCCAATCTTTCTTTATAATATTTATAGTCTTTGCAATCATAACAATTTTAGTATTATTGTGGTTAATAGCAATGATTATCAAAGGGTTGTTAATTGTAGAAAAAATATTAAATTGGAGATTGATAGAATATAAACCATTGAAAAAATCAATTCTTAATAAAAATATTTTAATCTCAGATATCAAATAATCCTTTCGTAAATCTAAATTATTTGGAGAATAACAAACTACATAAAATAGAAAAAATAAACACCTAAATACATTTAATGTTGAAAAAAAAAATTATGATTAAGAGGATCCATCAATCGATGTTGGTGAAATATCTACTTAGAGAAATTAACCAAAATCTATTACAAAAAATGTTCTTACTATTTAATCTGATCCTCGACAAACAAAAAGAATAAGATTTTCAATAATTTGATTAGTTATCTTTTTTTTATGTATTTATAAAATAATCTAAATAGCAAATCAAAATTTCATATTTATATATAGATCATTTATGATTTTATGATAATCATCTTGATATAGATAACAATAGAGATTTCTTTATTTTATGAAATTATTCATTGATAATTAATAAATTACTATTATATTATCACTAGTATATTTATTGATTAATTGAGTATTGCAAATATAATCCAAAGATCTGATTTAGAGATTTTCTATATATAAAATTCAAAACCTAATAAGAAATAGTATGGCTCAGAAATGATTTAAAGTTTAAGAAAAAGATTATAGTTCAATTCTCTCAAGTAGTGTCCTTTTTTGTTTGTCATCTTGTTAATAATTAACAGATAATTTAAATATATTTATTTCAAAATGAGTATTCGGCAAAGTCTCATTCAACAATTTATGCACACCCTACCTAGTTAGAACCCTTAATAGACTATAACTTTATTGGCTCTTATAGGAATTGAAAGTGTTCTTTAAGATAACGACAATAAATTAGTCAGAGAAGAAATTACCCAAATCAGACGACAAATAGAGAATATTTAAACTAAAGAAGAAGAACACACATTAAGAGGAGTAAAATCAAAGGAAAGAGCTCTAACTCCTAAGATTACAGAATCTTCAGCTCCAACTCCATTAAGCAACCAAAGAAATACTGTGTCTAGACACCATTTAGATGATCAGGCAATGAGGATGGCACTTAGTTAATAATATGAAGAAACAGAACAATTTAGATCCCCTAAATCAGAAATCTCTAATATGAGAACACCTAAATAATCTATTCAATATTTTATTGAGATGAAGAGTTAGAAATCGAAAAGGGGACCAGAAAATAAATTAAAGGAATTGCAAAATAATTTAACTAGAGAATTAATAGCAGATTATTAGGGTGTTTTGGAGGAAATCAAGCAAAACCCAACAAAATATCCTGATACTCCAGAGACAAGCCTTTAGGAATAATAAATAAAGGACTATATAAAGATGCAATAGTAGGTACAATTATAGTAGCAAAAATTAGAAATTGAAAAATAACAGCAATAAATAAAATAACAATCTTAAGACTATAATTAATCTTAAAAAGATCTACTAAATTTGAGAAGGAGAATTGAAACATAGCCTGATTAAAAATTAGAAAAATCTTGGTAAATTTAGGAGAAAAAGACTAATTAGGGTATTATAAATTATAAGTCAGAACAAAATTAAATCTAAACTTAAATGGCAACAAAAAAAGTTTAATCCACACCATAATAAAAAGAAAGAAAATCTCCAAATAGATATGAATATTAATAATAATAACAGTAATAGTAATAATAATAATAACAATAATAATAACAATAATAATAGTAATAATAATAGTAATAGTAATAATAGTAATAACAATAATTGTAATAATAATAATAATAATAATAACAATAACAATAATCAGGTTTATAAACAGAGAACACATTTTCATTCTTCTAAAGATAAAAGACTTAAGGAAATCAAATCAATACTCAATAATCTATTAATTATGAAAAGCATAGTGGAGGTTTGAAGTAGATGGCAGATAAGTTGATAAATTCTCCAATTATTTAATAAGTTTCTTTGAAGTCAGCTGAAAATGTTTCCTCTCCAGGGAAAGAAGTTTAAGTTTCATAGTTTGAAGAATAAGGTACATTTAAGAGTTATATTTAGATTCAATGAGTTCAAATTCAAGTGCATTTTCGCTATTCTAACCTAACGAGGAATTGAAATCATTTTTTAGGAAAGAATTAATAAAGGAGGAGAATGATGAAAGTAAGTACTATAATTAAATAGATCACGATCCGAATTGCGTAAAGTACTCTAATATATTTTTGAAAGGGAGAATGGGAGGATCAAAAGTGTTTTGAATTAATTAGGTATATAATGCAATTTTGAATTACTTTTACTTAATATTAATAATTAAATGGCAGATTATTATACATATCAAAGGAAACGAAGAGATCTCGGAAAGCCTTGCAATTTTTAAGACAGTGAAATAAAAATAGCAGGTTACACAAAGACAGTTGCAGTCATTCCTAACTATGTGAAAAGAAATCCCAATCATATAGATTTGGATAATATAGCAGAATACTCAGAGCATTCTGTAAGCATTTGATTTAAAAAATATAGGTAAACACAGAGAGAGTATCAACAGGAGACAAAGTGATGTATCATAAAGAAGGAGGGGTATATTTATTTATGCAACAGTTTTTAGTGGCCTGCAGGCATAGACCCTTTGGAGTAGCAAGACCAAAATAAATACAGAAGAAGGTTCGAGAAAGATGCAGCATTTGCAGTTGCTGTTAAAGAGCTGAGCAACACAGTGGAGAAATGCATTCTTTAGAATAATCAGATAGATTTGTTTGAGGAGTATTTCTTAGATGAAGAAAGTGAACATCAAGTTGAGAATCTGAGCACTAAGACTTTGATGTTATTTAAGTATTAGTTGATATAATAGTAGGGATTAATCAGAAGGAGTTAAAAGATCTGTGTCAGAAATATCTTGGCATCCAGAGGGTCCTATAAAGGCAGCAGTTTCTTATGCAATAAGCAGATTTTAATAAATGCCAGAAGGAATGATGAAATCATCATATGTTTGGGATTTATAAAATCCCAATAGTCCTGAATTCCACTTAGAAACTAATTCACCAATAACTAATTTGATGTACAATCCAAAGTTGTCTGACTAAATTGGAGGCGGATGTTATAATGGTTTAGTTGCTGTTTGGGATGTAAAAAGAGGTAAATAACCTGTATTGACATCACCTGTTGAAAAATCTCATCATGATCCAATTACTCATTTTCAATGGTTGTTTAGTAAGACTGGTACAGAATGTGTAACAACATCAACTGATGGTCGTGTTTTATGGTGGGATACTAGAAAATTGAATGAAGGTCCTATTGAATCATTAAATGTTACTGAGGGATCAAATCCAAATGATCCTTTGATTGGTGCTACAGTATTGGAATATAATACAGAAGCAGGTCCAACCAAATATTTAATTGGTACAGAAATGGGTTCTTTAATGGTTGCTAACAAAAAACCTAAGAAAGCTGTAGAAATTACAGCCAGATATGGTTTGGAGAGTGGACGTCATTTAGGTCCTGTTATGTCTATCAATAGAAGTCCTCCAAATCCAAAATTCTTCTTAACAGTTGGAGATTGGAGTGCTAAGATTTGGGTTGAAGATATTAAGACACCAATAATGAGAACTAAATATCATGGTAGTTATTTAACAGATGGTTGTTGGTCTCCAACTAGAAATGGTGTGTTCTTTTTAACAAGAAAAGATGGTTGGATGGATGTTTGGGATTATTATTATAGATAGAATGAAATTGCATTCAGTCATAAAGTAAGTGAGACAGCTCTTACTTGTATTAAAATAAATTCTAATGGTGGTGCTCATCATAATGCTGGAAAATTAGTAGCAATAGGTGATTAAGATGGTACAGTTACTTTATTAGAATTATGTGATTCATTGTATTAATTACAATTTAGAGAAAAGGATGTGATGAATGAAATGTTTGATAGAGAATCAAGAAAGGAAAAGAATTTGGAAGCAATTAAAAAACAACAAGATTTAATGAAGAAGGTTGTTCCAAAAGATAATAAGGCTGCCCAATAAAAATGGGAATAAAGAAAGGCTGAATTAATTGCTGAAGCAGAATAATAGTTTAGCCAAATTGTTAAAAAAGATGAAGAGGCTAAATTAAATGATTTATCAGAGTTCAGTCCCAAAGCTCAAAAAAAGTATATAAATTTATATAATTTTTTTTAGAGATGATAAGAAGTAACAATCTCCAAAAGATGATGATAAACAATAACAATAAGGTGATGGAGGATAATAACAAGATCAATAAGATTAGGGATAAGGTGAAGGAGATAAAGATGGAGGATAATAATAAGATGGAGATGATGGTTAATAATAAGGAAATGATGATTAATAACAAGGGGATGATGGTTAATAATAAGGAGATGATGATTAATAATAAGGAGGAGATGATGGAGATGGTTAAAAAGAAGGAGATGAAGGAGATGGCTAAAAAGAAGGGGAACAAGAATGATCAAATAAATATATAATTATTTATCGGAATGCATATACAAATAATTTATCTTTCAAATCTTAAGAAGATTTTCATCTATCTACATTCTTGGTTTCAGATATTCTATAAATCCACCTAAGAGATCCATTTAATGTTAGTTTTTTATTTTTAAATCTACTTAAATAATTCCTACTTATTTCAGTTCTTTGAACACTTCCTATAAATCATCTTTTTTATATGTATAAAGTAACTAAAACAATTTGTGAGAGTTTTCAGCAGCAAGCAAAGCCAAATTTTTATAAATCCAATCTTGAATGAATTCATCTTGTTATTTTTATCTTAATTGAACTGCTAAGGCTGTAAATACACGTTCAGATAATAATGGATCAGGATTTCTCATATATAAATATAATGCTTCAGGTAATCTTTTCATTTTGATTAAACAAAATGCTTCCATCCAAATCCTATTAAATATATATATTCTAACAATACCAATTATTTTCTTATGCTTTTAAACGTAATTCTTCTAATAATTTATATTATCCATCAAATTGTTTTTCTACTTTCAACATAACTTTATGCAAAAATTCATTCTTTACTAATTCAGCAGGTAAATCTTTTTATACTCTACCTCTTAAAATCCAAGTTATATCAAATAATGTGCTTTACTATTATCTAAGGGCATCCATATAATTTATAAGATTAAGCATAATATGATTAATATTGAAGTGAAATGGACATATTGCAAAAACATTTGTTGAAAATGCACAAGAATAATGCATATATTCATCAATCACTTTAGCATTATTTAATCTAACATAATATTTTTATTCACCCATTTTAATCAAAACATAAATTTTTGACAAAATCTTTAAATGATTATCAGTTTATTCAATATCTATTGTAAATTTATATCATACTTAATATTTCAGGCATGAATCCATTGATTGTATTGTTAGATAATTCAATATTAATTTCCTTACCTTCATTTATGAATTATTTAAAGTTTTCTTGAATTCTTTCTGAAAAGACTTACAAAAATACTTCCAATGTTTTAATATAATCTATTTCAAATAATTTTAAGATGTTTTCTAGATCAAATAAATATTCAAATAAATCCTTAAACATTGCTTTAAACTAACGATCAGTAAAAAATGATTCAGGATTAGATTGATTTTATCCAGTAAAACAGAAAGATAAGAAACTTATTTATTTAATAAGATTACCTAAATAGACAGACTTTACATTAATCTAAATTTAAAGTAGTAATGCTTTTATTTTCTTCTTCCGTCAAACTATTTTTGTTTGATAGAATACTGAGTAGTGTAATAATTCTTAAATAAGGAGTTAGAAAGTCATTGATTTAAGAGCATATATGCATCATGGGTTCAATTAGATCTTTTTCTAAACAGAAATCTATTAAACCTTTTGGATCATATCTTTATATATTTTAAATTGACATTATTAATTTAGTACATGTTTCCTTATCATCCATTTCAGTAAACATTTTCAATACTTTTAATTAATGCTAATATGGAATATTAACTTAATGTTATTAGAGTAATTCTCTTAGATAATCATAGAATACATTTCTATAACCACATCCAACCATTAGATCTTCAATTGATTCAAATAAATATTCTTCATTTTATGTTTTAATAAGAAAATGCATTATAGTTAAGACTGATTAACTATTCTTCAATTATTTATTTGGTAATTATGATAACATATATTACAATCCTAATTTACAACATGTTTCTTTAATACAGAAATGTCTTTGAACATCATTTTCTGGAATATTACATAATAAAGTTAAATAACCTCTATGTATATCAACAGCAGTTTAAAAACACTTATCCCATTCATTATTATCACTTTGTTCATATAATAATTCATCCCATTTCTTTAGACGAATAGATTATAATTCTGTTCCATTTAATATATAGCACTGTTCATTTTTATATATAATTTATACTAAATTTAAGCAGAAATCTTACAATTAGGATGCAATTACTTATAATTCAAAATAATATCATTTGATTTTTGATAACCATCATTAATTGAATCCATGACATTTTGACTAATAAATACATCCTACTTATTATCTATGGCAAAAGTATAAAATTTTGGATTATATTAACCACTTTATAATGTTTAAATATGTTTCTCCTAATTAAAATGTTTCTCAATTTAATTTAAAGTAAATGGTACACCAAATTCAAATTAGGAAGTTGTCAATAATTTCATTACTGTCTAATTTTATTTATTGTGAAGAACTGAAAAAAATACAGAATTAGTTATGAAATTACATACCAATGGAAATTCTCTTAATTAAGTTAAATCTACAGGATTATAAAAATGACCTCCTTAAATAACTTGTATTTTATAATCACTTGACATCACTTTAAATGCATAATATTCTCTGCATCCCCAATTTATAATTAATAATACATATCTTTTATTTGTCTCTTTAAAACTACCTAATCCCCAAGCACATGAACATCTTGTTTTTTATTCTTCAATTGCTTATGGTTAATTAAAAACTATATTATAGATCTAAGCATCAGGTCTTTAAAAATTCAATAATAATTAAATTTTTTATTGTTCTTCATTTAATTTATTACCAAAAAATATTTTTACAACTTGTATTTTATTTACAAATCCTACAGCCATTAAATACTTAAATAATATAATTAAATATATTACAAATTATGTACTAATTACATATTCATTTGTCTCTTCTGGTTATTCTTATTTTTAATTAGTACTATTTGAAAATATTTATTTTAAAAAATTGTTTTTTCTTTTTTTGGTTGGAGATAAATCTAATAGACTGCCATATGAAGCAGTACTCTCTCTATCATCCATACATTATATAAACTCTTCATAACATGAATCCATTATAGATACATCTTAAATTATTGATGATTGAGGCATCATATAATCATTTTCAATTACTTTCTAAAAAAATAAATCTAAAATTTTACAGCATGTCTATTCTCCTTAATTTTCTATCTTTCACAAGGTTCACCAAATTTATAAATAGGAATCCCTATTTTTTATTCTAATGTATTAATATTTATTTCTAAGGGAACCTTTAATAAATAATTGTTTTCCAAATGAATCATAATTTCATAGTATTATTCCTTCCTTAATTAAAGTAAATGGTCAGAATTAATCGATAAAGGCACCATATAGGCATATTTAAGATGTTGGTATCTATGCTGTAACACTTCTTTGAACGACTTATTTATATTAGATAAAGATTTTTACTTTCAAACTAAAGATCACAAACTCATTGTTTGAATATGTTACCAATAATAATTAGTTATCATTAGATATTTATATCATTTTTACTTAACCTCTATAAATTTGAGTATCCTTTCCAAGTATTTTATAACCTTATTTAAAATCATTATCCTAAATGTTCACTCAATAATTACTTATTAGAAAACATAAATGTAAGAATATTCCATTCCAACGAACACTAAATCATTATTCATTGTCATGTACGTTGGCAATCCACATAATTCTTTTTTATAATCAAAAAACTCTTAAAAATTACTATGAGTATTATTCACAATATAATCCTCAATATTCGCATTTTAGTTTGGTTATATTTTTATTTTCTCTTTTTTCTATTTCTTTTAATCCGATGACATAATTTATAAATAAATATTCTAAAATGATTATTCAATAAATAATCTAATCAATATTTATTTATAATTTATATCTTTGACAACTTAGTTAAGATATATATATATAATATACTATTATAAAGATAATTTCACATCAATAATTATATTATATATTAAATTGAAGAAAAAACCTAAATATTCTAATAGGGATCTAGAAATCAATTAAATTCTTTAAAAAAGGAATAGTAATCATTTTTAATGACATAAATATTTAAAAGAAAATAACCTAACTTAAGTTAATTTATTAAATTGATAATTATCTTTTAATAATTTTAATTAGTTTATATTAAGGATTCCATTCATTAGAATTTTTCATTGTTTTCTATACTATCTTTATTATTACGTATTAAAATTTATAATTTTTAATAAAATATAAATATATAATTAAAGTATTGTTAGTGTGAGTATGTATAAGGCTCTTCATTTATTCTTTTTTTGTTTTGTTTTCTCATTGTCACCTAAATAGTATTCCTTGTTGAATCTTAACTTTTTATAATATCTATTTTTAATCATATTCATTGTTTTTCCTGGAAAATATTTTACTATTTTATTGAAGTTGGGACCAAGTTATATGACCAACTCTAAAATTCTCTTATCTTCCAGATAGGAGAATCTAGATAAGATATTAACATAAAGTTAATAATACCTCATATCATTGATCATTCTTTTCTACTATATATTTTGATTAGAATCATTCTAATCATAAGTTGATTAGCATTACATCATGGAATAGTATAAATGTTCTAAAGATTCCTCTTCAACATGGTGTTATGACAATCTAATATGATATTCTTTATTATACTCATCAAGTCCCTCATTAAAAATAAATTATTTGATATAGATAGCTTCATCCATTTTATAATTTATATATAAGATTTATAATTTAAATTTTGCTAGTTTAATTACATCTAATTAATTGCACAAAAATATTATATTAGTATACAAATCAATTCTTAATATTTTATACAACTCATTTGGTATATAAAACTAATTAGTAATAAATAACAAAAATGAATGATAAATAATCAAAAGTAGACTTTCAAATATAATCAATTCCAAATTTATGATTTAGGAACATTGAATCGTTAGGCATATTTTGTGAATAGTCCCTACTCTTTATTTTTAATATCTTCCATTCTCCATCTAGATTCTAAATTTACTTTATTATATCTATAAAATGTATTCCTAAAACCAATATGTTATTCAAATTAGGAAGATATAACTGGTGACCGATGCATATTCTATTTTTTCTTCTATTTCTCTCCTACAACTCTGATATCTACTTTTTATAAAGGTGGTAATGAACGCTTTTGTTACTTTCTAGAATTTTTTTCTGAATATTAGTCTTCATCTGTTTCATTGATTGGTAATGGATTGGTTCCTTCCATTTCACCATATAATATGGGTACCCTCTTAAAATTCACTCCATATATTTAATCAAGTGTTATTGGTATCGATGAAATCATATTTGCTAATTAAAGTTCAATATAAGAATATATTATATATATATATATAGAATTATTAAAATTAATTTCAGTAATCATTATGAATCTGCCATAATAAGCTTTAGTCATCTTTGTTCTGTTACTAGGATCTATTTCCCATAAAGTATACATCTACAAACATCATATTCAAACTTACCATATTAATCATATAATTTTAATAATGATAAGTATTTAAATATTAATGATGAATAATTAATTCTATCTTAAGAATGCAAAAAAACAATTTTTAAGTCGCCAAAATGGTATAAAATAATTCAATTGATTTCATTTTGGATATGAGTAAATTAGCAGTAACTCTGTTCTTTTTTACATATATATATATCTTTAAATTTATAACAAAAGAAAAAGGATAATAAATAAATATTCATTTCTTATTATTTTTATTTAAGGTTTTAATTCTATATATTTGGAAATGTAATTTTCTTTATCTTATTGATTGCTATTGATATTGAAAATTAATTCTGAATAACATTAAATGTCTAATGATTAATTATACAGTCTCTAAAACACTATCTTAGAACCTTATTTAATGAAAAATATATTGATTTAAGGAGGGAATGATGTATTCATCTAACTTATATTAACTATCATTTTTCCTATTAATCAATTATTTTTATAATCAAAAAAAATCATTTCATAGTTTTTCTTAAACCAGAATTGATAAGTGATGTAGTTGTTCATTAATTAATTAATCAAATATGGTTTCAAGAGCAAATCTTCTTTAGGATTACTAGTTATAATTATATTGATAACTAGATTAATTCTAATTCAATCGGCAGTAGGTATCCATTTTAAGAGTCTTTTTAAAATGTAGTTTACTTAGGATCTAAATAGAGGATTTGATAAATTTCTTTTGATATTGATTTTCATACTAATTTCAAGTACTTCCTTTAATAAAATTCCATATTAAGATAATATATCATAAACAAGGGAAACTCATTTTGAAATATAAGGTTAGTCTATGCATTGTATTAATTGATTTCAAATAATCTTTTAGTATTATAATGATTTAGAGTTTTAAGAAGTAGATTTTCTTTGCTAGCTACTAGTAATGAATTACATAGCTCGATTTTGATAAATGGATTTAGTGTAATTTTATTGCATAAGCCTTTTTCGATAAATTTTTAATGATTGATGATATAATATGGTCATCTGAAGTCAATTATAAAATTGAATCTTTCTCCATTATACTATAAATTCGTTAATAAATTAAACCATTATTAATAATTATGTTTTAAAGAATTGCAGCAACATTGATTAGACAACCTATGTTTTAGTGTTAAATAAGGAAATCCTTTATGTGGGCTCCTGCATTGTCAATATTAACAAATCATAAATTATTGATTCAAAATCTATCCTATTTGTAAAGTTAGTTTTATCAGATGGAAGAGAGCAATGACGAATTAGAGTTGCTGTAAATGATATTCAATTTATAAAAGATAGGAGGAAGTTCCAGTAAGCAGAATGCAGTGAGACGACTCTCAAACATCCCTAAACATTGTGATATTATTAAAATACCAAAAGCATTTTATTATTAATTTTCTCTCTTTTATATGTGGATAGTACTTAATTCTTTAAAAATATATTAATTACAAATCTAAATGTAATTTATTATACATCTTACTATTTACTTAACAATTTCTAAAATGACTTGTAATAATCATATAATGATTAACTGATTAATTTATATTAAATCACTAAATATTATAATGCATCGACCAAAACCCCATATTCGAGTTTAATAAGAGAAAGACATTTTGGATGGATTCAGTAGATTATAATAAGTCTAGCCTCTAATTCAGATAAATCCTACTGTAGATAAAATTCCTAATATGAAAAAAATTCGACTTTTAGAAGACAGATACACATAAATAGAAAAAGATAATAGATTGTTATTGGAAAAAATTACAAATATAATGAAGAGTGAAACTACTCGAGTTGGTAGACCAAAACGTGCTTCTAGTTTTGAATGTAGAAAAAAAAGTGAATAATAACAAATCAGAAAAGAAAATCAAATGTTGTTATCAAAAATAAGTAATAAAAAATCATATTATTCTAAAAACCATTTTGATAAAGAATGGAATAAAACAAAATAATATTTTATGAATCTTGGAGGTTTACGTAGTTTAAGTTAAAAATAAAAAGAATTTAACCATTCATTCTACTATTGATTTTATACTTATTTATTAAATAATGTAAATATAAATCAATAATAAACTAGATTAAGATAAATATAAAATTTATATTACTTTATTCATCATTAAAAATATTTACTTTTAAGTCCTTCAAATCCTAATTCTCCAACTGTTGATAATTCTTTTTATATAATTCTAAACTTTCTAAATTAAACTCTTTTCTTTTTTTAAATATCTTTTGTTAAGTTTTTTAAATCCAATCTTTCAGTATTACAGTAATTAATCAATCCTTTAATATCTTATGGCTTTTATAATTCTTAATCTAATTTCAATTAGAATTTCTTAAATAAAGAAAACTAAGGTTTTTTAGGAATTTATTCATAATTCAAATTAAAAGGTTAACTCATCTCTGATTTTATAGGAGATTAACTTTTTGTTCTTTTATTTTATTTTTATGATTTCTTTTGAATTAGAATAGAATCAGGAGATATGTTTACACTTTTTAATCCTAACCTTGCCATTTATTGATTTACTTTACTTTAAATTCTTTCAATTCTTTCACTTAATTAGTTTTTATTATCTTCTTTAATTTGAGATTCAATATTAATATTTTGAATAGATTAAGATCTTGTTTGTGATTTTTTTGGTGTACAAGGTTAAGAATGTACTTACTTATGATTAATCATATTCATTTTATTGATACCCTATTCTACAAATTTAAATCCCATAGTTTCCAATAATTATAAATGTTATTTTGCCTAAAAAAATTAAGATTTTTTCTTTTCAAGCTAAGCCACAGGAGTATCACAATGATTTTTTTCAAAAAGTTCTTTCTCTTTTTACTATAAATGTGTCTATATCTAATTGATTATTTTATTCAAAATCTCCTTTTTATTAGGGGTCCTCGATTATTCTCTCGAAGTATTAACAATAATACCTTATCAAACTTTGTCTCTCCATAGCTACTTTAGTTAACTTATCTTCAAATCTACAAATTTTTCTATCATAATCATCTATCACTGTTGACGGTATTTTATGTTATATCTTCTTATACTTATTCTTTTTAGCTTAATAAATTGCCAAATATTCATCATTATACATACCAGGCTTATTAATGATATGAATAGTACAAATAGAAACTCAATTTTTTAAGCTACTTTTTTTTTAGTTTCTTTTTCTTCTTATTGCATATTTTAATTAATGAAAGAAATGTCTCTTACTTTCAAGATAATTCTTTTAGGAGATTCTAATGTTGGAAAAACTAGCATACTAAAAAGATATTCAGAAAACACATTTACAGAACAATAGCCTCCTACTATTGGGTTGGCATTTTATAAAAAGGTGGTTGAAAGAAAAAATATTAAAATAACGCTTGAGATTTGGGATACAGCTGGATAAGAGAAATTCAAAAAGATTGCACCAATATATTATAGAAATGCTTAAGCAGTCTTAATTTGTTTTGATGTATCAAAAAGTGATACTTTAGAAGGAGCTAAAAGATGGTTGGAAGAAATAGATAAATATTTGAGTTCTGATTGTGTTAAATTTTTAGTTGGAAATAAATAAGATTAAGGTGATTTTGAAGTTGATTAGACTTTTCTAGAAAATAATCATATGAAATACATTCAAACATCAGCAAAGACAGGATATAATGTAGATAAATTATTTAGAAGAGTTGCTAGAACATTAGCAAAGACTAAAATAAAAAAGATGGAAAGTCTTGATTAAAAGACAATCATTACTCTCTAAGTTTAAGGACCAGAAGAAAAATAAAAAAAATCTCTATGTTGTTGATTAATTGTTGTTATTTCACTCATATAATTATCTATATATATTAATATACTCTATTCTTTTTATTGCGTTAACTCATTATTAAAAAATATCTTCCACTAATTCCTAATATTAATGAATATTTTGTATATATTTTAATGTATTATTATTATCAAAATATTCATCTACTACTGTGAGCTGCAGCAACAATGTCAGTGAAGGCTGACTTTAAGGCAGCACCTCCAACTAAAAATCCATCAAGATCTTTCTATTTAATGAGATCAAGTGCATTCTTTTCTGTGACTGATCCTCCATAAATAATTCTTGTCTATTATTCAGCCTAAAATTATGCTAATCACACTTACTTATGCTCCAATTTAAGATTTAAGCCAACCTCTAATGAAAGCATGAACATCTTAAGCTTATTCTGGAGAAGCTGTTCTTCCTGTTCCAATAGCCCAAACTGGCTCATATGCAACAACAACATTAGCCCATTATTCAGTTGTCAATTCCTCTAAAGATAATATGATATATGAAAATTACTTTTGATTGAATCTAATTATGCTTAGATCACTTAAGTTGTTTAACCAGATTCTCTATCAGCTAATTTTTCACCAACACATGCCATAACTTTTAGTTGATGATCCAAAGCCAATCTAGTCTTTTTTCCAACAATTTCATTGGTTTCTCCATAGTATTATCTTCTTTCAGAATGTCCCAATATAACCCAAGGAATTCCAAAATCTTTGACTTACTCAACACTGATTTCTCCAGTATAGGCACCCATTTTAGTCAAGGATGTGTTTTAGACAGCCACTTAAACATTCTTTTAAATGTTAGCTTGAACCCATGGAACATGTAAGAAGATTGGAGCTACAGCAACCTCTAAAAAGTATAAATTGCCATATTACCAACTTTTGCTACATCAAACACAAGTCTATTAATAACAGTATTGATCAAACTTTAAGTTTGAGCAATTGTGTTATTGCATTTCCAATTACCACCTACAAAGTATCTTCTCATAATTAAATTATTTAATTAAAGTGTATAAACTTATTAGATTTGAAAACTAAATAAAATTGAGATACATATATTAAACAATTTAAAACTTATGTATATTAATATATATGACACTTAATTAATTGATTGTAAAATGTTCAATAAAATATTATTGAATTATTATATATAATATATTATCTCTTGATATAAAATAGAAATAAATATATATTAAAATAGCTGATTTATATATAGTATTTAATCATATATTTGTAAATCACATTTTATATATCAATATCTATTTTATTCTCTTGAGTATAAAATATATAAAATATAATTTTTAATTATTAATATCAAATAAATAAAGTGGAAGACATACTTAAATAATATTACAATTCTTAATCAGATAATATATATTAAATCTATAAAAACATTTCTTTTTGAATATTAAATTATAATTAAATGTTGAGTACATCATAAACTAGAAGTACCACTGAAACTATTAGTCGTGTTATTGTTGATAAAAACTATGTGATAGTGAAGAATATTTACAAAGGAAAATAGTATAACCTATACTTAGGTAATATATGATGAAGTTAAAAGATAGTTAGCGATTAAACAAGAATAGTCAGATGATATTGATTCATTTGAACACTAAGAGAAATATTATCTTATTAAAATGAAAAAGTATATCATATCATAATAATCTAGATAAACTTAGTAGAATGAGGCAATTCCAGAACTTTAGTTTCTAATTAGATTAAAAGATTGTAACGAAATCACCTTATTTTAGCTAATTGTGTTCCCATTCTCATTAATCATGGAGAGTAAGTGATTAAAGGATCCAAATATCATTACTAAATAATGGAACGACATGGTCCTTCAATTAAACTTATATACAATTATTTATCTAGAAATATACCATTACCAATTATATGTTTGATTGCAATTTAAGCAGTAACTACTATGTTATATTCTTAGTTGACTTGTCTAGAAATTGTTCATAAACATTAAATTGTTCATAGAAATCTACGACCTAAAAAATTGTTGCTTTCAACAAATGGAAATTAAATTTTATTAAGTGATTTCAAATATGCTTGCAAATTTAAAAAATAAAATGGATCCATAATGATAAACGAAATCTATAAATTAAATTCAAACAAATTATTTCTAAATAAATATTCAAGTGTTAGTTAACATCTCAATTAAGGTAATCAATAAATTAATTTTTATAGTCCCTACACCAAAAGACGACTTAGAATCCTTAGCTTATATATTACTTATATATGCTTCCAATTCCAATATATTCTAAATTAAGGCTGAAAATAAAACACTTAAACTTAAAAAATTAGAGAGTATTAAATTATCAATTATTCCTGAAATTGCTTTTAAATAAGCTCCTCTTGAATTCATTCATTTCTTACATCTTGTAAAGACTAGTAATGCTAACGATTATCCTTAAGATTATGAGAAATTTAAGCAATTATTTAGAAAAATCATTTTGTCTAATGGATATACTGAAAAAGAACTCTCATATCCTTTATTTCATATGAATTTTTAAGAAAAGACTCAATAATCACAATTTCAAAGTTAAAATAGTAAATTTAAGAAAATGTAACATCAAAAAATGAGTTCAGAATCAATCAAAGAAGAAAATGCAGATGATGAGATATCACTCTATTAAATAGAAAAGGTTGGTGAAGACAGAACTATAGAACCATTAATTAAAGGATTAGCAATGAAGTAATTTAAACATATTTCTTATTTAAATTAACCTTAAGTTGGATCATAAATCGTAAAGCTTAAATTTACTAAAAAATGATTCTTTTATATAAATATGTGTATTCTCAATTTTCCATACAATTATATTATATATTATTAATATTGAAAAATAATTAAATATTAATATCAGAATTTTATAGAATTCATTTAAATTAGAATTAGTATTAAAGAACTTAAAAGAGAATTTTTTTAGTGTGAATTCTTAAATTATTATTATGTGAATAATATTAATATCATTCATGTGAAGTAATTAATAATTCTTTCTCAAACGTGATTATAAGTTTAGTTCTGTATATTTAATTAGAAAATAGAAAATTTTATTATTCACATGGTTCTTTTGTAAAACTCGTATGCTTATTCACTCATTAATTGATTATGAGGCTGTAACTTTTATAGAAAATTTTTCAAAGAGATTTCACAACATCCAGCATTTATAGAAATAATATTTAAATTTATTCCACCTTTCTCTCTAAATACAAAATCTCCAGTTAATTTTACTAAAGCTGAAGCGATGACGTGTTCATGTTCTCCTTAAACTAAATTTTAATTTCTTAAATATGAATAGAAGAACCTACAAAGGGTTTAAAATTTCTGGTTAAATCCTATGGCAACACAAATTCTGGTCATGTATTACAAAGTAAAGGCATCCTAATCATAAGGTTTAATTAAATTAAGTTAGATCAATATCTTGCGCACTTGCTTTTCATCACAATCTAATACTTAAGTTATTTCTTTAATTCTCAATGGGATTAAAAGAATTCTCAAAGATTGAATAATCAATGCGCAAGCTATTGATTAATATTTTTTTGATTTTACTTTTTCAATCACCGAGTTATCTAATAGATCAATACATTAATGTCTTATGTTTTCAAAATTCATACTATTTATTATATTGTTATGAGTTAATTTAGCCATCATTTCATCAATTAAGAGATTAACTTATTTTAATCTCCTTTTGTCTGATTTTTATAATGAAATTTGAGTTTTAGAATCATCAGAGGAAGCGTGATCATAAATGTTCCAATTGAATTTAGGAACAGGAGGTTTTTAAATTATGTTTTTATTCATTTTAATTATTAAATTCTTTTTTGGAATAATTTCTTTGATATCATTAGGATTGCTTATATAATTAAAAACTTTCTTATCAGAAAATAACAGTCAGATTTTGTTTTTATTAATTGATCAGGATATGGAATATTGACAATTATAATTATGATAAATTAAGTAAAGATAGTAATTTAAATGAGTTAAGTTTACTAACAGACAGTCATTAATATTAATTATAAAATGGAAAATCAACGGATAACTAAAAGTCTTAAATCTACCTCTTCCTTAAATTCTAAATAATCTACTAAATAAATCTAATGTAATAAAGAGTAAAATATCTAATAGAACCAAATGTAATCATTTAACAACATCCAACTCAATTAATTTAGAAATCAGTTTAATAAAATATTCCATTAATTCCTCTTTAATAAGTAAACCGTGTATTACCAACAAGAGAGACTCCAATATTTAAATAAAATCAGTGTGAATTATATTCTTGTACAAAGTATTCAATTATTAAAATATTAATTTAGAGATGCCACTAGTTTAATGGCTAAATTAGATTCCCTAAGAGAAATCAAATCAACAGATAGCCCAATAACCAGTCATATTTCTCCTATACCTTCTACATAATAGAGTGTAATAGTATTGAAATAAAATAATCCATCAAAATCATAATAATTATTACAAGTTGCTTGTTCTAGTTGTGTAGAACCTTATAAAGTTTGTAATAAGAATGTTACTTAAAGTTAATAATTAAGTAAAACACTTCCTCCAAAAAAGAATTATGAAGAAATGATAGAAATATTAATGAAAGAATAAGAATTTTTAGTTTAATAATATAATGATTAAGTCAATATATTTGAAAATAAAGTGAAAGAGCTTTCATAAGAGAATAATAATTTAGTTGAATAAAATAAATTATTCTTGGAATAAAATTTATAATTAAATGAAGAAGTAACCCAACTTAAATCAAAACAAATATCATTATCAAATTAATCAGTAGATCAAAATACATAAAAGACAGTTTAATTATTAGAATATCAATTAGAATAAAAAAAGGAAGAATTAAATTAATTAATAGAGAAAATGAATGAAATTCTATCTATTAATTAGAAAACATAAGAAAAAAATAATGAATTATCATAATAAATTAATAATATTTTAGAATAAAAGGAAAAAGAAATTAATGCTTATTTTACTTAGATTACTATGTATAAATAAACAATCTAAGATCTTGAGTTAAAAATTACATAATTACTATAAAATGATTAATTATAATAAAAAACATTGAAAGAATAATAGAATAAATTAGTAGTGTTTGAATAATCAGAAAGAAACAAATAATAGTTAAAAGTAAAATATATTATTTATTTATAATAGTATAATGTTAAAGAAACATTTGAATACAAATAATTAATTTTGGAATTAGATAGCAAATGTGTTACAATAACTGAAAAAGATAATTAAATTGAAACTTTAAAAATTAAAAACTAGATGATATAATAACAATTAACTCAAACAACATAAGAATATTAGGTTTCTCTTAAAAATCTTAAAGATGTTTTGATATAAAGAGATAAAGAAAATGAAGAATTAAAATCTGATTTAATTAATAAAGATGAAGAAATAGAAAGATTAAATTAATCATTAAAAATGGTAAGGAAAGAGAAAGCTAAATTATCTATAAATTTAATGAATGCTGGAATGGCAAACCTTGTCATGTTATCTTAAAGCTAAACTTAATAAGATGAGATTACAGTTTGATTTAAAATATATTTGAAAAAATAATAACTATCAAATACCAGTTAAAATATCATCTTCGAATTCACAATCTATTTAATCTAAATTACTATTTGCTATGTAACCTACACCATGTTTCTTTCCATTTTTAAAGCTACCTTTATAATGAATGCCTTCCAAGTTATAAAATAATGTTCCTTAACCTTCTGGTTTTCCATTTACTATTTAACCTGTATAATATAATTTGCTATCTTATTATATTTCATTTGTATTAACATTTATAACTTCACCTTCATATTTTTTTAGCAATTATAAAATTTCTTCTATAAAAGCATTTTTCTTTTCAATTTCTGAATTATTTTGCAATTATTAAACTGGTCTTTGTTTTTAAGATCCTTATTTAATTATTTCTTATAATATTTCAATATCATCTTCAATTGTTGAATATACTTGAAGTACCTTAATAACATTTTTTTATGAAATTTAGAGTTCAAAATGTTATCGATGATAAAATGGTACATTGTCATAAGCTTATAAAGTTTTAATTCCTGAGATTCTACAATTTTATATAGACATTTTTGAGATAGCATTTGAACTTTCTAATTTAGATATTATCTATATAAAATTCATTTAATATACATCCAATTCACTATTACTATTTTTTATATAATAGTTTAATTGTGCAAGATTTGATAAGTAATACATAGTGCCATAAGAGTCAACAAAGAAATATGATATTTTAAAAGTCTTATTGTTTTTTCTTTGTTTCGTAAAAAACCCTGTCATTTAAGTTAAACTTGCCATTTAATTACAAATTGTAATATAAATATTATAATATACTCACTATTATCATTATTAGATTGTCTATTATTATTAATTAGTTTATTCTACTCTTTTCTAAGTCCAATCATATTAATAATCCATAACATATCTTTACTTTTAAAATAAATCTCGAAAGAGTTATCTACAATAATCATAATCTGGTTTCTCTGTAAATTATAAATTTCTACAATATTTCAAATATTATTAAAATTCTATTGGTGTTCCAACACATAATAATTCAATGCTTGTTGATATTTTAGATTCCATAATTCTTTCATATTTGTCTTTTTTATTATTATTTTTTAAATTTTGCCAAGGTAATGTCCCTTTCAAAAAATATATTAAAACATATCCAATACTTTCTAAATCATCTCTTCTACTTTGTTCTAATCCAAGATGAGTGTTTATTGATGCATACCTTGCAGTACCTGTTAAATTCTTTTTCTCTCTATATGGAATATGAGATCCATCTCTTGTAATAAATCTCTTTGCCAATCCAAAATCTATCATAAATAATATTTGAGCTTTTTTCCCTAAACCCATTAAGAAATTATCAGGTTTTATATCTCTATGAAGAAAATCCTTTGAATGAATGAATTCTACTCTAGTAATCATTTAATCAACCAGCATTAACACAGTTTTCAATGAGAACTTTCGTTGACATTATGTGAGTAACTCTTCAAGAGATGGTCCCAATAAATCCATTACCATAATATTATAATCTCCTTCAGTCGAACAATAATAGACTTAAGGAATCCCTTTTTCTACAGAAGCATTATCCTAACTAAGATGTTAATATAGTTTTGCTTCATAGTATAATTGAGGATGCTTGGCACTAATAGGCTCTAATTTTATAGCTACTTCTATATTATTTTTAAGCTAATATAGACTTTAAATTGCATTCATATACATTTATTCCATGAAATATTTCTCCAAATGCTCCACTTCCTAATTTTTTTGTTAATTTAAACGTCTTTCCTATTTTGGAATCCATTAAATTTCAAATAATTTAAAGATTAAATTTTATAAATTTCACTTTTTAAGAGTTAGAGATGTTTATTGTTTTAGACTTTTCAATTCAAATAAAGATCAAAACTATAATCTAAAATCATAGTCAAACTATTGATAATTATGAAATTCCTTTTAAGATAATTAATATTTTAAAGAGTAATCCAATATCTCAATTATGATCCACTATATTTATACAATTTTAATAAACACTATTTTAATATTAAATACTTTAAATCTCAGAATAATTATATTATTTTTTATAATACAATTTTTTGGATAGATTTTGAGTTTCTTATAATCAGAGATACTTATAAATTAATCCTTTTTTTCTCTTATATTTTTATTAATGTTTGCAACCTTATTAATCACTCAAATTTTAGTATTATTTGTCTGAATCATATAAATAGTTGATAACTGTATTTTAATTAAGATAATTATACTAATAAGTTCAAATATATTTTCATGAATCCTTTGATAATTTATATATAATTTAGCATATAGTAATTAATGAATTATGGAGTTAATTATTAATCTTCATAAATCAAAGATACAATTAATGATTTAAGATTAAACAATTAATTTGATTCCTTAAATTTGTAATCTATATGGAAGGAGTACTACAATAAAGTTAAGGAGTTATTTTTAGTACATTGAGGCATTACAGAATTGATTCAATGAGTTAAACTCTAAATATTTATGATCGGAATTTATGTTTGAAAGATCATCCAACCATACAAGGAATTGCTAAAACTACACAATACCTATTGGGTCTATGGAGGTCATAAGGGAATCTTTATATATGGAAATCAATTGTTAAATTAAAATATTCAATCATAGAATTAACATATCCATAAACTATTGCAGAAATTTTCAAGTATGATAGATGCAATTTCACTGAAATTATATGTATATAGCTAAAAAGAGATTGATCAATTAAAAAATGAAGTGGGGAGTGTGGAGAGAGTCTTATTAGTATACTCATTTTAGACATCTATTATACCTTTTGAAATGAATAAATTGATGAAGTAGTGTGCTTTAAGAATACAATAACATGCTATGACTAATTAGACATACTTATACACAATAAATGATTATGAGTAAGTTGGTGAAACCATTATTTTAGTATTTATTGATATAAATTATTTTAATCCATGTAGTAGAATACCAGATTCTTAATTTAATACGTTAGTAAATATCAATACATTTCTGGCATATAATATTATGGAATTCATAAATTTTAGATTTGAATTAAACTTAATGATAGTTCTCAAGTATCTTACTTTGTCTAACCAAAAGAAATAAGAAAGAATACTTACAAAGAACATCGAAATCATTCTATGATTATATTATAATTAACCAAATTAGGTATAATTTAGAATAAATATGAATAATAATAAACTCAATAACAGTTTTCCAGAAAACCTATGTAATAAGAGATAAAATTGTAAAATCAGATACTTCAATGATAATCTTAAAAATTAGAAAAAATTACCTGAAATATTAAAGAAGTCTAAACAGAAATAGGTAAGTGTCTTAAGATAATTCTAAAAATAGATTAATATCTAAAGGGAATGACTTTAGCATCTCAATAATAATTTTAGATAGAATTTAAACATTTAGAAACATTAAAAATCGTGCAATTATATGGTAGTAATGATGATCAATATATCTATTTAATTGAATTATTTAACTCCATTTTATTTTTTTAAAAAGAATTCAAATAAAAATAAACTTATGATAGATAATATGAAAGTATTATCATTTATGTGATTAGGTTCTTCTCTATAGGATTGTATTTTATGAAATTCTTAATTAAGTACTTGACTTATTTTGATCTTAAAAGACGTTCGCTAAATTTTACTCATCTCCTTAAGTTAGTAAAATAAGGGAGTTTGTTGGTTCATTTAGTTAGAGACTGGAAATTATTTAATTCTATTTTGATTCTTTACAACCCATTTTATAAATAAGGAGCTATCAAGTCAAAATAAATGTAAAATATTATAAATAATTGAATTCATTTTTTCCAAATCGAGGATATGAATAAGTAATCAAGGAGTAGTGTAGGATAATAAGATTTTAGAGTATCAAAATCAAAATAGCAAACTTATTCATCATTGTCTTTGCATTTAAATACAAGTAGCTTATTTTGCATAAGATGATGAGAAATAATACATTCTAATGGAATTTTACCATCACTTACCTAGCATTTAGAATTCTTATCATAATATTTTTGATTAAGGAGATTAAACTTTGGTAAATCAGTAAATTGACATTTATAACCAGGAGGTAAACTAGCTTATGGTTTATAAATAATGACTTCCTCTTCTCTTTTTTTCTTTTATTCTTTCTTTTTAATAACCATTAAGATTTCTTAAATAAATTCTTTTTCAGTTTTATAATGCCCATATTTAAAGCTGCTTTCAGTTGTTTGTAAAGGATACTGCTTATGTTAATATTTTTGTGCTTCTATTTTATAGTCATTTTTATAAGAAAGGAATTCTCTGTCAGTTTCACTCTTTCTTGGTCTACCTCTGCCTCTTCTTATATAAAAGTCATAATCTTCTTTATCATCATTTCTATCTATAAAATGTTTTTGAATTGACATACTTTCATAATTTTTATAATTGTTTGGTTCATATTATGTTTTGTTATTTTGTCCATTAAATTCTGTTTTATTGATTTAAGCTAATAGAGCATATTTATTTTCAGATGTATATTTCTTATATACTTAACATCCTTTTTGCATAATATGGACCCTAATTTTGATATGAGTATTTGCTTTATAAATTTTGGTATGATAATTTTTATAATTTTGGCATCTTTCAAATCTTGTAATCAATTAATTCGAAATTCCTTCAAAGGCAGTTTCTGGTTCCCAAGTGGATTCTGCTTTAGAATATCCAACCCATTTAATATAGTATTCAATGCTATTTAGATTTCTTTTGCCATGAACAAATTCAACATCAAATTGTTATTATTGAAATTCCATGATGAACTTAGTTACTAAATGTTTCCTTTATTTCCATGATTATTTTATAAAACTTATTAATTTATAATATATATCATTTAGATTTTTTATCCTTTTTAGGTTGGACTAACACTTAAGGTTTATCTTCTTATGCTCTGGATTTTACTTATTATCTTACTTCATCCATGTCTTTACAATCTTCATCAGAACTGTCCTCTTCTTTATATACAAACTTGATATTAGTTTCGGCATTTTCATTAATTTCTTGGGATATGTAACTCTGATATAGAGACCATGATTACTTTTGGATTAAGACAAATAAAGTCTTCAACTTTGTTATATCTTGGGTTTGTATTAATAGACTCTTCATTGAGAAATTCTTAAGTTTTTGATAAGACAGTTAACATTCTTTCTAATCTCAATTGTATAGTAGATGCAGTAGCAACTAAGGCATGTCTTTTAATTTCAATATTTTTAGGTTTTAATCCCTTTCCACTTAATTAATACATGATTCTTGACAATGACATAGTAACTTCATCAATAGACTTTTCAACTTTTTTAACTTATTTTTCTTTTTCTTAAAGTAAATCTTATTATTTAGTGACTTCTCTTTCTTATTCATCTAAATTAATTTAAGCATCTAAAATAGAATTCTCTTATTCATATTTTAATTTCTTAATTTCAGTTCTCAATTCTTCATTTTATCTTTCATATCTTTCAATTTCCTTTCCTATATATTCTTAAATGTTTTTCAATTCTTATTAATCTAAATCCATATTGAGTTTATATTTTTGCATATCTTCTTAATTAGCAATACTAGTTATAACTCTCAATTTTTAAAACATTTATTTCTAAAATTATTAATTTACTTACTTTCTTTTCTAATTCTTATTGAATATCATTTTTTTATTTATTAATATTTTGAGTAGCATTTTCAATAGCTAATTTAGCTTTAACTTTTTATTCTCCTTTCTTTTTCTTTTCATTCTCTTCTTTAATTGCTATTATTTTCTTTTCTCCTTATTAAACAATTTCTAAAGCTTATAAATCACCACAATTTNTTTAATATAGTATTCAATGCTATTTAGATTTCTTTTGCCATGAACAAATTCAACATCAAATTGTTATTATTGAAATTCCATGATGAACTTAGTTACTAAATGTTTCCTTTATTTCCATGATTATTTTATAAAACTTATTAATTTATAATATATATCATTTAGATTTTTTATCCTTTTTAGGTTGGACTAACACTTAAGGTTTATCTTCTTATGCTCTGGATTTTACTTATTATCTTACTTCATCCATGTCTTTACAATCTTCATCAGAACTGTCCTCTTCTTTATATACAAACTTGATATTAGTTTCGGCATTTTCATTAATTTCTTGGGATATGTAACTCTGATATAGAGACCATGATTACTTTTGGATTAAGACAAATAAAGTCTTCAACTTTGTTATATCTTGGGTTTGTATTAATAGACTCTTCATTGAGAAATTCTTAAGTTTTTGATAAGACAGTTAACATTCTTTCTAATCTCAATTGTATAGTAGATGCAGTAGCAACTAAGGCATGTCTTTTAATTTCAATATTTTTAGGTTTTAATCCCTTTCCACTTAATTAATACATGATTCTTGACAATGACATAGTAACTTCATCAATAGACTTTTCAACTTTTTTAACTTATTTTTCTTTTTCTTAAAGTAAATCTTATTATTTAGTGACTTCTCTTTCTTATTCATCTAAATTAATTTAAGCATCTAAAATAGAATTCTCTTATTCATATTTTAATTTCTTAATTTCAGTTCTCAATTCTTCATTTTATCTTTCATATCTTTCAATTTCCTTTCCTATATATTCTTAAATGTTTTTCAATTCTTATTAATCTAAATCCATATTGAGTTTATATTTTTGCATATCTTCTTAATTAGCAATACTAGTTATAACTCTCAATTTTTAAAACATTTATTTCTAAAATTATTAATTTACTTACTTTCTTTTCTAATTCTTATTGAATATCATTTTTTTATTTATTAATATTTTGAGTAGCATTTTCAATAGCTAATTTAGCTTTAACTTTTTATTCTCCTTTCTTTTTCTTTTCATTCTCTTCTTTAATTGCTATTATTTTCTTTTCTCCTTATTAAACAATTTCTAAAGCTTATAAATCACCACAATTTGATAATTCATCTTCCAAAATCTCTTCAAGCATAGGATCAAATCCTCTTTTTAAACTTGCTCCAAAAAAGTTCTATTAATTTTAATATTCATTTCTATATTTATTAACTATCTTTGATAAAGATTCTAATTGTTTTTTACGACTCATCATACTCTATGAAGAAGCCTCATATTATTAATATTTAATTTTCAATCCATCATAAGTAATTTAACATTATTTTTAAACTTCTAATAATAATTTTCCTTAATTTAATTATTCTAATTACTTCTCTTTCCATACATATCTCTAAGTTTAGCTATTTCATATGTCTATTTTGCCATCTTTTCTTCTTATATCTATTCCTTTTAAATTAATTCTTCAATTGATTCTTTGATTTCTGTATCATCATTTTGAATTGCTAAATCATTTAATAATTCATCCAATTTTCTACTCTTAATTATCATCTGTTTAATTTCATACAATAATCTATCTTTATACAATCTCTATTTATTCAATTATTCTTCCTTTCTTTCTAAAGCATTCTATATTTTTGGCCTTGATTCTAAATCATGTAATGCTGAAAATATTCTTTTATTATATAAATCATGCAAACTTTTTTATTACTCATTTCCAATATGAGCATATAAATCTTTATAATGATTTTACACTAAATCTTCATATTCCTTTTTTATCTCTTCAATCTGTTACTATTGAGATTCCTATAAAGGTTTAGGTTTCTATGTTTTGTCCTTATCCTTTTTCCCAGGGGCTATATATATATAATATACTATTAATACGTAGTAATTTAGTTGTTGCCTATTATAAAGCATCTCTGAACAATTCAATCTTTTTTACTTTCTAAAGTGACTTTGTTGAATTTTAATGTCCTGATTGCATAGCCTTTTAATTTACACTTTTTGAAGCATTCTGATTATTATTACTCAATTATGGAAGTTTCGAATTAGAATTTTAAGTCTTTTATGGTTGTAACTGATTTATTCAATGCTTTCTTACTTCCTTCTGTCCTTTATTTATTGTTTGTTCTTATTATTTCTAAACGTTTATTTTTGGCTACATCAATTATACTGGTGCAGTGAGATCAAATGTAGAACCGCCCCCATCCATTGTTTATATAAATTATAATTAATATTTATTGAAATTTCTTCACATATATTTCTAACTCACCATTAAAATTGTCATTTAAGGCTTAATTACATTAATATATTTCAAACTAAATGAATAAATTCACACTCACATTCTATCATAAAGATCTTGAAATGCAATATCAAACAACAAGAATTTTTATGAGGAAAAGAATCCTTTATACAATACTGTTTAGTTACCTTATTATGAATACAATGTCCTATGTTCAAAATATCATTGAAAAAAGCAATGAATTCCTAATTTAATTAGAACTTCTATTGAGTTGTTTCCTTGTCCTTCTTTATTTAATATATTGTTACATGGACAATAATTTTAGTTATTACTTTTGTGTTTTAAATGTGGTTGGATGTATGATGCAATTCTAACTATTAAATTACTAATCAGAGTAAAAAATATTCATATTTGGTGCAAATCTTATGGCAAGTTAAATGATACTCTTACAAAGATCAGATTTCATCTTATCCGTTATTTAAATATTTATTATTGCTTTTACAAGAATAACCTTCTTGATTCTTCTTGAGGAAATTGACTATTTAACAATTTTTACGACAATATCAATATCAATTTTTTTGGCCTTTGTTTAATTTAGAAGTGATAAAAATAGAAGATAACAATTCTTGTTAACTCTAAAAAATAATCATTGGGGTACTTATTTGATTTAATATAAGATGAATATTTGCCTAGTATGATTGGAAAACCGTTTTTTTATTTTGAATATGATCACACTTAATTTCTAATAAAAAAGATTCACAGACAAGAAGATATACCAATTTATAAAGATGAATTATGTGATGGATGTAATCTTAGAAATCTTTTGAGAGAATACTCTTATTAAAATTAGACTTTAGAGTCTTATATTTTGAAAAGAGCCAAAAGTAGGGTGCCTCTAATTTAGGGATTTGAAATGAGTTGTCAGAATAAGAAAAAAGGCATTTTATTTATTGAATATACAGAGATATTTAGCGATGCTCATATTTATATCATAACTATAATTTAGTAATCTAAAATTAGCAATAAAGTTCTTATAAAACAAAAGTAAGCGTTTCAAGTATATCTTTTTAAATACATAAAAAATTTAATGAAAATCTTTAATTGTAGAAATTCATTCACCAAAATAGTAAATCTTAATATTAATTACATTTGTCTTCTATATTAGTAAGATCAAACAATTAAAAGATATTTACCTAAATCTATTCTACTTAAAATTATCAAATTAATTAATAAAAAAAGTAGATAATGCAATATTTAAATAGTTTGTGACTAAGATATAGAGATTCAAGGATACAAATATAAATTCATAAGTTTTTGGTTATAAATTGTAAATTTGGCTATTTAGATTAATAGAAGAGAATAAATTTAAATAATTATTGTAAAAACAGATTGTTATATTGAATTTGTAATATGTTTAAGTCAAATTGCTAAATAATCTTTAATATTTTGGATAAGTTAGAATAAATTCATGTAAAATTTGTAAAATGAATTATTTTGGGATGTAGATGTAAATAATTTAAGATTAAAAATGTTTTAAGATTTAGATATTTCTTATATACAGTATTTAAAATGATGATAATTATATATTTATATATATAATATATATATATATAAAATGAAATCTCAATAAATTAAAATGAATCATGGTTAGAAATCATGTTTTATAGAGTTCAAAGAATATGATAAGCTTTATGTCTTGAAGGAGTACTTAAGCCAAGTTTTTAAATTAGCTAAATTCAGATTATAGTAAGGCATATCATATGAATGATTATATAGTTATAAAGAGAAGGATACAGAGGTATATATTGAGAGTGAGAAATAATATATGGATATGGTCAATAGTGGAGATGTTCAAGAATTATTTTTAGTAGAAGACAATCAAAAGGATAAAAATTATTTTGATTTCTTCATGTAATAGTTATTTCCAAATAATGTATGTTGTGAGAATGATTATTCTGGTTGTGTGATTTGTCAAGAAAAGAAATAAGTGAAGACTGAAGAATTTAATCAATTAGTTAAAGAATGTCTTTATGAATTAATAAATAAAGAAGATTTCTAAGCATTGTATATATAATATGTTTAAGTAGTTGCAAAAAATAATTTAAAAGATCTATTTAAGATGTTGATTTATTCTTAGAATTATTCAGCAAATTGAGTAAACCAATAAAATAAATTATTACTATCTAACCTTCCTAATAATAATAATTATAGAATTATCAAAATTAATAAATTTCAGCTATCAGATAAGCCAATACTCCTGTCTAATCCCAATTTTATAAACAGTAAATAATGAATAAATCAACCAATTTTCATCGCCCATCCGAATTATAATAATAGAATCCTAAATCATAAGTTCTACATTAAGGAAGCTCATTTGTTAAATCATCTATGATATATGGCACTATTCCAGATTATTCAGTTAAGTATGAAAAAAAAGAAGATAAAATATAAGAGTTCAATGCTGATGTTTATGTGAAAATAGAAATTAGTATTACAAATAATGGATTGAAACGTTGGCCTGATGGTGTTTATATTAAATAAGTTGGACATTATCCATAAAATTATTAATATGTTCCATCTTTAAATCCAAATGATAAAAGAAGTTTAAGTCTTTAATTTTAAACACCTATTGTATTTGTCTTCTTTAAATTATTTAGAATGCTGGGTAATACACTTTCACTTGGGTTTTATTTTATAAAGATGAAACTGACTAAGAGAAGAGGATTGGTTCTAGATGTATCACTGAATTTAAAGTCAAAGAATTTAATAGAGTTCAAAAAACATAAAAATGTGTTGATATGATTTATAACAGGATTTTCTAAAATAAAGGGAAAAAAGAAATACGAAACAAAGTTGATGATTTTATGTAAAGATATCCACAAATGGGAATACAATAAATTATAAATATGGTCTCAGAAGAGCTTGATTAATCCTGATAATTGATTAGTATTAAATAGATTGTATAATCATTATTTAAATATGCAAAATTTCATATTGACTTAATATATGAGTCAGGATTTAACAGGTAATAAGAGCTGAATTCAATAGACAAATAGATTCTTATGCTTAATTTTCTTAATACTTCTCTGAAGATGTTATGAACAATGTCCTTATAGATGATTCTGACAAAATCAAAGATTTGACTGATCGACTTAAAGATTCTTTGAAGAGTAAAACCAATAATACCATTCTACTTTATGGCTAAGAAGGATTTGGTAGGAAATCTGCAATTAGAAAAGCTATTGACAATTGTGAATAAGATTTGTAGATGAAATCTAAGAAAATCATAAAAATATTTGTTAATGCATATGTATTTAAATTTAAAACATAATAGCTCCATAAATCTGAGGGTAATATTCTATCTGCCATTAATAATCAATTATTATAAACAGCATAAATCAAATCCAAAATTAACAAGCTCTCTGTTGATGAATTGATGAAACATTTCAAATAATATGAAAATTCTTTTCATGGCATAGTGCTTGTAATTGAAAGAGTTGAAATTTTAGCAACTGTTAAAAAATAATTCTTTTTATATTCAATACTTGAATGGATAAGAGAATCAAAATATCCAATTATTTTTGTTGGAATTACTTCAGATTTATTATTTTAAGAAAAATTAGAAAAAAGAGTCAAAAGTAGATTTTAAAATATTCCTTATTTTTTTATGGAATTAGATTTCTAATTTGTTTAAAAGGTATTATTAACTAGACTTGAATAAATTGATAGAAATTAAGTTATTAACATATACGAAAATTATATTTTATCAAAATCATTTGAGGAATATTTTGCTAAATTATAATCTTTATAAGTATCAATTAGTAAACTTATTTATTTATTTCGATCATCCTTTTTTTTGGCAGGATCTCGTTTTAATAGACCTGATAAAAAAATGATTGATTCATTTAAATTTGAAAGGAATGTATAAGCAGAACCAATTAGTCTTTAAGAGTTAATGTAATAAAGTTTAAAATGGATATACCCAAATGTTAAATTAGAAAATGGAAAACGTATAAATTATTTATATTGATAATTTTAGTTCTATCTTAACCAGAGTATGTAATTTTATTCTCCTTCTATAATTTGATAATGCATTAAAAGCCATAAATTATGTTTGATGATATAATTTAGCATTCAAAAAAGACTATGTAAACATATAAATTACAACATCACAAAACAGCAAGTGAATTTACACCTTTAGTATTGAATAAAGCATTAGATAATTTAATTAAATAGAAATTCATATCCCTTCAATAATAAAGTAAGAATTTAGAAAATAATTAAATTATCTTATGTATGTCCATAGATGACTTAAAAAACTTATTTGAAAATATTAGATATGATTTACCTGATTTTATGAGTTATTTATATAATTTTAATTTTTGAAATTAAACTATATCAAATTGATATATATATATATATATTTGATTATTTAATTGTAAACTTAAAATTTTCATTTTGGTTATTCAAAATAAGCAATAATAATTTCCTCTATTGGATTATCTACTCCATATATCTATATAAATTCAACAGCTTATTCTTTTGAAATTTCTGCATTATCCATCAATAATTTTACTTTATTCTAATCTATTTTTTTTTAATTTTGCTAATTTGCATTATTTATTTGAGTTGTGATTCTAAGTGATACTTTATCTCCAAAGAACTTACGTTAATTTTAATCATTATAAGCCAACTATACTAATAAATAATGTATTATTACTTAAAACTCACTAGATAAATCATAAACTGCATAATTAGGCATTTAACAAAAGCATATAAATTTAGCTACTTATCCTGGATTGATATCATGTTCTAACTATTAAATAGATTATTAATATACTTAAACTAAAAAATTTTTATAATATCCACTAACTCCCATAAGTACTACATTTGTTTTTCTCCAAATGAAATCACAAGTATTGATAATTTCAACTTACAATTCAAATTTTTAATTAGCAAATTTACATATTTAAAAATCTCTAGTTAATAATTACATTCTATATTCTGGAATTTTAGGATTTTAAATCTCATTCTTAAATATCCCATGATATTTTAATCTTTCATCAATTTATTATATAATAAATTATTTAAATTCTTCTGAATGATAATCTAACTCTTATATTTCTTATTTCTATATTTCATTGACAATTCTAATTAATATAATAAAATAGAATATACTATTATACAAAATTGGTTTCAGGTTTATTCTCTTCTTTTACTATGTTTTCTTTCTTTTTTTAGATTTCTTCTTGTTTAGGTTCAGGTTTTTATTAAAAAAGATCATTAAATGTAGATAATTAAACAGTTGATTGAGCAATCACACTCTAATTTAGTATTGATAGATCATCATTTGTTAGATTAGGATTTATTAAATCTTTAACTAAAAATTTGATTGATGGCCATTTCAATTAATTATAAAGTTCTTTAATTCTTTAAAAGCATGTATCATCTAAAATTTTAAATGGATCCATTTCTATTAAATATTTAAAAGAATTACAAGGATGCAATGTAACATATAAATCAAATCCACCTTCTAATTGTTATGGATAGAGTGTTAATATTGCATTTTTGATTTCTTCAAGAGTTTGATGTTTTTGTGATATTTTGTGTGTTTTTGTGTTATATACTATTTTAATATTCATTATTATTAATAATCTAAACATAAAATGAAATATAAGTTTATAAATATATTTATAAATATAAATAAATAAAAAATATAAATATGAATATTTCTAAAAGAATAATAAATTATTTTTGTGTAGTAGGAACAGGAAATAATCTAATTCCACAGAATACTGAATGCTAGTAGTGTACAATTATCATTCTCAAACATAGAGCATATATTAACATCTTTGGAAATATATATAGAACAATTAGAAGAGGATATTCAGATTAAAGATAACGAAATTTGGATAGATCTTTGTGGTAATAAACAAGTCTGGTTGAAATGCATTTATGATTAAAATTCTTAACCAATAACATCCCTATCTATCAAAGAGTTTAAATTTGAAGAAAATGAATTAGTATTTGAGTTTTATAATAATGCAGAAAATACCATTAACAGAAGACATCTATCCTGTGCCAATTAAATATAAATCCGATAAGATCATACATCAATTAAAAGGAATCAAAAATGGATACTCTCTATATTAAGGATCTTATGATATATCCTAATATATTGATTAAAAAAAATAAACAAAAGATTATCATGTTGTTTTATGTTATCAGACTTAGAACTATTATCAACCTATTTGTGATATACGAATAATATTAGCAAATAAAACTGATAAAAAGAAATATACATCTTCATTTAGTGATATGAGTTTAGTAATTCCAAAGGATTTTAATATATTACAATTTCCATTAAGACATTTTCGTTTTATCATTTTCAAATTAAGTAAACCTACTAATCTATAAAATTTATTTAAGAATAATCCCCATTTAAAGTAGCTTACATGCCTAAAATCATTGATAGATATCCTCTTGTAGATCATCATGAAAGTCCATTGTCTCACATGACAACTATGATTCCTATGGTAATTTAGAAATTTTAATTTTAGTTTTGCTTTCCATAAGGCATATATCTAGAAAAAACTGAAATAGATCCTATTTCAAAGGGTTAATAAATCTTTAATTTTGTATTGACATCAGAAACTGGGGAAAGAACTTATTGTATTTGTTTAATATTTCATGAAATAATCCCTTAAATTATATTAGAATAGTTGGAATATATAGATAAACAATAATTAATTTGTTATCCTAAAGCATTATGTTTATTGAGTTCTTATAATCATTTTGAATAAATGAAAGAATTAATCAAATATATATATAGATGTTCACTCACTAAAAGTAACATCCCAATTGAGAGTAAGATCTGTAATATCATAAATAAGATTAAATTTCCTTAATAAATCTTTGAGCAAGAAAACATACACTTAAAATATGTATTGCCTTCTTAGGATATTAGTTTTCACATTAATTACAAATATCCTATTGGTTATAAAGAATCTTTAGAATGTTTATTTAGATTATTGGATATAAATAAAATTATTAATATTTATAGTGCAATTTTATTAGAGTAAAAGATTCATTTTATTTCTAATCATTTGTCAGTGCCTGGATTAGTTATTGATGCATTTTTACAATTATTATTTCCATTTAAATTCACTTCTATTTTGATTCCAGTTTTACCTGATAGTTTAAGAGGCTACATTGAAGCTCCAGTTCCATTTTTAATTGGATATAGCTAAAAAAATATAATAGAGCAAAATTAACAAATTTAAATTGATAGTTTGTATGTTTATATGGATACAAACTTTATTGTGAATTGTGAAAATTAAACTCTAATATCTGAAAAAGCCTTAAAGAAACTTAAATCTAAATTAAAGCCATTTAATAATTTATATAATGATAACTATTCAAAATAATACTTAAAAAGAATAGATTAAGCATATCATATTTATATGGATGATGAAAATTATGATCCTGAATTCAATAAAAATATAGATTGGTATTAAATTAGAAATGCATTTTTAAAATGTAATAGTATTTTAATGAAACAATATAAAAAATATATAATACCAAATTAAAATAATGAAGGTAATTTTAATGAAATATTCAATGTTCAAGGATATTAAGATTATTGGAAGAAGGATACATTTATATAATAATTTATGGATACTAGAATATTCCAATATTTTATTTAAGAACGTACAACACTCAGTGAGAATGAATCATAATATTAGTTTTTTGATAAATATATATGCAGCAAAGATCAGAAATTAAATTTCATTCACCCAAAATAAAAAATTGAAATTAAAATACCAGATGATAACATACTTACTAATTAAATTCACAAATATGATCAATTTCCTTTATTGAATCATAATCTTATGAAGTACGATTTAACAGATGAATAAGAAATAAAATAAGAGATTCTATAAGAAACTATTCCTTAATTGGATTAGAAGAAATGGTCAAAATATATGCTTGAAACCATTTACAAAATTTGGTTCTTAATTTTTATTGTTTATGTAAGAAATAATCAAGAAAATAATATATATCAATATATGACTGAATTAGCAATCTTAGTATTGGAATATATGCAAGATAAACATTTGAATTTATCTGAAAAGTTATTCAGATATGTTTTAGAATCATGTGGTTATTTTCAAATGGATTAGAAGGCTTTGTATTTGGTAAAATTAATGAAAAGAATCAAAATAGATGCCTCACCAGCAACTCATGGGATTTATTTCTTGGCTGTAGCATAAGCAATGAATAGAAAAGGATTACCTAGTAATCAACTATAATAGTCATAAATACTTTAAAAAGATGTATCCTTATTATAAAAAAAGGATTCATAAAATACTTAATGTAATTATGTCTATACTTTACAATCTACTTGTTCTATTTGTAAGCGTGAATTGCACTTTGAAGAGATTCTAGATTCTTATCGAAAGAATTAGTACGAGAATGTTATAGAATGTTTGAAAACAAATTAAGGTTGTGGATAAGAATTTATTCCAAAAATTCAAATTACATTCTATAAGGAAGAAAATCCAATTGAGTCCGAATAATATGATATCTATAATCCTATACAAATACTCAAGAATGTAGAGAATATTATAAATAATAAAGGAGAATCTTTCATATTGAGTGATTTGTTTGAAAAATAGTACAAGAAATTATATGTTAACATTATATTTTATATCAGACTTGTGAAATTGCCCTGTAGTCATTTACTTAAAAACTAGAGTACAAATGAATTAAAAAATGAAATTGATTAAGCTATGAAGAAATTTCAATAGAAGTAATCATAAAACATCTTGTAAAGAGTGACTTAAGAATTTGATTAATACAGAGGAAAATTATCTTAACAAGGGGATTTATCAGGGAATTCAAGTTCCAAATTTAAATAAGAGGATTAAATGGTATCATAAAATTATGGTAGCAAATACATGAGAAAAATATTCTCATTACTAATTAATGATTAATTTTCACTTTAGAACAAACGACAGATTTCTTAAAATGTAGGAATTTGATGAGACCTAAATAGAAAGCTCTAAATGAATCTATAATAATTTTATTATTTAAAAATGCTAATAGTAAAATATTAATGTGGATTAAGAGAAAAAGAATTCGAAACAACACTTTCAACTGGAAAAAACAAATTAAAAGATTTAAAAAGGGCAATTAGTGAAGATATCAGAGTAAAGCCTCATTTACTTACCATTATTCAAAATGAAAAGGTCTTAGAAGATGAAAATGAAATAGTTAATACTTTGGAATTCTATTAAGTTAATGTAATATCAGAACTCAAATTATTTAATTTTTTAATTGCTTCTGAAGGAGGTAAATACTTTGAGTGCAACTTGGAAGAGAATGATTTGTTATAAGATTTACTTGATTAGGTTGATGGATTTCTAAAATAAATTTTTAAAGAACAATATGACACATATGAATTATTTTAAATTAAACCAGACTAGCAAATGACTCAAATTTAATATGAATAAAATAGAAACTCTATTATTGGAGACATCTTCTAAGACACTAATGTTTAAATTTAATTTAGATTAGTTCATGAAATTTTGACATTAGGATTACTTGATAGTAGTGATAATCGTAAAGATATTGAAATTAACAGAAATAAAACTTTATTAGATTTAAAAGAGCTTATACGACCCAACTTAGTAAATTTCAAAATAATTATTAATGGCAAGTTCCCTGCTTAAGATTTTGATGAAAGATTAATTAAGGATGTTTTCTAACATAAGGATACAATATTCATTATTCAAGTTCATGAATAAGAAAAATGATTCTTTATGATTCATTTAATCTGAAGAATTATAAAATATGATAAGAAGATTTATTAGTTTTCTTAGTTTTTTTTCATTAATCTTTAACTTACTAGTTTTTATTTATTATATCAAATATATACCAATTATTGATTTAACATTTATTTGCTTGCTTTTGTCCTACCAAAAGAATCATAAACTTCTTTGCCTTAAAAAATTAAATTAATTTCTAATAGAATTTGCAACCCAATATTTATAATTAAAGTCTATTATAAATGTGTGATAGAAGATTTTGTTATTAATCATTAACTTGGCTTAATGTTATAATTGTATTTTATTTCAAAGCCCAATTTTATATATTTTCTGATAGGCATTTTGTATAAATTTATTGTTATAATTAATATATTGATTCTTTCAAATGATCGCAACTTTATATTTATTAATATTAATATATTGATAAGAATTTTTTTCATTTATAATTAAATATTAAATAGCAATATATCATTGAGTTTATATGACATTATAATTGAATCGAGCATTTTTATTTAAAAAATTAAATATCTTTAAAATAATAATAAAATGGATAATTAATAGTTGATGAATAAAAAATGGCTCAAAATTTCAAGAGAAGAAAAATTTGAAGATTTTTATGAACTTGATAAGAAGGTAGAGTATTCAAATTTAAACTTAGGAAGTGAGTTCGGGATCTCATGGATAGGTTTATAGGACAAAACACAAAGTTTTAGGATATGAAAGGGCTTTAAAGATTATTCCTAAAAATATTATTATTGACACAGATAATTTCAAGAAATCTATTTAACAACTACAAAATTTTGTAATAAATTGTAGATTTAATGTAGGATCATCCTAATGTAATAAAATTATTTGAAAGTTTTGAAGATACCAAGAATATCTATTTAGTTATGGAGTAAAAATATATCATTTATTATTATTTAGACTATGTACCGGAGGAGGATTATTTGACAAATTAATTGATAAAGATAATTACACAGAAAAAGAAGCTTAAGAAATATTTTTATAAATCATTTAAGCTATTCATTATTGCCATTTCCATGGGATATGTCATCGAGACCTTAAACCAGAACACATATTATTCCTAGATAAAACACCTAATTCACCAATAAAGGTTATAGGTTTTGAGGATAGTGTATTTTTCCATGATAATGCATACAAAACAAAAGATGGTAAGACACATATAACAAAAAAGATAGGAACAGTATGATAATAATATTTAAAAATAGCCTTACTATATAGCACCAGAAGTTTTAGGTGGAATATATGATGAAGTTTGTGATATATGGTCAGCTGGAGTGATTTTGTATATTTTATTGACTGGAACTGTTCCTTTTAATGGAACATCTGATTAAGAGATTTTAAAATTAGTTAAGTCTGGTATTTATAATATGGATATTCCTTAATTTGATGGAATTTCTAATGATTGTAAAGATTTAATATCAAAAATGTTAATCAAATCAGATCAAAGATTAAAAGCCGAATAAGTATTGAAACATCCTTGGCTAATTTAATTATATCATTTGATTTATCCTTTTAAATGATAAACATATATAATTTTATTATGACATGATTATTATAATTTTCTATTTATTTTTCATAATTTGATTTCAATTTATTCATAGAATTAAAATCAATTGAAGAAACTAATTATTATTAATTAGGTAACATAATATATTATCTCTATTATCTTCAATTAATAATTATATCATTTTTTTGATATATAAAGAATTAGATCTAGGATTGAATGGTTTTAGGCAAATAAAATAATGAAAGGATTGTATAATTTAATTAATAGATAACACATTTATAATTTGAATTCACAGACAACTGATAAGAAATATAAAATATATCTGACTAATAATTTTGTTAAGAAATATATAAGATGGAGAAAAGATAAAAAGATAGTTTCTATTGATTGAGGTATTCTAATATTACAATAATATTTCAATTTAATTATTTTAACCAATTGATTGCTTTATCAGAATCAATATAAAATTTTCATTGATATTTCTATTTCCCTTCTTAAATTTATATTAGACTATTCATAATTATATAAGTTTAATATTTACTATTTAGCTCAACTTTACATGATCTGCTTTTTTTTATCCATCAACAGTTAATTATATTCCATATTCAGGACTATTTCTATAAGAAATTTTACTTTAGTCTTAGGTATTGCCTCATTTGATTTTCAATTGCATTAAATTGAGTACTAAGGTCGAATTTTTGATATAGAACTATTCTTTTATTACCTCCATCCACTAATTGTATTGATACAGGTATTAAATGATCGAAATTCTGCATTCTAAATCAAATATTAAAAGCTATATTAGAAAATGAATAAAATTAATAAGATTTTTTGCGCAATATGTTAAAAAATAAATATTCATTTAATTAAAAAACTATATTTAAAGGAATAGAGGAATTAATAGATTTCATATCTTTATAATACACAAACTTGTTTAAATCTCATTTATAATATTGTATAAAATAAAATATGTTTACAAAAATTTTAATTTTTCCAATTTTCATCTCTTTAGCATGCTTTTCTATGAATGATAACCTTTTATATGTAATTACAGAGAATGAAACAATTAGATTAAATTTATCATAAGTGTTTATTGGAAATAATATCATATATTCAACATCATAAACAAATTTAAAAATAATCTAACCATTTAATGAATATGATAAATTAGAATTACCTGAATAAACTTATCCAATTAGTTTTAAACCATTACTTAATATCAATAATAAATGGATGAATTAGTTTGCATATTTGGGTGAAAATTTCATTTCTGTAAATATTACATATTCTAATCCATAAATTAACTTAAATACTCCTGAATTTAGGACAATTTTATATATAGAAAAACTAGATTTAACTTTGAATTGTTTTGATTTTGATTATTTTAAGGATGATAGTTTTATTATTGTATGTTAAAAAGAGACTCAAAACTTAGTTTACATTTATCATAAAAATGGAGAATTAATAAATTAGATAGAACTTGAAAATTTTCTTAATGTAAAATCTATTTAAATTACAAATACATTGGAATATTTTTACAAATTAGAAACCAATTAATTTTAATCTGTTCTTGCTATTTATAAGTGGAATGAAAATTAAACTATTTTACAATTAGAATCAATCATAAATAATTAAACTATTCATTTTTTATTTCCATAATAAGAATTTATTTCCTTAAAGATAAATAAATACAAAATATTCAATAAAAACATAATTTATTTTCTTGATTAAACTTTAGGTTTGTTTAAATATCAAAATAATTAAACTACTGTAATTAAAACTGATAAAATTATATCATTTGATATAGATGATGAAAATGGTTTTTTAATTTACCTTCAAACTTAAAAAATTATTGTATATCAACATTAGCATTACATTAAAACAATATCTTTAGATAGTAATATTGATGAGAAAGCAAAAGTTCATATTTCAGGATAATATGTAATTTTGCATAACACAGGATACTTTTCAAGTTTTAGTATTTATTCTGGATATTTACTTTAAAAAATCAATAGTGAAGGTATTATAACATATTTAACCTCATAACATTATTTGCTTACACTATCAAATGAGTATTCACATTTTTATTTACTTAATAATGGATATCTATTATTAAACACTGATGATTTAGAAACAAAAAATCCATTAAAATTTACAATTTAAGGAAAAGATGGTCATGGTTCATGTAATGCTTCTATTATTTTGTAAAGTATTTAAGAAAATTAAGAAATATTGATATCAGATTATGAGAATAAATCAATTATAATTGGATCTCCTTTTCATTAATAAGAATTGAATTTGAGAATTTCAGGGCCAGATTAAAATTATTTGTGTATATCTAATTGTTCAATTTAACAAATTATAAATTATCCATTTAATTTATAATTTAAGGATTAAATAATCTACCAAAATATTTTAAAAATAGATAATACTTATTATTATTTATTATAATAATTAAAAAATAGTAATCAATTAAATATTAATAAGTGTGAAATATAATCTTAATTTGCCTGCTCACTTTAATCAATAATATAAATCAAATTTGATCTTAATGAAGATAATTTTTAATCTTAATTAATAGATAAAAATCTTTATTTTGTGATTTTGGAGAATTCATAAACTATTTCTTTATAGACTACTAATTCTACTATAAAATAAATTGTTCTTGAGAAATCTGTTAAATAATTACTATTTGATCATTCATCATTATATCTAATATTTGATAATTAAATTCATTTTTATCAAAATATAATATAAAGTAATGATTATATTTTGATTGATGAATCATTTTTAAATAAGTGTTCTTACAATATCAAATTGAAACCTCAAAAATTATACATAAATTCAAAGAGAGATACACTAATTATTAATAATCAAGATAGTTTATTGATTACTAATTTATTTAATAACTTCTTTATTAAATTTTATCTAAATCTTGAAATAAGAGAAACTGACTTTATAGCAATATCAGATTAAACATTTATTTTAATTAAAGATAATATCTTATTTGAATATAATTATTATTAAGAAGTTTATTTAATTCATAAATTACCTACTTATTCTTAATAATTATTTTAGCCAATAAATGCCAAATAAATAAATAATTATTTATTAATTTAAACTGAATAGTAGGAAATATTCATATATAAATTTAATACTGAAGCTCATAATTCTCTCAAAATACAAATACAGTTAAACATCAAAAATTTTAATATTTAAAAATAAAAAATTTTAATTTCACCCTTCACATAAGATTAACATTTATTTGTTTTGTTATATTCAAGTGAATTGATACTAAAAAAGATTCATTTAAATCCTATCATATCATATTAATTAGAATATTAAAATAATAACTATATATAAGAAATGACAGCCGTAATAAAAGTTTATAATAGAAAACAAAGTTTAGAAATACATCAATCTATAAAATAAATTAATACATTTACATCAATATAATTACTAGAAAAGGAATTGAAAGATAAAAATAAATTACATCTTTCGAAATATCAATAAAAAATACCAATGGTACATAAATGGTATGAAGGTTAAGTAATAGATTTCATAGCTGAAAGTGAAATAAAGGATGTAGTAACAATCGAAAATCTTATAGAAAAGACAGATGATTTATTATTAAATAGACTTTAATTTAATAATTTAATATCACTTAACAATGTAACAAAAATATTATAAGGAGCCTAATCAATTTTATTACTAAATTCATAATTCTAATTAACTTCACTTATCAATTTAGATGTTTAACCTTAATATACTTGCATCTCAACTATATAAGATAAAGTTTTCTATTACACATTGTGCAATAGTTTGACAGATTCATACCTACACATTACTAAAGTTGATGATGGTTTTCCTTTAGGATTTCTTTATTAATTTGAAGGTTTTACTAAAAAAATTGGAAGTATAAATAAAAAAATTGCATTTTTAAGTGGAGATACATTAAAAATAGGAGATATTTTATTTGAAAATGGTTAATTTTCTATTAAGAATATCATTTAAATAAATGATAATTATTTAAAGTTAAAAACTCTATTTCATGCAGTTGATTTTGACATTATATAAAGTGAAGGAGATGAATATATCATATAAGTTCTAGATATAAGTGGGATTGTTGCAGTTTTAAGGGGAATCTATAAAGAAAATAGTTATGTAGTATTTAATATTAAGACATTTGATACAAAAGAACTCATCAAAAAAAACAATTATTCAATTCTAAGTGATACTTCATTCATCTTTATTAAAAATTTGTATTACTCCAAAAGTTTTATTCAAAACTTAAGTTTTCTTATTTTAACTAACAATGCTGGTTCTTATGCAATTAGAATAATATATGATGATGATGGTAATCCCTTTTTAGATTTCATGATTGTTTAATATGGATTTTGGGAAACATAGCGATTTGATATAGGAAATAACCTAATATCTATTTCTTATAAGAATGAAAATAAAGTCTTAATAGGAGTATATAAAATTAATTTTAATCAATAATATATTGAATTTGAATAATTTAAAATTGAATCAGGGTTATAAATTGATTAAACATAATAAGATCCTATATTCTTTTTCTTAAAGAATAAATATCTAATTGTTGATACATAAAATTAGATTTTTTAATAATACAAGATAAATGACTATATATACTTTATAGTTAAAGGAGCTTAAGATAGGCAACATATAAATATAACTGCCAAAAATGACTTTAATTCAAATTAATTGAATTATATTATAAATTATCATATTGAAGAAGAATTGTAATTTATATTTTATCAAATATTAGATCAAATACATGGTGGATAGTTTTGGTTAGTGTTTGTGGAGGGGCAATATTGATTGCTGTTTTCTTTTATCTATATAAAAGAATGCATCCTGTAAAAAGTGTAAGTTCTATTCTATTGGAATGATTGTTAATTATATTTATAAGAAATTTGTAAATTACTATTTTAATAATTTATTGTGTATTATCAAATAATATATAATTAATGGAAAAACATTAACATTACTGAAAATATATAGAAATGAATAATATATATTTAAAATCAATGAAATATATAATATATATTTAATAAAACTGTCATTTTATATGATATAAAATATTTTCTTATTAATATTATTATTAAATATCATTATCGAATTAATATAGAATAGAATAATGAAAGTCAATTAAATAATTATAAATGATATCATTTTTTTGGATTCTAATAATATAATACTTGAGAATATAATAGAAAATTCCATATTCTTAACAGTAAAGATGAAATATATTTAATATCACCTTATGATGAGGTATTGTTCTATATTTAATATTTTAATCCTAATCTGTTTTCTTAATCTATAAATTCCAAATTCATTTTTGTTTGTTAAAGTCATTACTCCTATTATGTGAAGCTACAAAATATATGATGAAAATTGAAAAAAAAAATATGTTAGAAATAGATTTAATATTAAATGTTAAAAATTATATCTTTGAGCTTAATATATGGAGTTATTTTATTGTTAAGTGTGATAATCATGATTGTTTAAAAGAAAGTTTAACGATTAAGGCATAATCCTGGATAAATATTGTTTAGTATACTATTATCACAAACTGTAAATGAAAATATTATTATTTAGATTATGTGTATGTTTATGATTTATAGTCAATTTTATGTTGTTGATGAGTCAAAGCAATACAAATTTACAATGACTATAACTGAAAGAAGTTGTAAATTGATAGCTGTACCTTCTTTAATAGCTTCAATGTTATATGCAATATTAAACATTTTATTAATTGCCAATCTATATTGTCAGATTTATGTAAAGAATTATAAGAGTTTTAATTTGAAAGAAGAGGTTATGTTGGGTGTGGCCTTAATAATAATTATCTCCATTTTATTGGTTTTGCTAAGTCAAGATTTAGGTGTTAGGTATTTTTTATAAAGTGACAAGCATTTTAGGAGATTGCAATTTAGAATCTTAGAATGTGTTTGCTGTATTTTTAGTCTACCTTAGAGGTGTATTAATGATAATATTATCAATAATATTGATAAAATTGTAAAGACATTCACCTGAAATATTGTAAACTGAAATATACAAGACATCAATGGATAAGTTTATAAGGAAATACTTACATACCTATATAAAAGTGAATGTAAGTTATGCTTGGCTATTCATAATTTCAAGATTGTTAATTGTATTCAATTGTTTCTATATATAGCCAATAATTCTGAATTATAATCAGAATTAAGAATAATTGATAAACATTTTATCATTCATCTAAGCTACATTGACATTAATAATGACTATACTTCGACTCCATGAGCCAATTATTCATAGACATATTAAGTATCTATTTATGCCAAAAGCTTGTGTTCTTTAAGAGAGACTACTCAACAAAACTAATTAAATAAGTGAAGATTCATAAAATAAATCTTATTAGAATATTATGATATAAACTTAAGGATAAGATATTATTGGGATTAAGTTGTATTAATAATAAAAACATAATTCATTAACACTTTCTTTAGAACAATATGATATCGGACCTTTATTACCTTAAGAATCTATTTAGTGTTAATAAATTGAAATATAGAATGTTATAGAACATAATGGACATAATGAATTAATATAATTATTATAAGCAAGTTATGAGATGTTAGAAGAATATTAATATTGTTAGAATAGTGAGATGACTTATTATTAATTCAATAAGATTTAATAACGTTAAATTTATATTAATTAGAATAATCATATTTTGGTAACTACTTATGGTTAAGATATATTGAGTTTGAAATTAAGAGAGTACTTTGGTATAAATCTAAAGCAAATTAAGTATTCTTTGGATATGTCTTATAATATAGACAATTTAAGATCTTAATAATTACCATAAGAAGGTACTTTATTTATTACTCATGATAATTTAATTTCAATTGAGTTTATTACTAGAGAATAAAAAAGATAATTAACAAAAGGAGGTGGTGTTTAATTATTATGGTAAAGATTAGATTAAGAATTTACATGTGCTCTTGGAATATTTCTACCTGTAATATTTGGAATACATTCATATTATTTAAATGGAAATTATTATACTATAGTTTTTAAATTGAATAGAATGAGATTAAAATATCCTTTATTTGAAGAATTATGGTCTCATTAAGTAGTTTTAAATAGTTTAATTAAATAAAATATAATAGGTTGGATAACAATTGAAAATGGTATTTATAATAAAAGATTTTTGGCTTAAGAAGTTAAGGATGGTAAATATAACATTATTTTTAATATGAATGATTATTTATTAGATGAGAATGATAAATATTCATTAATGGACATGATTAGACGTGATTATGCTACCATGTAATAAATGAAATGTTCATTCACTTTATAATTTGTTTATACAAAACATACTTCTGCAAGATTAAATAGTTTGGCAGGCAAAGAGAAATAATTTGATTAAGATTAATCAGTTGCAATTAAGAATAAAAAGAAAACAAAACATATTATTGGAAATATAGCTTCATTTGAATTAAAAACTAAATTGGGATTTGTTTAAGTATTTTGGGATGATTGCTGGAAATATTACTAATCTGACATTGAAAAACTTATATAGATTGTTAATGATAAATTTTGATAATAATTCGATTAATCATCTCCTTTCTTGCTAATTAAGAAGTTTGTCTAATTCAATTAAAATAAATTAATACGAAATTCTAAGAAAGCCCAAGGATTGGCATCTTCTGTTTAAAGTATCTGCTCATAAATTTATCTTGCTTCTAATACTTTATTTGTATTTGAATAAATTTCAGCTATATATATATTATAATTCTATTACCTTTAGCCAACTTCAAAATAGTATTTTTGCTATCCAACAACAAACATTATTCAATTAATGGAAGTGCTTCCTTATAGTTTTATTTTTAAGTCTATTCATAACCTAATACAATATATTTATGATTTTACATTAAAATTCTGTTCCTATGGTTAAATCTTGGTATGTAAGTTTTATTGATTTTAATGTATGTTCAAAAATATTGTCTATTCTGTCATTTACTAATTTCTAAACTTTATCAAGTTTTAATATGCAATTTATTTTATTATCGACTTCTTGATTTCCAATATTATTTAATGGAATTGGTCTGTAATGTTTTTCTAAAATTCTCTCTAAGAAAGAAATGCCTTAAGTGAATTATCTTTTAATTAGATTTAACTTTGCTATTAAATCTGTATAAATTAAATTGGGTTCACGAAAAAAATCTTCTTCTTCAGTTTATTCTATAATTTTATGTCCTGAATGTGCCTATCCAGTCATACATTTCATACAAAGTGCTCTTGTTTACTTTCGACACAATTCTTATACACAATAACCTATAATTTGTTTATTTTAATGTTCTGGATTTAAGCAAAATCTTTCCATGATTTTTAATCAAATAATATTTATAATCTAAAGAATTTTAATTAAATATTTAATTTTTATACTAAAATAATAATATTGATAACATCTTCTAATAAGATCTAAAGATGATATTATTCTCTTTTATATTCTATAAAATATTACAATAAATAGAGAAAAAGAATCTTATGATCAACTAATCTCTCAATTTATTATATAATCATTATAATATGTTCAATAATTGGATTTGGAAGCTTATATATAATCTATTCTTCTCAACATCGAACTTACCGTGTGTTCTAATTCTTAAATCTAATGATAATATTGACCACTTAAGTTTTAGATTTCTTTTGTACTCAATCCTGAAAGTGTTCTATTGACTTTGATCAAATCAGCTGCATTCAAAGATGGTGTTTACAGCTTTCTTTATCTCATACTATTTTGATCTTCTTTCCAAGTATTGGCATCAAAGGAGACAAAACTTTATGATGTAGATCTATCAAATTTCTTCCAATCTGATAAAGATGCTAGATGATGATGTTATGATATATCATGATCTACATGTAATTTCTTACTTTATAAAGGACTCTAATTTAATGACATTAAATTTTTGTGATCTAAATGAAAAGTTTTTGCTATTTATCTTGATTTGTCTTCTGTTCCATCCATTTTAGCTTAGGCAGCTTTACGTACATAGTTTCTAAACTCTTGTAATTCTTATCTGTTTAAACTATTTGAATTTGTGTACGATATATTGGAATGATTATACATTTGAAGGATTTTGTATAAAATAAAAATTTATTTATGAATAAATATCTAAAACTGCTGCCACATTTAATTAATTATATTATATTTCACATCAATTCCACTGATACATCTTTTCTAAAGAGTATTAAATCAATAATATCTAAATTCTTATTCCAATTTAGATTTTGTTAATTTTTATTAATTTATAAATAAAATAATACTAATTCAATATAAAATTAAGTTTATTATTTTATATGAATAGATCAATAATAGAAGAAGTCCTCTTCTTTTATTAGAATATTCAAATTTAACTTATTAAAATTGAAAAACTAATTAAACTTGATTTTTGAATATAAATCTTAATCAAATTAATAATATAATGCTTAACAGAGTGAAACAGAAATAATTTCAAGTTTAACAAAGGTTATAAGATACTTTATAAATAAATAGTAGAAAAAATGAGTATAATTTTATGTTGTGTTTTTTAAGTTGATAATATGAATTTATTTTAACAAAAATTATATAAGCATTATCTGAAATGTCTTTGAAGGATTTTTAAGTTCTCTCGAAATTAGGTATTTAAATTATAACTAACAATTTTTAGGAGAAGGAGCATACTCGTCAGTCTACAAAGTAAAAAGATTGGAAGATGGTCATGAATATGCTTTAAAGAAAGTAAAATTACAGAACTTGAATGATAAAGAGAAGTAAAATGCAATAAACGAGGTTCGCATTTTAGCATCTGTAAAGCATCCAAATATAATTTGTTATAAGGAAGCCTTTATTGATTTATAGAGTAATTCATTATGGTATGCTAAAATGAAATTTTGTTATTTAGTATAGTGATGGAATTTGCTGATGGAAGTGACTTATATCAAAAGATTGTGAATAGTAAAAAGAACAATAAACCAATTGAAGAGTAGACAATTTGGAATATATTCATCTAAATTGTGAGGGGTTTGAAAGCATTGCATGAATTGAAAATACTGCATAGAGATTTGAAGGTATAAAAATTATTGATCTTTAGAGTGCCAATGTATTTTTATCACAAAATGGAGATGTTAAGTTAGGAGATATGAATGTATCAAAGGTGGCTAAAAAAGGATTACTTTATACTTAAACTGGAACTCCCTTTTATGCTAGTCCAGAAGTGTGGAAAGATTAACCTTATGATCAAAAATCAGACATTTGGAGTTTAGGATGTGTAATCTATGAGATGGCAGCACTTAAGCCTCCATTTTAAGCCGAAGATATGGAAGGCTTATATAAACGAGTAATACGTGGATACTATCCAAAAATACCTCAGCATTATTCACAAGACCTCAATAATGTTATACGATCTATGTTGTAGGTGTAACCACATTTAAGACCTAATTGTGATAAACTCTTACAATTTCCTTCAATATTAAAAAGATAAGAGGAAATACCATAACCAGAATAAGTAGACAATGAACCTAATACTTTGTTATCAACTATCAAATTTCCTAAAAACTACCATTATTTTACATCCATGTTACCCAAGCCTTGTTATGATTTTATTAATAGAAAACAAATAAAATCACTTCATTCATAATAAGCTAGTCCTAATCCAAGATCTATAATGAGTGTAAATGGTAGTTATGAAGATGTTACTAGTTAGAAATCTATTGAAAAGGGAGGTGTTAATATTGTTAATAGAAAACCCTAACCTGAAGTTCTTATGATACTCGAATATCAAAATAAAGTATGAGAAATACATATATATTTATTTAGTAAATTCGAAAACCTATAATGAAGATTCGACCGAATAGACATTCAAGTCAAGAAGAAGTTAGTTTATTAGATGTTATCACTTAATAATAATCAAAAATCTCATTAGAAAATTAAAAGTTACCTATTTTAGAAGAATAATCTCCAATTAAACGCAAGATTAGACCTAACAAACATAGGAATCAAAGTTTGCCTAATACTAATCTACTCCCACTTATTTAAGCAGGTGTTTTAAAATGAAATATTATAATTAACATTATTTATCATATGATTCATAATTCAAATAGAAATCCAATAACAGATCCCTATTCTTTAGAAGATTAATTAGCAAGAGAATTATAAAAACGTAAAGTTGAGGAAGAAAAAAAAAGAAGGGAAATAGAAAGAATTTGTGCTGAGAGTGAAGAAATCAAACTACTTAAATAAAAAGTTTAGACTGCATATGTGACAAAAGAGAGAACTTAACAATTAGCTGAATAATAATTGAGAAGAATTTAAGAGTTGGTATATATAGTCAGTTATATTTTCAAAAATAGAAATAAGAAAGTGAGATTGAAGCAGCTATTCTAGAAAAATTGAAAAGAGAATAAGAAGAAGAAAGGGCTAAAGAGAAATTTAGACTTCATTAGAGATTAGAGGGAAAATATGTATTTGAATTCATAATCATCTATAATAGACATTATAACAATAAATGAAAGAACATGAACAATTAAGAGATGAAGCCAAAGAATAATATATTTATGAAAAGGAATAAGTCAATAGAGTTATTCAACAATTAATAAATGAAGATCGCAAATTTATAGAGGATCAAGCAAAAAAGAAGAAAATAGCTTTTTCAGACATGTAAAATGCTTTGAGAGAGAAAGCTGAATTAATATATAGAATGAAATAAAGGGAGAGAGAAGAGAATTAGAAATATTTAGATTTTATGAAAGAAAAAGATAGATAAGCTCATGAAATTAAAGTTAAGAAGTAAGAAGAGAATGCAGCCAAGTAAACATTAATCTCAAAAATTTCATTAGGGATAAAATATTTTAAAAATTAAAGGAAGAAGAAGAAAGAAGAAGATAAGAAGCAGAATTATTAACTGAACTAAGATTTCAATTATATTAAGAATAATATGATGCATAATAGAGATAAAAAGATATTGATGAAGCTAATAAAAGGGAATTTTAAAAAAGAGAAATGTAATAAGCTGAACAAGAGGCACGATTAAGAAAATAAAGATAGAAAGAGGAAGAATAATAAATGGAAAGAGATTTCAGAGATTAAATGATGAGAAAATTTGCTGAAGATGATAAATTAGAATAGTTGGGATAATAAAAAAGAAGAATGAAGGAAATTGAACATAAAAGAGAAGTTGAAAAATTATGGTAATAGAAATTGGAAATGTATTAAATGGAAAAGCAAAAGGAACTTGAATAATTAGAAAGATAAAGAAGAGAAGAAGCTTACAAATAGTAAGTAATTGAAGAAGAAAAAAATCGTATTCTTTAAGAACATTTACAATAAGTAGGAGAATTCATTCCAAAAGGTCTCTTATTAAAATAAGGAGATTCTCAATTTATTAGGTAAGGATAACCAAATGCAAGTTATTAATCTGGATTTAGAATGTGAAATTATTATTTTTAAATATTTAAAATAATAAATATAAACAGGATTTTGTTAAAATAATAATTCTATTTTACTTTTTCCTTCTTTTTTTTTAAATATATGTAACCAATAATCATCATTGATTCAAATTCTGTTTACGATTGCAGAACTCACAGTTTAATTAAATCATGCAAATTTGATATCAATGTCATATTAGGTTCTTTTAGTAAAACAATACCAAAAGATTAATGGTAGATAAAAATGAAAACTATTTCATTACTCCTTTTAACTAGATTTCCATAAGAAATCCCTAAAATATTTTAGATACTTGAAGTATAAGGTTGTAAAACAGATATTATTAAAGAAATGTATACATAAGAAGAAATTCAAAATATATTGCATTAGATATTAGAAAATAATGAAAAAAAGTAATTAATTGAAAATGATTAAAAAAATTAAATTGATTCTACTGAATTTGAGTAGAGATTTATAAGAAATAATATTTAAACATAAAACATACCTTAATTATCAGAAGATCTATAAAGGAATATACCTTTATCTGTAGGAATCAATATAAATAATTTAGTTGAAAATTTAAAAGGATTTTGCATTAAGTATCCTTGGTGGAATCAATTTTATAAAAGAATTAATTAATCAAAAAATGAAATTGAAGCTGAAAATATACTTGTTGAAATAGCTCCAATTTTAGTATAAAGATTATATAATTTAAAAAATAAATCTTAATTCTAGAATCAAGATAATTCAACAAATTAATAGAATAGATAGATGGATTTTTCAAAATTTTAAATGGAATAGATATGTTAAAGATTACTAGAATTGATTAATTGTAATGATTTGGATGTTGAATTTACAGATTTAAATGTATTAGAATCTGCTGATGAACAATTTTTAGAATTTCTCTCTATTATTTTTTAAGTACTCAAATAGATGATGAAAATAAATGCAACTATTGAATTAAATGATAATGAAGCCACTTTCTCACTCACAGGTGTTATAAAAAGATTTCATAATTATTCTTAAAATCAATTATTAGCTTAATCACATATGTTTGCAATTTCATTATTAGAAAATATAAGAAGACAAGCTTAAATTAATTAAAGTACTTTTGAAATAGTTGCATCTATTTTAAAGTAATTGATGCCTGATGATAATGAACCATTAATGAGAACATTAACTGATCGTATTGAATTTAATAAATAATAAAGGGATAAGAGAAAAATGGCTAAAGATATGAAACAATAAGTCTAACAATAATAAATGAACTATTAAGGAATCAATTCAAATCTTAATAAAAAGTAAAAAATTAATCATACAAAATAAAAATAATTAGATGATTATTTAAAATTAGAAATAGCAAGAAATCAATAAAAGGAAGAATATTTTCCTAAAAAGAAAGTTAAAAAAGTCACTAAAACAATTACTGTAGATACATCAGAGGAATCTTATCAATCATCTTTTTCCTTCAAAGGTGAAGATAAAGTATAATAAGAATAGAAACCCATATACTATCCAAAATTAGGTTAATAATACTAATATCCATCTATGATGTATCCATATTATAATCCATATTGTTGGTAATATCCTTATCAATAACCTCTTTAACATCAAAATTAATTTAATGAAAAACAATTATCATAAATTTTCAATATGGGTTTAGAAGCGTATAATGATAGAATTCTTCGAGAATGATTTTAAATATTATATTTATTCTAATCAGAATTTAAAAAATAAATTAATAATTCAAATAAATTTTTTTGAAAATAACTCATGTTAAATAAAATTAAAAATATTATCCTATTAATTCTTTTTTATCTCTTCATAGATTAATTTTATTAGTATAATTTATATTTTATTATAGAATATTGTTTAAAATTCTAAATTTCATAATAATATCAAATAGATGATTGTTGCTCCTAAGATATACCCATTTTCATATTCATAATCGAAATTTAATTCTAGGTATTATTCATCATTTTATGTCACTGGGTTTTCTGAACCTTCATCTTATTCCTCTGAATCAGAATCATTATATATGATATCACAAAATCCTATTGAATTTAATTTGTATCCTGAACGACAAATTGTACATTTATTATAACTTTAACAAGCTTAACAATTCTATATAAAAATGATTGAATAATTACTCCTGGACAACCAACACAATATTTAATAGACTCAATTGTATAGGTATCTTTAGGACAAATTTCAAAACATTCTGTTTTGTATCTAAAATTTGAACAATTATCTTAACAACTAGAACCTGAATATCCTTATTTGCATATGCACTATAAAATTTAATATAAAGTATTTACTAATTTATTTAAACAATATCCATTTTAATTACATTAATCTTAGCATTCATTTTGGGATTTACAAAATTCTTCAGGGTCTTTGGGACATATAAGCTTTCCAGAATATTCTTTATTTTATATTTCAGCTTTTGATAAACATTAATATTCTTTTTAATCTATAATTAACACTAATTGAGAATTTGAATCACATGAATATTGATAACAACTAAATTATTATAAATCTGCAGCACTTTCAGATTTACTTAATGATCCTTGAATACACATGCTATCATGTCCAAAATATTAAAATGTTTCTAAATTTTAATCACTTACAGTAGATGATTTATCTTTACAATCAAAACCCTCTTTGATTTTAAAATATTAGCATTAACTACTATAATTGTCTGATTGACATTCTGATTATCCATTATTTAAAAATGAGCATCCCTATTATTTTTCTACTTTACAAAATTCATCAAATTCCCCTTCACATTTTTTAGTAAAAAAATCGCATCCTTTATTTTTTCCCCAGAGTACATTATCTGGTGAATATTCCATTAAATTATAAAAACTATATATTGAATAAACAATTACCCTGTATCTTAAAATAGTGAAAAAGTAAAGTCAGATATAATAGCATTTCCTTCCATAAGTGAACTTGTTAAAATTTCATTATAAAATAAGCTTCTTTCTAAATGAAATAATTCATAATTAGGTCCTCCTTCATTTTCTAACTATGCTCCATTAATAGAACTGCAATTAAAATGCAGTTTCATTTTTTTTGTTAATCTAGGAGTAGATAAATAACTATTTCCATCCTGAGTCATAAGTACTTCAGGATATGATTTATTAGTTGAACTATCGAAATAATTAATAAATGATTAAAAATGGAAACCCATAACATACATAGATACTGTAATTAAAAGTTGAGTATATAATTCGAAATTTGAGTTAGTCACATTTGTCAGATTCGTAAAAAATGTATTCCATGTTATATAACCTACTGTAGGTCTTTTTGTTTTTGGATCAGTTTTAAAATAAGTAGAACTTGCAATAAATTTTTGGTTTGAGTCTGTTATTAATACAACAAAAATGAGCTAAATATTATATGATTTTTATGTTTACAAGATCTGCATCAAACTTTTGGCTAACAAATTAAGTTGAAATATTTCTTTCCTCAAAATATTGAGTATCAAGGATGTCAAATGTAATCATCTCATTCGATCTTTGTACTAAAAAGTATCTTGTTATAAATGTAGTTGTAACTGAAAATAAATTTTAAAAGAAATCTTTGTGCTCACCATCATAATTTTCTTATCCGAACTAATACTAAACTCTAATTGGTTCCCATTTATTTTCAATAACTTCTTCTTGAATCCTCTTATTTTGAACTTTGAATACATCTGATGATTTTCCATTTATAATAATAAGTAAAAGAAAGATAGTCTTATACAAATATTTCATTAATAATTATAATTATTTTGATCTTCTAATTAAGAAGAAAATAAATATTCTGTTTAAAGAAAAACAACTTTAGAATGAATTCAAACAACTTTTCTATTACTTCTTTTGTTACATTGATTATAAGTTATGATTAGACTGATAAATTATTTAATCATTATAATACTTAAATGAAGTGATATTATATATTACAGAATATTAACTAAAAAAAGTAAAAATAATTAATTTGAAATCTATTTGTATTTAATAATATTAATTTTATATGGCCTTCAAGATGGAGTGTTGATATTTAAAAGAAATATTTATTATGTATATATATATTTAAGATATAAAATAAAATTGATATTTAAAAATATATTTCATGCTCTAACTCAATAAAGAATATTATAATCATATTATTATTTTCTTATTTTGCCAGAGCTCTATATCTAAAACTCTTTAACTTCTGGGATATCTTAATAACCTAGACCATTATTGTAAATCATGGTTTTTTAAAGAGATCTTTTCAGCATGTCTATCTATATAAAATATAATTACTAAAATTAATATAAAAATGCTCCCTCTTATTTTTAACAAACGTTATTGCCTCATTTAGTGGAATTAATAAAACCGATGATAAATATATTACTACTAGGGATGGTGCTCTTCCAATACCTGAAGTACAATGTATATATACTAATTCATGTTGATTAATTAGTTTTTTTAGTATTAACACTGCTTTAGATATTTTTTTTTCGAAATCTTATGGGTCCATATCAGAAATTTCAAAATTCTTCATTTAAATATTGTATTTCTTATAACTAGTTAATATTTCATCCCAATCTACTCCTCTATGATATACATCAAATCTTGTTTATAAATTCAGTACAGCTTTGAGTCCATAATTTCTTAGGATGACTATATCTTATTCATTTTATGGATAAGGGCCTATAATGATGTTTTCATTTATTTGAGTAATGGAGAATTAAACAAAAAAGTTCCAATCTAATTTGTTTAGTCTTCCAAAAGACTCATAATAAAAAAACGAAGGTTCCTTTTCTGAAAATGAATACCCCATGCTTATTTCTTTGTTCAATTATTATTGATCTTCTTAACAAAATGATCCATTTTTCTTACTATGGAGTCTCTCATGTTAACAAGCAGTTAATAACTAAGTTTTTATTTTTATTGGAGATGAAGCATATTGATCTTGAACCAATCGAAAAGATTTGAGATCATTAGATTTCAAATATCTTCCATTTCCTCTTTCCCATATCATTGAACCTGTTTAATCATTTCTTATGACATAAAAATATCTGAATGAAAAATTCATAGAGTCTACAATAAAGGAAATTGACCATTATTACACTGGTTCTCCATTTACTAAGTTTACTGGATCAAAAATTACATAAGTCAATTTTAGTTTACAATTTCATAAGTACTGGGTGAATCCATTAACCTAATTACTCAATACTACCAATGACCATCATTCTCTATTTTTCAGGTAAATTGTAATTTAATTTTAATTTAATTGTTCTGTATCCCCAATATTCGCCTTTAATATTTAATTAATTTTATACAATTAAAATATTCAGACTTTGTTTCACTTTCAATCATGTGATTAGTAATGACTCTATTTTCTCCAGGTTCCCAAATAGTATCATTCAATGTTGGAAAATCATAATTATTAACTATGAATTTNTCTATCTATATAAAATATAATTACTAAAATTAATATAAAAATGCTCCCTCTTATTTTTAACAAACGTTATTGCCTCATTTAGTGGAATTAATAAAACCGATGATAAATATATTACTACTAGGGATGGTGCTCTTCCAATACCTGAAGTACAATGTATATATACTAATTCATGTTGATTAATTAGTTTTTTTAGTATTAACACTGCTTTAGATATTTTTTTTTCGAAATCTTATGGGTCCATATCAGAAATTTCAAAATTCTTCATTTAAATATTGTATTTCTTATAACTAGTTAATATTTCATCCCAATCTACTCCTCTATGATATACATCAAATCTTGTTTATAAATTCAGTACAGCTTTGAGTCCATAATTTCTTAGGATGACTATATCTTATTCATTTTATGGATAAGGGCCTATAATGATGTTTTCATTTATTTGAGTAATGGAGAATTAAACAAAAAAGTTCCAATCTAATTTGTTTAGTCTTCCAAAAGACTCATAATAAAAAAACGAAGGTTCCTTTTCTGAAAATGAATACCCCATGCTTATTTCTTTGTTCAATTATTATTGATCTTCTTAACAAAATGATCCATTTTTCTTACTATGGAGTCTCTCATGTTAACAAGCAGTTAATAACTAAGTTTTTATTTTTATTGGAGATGAAGCATATTGATCTTGAACCAATCGAAAAGATTTGAGATCATTAGATTTCAAATATCTTCCATTTCCTCTTTCCCATATCATTGAACCTGTTTAATCATTTCTTATGACATAAAAATATCTGAATGAAAAATTCATAGAGTCTACAATAAAGGAAATTGACCATTATTACACTGGTTCTCCATTTACTAAGTTTACTGGATCAAAAATTACATAAGTCAATTTTAGTTTACAATTTCATAAGTACTGGGTGAATCCATTAACCTAATTACTCAATACTACCAATGACCATCATTCTCTATTTTTCAGGTAAATTGTAATTTAATTTTAATTTAATTGTTCTGTATCCCCAATATTCGCCTTTAATATTTAATTAATTTTATACAATTAAAATATTCAGACTTTGTTTCACTTTCAATCATGTGATTAGTAATGACTCTATTTTCTCCAGGTTCCCAAATAGTATCATTCAATGTTGGAAAATCATAATTATTAACTATGAATTTATACTCGATCTTTTAATATTTAGATCGATCTATTTTAAGACAAATAGTCCATTCATCATTCTTTAAAAAAAATATCATTTATACTATACCTAATTCCATTAAAGACGTAAACCTTTTGTAGCGACCCAATTACCAAGGATATTACAATCTCCTACTATTTTAATTGCTTTTCCTGGTTGAGTGTGATAATGTATTTTGAAATACACATTAAAATATGGTATTGGTAGCAATGCAATTTTAGATACTGATTGCTTTTTCATTTATTTCTTATGAAAATTAATTTATTATTTAATCAAATTCAATTTAGAACATCTTCATAATGTCTGGAAGACCTAACAAAATTTTATATACTACCTTGAAGGATGTAAGTGTCAGATTTAAAAAATTAAAATTTGTTGACTAAAAAATTTTATCTTTTTATACTTCTTCTTCAATAATTTTATTTTCTATTACTCTGTCATTATTACTAAATTCAAGTTCAATATATTGCATTACATATAGTAAATACATATTCTATCTATTATCTTAATTATTTTAACTAGAACATTACTATGATTGTTTAAAATTCTTTCTCGAATAATGTTCTTAAATAGGATTTCGAATAAATTAATTTTAAACACGGAATCATTTCAAAATTGATATAAAAAAGTAATGATAGGTCTTATATATCACAGAAAGAATAAATAATATTGATTAATACATTAAATCTAATTTTGGTAATAATTTGTTGGTTCTTAACTTAAAGATATCAATCTAATAATTATAATAATAAATCATTCAGTTCTCAATCTTTCTTTAGTGGGTTAAAGAAATTCAATAATGGTATGAGGAGCTATCCTTTTATCTGGATCAATAGTAAGCATTTCTCGAAGTAATAGCCTAATTTCTAAATCGACTTTAATTCCTAAAATTATCATGCTATTAAAATACCTGAATAATTATTATCTAAGTAATGATCTAAATTTTTAACAACATGAGCCTGTTTTTATATAATTTGATCAAAAGCTCTATTTTTGACAGCAAATAAGCCTTACTCAATTACTTCCTTATCGTGATGCTTAACAATTATTTTATTGCCCAACCAGAGTGGAATTCCATAAACTATTTCAAGAATTACACATCCCAATGACCATATGTCTATTACCCAAGGTTTATAATAATTTGATAAGACTTTGAATAATTTAGCATCATAATCCTTGCCATTTTCATATTGAATATAGTTCAAGATTTCTGGACACATATATTCAGGAGTAGCCATAGAGAATTATGAGAGATCATCAAATAAGAAACTACTTCCATAATCAATTAGTTTGGTTTATGTAATAATGTATGATCCATTGAGACATTTAGATTTTTTAATGAGTATATTTTCTGTTTTAAGATCACAATGTACAATCCTCTATTCACTTAATAATATTAAGGCATGAGCAACATCTTTAATAATCTTTTTTAGAATATTTAGATCGGATTTTAAACTTAGATATAAGGGTTTTTAGATCATCTTGTATATTGACATGATTAATTACTTTGAATACAATTTCATTTTTGATTTATTATCCTTTCAAATCATAGAGTGTATTTTTTAAACTTTCTCCACATACTTCTGTGAAAATCCATGTATCAGTAGTTCCAATCTCATATCCTAAATATTGTAATAAGCTTTTAACTCCTATAGATGATTTAAATTAAGGTTTAGGATTTCCGTTGTCAAAAAAGTGTGATCCAAACCAAATTTCTCTTAGATAAGCTTGATTTGAATTGGATTGTTTTATTTATTTAATTGCAACTCTCATTTTTGTTGTTTTGTGTTCTCCTAACCAAACTAATGAGAATCCTCCTTTACCAAGAAGCTTGATCTTTTAAAATTATTATGGAAAATTATCTGGATGTTAATCTTCTTCAAGTGACTACTTCTAATTATTACTTTTTTGCCTTTTACTAGTACTATTCAATATGTTTTATTTTCTATCAGCACTTTTATTAGATGGAAATGCATTGCTAAATGATCTTGATTTAGATTATTATTTAGGAATGTATGAATCTAAATTTAAGAAATCATCAATTATATCTATTCCTTGTTCTGTTTTCTAATTTAATCAATACTAGTACAAATCTTTTGCTTACTGATTTCTTTTTAGAATTAACAACACTCAATATGGCTTCTTTTTCGAATTAATCAATTTTGCTAGATAACTATAATCTTAATCGTTCTTTTTTTGGTTTCTCAAATGAACTCTAACGCATTTATTATTTTGGCTTTCCAGAATAGGGACTCTGATTCTTTGTCTTAAAAAAACTATTATAAAGCATAAATTAATTAGAATCAAACCCATATTATTTGAAAGAAGTTCTTAGTCTATAATTATTTATAATCAATACAATCATAATAATTATGATGACTTTAAACGCTTCGACATGAATATAATGATATAACAATTCCCGACTGAAATTTATTTTTATTTTATAACGAACTTAAGAATATATTTATCTCAATAATAATCATAATCCAGTCTATTTTAAACCCCATTAATCTAAACCATCCCCTGCATTAACAAAAGAACGACTATCCACAACATCATGAATAGGTTTCAAATAATCTTACATAAGTTTTGCACTTTAAGCTTACTCCCTATCATTACTTGCATTATAAATTATTTTGGCATTCTAAATCTTACTTATGATAATATCAATTTACTTTTTAAAAGATTCATCAAATTATTATCTAATTAAGTTAAATAAAATGAATACTTTTGATTAAAATTCAAATTTTAAATGAAAGTATGTATACTTGTTTTGGCCCATTAATATTTGAATTGATCAACCAATACTTCTAAACAATTAACTATATATTATTATTATTATCTCCTTTAAAATTCTTTATTATTCTATTATAAATTAAAAATATTACAAGAAATTGATCAAAATCAGGTATGATTTCATATTCATATGTTTCAATTTATTATAGTGAATTTTATTATACAATATTTATTGGTTCTAATATTTAAAGAGTGTTTTAATCATCAATTATTTTTTTTAATTCTTTCAAGACATTGTTAAATTAGTAGGTGTCATCAGTTTAAAGTTTAATTTTGATATGTAATTGAATTTTTAATATATCTAAAACTTATGTGTATTAAGGCATTTAGCAGAGATCAAAGATTTCTATAACCAATTAATCACATTCGTGTTACTTTAATTAATACTTAGTTATTGATAAGCAATAAAGTATTTATAATAAATGGTAATCATAGAATTTGTTTTTAAATTCCTTAATTAGTAACTTAATTTTATTCAGAGCAGTCAATATTTTATTATCATTATTTAAATATTTGAGGACTAAACTCATTGCTTATTAACAACTCATTTATTCTTTTTATTAACTTTCTTCAACTTTCACTTTTTTATTTTAATCTCCATAAATCTATTTTTCCATTTAATGCAATTGTTATCCCTATTTTATAAATTAAATTACTTTAGTCTTTTTGAAAAGTTGTTTGTCTAGAATTCTTTCTGCTTATGTTTTACAATATTATTCTCTTAATAATTCTTCGTTTCTATTATTATTATTCCTATTCATAAAATATATATATAAATATAATTATTCTAATTTTAAAGTGAAAAAATTAATCAAATTTAATAAAGATATTATTAATTTATTAGAATATCAGATGTCACCATTACCAGAACCAAACAATAATGGTATTTAAACACCTGAGAATAGAGAAGTAAGTTTAGTATTTAAATTTAGGTGTTCAGATTCATTTACAAGAACAAAGAATATGATTTTACAGAATATGTTCCTAAACATCCTGCAGGAAAAAGCTTCTTCGATAAAATGAAGGATGAGAAATAAGATATCACAGAATATTTTAGGTATATCTATTTCCATATGTTAGATGTCTACATTCAAAGAAAGCGTTGAAAATATTGAAATCTTAAAAAGTTGTACGTAGTGATCTTAAGGAATCAGAAGATAGCAAACGATATTCTCATATCAAGAAACAAGTTAAAGATCTCTTTAAACCTGATTGGACTATTGAAATCCTTCTTTTCATAGGATTGAGTCTTGGATTATATTTAGGTGTCACAACTGATTGGTACATTGCAATACCAACAATTGCATTAACATAGATAGTTGCTGGGTATTTGATATATTATATAAAATTTAGATGGTAAGGTCATTCAACAAATCATAATCGACATCCATTATTATATAAATTGTCCATTCCTTATGGTATTATCCATGGATTCTCTACAGATTGGTGGTAATTTAAACATAACAATCATCATATCTTCACAAATCGTATTGGTAAAGATGATGACATAGATCACACATATTAAATGTGGTAATACGGATTCCTATATTTAAAGTAACTATTTATTTAAATATTTTAACAGATGGAAATTCGATTCAATTCTTGCATCCTATAATAAAATTGACATTATCTATGTGTTGTTACATTAAATCATTGTATTCTAATAAAAAATTTGGATCTATTTGATTGCACAATATATTGCAGGATTCTTTAGTGCATGTATTCTAATTGGTAATCATGAAAGAGAATATAAATTTTATAAAAAAATTGATAAGCCATTTATTGAGCATTAAATCATCACTTCTAGAAATTATGATTGGACAGGTATTTTTTTAATATAAATCTATATAGATTGGTTATCCAATTTATTAATGGGAGGTATGTAATTCTAAACAGAACATCATTTATTCCCTCAAATCCCATTTTATAGATTACCCTATGCAGCCAAAATTATTAACAGAGAATTAAACAAATTTGGATATAAAATCCATATAGGAAAGATCTTGTGATATATTTTCATTAAAAAATAAATCAATATAATTTAAAAAATAGAAAACTTAAAAAACTTAACAAATGCTCACATAATTTTTGATCAATATCTGTCCAATTCATTTTTATTACACCTTTCTAATCTTTTAATATGATTTTCACAACAAAATCATAATCACTATCTTCTAATCTAATAAAGACCTTCCCACAAAGAGTTTATTAATCTATTTTTACTAACCATGGATGATATATTATTAATTCCTCCAATGAATTCAATGGAAATTCTTCTCCTTAGTATCTCATATTATATTCTTCAAGATCCTATGCTTTCCAGTAATTATATTTGAAGAATCTATTGGCTGGTTTACCTATTATAAATTTATGAGTTCTTTAAGAATCCCTATCATATTCAGTGTTACCTTATCCTTATTAGAATTGATTATAATATGTATTATTGTAACCTTGATAACTTATCTATGATCTATAAAAAGGATCATTATTTTAAATCCCTTATTATCCTTGACTCCAATAAACTCCTTTATTGATTACCGTATATTTTAAATAGCAATTCAAATATACTCCAAATTAATCATAATTCCTAAACATTATCACTTACTTAATTGTTTCTCCAGGAGATAAATATTGATGGGCTATTTTTTATGGATTAGCTTCAAAATCATTTTTTTCTAATATTAAGTAAACATATACATTTTTATCCATCAAAGCATACAATTAAATTTTAAATTCCATTCCTTCCCTTATTTTTATAATTCAAAGTCATTTTATATCCCTACTTTATGCTTTCGTTCTTTTCTGAATTTTATATAATAATCAATTCTTCTGTTTCAAGTAATATTACCTAATCACTTAAGCATTGTTTTTTAAAATTCTATATTTCATTTAGTTACAATCCCTTTAAATATTATCTTTAGAAGACTTTATTAGTTTAAAATTTAATTAAGTCTTTTTCTCTATTATCTTCATTTATAACACTTTCATTTAAAAACTTAGATTATGTTTGATGTATCAATTAAAATGGATTATGAGTTTTTTCCTAAGAATTTTAAGGTGTGTATAGATTAGGATTAACTTCTTATTAAATATTCTAAATTGGTGATTCTTCAATTTATTCATTTATTTATTTAGATTTTTTTAATTCTATTGAGTCAAAACTCATATTACTATTAGATTTTTATCTTTGCTTTTATTATTCCTCTTTTATTTTTATAAATTACTCTTAAAATTAATGAGTCTTATTATCATATTGTATGATTATATCTTCAATTATCTATACTTATTCATTCAAATATTTCTCTTTCTTTGATTCAACTCTTCTCTTTTCATTTTATAAAATATTATAAATTCCTTAATATAATATATTTTATCCTTCTTATTTTATATTACTAGTATCATTAATAAAATCATTACTCAAAGCTTAAGTAATTTCTGCAATTTTAGGCAATAATAAATCCATAATTTATTCAGCATAAGTTTAAACCTTATTATCTTCTTTGCTTTCTCTAACACTATGAAAACCCATTTAAACAGATGATGGAAATTCAAATGATTATGTTTTATTTTAAGATTATTGAATAACTTTTGATTCATCTATATAATTCTCTCTTTAATCAAAAGAATCAAAATTTATTTTCTAATTATCTTTCTAATCATAAAATTCTTCTTCTTAAATAAATCTGAGTTTATTCTCTTAATCTTAATTTCCATAAAGTGTAATCTATTAAGTAGGTGATTCAGAATTATGAATTGATTATTCTATTTATGATCCTTCCATTGAACGTTTCCTAATTTGATCAAATTCATCTTTATGAAATTATTCTAATCTTTATTCCTTTTTTTATTAATTGATATCAAATCCATCCCAATTTTCAAATTGATTATCTTATTAATAATTTACTTATTAAAAATTATTCCATCCTAATTCAAATTTTTCATCTTTATCTTTTACTGAAGATTAACTATCTGATTTTGCTTTAGTTTATTTTTCATTCCAATCATGAAATCCAAATTAATTTATATGTTGATTCTGAATATTTGTTTATGAATCATCTTATTTTTAAATTACATCTAAGTTCTATTAAAATTATCCTATTACATCATCACTTTCAGATTAAACAGTATTTTATTACTTCCATTAAAAGAAATCAAATTAATTGGAACCTTATTCATTTTATAAGTGATTTTAGTTTTTATTATCTTATTCATTAAAATTTAATTAATCAAAAGATCTTGAAGAAGGAATAGTAAAATTTTCTTTTTTGAAAAAATCTAAATTTTATTATTATTAGTTTGTGTCATCATTAAATAATCCTAATTAAAATATATTATTATTAAATTAGTTATTATTATTTTCGGTTTACCATATATTAAACTCTTCCTTATTTTGATTTTTTGGTTAAACTTAATCAGTTTATTATTGATTAAATTCATCAAAAAAATTTGTTGCTTAAAAAAAGTTAATATCTTTTTGTTAGGTCTAAGATTTTTAAACTTCATCCCAAGGTAGATCTGAATCGTCTCTTTAAGAATTACTTACACTTTTCTATTATTTAGTACCTTAATCGAAATCTAAACTAAAATTTAATTGTGAAGATTGTTTGTTCACATCCTATTATAGTATATTTTTTTAGAATGGAAATTATAATATCTATTAAGGTTATTACTTAATTTATGAACTATTATTTGAATTAGGAATATGTTTTTCATTTAATGATTTCTACGATTAAATTATTTAAGACTAATTTGGGGGAGTATGCATTTTATTATCAATCTGCTATTATTAATCTGAATATGATGGTTAATTAAATAAGTCATCAACTTTAAATATATTTATATCTTTTATTTATTAATTTGTAGTTTAAATTCCTTAAAATTAATTATTTATTTAGAATGGAGGTAAAGTGTCTTCAAAAAATGGAAAAGAAAAAGCATCTGAATTTATATTTTATACTTTAGGATTTATTTATTATTATTATGGAAAATCAATAGGAAATTGCTATCTATTATTTTATTAAATTTCATTTATTTTTTATATCTATTCACCTTATTGAGATACATCATTAGAATTTTAATCAAAAATTTCATCAAATTCGTTTAGAATTTAATTTTAATTATTAATATTCTATTGTTGCACTTATCCTAATCCTTATACTCTTTGGGTTTAATTCTAAGAATTTATTCCTACAATTTAATTGTTTGAATTTTGTTCAAAATTAAACAGAGAATTTTCAATATTCTTATTATTATTTTATGGTTTTCCTTGTTATGAGTCTTATTCCCAAAATGGGATATCTTAATTAGATTTGACTTTATTATCATCAAATAAATCATCCAAATTAATACGATTTTAGACTCCTACTTAAACTTAATTGAATATTTAAGATCCACTTTTGGATGTATCATTATCTTCATCAAATGGTGTAGATTTTTAAACTTAACCTAATTAAGTTTGTTTGTTAATAGAGTAAGGGCTGAATTATTGGGGAGAGTGATAATTCTACATTTAAGGGATTCTGTTAATTAAAATATAAAATAAACTATATTATATAGTTGTATCTCATTCTTTTTTAGTTTTCTTAAGATTCTAATATCTAGCTTCATTTTCTTCATCTTAATCGTTATAAAAAGTAAATGATTATTTTCTACTTCTTTGTCCTTCTACTTCTTATTATTGATCACATTTTTGTGGATGAGAATCTAATTAGCTTTCCTTTTCAGATTTTGGTACATTTATTAAATCAGATAACCTCAATTTCCTATTATTTAAATACTTTGATATTTTAGCTCTGGGTTTTAATGAGATATTGAATACATGATAAAATGAAAAAAGGACTCATCATTTCCTGGTCTAGATTCTAAATTATTATCTTGATCTAATTTAGAAGGTTGTTTCTACTCTAATTGTATTTATTAATTCTACAATTCATCATTAAGATCAACTTCTGAAATAGATTAATAAGCATTTTGAATCTATTAAATAGCCATAATATTTCCTTTTTCGTTATGTAAATTACATATTTCTTTAAGGAGTTCATCTGGTAATTGATTTATATCTTAAACATCTTATAGTTTGTTTTAGATTTTCTTTTATTATTATTGATATTTTGTGACTTATTCTTTAGTAGGATTATGTATTTGTGAATCAGGTAAATTGAGGTCTAAAATACCTTATTGCAATTGGGCTTTAATTTATTATTATTATTGGTTAGATTCCATTTACATAGATTCTACATTAATTTGGATTTCATCATCGGATACATCTAAAAATAAAATTATTAAAATATGATGTCATACCTATAATAGAGTTATTCTTTTATTTTCTTTGTATTTATTCTTCTTCAGAAAATTAATGAAACTTCTTATTTTCAAAGATTTCCTTAATTTCAGAACTCTTCAGTCCATTAAATTATTGATTAAATTCTTTCTCTAAACGATTGAAAAATTTCTAGGCATGAGATCTGATACAATTATCATATATAAAAATACCTTATTTATGCTCCACTTCTTGTACCAACATATTCTTCAACTTTTTTCCAATTCTTTCCATGTATACTCAATGCTTCTACAAATTTCTAATGCTCTTCCTTTATCCACCTACCTTACACTGCTTCACTCTATACTATCACTTAATTTGATAATTGCTACTTCACTATCATCCAAAGATTTAGATTGCTTCCTTTTATTCACTTAAGCCATTTTAATTAATTTTTATTAAAATTGAATTCATACTAGTCGAAATCAAAAATTATTGTATATATTAAATATTATTATCTTATTCCTCTTTGTTATAAATTGTATCAAAAATCATAACTTTTAGAATATGATCAATCAGAAAAAACCATAAAACTTTGAAGCCTTTGGTACTTAAATCCCCATACCCCTAATAAATAAAATAAATACATCAAAATCTGAAGTATGTGAGAAGAGAAAGTTTGTTCCTATTAAAAAATAATAAAATAATTTCAGCTCATAATTATAATAGAATAAGTAATAATCATTGGTAAAAATTGAAAAAGAAACAATTATTGAAGAGAAGAAAACAATCTGTTAAAAGCCTAAATAATCAAGAAATAAATAAATAAAAAAAGCTTTGCCTTAAGTAAAATCAAAAGTAGAAGAATCAATATAAATAAATTAAGAAATAACAAATCCAGAAATTGATAAACCACTCACTTATGTCATTATTAGAACAGTAAAAATTAAGGAAATAAAAGGAGAAATTATACTTAATTATAAGGATAAAGCTGAATGTCTCTAAATTAGAAATAGACTTTTAAATTTTGATGATGTTAAACAGAAATTTCCATATATTGAAAATTTAAATGAGAAAATATTAATTGAAATAGATAATGATATTATTATGAAAAAGAATTAGATAGGTTGGATGGATTGTAGAGATTGTGAGGAATATCGACTCTAATGAGAATATAAATAATTACTATAGAATAAATTTTGTTATACTTTTTTACAATATTAAATTTACGTATATTTATTATGTTCAACAATATTTTTTTATAATTTATAACATTATATATTTACTAGAAAATTAGAGTAAATATAAATAAAATTATTAATAAGTGATTATTGTTGGTTATGATTTAAATTCATGCATAGCTTTTCACACTATTTTATATTATTTATAACCAACTTTCTTATTGCAATGTGGGCATTTATGTTCTTTGTCTTAGCATTCTAAAAAGCAAAATGGTAAAAAGAATAAAGGGAAAAAAACAACTAATAATATAAATACTACTATCCATGAATGTATTCCCATTTTATATTGAACATGTGTTTAAATCATTTTTGTGCAATATGGACAAATAATATCAGCTGGAAAATCACATCCATTTGCATTATTCCTTTGCATCATTTATGTAATTAATATTGGTTATTATTGTTAGGAATATGGTAGAATTTGATCTCCTTTGTATTAGTAATCAAATGAATATTGAATTTATTGATTTTCTTGATTAGTATTAGGATTCATCATAAAATTTATGCTATATAAGTTTATTAAGTAAATTAAATTAACTTATTCTAAAATATTATAATTTAATCTTGTTTAATAATTTATATATAATATTTAGTTTATTTGGATTAACATAAAATATATATTCATTCAAATATATATATATATTCCTTTAATTAAGTTAAGGGTATCATAATTTTTCTTGTTTAACTCAAAATTATTTTATTAATTAATTTTTTTAATTCTTTATTATATTTAAAGAACTTAAATAAATTGATCAATAAAACTAAAGCTTTGGGTTAATTTATTTTTTATTCTAATTATGGCAATTATCATAAAAATAATTACATAACTTAAAATCATAAAAAATAATAATCATAACTTCGTTTAATTATCTAAATTAATAATTATTTTTCCTATATTTTCACCCTTGAATAATCTCTTTAGTGCTTTTGGAGTGTCACTTAATTAATTATATTCTTCCTAAAAGATTCTTAGTTTTTTTTATTGAAATTATTAAAATAAATAATCAAATGCAGCTTAAATTCTAGTATATATAACTTAATTATTACTTATTTAATTCTTAATTAAATGTTATACCCTTCAATTTTAATCTCTTATAAATGATTTAATTCATATTACTTAATCCTTATCTTTCACTATAATTTGAAGAACTACCCATAGATCCACATAAGGCAATCTTTCCATTTTTCCTCATTTTTTGAATCATTTTCTCAAGCATATATTCACCAACATTATCAAAATAACAATCAACACTATTATCTTCAATTTATTTATCCCAATCATCCAATTTATAATTTATGATTCTTAAATTAGGAAATTAATTTTATAAGAACTTTATTTTTTCTATATCTCCTGTGAAACCTATAACATCACATTACATATTTAATGCTAGTTAAATACAAAATAATCCTGTAGCACCAGCTGCTGCTGATATTACTACTCTTTATCCTTTCTGAATCTTACAGAAATCAACTAATCCATAATATGCTGGTAAGCCATTCAATATGATAGTAAGTAAATTAGAATTTTACAATTCACACTTTTATAGTAGTTATAACATCTAGCGTGGAACTTTTATTAGCTACTTCTTTTTATTAGTTTTATCATATAAAAAATGAGTTTATAATCCAGCTGGGCCAAAATAAATGTCATTCTAATTATCTACTGGAGAACTCAAAGTAAATGCATGTATAATGTCATTTTACTATAATGCAGGCAAATATCTAAGAATTAAGAATATAAATATTACGTTCTTGCTCCAGATATCCATACTCTCATTATTGGATCAATTGATATGTATCTTGTTTTCATTAGTAACAATTATGAACTTGGAGCATCTAATTTCTAATCGATTAATTAAAATGCTTAATCAAGTTCATTAATATTCTTTGGAGCTTTCTATTAAAGAATTAAAGATTATTTATGCATTTTTTTTAATTTATTTATAATTCTGCAAAGAAATATTCATAAAATAATAAATTTATCATTATCTCTTATCATATTATACTCTATAATATTAAATCCATCGACTGTATATAGAAAAGTTTAATTGTTATTTTAATATCCTTTTAGTAACTTTACTTGAATATCATTATCTAACTTTTCAAATCGAATATTTATCTCTTCTTTTTCTTCCTATATTGTAGCAATTTGATTCTCATAATGATTAGAATTAGCAGATTTAGTATTGATAAAAATGTATTGACTATCATAAAAAGCATTCAAATATATTATTTGTTATGAATTAAATGGAAATTCTAATACTATTTTATTTTATTTGTTTAAGAATTTCCTAAATTTTTTTAAGATATAAATTTTTGATTTATCTGAAATCAACCAATAATCACCAAATTAACAAATTTTTTTAATTTTTCCTCCAAAAACATGTGTTATTCTATTTTAATTAAAAAACACAGATTTTTCTGCTCCTATTATATACTCATTTTCAGATTTTGCAAATAAACAAGTAGGAATAATTTTGGCTCCATAATCAAGTTTTATACAGTTTATTAAATTGAAATTTAAAGTTTCATAAAATTTTAAATTTCCATCTCTCCCTAAACAAGCAATAGCTTAATCATTTTGGCTTGATTATAATTTCTCAATAAATAACCTCCCTTCTTCTTCGCTTACTAAAAAGATACTTGGACTATAATAATTTACTATATAAATTAATACTTAAATTAATTTTTCCTTTCTTAGTCATATTCCAAAACTTCCATATACCCATCTTTTTTTCCAATAACAATTACTGAATCAAGTTTTGTAACTTATATTGAAGTGATTTTAGCATTAATTTATAGAATTTTTGGTTAAAAGCATTATTATATTAAATCATATATTCTTATTTAACTTTCTGTTGCAACTACTATTGAATTGTTTCCAAATTTTTCTATATATTTAATATTAGTTTATTATTCACACTATTAGATTTAATCTTATGTTTGTAATTAAGGTTATTATTCTTCAGTATTTTATTAAACTTATTTCAAAGCATGATTTCTTAAGAAATTAAAAGCTTAATTATATTTATTTTCTAGTTCTTATTATTCAGATCCTTATTATTAGTTTTAGATCCATTGATTTTCATCATCATTGTTATCACTTGATTCATCATCATTTGATTGATCATCTTCTAATTATTTATTTGAATTAATTTATAATATTGTTAATTTTTTTAATTTTTTCTCAATATCTTATAAAGCATTTTTTATTTTTGAGATATTTTTATCTAATTTATGTTGCATTGTTTATTATTCTAAATTAAAACATTAATTTCTGGATTATTCAAATAATTACTATAACAATTCAAAATTGGATTGTGAATAATTATTTTCGAATTATTATAGTAATTATTTTAAGTTATTTTATTAAACAAAAGCTTTTAATTATTATTTTATTCTTTAGATATAAATTACATAATAATTACTTATAAAAAATATCTGATTTGCTTTTCAAATATAATCCTAAATCCATTATTTACTTTAAATATTCTTATAATTCTTTTTTATAACTAATTTTATAATAAATTATATACTTTTCAAATGTTTCTTCTAAGATTAATTTATTAATTGAATCTACAAAATTTTAATATTACACAACAAGACAATTATTATGAGTAGATTCAATACTATTTTCTAGAATACGTCCTCTATATTAACATTTAGAATTTGTACAGATGTAATAATTTTGATTCTATTCATCTTATTCTAAAATTTATTCAATATTTTCCATTTATATATATATATATTTTATTTAGTTTAGATCTATTTATTCAAATATAAATAATTAGTTGATAAAAGGATAATATATTGTCTTTTAAAAGACTTTAATAATCATATAATTTTAATTTCACTCAAATCTAACCAAACTACTAAAATACAATCGGTTTAATTAATTTTCATAGAATATGAAGAGTTTGTATTTAGATTTAAAAATGTCAATTGTCCCTAAGAATAATTGCATTGAACTAAGATAATGATAAATATTTAAATTACTTTTATTTCCTTCTTAAAATGCAATTCCTTTATCTTTTCCTTATACTTATCCATTATCAATTTCACTATGATAAATACATTTATCATTAAAGTTCATGTATACACCATGACCTGCAATTTATAATTGTTCACCATTAAGAATTAAACCATTTTTTTCAATTGATGATCTTTCCATTGCACCAATGGCAACACTTACATAATCATTTTATATTTTAATGATTTCAAATTAAATTTAACTACCTTCTTTAAGTATTTAATTGGTCATAACAATAGAAGGATCTATTTATAATATTATAAAATATACATCCTTCTAAATGCTTAGCTAATTGATTATTAATTTCAAATTTAGATAATTAATCATAAGCTTAAGGCATTTTAAGAAATTAAGGTTTTTCTGTAATTGAAATTGGTATAGATGCATTGTGATTTAAAGATTGTTATTTTTTTGTTGATTAAATTTATTGAATTGATTAATTTGATTCTAATTTTTTATCTGTACTAATTAAATGAAATAAATCATCTAATTCTTTTTAAATTTGAATTTGTAAATCAAAATATTAAGCAGTCTGTACTTCTAAGGTTTCAGAGATATTATTGGGTAATGCCTTAATAATTAAATCTATTGTCTTTTCATTTAATAAAGAATATTCAGAATTAATAAATTTGGATGCTGCCTCAATCAATTCATATTTTTCACATTTCCTTTTTTAATGATTTAAATAAATTATACTTGTAATAGATATCTTATTTCTTTTGTAAGTATTAGTGAATAATTTGAAATTTAGATTCAATGATTTATTTAATACTTGTAGTAATAGGAAAATCTGGTATCAAATCCTTCAATTTCTTGGTTAGTTATCCTAGACTTGAGGAACTATGACCTTTATGATAATCAAGCTCTTTTATAGATTATATTAATCGTGATTATGCTTAACAATTTGGTGCTATACAAATTCTTGTAGAGGGAATCATAATTAATTAATAATAACACAAACAATAATGAATAGTAGCTAAAAAATACGAAAAGGATCTCGCAATATGAAGTAGAACAATCAACATAGTCATAATAGGTATAAGAAGATTAGTCATGATCAAAGAACTCAAATAATAAATGAACTCACTAAGAATGGTAAAACATTAAAAGAAGTATATAAAATCAACAATTTATAATAGGTATCTGAAGAAACATAATTGAAACCATCAACAGTTAAGGCTATATTACAAGTCTATTTGAAAGAAGGAAGAATAGGAAAAAAGTCAACAAGAGACAGGAAGGTCAAACTTCTAAACACAACTGTGATCGCATTAATTGACAAAACTAAGTAAACATTATATTATTACTATAATTATTAATAGAAATAGTGATTATGCTATAGAAAATCTATAATTCATTCATCCTATGATTAAAATAAATTAACAATCTTCAGAGATTTCTCATAACGGATAAACTCTGACAGAAACTTAATAAAAATTAGATTAATATTCAAAATAGCTTGTGATGATGTAAGTTAAAGATTTCTTAAGAGAAAAGAAATCAGAGATTTTGGAATAATTGGCTAATCCTTTAGCAAAATAAAATTTCTTAAATTAACTAGCTTAATTTGAAGTGAGTGAATAATTACCATTTTAAGAATTGAAGAAAGAATAATTATCTGCTGAAGATGAATAGTTTGTAGAGAAGATAACATAACATCTAAAATCGAAAGTAAAAATTTGATATAATAAATAAATAACATTTTTAATAAGATCATAATAGGCTAGTTTATTTAGGTTATTCGTATACTGAGATTACTTATCCGTTCTAATAGCCAATAATTAATATTCGATATGCCTATACTAAACATTTATATACAAATATATACACTAATAATATTATGAATAAGCAATGTATGCATTTAAAAAGTCAGCTGATTTTCCACTAATTTCCTTAACTTTTTTTATTTAATTTGTTTCTAATTTAATTTCCATTTCATCTAATTTATATTGTTTCAAACAATATCTTGTAAAATCATCAGATAATTTCAATTAAACAATTGAAGTAATAAAGATATTCCCATCCAAAGTAGTTATTAACTAAAAATATAATTAAAATTTTACAATTTCAGGTGTATATTCATTTATTACATTAACATTAATAATATGATCTAATAATTCTCTTTAAATGTAAAGTTCCCCTTATAATGTATAAATACTAATCTAATTTAAAAATGATAAAAGTATAAATCCAGAAGGATGCAATCTAATTGAAGAACAATCTTAAAGAGATGTCTCTATTAATTTAAGAAATACTCCTTTCATAGTATGCAAAAGGATATCACCTTTAACATCATAACTCAAAATGATTTCCAAAATTTAATCAACTTAAATAATAGAGACTTCATTTTAATGTCCATATAAAATAAATTCAGGTTAATGTTATAAGGTCCATTCCCAAACTGATACTCTTGTGTCCATGCTTCCACATAATAAATAGTTAGTACTTTAACCTAAACAAGTCACAACTTTTGTATGAAAAGAAACTTAACATGTTTATTTGAGATCTTTTAATGAATAAACTTTAACAGAATTATCAACATAACCAGCTACTACTAAAGAATCATCAAATAAAAGGAAAACATTATTAGAATTGAATTATATTTGTTTAGTTTCTTGATTACTAAAATCTCTTGGTATTTTATGACTGATTATTCTATGTTCTACATTATAAACAAAGATTTCTTATTCATTTGTAAGAATTAAAAAATATTTTTCATTGCAAAAGAATTAATCTATTATATTATTCTATTTGTTGATAATCTATGTAATATATTTAAATTATATTATAGGACTTTAATCACTTATTTTTTATTATGATTTCTATGGATGTTCTTTCTTAAATAATTATTAAGGTATTTAACCATAATAATTTACTTATGTTATATATTATTCCTTTTTGATATCATCATCTATTTTATCTAATAATTATTAGACATAACTACTATATGTTAAACGATGAAATAAATTATTATATTTTTAACCATTTAAACCACTCTTATATCCAAATATTAAATCAATCCAATTATTCAAATTCCCACTAACATATTCAGATTCTAAAGCCTATCTATTCAAAAATATTAATTCTTCTGGACTTTTTGTATTTATATAAATTGGTAATGTTACATCTCCTACAGTTGTTCCAGATTATAATTATCCTAAATCAAATTTATTCTTATTTTTTAAAAACTCACCAAAATAATAAAATTCAGGAATCAATTCCTTAACATCACTACTTGAATTTATTACAGAATACCATTATTATTCTAAAGAATGAAATAATCTATCAGCTTTATCAAATTTACCAGATTGTAATTCTTGATGCAAAGAAGCAAAAGGTTCCATTCTCATTAAAAAACTCATTACTATTGCACTATGAGAATAATGTGTTCCATATATGAAATACATATTCATATCTTCTGGATCTGCCTCTTTAAATCTTTCTAAAAAATTCTCCAATCTCTTTTAATTTAATGCTCCTATTGGTTAATCTAATCTTCTAAAATGTTCCTTATTTTATATATCAAATTCTTAATAATTAGCTATTACCCATGGAAATATTGGATATTAATTTAAATCATTATAAGTTCTACCACTATATTTATTAATTTCAATTAAATATTGAAAATTAGTAATCTCTCCTTTTTTCCATTTCTCCATAATTCCACTCTTTTTAAATTATTCACAAGGATTTATAATTACATTAACACTTTAACTTAATATTTTAAGTACACTTGATCTATTATTTAATAAATTAAAAAAGTATGTCTTATTATTTCTTGTAAATAATTCAATTGCAGTTGATTATGCTAAATACATCCTTGTAAATACTTCCTTAATCTATGATAAAGGTATTAATTTCTATTTCTCTTCCTTCAATAGACTATCCTTTTAAAATTTATATTAAACTTCTAATTCTTATACTTCCAAACCAAAGTTTTCAAACATCAAATAATCATTTGTTATTCTTATTTTACCACGATAAAATCCTCTTTAAGTTATCAATTCAGCTAAAAATTGTTGATTTTCCATAACAAAATATTTATTATTTTATTAGATTTATTATTAAATGTTGAATATATCATTAAATACTACTTAAATATTATTTATTAATTAGATATGTTCATATGATTTCTTTTATTTTGCAAATACTTTTAAAAACATTCTTCTTCTTAAACTATCTTCATAACTATTTATAGAATATCTTTCTTTTCCTAATAATTCTAAAAATGTATCATAATTAACTTAATTTAAATTTTAATATAGATGAGCATCACCATAATTCATAAAATACCATAATCCTCTTTTTTGAGTATTTTATTTAAAATGTAATTTAACTTTAAATTAAATTATAAGTTGTTAAATTTATTATTCATTTTCAAATTTTAATATTGTTAATTTAGAATCTTATCTATATTAATTAAATAAATTATATGATAATTTTGAAAATTCAATGTTATTTTATTATGATTATTAATTAATTTAAACAATTTAATTGTTAATCTAATCTAAATTTTAAATTTAAATAGAATGTAGATTTAAAAGTATACTAATCTCTTAACAAAATTATAATTATCTATATGCATATAATTTCATATAAGTAAGTGCTCTTTTAATTAAATCAGAGTCTTTAAATAATTCTAAATATTTAAGTGTTGTATTAACCTTTTATATCATTTCTATAAACTTTCTTGCATCATTACCTATTTTACCATTCTCCTTTATGGCTTATGAAATTTCCTAATTTTATTGATTAAATTGATTTATTATAAAATATCCTTTATTATTTATTGCTTCTATGTTGATATCTGATGTAATTTATTTTAAATTAGATTGATCAATTTGAAATTAAATATCCATATTTCCCAAAACTCTTTTTTATTCTACAATATTCCAAAAACATTAAAAATTTATAAAATTATCTGGTTTGAATTATAATTCACTAAATATCTCAAATAATTATTCTGAATGTGAATATTAATGTGATAGTAATTAAAATTTTAATATATGAATTAAGTGAATATCTTGGAAATATTTATCATATTAAGTTTATTGATAATCACCCAATATATTTTATTTCAACTTTTATAATAATGATTACTTTTATTATTTAATCTTAATCTTTTATATCTTTGTTTATAAATTTGGAATCCCTTCATCCATAATTAATGATTATTATTAAGTGGGACGATTGAGAGACTTTTATTTTTATGTAATTAGTTTCTTCCAAATTATTAATAGAGATTTTGCTTCTTTTTTGGACATAAGCAATTCTAAAGAATAAAATAATATATATAAGACAGTTCCCATAATACCACCATTAGCATATAAATATTTACGTTATACATCAATTGATAATTTAATAAAAAATGGAATTGGATCATATTCATAAAATCCTACAAATTCAGTATCCATATAATATGAATATAAAATATCTTATTTTTCTAAGTATATTAAATATTGATCAAACACTTTTATAAATAATTCAGGATCATTTAATATTATATTCTTATTCAATATTAAACTAGTAGGTAGTAACATAAATAAATCAATCATAGCTTAGACACTTTTTTAATTCTATTTTTAATTTGAATTATTATTTTATAATATAAGAATTTTTTAAAGTACTTTCATAAATTAATTATTATTTTGTTCTACTTTTTAAAATAATCTAACTATTTTCCTAGCTGAAAAAGCAATATTATCAATATGATGTAATACTATATAATTAATTAATGTTTATCCAGTTTCTATAGTAATTAATTCATTTATAAAATAAGTTAAATCTTTATAATCACAAAGTTTTGTCATAAAAACAGTATAAGTAGATGTCTATAATAGAAAATCAATTATTAATTCTTTTGTCTATAGATTAAACTTTCTAAAATATTACAAAAATAAATCCAATACATCAGATTCTAAATTTAATTCTTATTTCAATACTAATTATGATAACTAATCTAATTAATAAATAAAATCATACATTAATCAATACTTAATAAGTATTTTAACTGCAAATTAAATCATTACTATATTCATAAAGAATATATTTAATTTTATTGAATAGAGATTTAATTAATGTACATTCCTTTGTTTTTTACAATTATTAAACATTTTTTGGTTATTATAATTCAAGTAGTTTATGTTCATAGTTAATTTGTAGAATTTATACTTTTACTAGAATCTCAATTAATGGTGCAAGAAATTAATCATTAAGACATTTTTAATCAATCATTTCAATGATAACTCCATATATAATTTTGAATATTATAACTAATAAAGTATCTTCACTTTCACTTTTTTATATGAATTATGTTTGCATTGTTTCTAAAATAGACTCTTTTTATGCAGATGAATTTCCACATTTAATTTCTGATAGTAATTCTTATATAATACTATTTTAAGGTTTTTTTAACATAAAACATAAAATAACAGCTAAATCTGAAACTGATTTTAATGAAATATAATTCAATAATAATATGATTTCATTTTTAAATACAAAAAGTTTTTCGGTTGAATATTTTTCATTTTTTTTATCTCTAAATATCATTTAAACAGGGACTACTTCATCATTATTATATTAAATTTAAAAGAATGTATTGTACATAAGAAACAAAATACATTTTATCAATATTTTTCTAATTTATTAAAATATCTAATACTCTCCCTTTTAAGGTTCATATTTAATTAATTAAACTTGTAATATATAATATAAACAGTTGATTTTGTCTTTATAATATGAGTATAGTTCTTCATTATGTTGTAATTATTCAAATAAATAATCATATAAAAAATGTAATTCATTATATTGACAATATTGCCAATATTCAAATTCATGATAGATACTCATACAATCATTTCTAAGTGCTTATATAATTTAACAAAGTAATAGAGAATGATAAAAATTCAATATGTTTTACAACAATTATTTATTACAACCTTAATTTTTCATAAACACTGTTAAAAGATAACCTAATACTTTTATTCCTTTAAATTCAGAATCAGATCGTAGATAATTTTAAATAGATATATCATCTCCAAATTTTTAGATTACTGTATTTAAAAGTTATAAGACAGCAATAACAAATTATTAATCATTTATAATATGCAAAGGAAAAAATAAAATATCTAAATTTCCATAAGATTTCATTACATCTAATAATGTAGTATTCTCTAAAAAGAAAACATTCTTTGAACTTTAATTAACATTTTTAGGAATTAAACTTGTCACTTCAAGTGATGTTGAACTCTTCCTTTATTAAAAAAACTTATCCATAAATTTAGAAATTGTATTCTATTTTTATCTTTTACCTCTTATCATCAAATATTAACAATTTTCCAATATTATTTAATTACTTTAATGAAGATTACCATCATAATGAAGATCTTATTTTTATGATTGAGTACTTAAATAGGATAAAATTCTCCCTTATAATTACATTTTTAAGAGTTATTAAAATAATCTAGAATTATTTTAAGATTTCTTTTCGAGTATATAAATATCTTCAGCATTAATATTTTAATCAATTATATAAAGCATTCTCATTTCTCCTCTAAAAGAATTCTAAAATTATTCTTAATCTGAGAATTTAGCTCCAACACAAATAAAATTTAAGACTGGTAAAATGAAATTATCAAATTAATCCGATTGAGTTGCTAGTACATCAATTCCATTAATATTAACAAATATCTATTTTACTGTTTAAAAATTGATAACAATAAAATTATCAAGATATTTTAGAATATATTTTGCTACTTTAGTTATTTATTAGTATTTGAATTTAATTATCAAAAATTATGAATCTTCTATAGATATAGAAAAATTAATATCTTAATTACCCCAATTTAATAATGTTGCAGATCCTATTTGAAATTTAAATTGAAGTATTATAGAAAATGAATTGTTTTGTGTTTCAAGTAATATTTTACCTTTTACAACAATCCCACTCTCATTACCAGTAAAATAATAATATTAATCATTTTATATTGAAACAATCTCTTTCAAACAATAAAGTAATTGTATAGAATTTTTGATAAATAAATCATTATTACTTATTGAATCATAAATATATTATTATTGTTATAAAGATCCACTTTCTATTGACTATTTAGGAATTCCCAACATTTTAGAGATTTTTTTATATTATTCATATTTCTATTAATCATCAAAATATGGAATCATTATTAATGATTAATATGGAGACATAAATAATGCTATAGATTATAAATACTAAAGTTAGAATCTTACTTTAATACAATTAATTAATATTTAGATTATTTTATCTTGATATTAATTTTCAATTCTTAAATATACTATTAATCTTTCTATTATTTAACTTTTCAAAATTATTAAGACATTTTCTAAATTTTATGTTAAGATGATAAATTAATTTAAATAAAATTCTTTTTAATTTTTGTCAATATTTTGTTCAAATAACAATATTATTATAAGTTCTAAAAAATATGGAATTTATATTTTAATTTAGTGAATTTCATATTGATTCTCAAAAATACCACTTGAAATTCCAAAAAGTAATTAAAAGATTTATGAACAATTATCTATATTTATACATTTTCTAACACAAACAAGAAATAATTTAGTTTCAAAATCTTCTTATTTTACTTCTCTATCTGTCCATATACAGATTGCAATAACTTTTAATGCTTCAATTAAATGTTAAAAATCTGAATCATTTTTGAATTTAATAAGATGAAATATATTAAGAAATTTAAAATTCTTTATTTTAAAATGTTTTTGATGGTCTATATTTAAATCAGAATTTGCTCCATCTAAATGTAAAATCCAAAGAGCCTTTAAAGATTATTGAGTATTATCAATAGCTAATTATTTGATTATTCTCTAAATTAGTAAAAAGTAATAAATACTTGTTGATTTTGTATGTAATTAAAATTATGAATAAGTCCATTTAAAATCCAAATCTCATTAAAACTATCCATTTTTTCATATATAGCAGGATTGTTAAAGTATATTAACTATTTAAATTCTTCATCAAAATTCTATAATTCATTCAAATAATGATAAATATCTACATCTATAATATAATTAGATTGACTTGCATGTTTAATAAAAGAAGTTCTAATTTAATTTATTTATTCAAATGTCAATTAAGGTTGTAAATGCTAAATTACCATTTTAAATAGACCAACATCAATAAGACAAAAAATGTAGAGATCTAAACATTCTTTATGTGGAGTAGGTATGATTTATTTAAGTATATTTTCTAATTTAGATTGATATTGTATAGGAATAGTCTCTGGTGAAATTGGACAAGGAATATTTTCTAAATCCAACATTCTTACATAAATTGATATTTTAAGTAGTTAATAATAAGGATGATTGATATCTGTTGGCATCATATAATAAAATGATCGAAAATCATGCAAAGTCCAAATAAAGTCTTCTTCATAAGATTTTTCATGTTATTCCAGTAATTCTATATTTTGATTAATAAAGTAATTAATAAATATATAAGGTACTTTTGGATGTATAGATTTTCTCAAATATAGATGTATTTTAGGAGATAATTAAATCCAGCCACTTAGGTTATATTTATATAAGAGTTTGATCAAATCAATATTCATGATTTATTGACAAATTTAAGTGAATGCTAATAATTCATGTTCAGGCATTTCTGATATGTTTGAGTCTTCAATTATTTTGACAAATTGATTAAGTGAATTCTGTTCTAAGTCTTGTTTGTACAAAATAAGATAAATAGAGCTAATCCAAATAGATGGAGATTGTTGTTGATTCAACAATTTCAATACATAATCTAATTACTATTGTTCAATGGCTTCATAAATTTTAGGTTGATTGCTCTGAAGATTATTCTTCAAGATTTCCACATAATATTGAGGAACAAATTATAACATTATTATATATTAATGTTAAATTATATACAAGCAATACTAGATTTTTCATTATATTTTGAAATCTACTTTTCATGTATTGAATATCTATGCATTTATAATAGATGTTTGATCATTTTACTAATTCATATTCAATACTCAAAAATTCAGTATAATTATTGATCATCATTTTCTATTTTATCAACATTATTTTCTTATGAATTGAAATATAAGTATATATATAAGAATTTGATACATTCTTGATCAAAGAAAATCTAAATCAGAATGAATTATTTTTTAATAATTATATACATATATGTCTACTGTATTAAAATAATAAGCCAAAAGAGAAATCTAAAGGCAAATTGATGCTAGGAGATAGGCTTAAAGTCAATAAAGTAATCATCCTTATTTGGGGAGCTTTAAGAATAGATAAGGAGTATTGTCACCTAAATATGTTGGTTTTGTTAGTAATTACAATTCACTGGATACGTTTAGAAAGGAATTAGTTTGTGGATAATATTCTATATCTAATGATATTTCTAATAAGAAATAATTAGTAGATGAAGTCTTTTCAAAAACTAATACTAATGTAAAAAGAGAATTGTTTGATATTATATAATAGTAATTTGAAACTGAATTATATTAAATGAATACGAAATTAAATCTATAGCATCTAGTTGATAAATACAATAGTTATCAATAGATTATGCAAAAATTTATGAGAAATGTATTAAATAATATTGAAGAATATAAATCTAAAACTGAATATGCTGAATAATAAGCAAAAGAAAAAGAAATCTAAATCAATGATTTAACTAGTAAATTTGAAGAATTACAATCAATGTTCAATAAATCTTCACATACAGATAGACCTATTAAATCAAGGAAAGGTGATTCTAAGAAATAGAGTGAATTATATATGGAAAATTTTAGGTTAAAAAATGAAATTGAAAAAATACAAGAAAGATTATAAATCCTTGAATAATTATCTGATGTTTAAAAATTATAGTAGGATATAATTAATATCAAATAAAATGCATAACTTAAAATAAATGAATTACTAAAAGAAAATGAAATTAAAGAGAAATAACTTTAAAAACTTAATTTACATTATTAGAATATTAAATCTTAGTATACAAAATTAGAAAATGAATCTAAAGCATATTAAACTGTATTTGAAGCTAATAAATATTAATTAGATAGATTAATTTTAGAAAATGAAAAACATACTAATTTAATGAATAGATATAGGGAAATTGCTAATATGCAAAGAGAAGACTTTGAATAAAGATTATATTATTATAAAGAAGAATTAGCTATTGCTGCTAAGGCAAGAGAAAAATTATCTTAATTATAAAATAAATTAGATAGATTTTAAATTGAAAAATCAAAAGAAGTTGAACCTTAACCTAATTAATTACATGAAAAAGAGAAAACTGGATTAGAGAAATTTGCAAGTTTATTTTCTAATGACAAGACTTTCTTTAGATTAACTCATTAATCATTATTATAAGATAAAGGTAGAATAGTTTAAAGAACTGGACATAGTATTATTTAAATGGAATCTCATTTTAATTCATAAGATATATAATTAGATAAATTTACTATTGGTTATTCACCATTTGTTATTTTTATTGAACATCATAAAAAAACTTTAGAAAGTGAATTTGCAGGTTTGTAATATAAAAGACCAAGTCTATAATTATTAGTAATAATGAGACATATATTAGATGCTAAATGGAATGAAATTTAAATGAATTAATAATCTAGATTTCCAGAATTTGTATATTCTTGGTTAATGAATTTTAAAGTTGATTATAATCATAAATGTATTAAAAAGATTGAATATGATAATCAAAGAGTAGATGATTAAATTGTTAAATTTATAGTAGATTTTTCTAATCCTGTTTTAGAGAAGAATTGGGAATGTGTAACATTTTAAGAATTTTTAAATGATTTCTCTTCTCATGATGAAATTTATTTCTTTTTATATGCAAGAAATTTATTGTTTAGAGGTCCTTAATGTTAAAATCATCAAGCCTTTTATGAACCTCATCATTATATACCATTATTATAAGCTGATTTTGTTGTAACTCATTTATTCTCTTAATATGAAGTTTCTACTATTTAATAAGTTAAACGAGTATTAAAGGAAAGAGCAGTAAGAAAAATATAGAATAAAAATTTATTTATAATTGAAGCTGCATTTGTTTTAAGAATTTTACTAGAATTTTATAGAGTAGAAAGAAGGAATAGATATAAAATGTTTAAAATAGCATTTGGAAGTAGAGCAACTAATATTAGTTTTAAATAATTTAGAATAGTTCTTATCAGTAATTATCCTAAAATAACTGATTTGGAATTGGCCACTCTTTATAGAGAAGCTTATTCTTTTACAGGAACAGGAGTTTCAATAGACTCTTTCTATACTATTGCAAGTGAAAATGGATTTTTTACTAAGAATTTAAAAATATAAAATCTAACTTAATTACCACATCTAATTGAGGAATAATTTGCATTTGATCCATCTTAATAACCATTCATACTTGTTACTGAAGCTTATAAAAGAGTATCATTTATTTTTATAAAATTAGTTAATTAATTAATAAAAACCTGTAAAAGAACTTTTAGTAGAAATAGGATTAGAAATATTATTTAATGAATTTGAAGAATTAGAAAACTTTATTGAAACTAAATTTTTATCTTTATAAAGTAGTTAATTGAGTTTTGTTTAAATGACTGACAAATATATGAGTATTATTAGAAATGTAAATCATCTTCTCCATAGTAGATTGTATTTATAAGATATGTATAAATTATTAATGATTATATAGAATACCTTAAGGATCTACATTCTAAAAATTACATGATGAAAAGTAGAAACAATAATCATAATAAAATAGAGATGCAGTAATTATTAGTTCAGAGAATTTTAATAGATAATATGTTAAAAAAGATGATTTTACACATGAAGTTGAATTAATTAAAAGTTAATTGGATTGTTTATAACATTTAGCAAATTATTTTGATTCTAAAGATTTAATGAGAAAGAAAGTAGAAATGGGTTAATAAATTGCAGCTAAAAAAATATAGAAGTTTGTTAGAAAAAAAATGAACAAATTTTATAGTTTTATTAGTTCATTACTAAGTGCAAAATTTAAATCTAGTGTCAAAATAAAATGATTATAAAAATTATTAATATTGATTTATTATTTATGATTCATTATCATAAAAGCAATGCATTTATAGTTTACTCTATTTTTTTCATTTGATCTTCAATATAATTTAAATCTTCTTCATTTATTTCAAATGTATGAAATTTATAGGTTTTATTAACAACATCTTTTGACTATTGCACATTTTTAGAAGTCATACCTTCAGATTCATAATGCAAACAGGTTTATTTATATTTTTAGCTTTTTTTGAATAGAATTGATTATTAACTGACCATTGAAATTTTTCAATCTAATATTAATAATATATAGATTATTACTTTTTAACCTTAAGTTCTCTTTTTTATATAATATGATAACACTCTATCTTTTTCACTTAACCAAGTTTAATGTAATTCTTATGATGATATCCCCTTAAATAATATATTTATTAGATACATATTATTCATAGGTTTATTCTGAATCATTTTAGATAAGATCATCAATCAACTATTAGAAAATATCAACATTTTGAGAGAATGTTTCTTCATTGTAATTTCCTTAGTCTTTTAGATACTCTTTAAGTTGATCAAGAGTGATTTCTTCTTAGTTGTCTGTATATTTCATAATTAAGACTCCACGAAATATTGGTTTCATTATAATTATAATAACTCAGTTTTTATTAATTAAAACACTTTATCTACTTATATTGGGGCTGCTTAATCCAAAATTAATTTTGAATCGACATACACCATCATTTTACCTGTTGTTAACAATGAATTTTGTAATTATTGAACCAAGAAAATAGCTCCTATCAATACAAACATTTTCTTTTCCACTATTTTTTCAACAATTGCAGGTACAGGTATGGATAGCATAGCAAATAATTATTTATGGAAAAACATAGCTGCCATCAAAGCATATTGACCATAATTAACAAACTATAAATATTAATGTTATTTAATAACCTTTGATAATTATGAATTTATTTCTGGTACTGGATATTCTCCTGAATTTACAATTAAATTTTTATTTTTTGGAAATGTGAGATAGATATTTCTTTCTAATTCTAAATATTGTGTATGTAATCCTGTACGATTACAATAAAGTATTTCAATATTAATAGGTAATGTTGATTCAATATATTCAGCATTCTCTAAATCAATATCTTCTTAAAATGTTCTCTCTTTTTACAAATCCTAGTCTTCATGTGTTTATGCTTATTCAGATTAGGATTCTTATTATTATTATTAAGTTTGCTATTAAGGCTTAGGTTGAGCTCTAAAAATATCATATGCAATCAAAGCAAAAAAGATGTATGTGATTACTCTTTCTAATTTCATGAAATCTCACAATTAAAATAATAATATAATATATTATAAATAAAATACTTTATGAATTATAAATTATTAATATTGATATTAAAATAATGAAATATATAAAAGGATGAAGTCGAATAATAACATTCCCTTTTATTTAAATTTATGAATTTAATAATATTTATATTAATAAAATTCTACATTTTTTTATTATAAGATCTTATTTTATCAGAGTATATGATACTTAAATTTAAAAAAAATAAAATTAATGGAATTCTAATAATAATTTTTAATTTTAAGACTATCAATTATAATGTTCTTTTACTCTCTAAAAGATTGTCTCCTAATCATTCTATTTACATAATGTAATAATATGAATAATTTTAGTAACTCTGAGTTGTAGTGATGGCTAATTTAATTTATTAGGAGAATGTGAAAATTGTTTATTTGGTTGTAAAATCTGTCCATCTGCAGATGATTGTACAACTTGTTTTGATGGAAAATTCAAATAAACTATTATTGGAGTTGATTATTGTATGCCTTGTTCTTCATATTGCAAGAAATGTACTTCTGCAAGTGTATGTTAATTATGTTAGGATCATTATTATCTTAATGGAAATTCATGTGTTTAATGTGCTGCTTCTTGTGGAAATTGTTAAACAACAAGTACAAATTGTATTTCATGCACTGTTGGATTTTTGTCTAATACATAATGTATATCATGTACAACACCTTGCTTAACATGTGTTGATAATTCTACAAAATGTACATCATGCATTGATAATAATAAAAATGCAATAGATTATCAATGTGTATGTAAAAATGGATATTATTAAGATGGATCTAATGTTTGTAATTTATGTAATTATCCTTGTTCTACATGTCTAAATAATGCAAATTTCTGTACAAATTGTTAAACACCATTTTAATTAAGTTCTACTATATTAAATACATGTGAATGTTAAGCAGGTTATTATTAGGATATTAATTAAACTTGTTAATAATGTCTGGAACCTTGCAAAACTTGTTAATAATCAGTTACTTATTGTTTAAGTTGTGTTGATGTTAATTAAGATATAAATTATACAAATAATACTTGTTTCTGTAAAACAGGATGGATATTTGATTTAAATAATATAAACTGTGTTCAATGTTAATTACCATGTATAGAATGTATTGAAACAATAAACAAATGCATTACTTGTAATGATGTAATCCATTAATAAGGTGAAACTTGCAGTTGTGAATCTGGATGGATAAATGATTAAAATTATATATGTATTCAATGTGAGAAACCTTGCAAAACTTGCTCATTATCTACTAACCAATGTTTAACTTGTGAAGATCCAAATCATTATTTGAATGAGTCTTAAAGTTGTGTATGCAAACCTGGGTATTTCTCAAATACATTATCAACTTGTCTTAAATGTTAAGAACCTTGTAATGAATGTAATATTAATGGTTGCATAAATTGCATAGATATTAATTAAGTATTAGATTCTAATTTTATTTGTATATGTAAGGACAATTATTATATGAATGGAATAAATTGTTATCAATGTTAATAACCATGTTATACATGTATAGATTCATATGATAAATGTTTAACATGTTTAGATCCAAATTAATAATTGAAAAACTATTAATGCGAATGTAAATCAAACTATAATAAGATTCAAGATATATGTTGCCATAAAAATTGTGAATATTGTTTAGGAATTGATAATTGCAATAAATGCAGGAAAGGATATTTTTTAAATGGTAAAAGTACATGTTTATAATGCATTGAGAATTGTGAATTTTGTACTAATTAAATTCGTTGTGAAACATGTATAAATGGTTTTTTTGTTGATATCTATGGTTAATGTATAAGTTGTAAAACTAATTGTAAAAATTGTACAAATTAATAAGATTGTATATAATGTAATGAAGGCTATTATATTCAAGAAAATGAATGTTTATAATGCAATGAAAATTGTAAAAGTTGTATTAATTCATCTGAAATATGTTTAAGTTGTAGATTAAATTATGAAATTAACCCATTTAATAATAATTGCTAATGTTTAAATGGTTATTATGAATTAGATAATTAATGTAAATAGTGTATTTATCCTTGTATATAATGTTTTAATTCAGATGAATGTAAAGAATGTGCTTATATATCAAATATATTTTTAAATGAACAAAATAAATGTTAATGTAATTAAGGTTATTATTTTTATGAAAAACATTGTTTATCCTGTGATTCTACATGTTAAACTTGTGTTGATAATTCTATGAATTGTTTGACTTGTGATTATGATAAATTTAGAATTTTTATAGGTAATTCATGTCTATGTATCAATAATTATTTTGAAAATGAAAATAAAATATGTATGTCTTGTAATTCTGATCAAGGTAAAGTTATTTAAAGTTGTAAATATAAAAATTCTACTGATTTTATTTGGACATATGGAGAGGAATGTGATGATGGTAATTAAATAAATAGAGATGGATGTTCAAATACATTAATTGATTAAAATCATTCATGTTTCAACATAATTCTGTAAAAATCTATTTGCTTTCAATGTCCATCTCATTGTATTAAATGTGAATTAGATTTAATTAAAGATAAACCAATTTGTAATAAATGTGAATCTGGTTATTTCTTAGATCTAAATTAATGTGTTTAATGTCAAAGGAATTGTTTAGAATGTATAAATACACCATTTAATTGCCTAACTTGTAGATACTTAAGAAATTAAATGAATTAATGTCTTAATTGTGAAATTTCAATGGGTTATTACATAGATGAATAGAATCTTAAATGCTATTCAAAATGTGGTGATGGCATAAAAACAGAGGAAGAGGAATGTGATGATGGTAATAATTTAAAAAATGATGGATGTAATTCACTATGCTAATTAGAAAAATATTATATTTTATAGAATAACATTAGTATTATACCTGTGTATCCAAAACCATATTTATAAAGTTTAGGTAATTCATAACTTTATTCAAACAATAGATAATTTAAATTATCTTATAATGTAGAATTAATAATTAAGGATGACTTTTAAATAAAAGATTATATATCTTTACATATCTCGAAAGAATAAATTATTTAACCGATTGATTAGTAATTCGAACTAATTTAATCGATTCAATAATTGGATGAACCAGGCAAAGCAATACTTTCTCTAAAGATATCAATATCATTCAATAGAAGTTCAAGAGATGAAAGCCTTTTAATAAGATTTCATAATAATACTAAATTCGTATCATATTTAGGGTACCCTCAATTAGATAATGAGATTAAATGTATAATTCCAAAATTAATTTTTATTGAAGACACAACAATTCTATAAGTCAAGATTACAACCTAAAGCAATTCTTATATCTTGTATTTTATTGGAGCTATATTTGGAGGCTCTGTATTTTTTGGAGGGATTAATGTATTTTATAATTTATTAGATAATCTTTAAATGTTATCTTACTTTAAGTATTTAAATATAGAGTTTCCATATAATTTAAATATGTACTTTGATATTTTTGGATTTGCTTAAATTAATTTCATTTAAAAAATATTTGACATCTCTGGATTTCTAGATAAAATTATAGATTTAAACTAACTTAAACAATCTCCAAAAAAAATAGCAATTGATAATTTAACCCCTTTATTCTTAATCAATATGTCAACCATATTAACAATTTGGATATCTCTAGGTGGAATTTATTAAATTTCTAAAGTAATACCTAAATTCTTAAATTCTATTAAAATCAAATTTTATTCAGATTTTAATTAAGATTCATGGCTTATTAAAATTGGTATATATTATCTTAAAATCAAAAATATTATCATAAAAATTTGTTTTATGATAACATCGGAATTATTTTACAGTGGTCTATTGAGAGTTCACATGACAACAGCTTATGATTACACTTTCAGCATAGCACTTTAATTATATTCAATTGAGTTATACTCATAAAATGGATTAGTTTTTTTAAGTTCTTACATAGGTCTTTTAGCTACTGGATTTTATTTGATAAATATTTACTATATTATTTAAATTTCGGAAATGAATAAATATGCAATTAAAAGTACATCTGTTAAATAAAAATATGGATCTGTTTTTGAAGGATTGCAACATAAACCAATCTCAAAATATTTCAACTCGATTTTATTAATTAAGAAATTAATATTTATGATTATATTAGTTTTTGCCTATGAATTTCCACCTTTCCAAGTTTGTAGTATTACATTACTATCAGTTTTGATGAGCCTTTTTATTATAATATTTAAGCCTTTAGATGATTTTAGTGAATACATTAAATAATTATCCTGCGAAATTAGCATAACCTTTACTTTGATTTTCATAATATTTTTAACTATCAATAATGAACTTCAATTTCTTACATATGAAATAGAATAAAAAGTGGGTTGGGTTTGTATATTTTTTATGACATCCTTGTTATGTATACAATTAGTTGTTGATACAATTTAATAATGGAAGTTTCTTTATAAAAGATACAAATAAATTAGAAATTTGGTTAATGCATTTTTACGGTTTGCATATCCTCCAGAACCAAAGAAAGCAACATTTAAGATTTTAGAATGAAAAGATAATTTGATTAAAAATATTTCTCAAATTTGTTTATATCTATAAAATTGCTGAAATTCAAATTTAATAATTTTTAGATTATATATATTTAAGTTTTGAAAACTATAAAATAATAATAATTTGAGTTTTTATATAATGAAGACATAAATTGTTGTTAATTGTTAAATATATATTTTCAATTTATTATTTATTGAAATAAATGTTGTTAGTTATATCTTTATCTTAAGAATAAAAAAAGTGAATATAATTCTTACACTTTCTAAAAATACTAATAATAATAAATATCAGATAATAAATTAAAATATTAATTAAATTAACAATCACAATCATAAAAATGATCTTTTAAGATTTAATTTAAGCTTTATAGGTTATTAATGACCTTCAATTTTAGAAGTTTATTTTAGATCTTATTAAAATGTCTATTATTATTATACAGGCTCAATAATTGACTCCTACTATTTTATTTGTGATTTTTAGTCTTAAGTAAAATAATTTATAGCATTGTCATCATCTATAATAACGATATCAGGAGATTTATTAATTTCATCGTCTTCAATAAAGTTTAATAACTAAATTTAATAAATTTGATACTTCATCTAAGAATTAATCATTCTATTAACCATTTATTAGTAATTCTTCAATCTCTTTTTATTTAGCTAAATTTAATATTTATTATTTTACCAATAAATTCTTAATTTGTAATATCAATAACATCATCATCTAATCTTATATGTTTTTAAAACTCAAATACTTAATCAAATATTGTTTCATTTTGTTTTGCTAGAATATTAAAATATGTTTACGTTTTTCAAATAATTGTTTATTAATATTTTCCATATCAACAAAATGAGCAACTTCTTCAATAAAATGTTTCATATATTATAATTTTTTAATTTCTTAGGCTATACAAATAAATGGATCATTTAATTCAATCATTGTAATTGGAAGTTTTTTGCACAATTCTTCAATATCATCTGTTGATAATACCAAATCAATATTAATTATTTAATTTGAAGCATCATTTGTCATTTCTATATATATATTTTTACGAACAAACATTAATCTTTCTCTTAAATCATTAAATTGATCTTCTAAACAATAACCATATTATTTATCATATTCCAATTTTTTCTATTCAGTTCCAATGTTGATTTCATTTTAAAATGTAAAATCTTTTTTTTAAATATTTTAATTAATTTACAAATTTATTACATTATTATTTTAATTATTATTACCTTTTGATAAGTATTTTTTAAAAAGATCATCAGATTTTTAATCTAAAAACTATGATTTTTTTTCTTTTTCTTTTGGAATGGAAATTATAACATTACTAATTGATGTTTCAGAATTAGGTATTAAATAAACAACTTTATTTTTGAAATTACCTTTAATATTGTAACATTAAACATTTTAACTTAAGGCATTTTATGCTCTTAATTAATTTAATAAAGGAGTGATATTACGAGGATTATGTTTAAATAATCCAAAGATCTATTCAATATTCTTTTATGAATTATGAGATTTCTTTTTGTCTTGAGCACCTTTTAAACATTAAATTAATTAATTTTCTGTTAATTGAGATTTATCTAAACATTCAAGTATTTTTAGAGCTTCTTTAGTTAAATTAATTTTCTCTACATTCTCATCATCTCTTTCACAATTATCACATTTTTAATTACATAATGTTTTATCAAAATTTTCACCTAAATATGATAGTTATAAGACTCTTCTACATGATACTCTATCATAACAGAATTATTGCATTTAATCCAACTTTTTAATATTATATTTTTACATCTATGGAGTCATTTCTGTGTTTGTATCCATTAGATACTATATATATATATTATAAAAATTACTAAATTAGTTTTATAGTCATTATTATTATAAAATAAAAGGCAATGTGCTTATTTACCATCTCTTCCTGCTCTACCACTTTCTTAATAGTAATTTTCAATAGATTTAGGCATTTAAAAATGAATGACAAATCGACAATCCTTTTTATCAATTCCCATTCCAAAAGCTACTGTTGCAACTATTACTTGTACTTCATTCATCAACCAATTTTTATGAATCCTATGTCTTTCCTTTTCATTAAGACCAGCATGATAAAAATCAGATCCTATACCATGAATTATCAAATTTTATGATAAAGTTTGACATTCAGATTAAGTTAGACAATATATGATACCAGATTATTTTGGATATGTAGAGTTGATAAATTCTTTAATTTCTTAGACAGTTTTCTTAAATTCTTCTCTTTATCTTACTTCATATATTAGATTTGGTCTATTGAAAGAAGATTATAAATATAAACAACCTTTAATTTAAAGTACATCAATAATATCTTCTTTAACTTCTTCTGGAGCAGTGGCAGTCAAAGCAATAATAGGAATATTTGGATATTCATTTCTAACATTACTCAATTTTAAATAATCTGGTCTAAAATCTCTACCCCATTTACTTACACAATGTGCTTCATCAATTACAAATCTTTTAATTAATTTTCTATTGAATAGATCACCTAAAATTTATTTAAATGCTTCAGATTTCTCTATTTTTTCTAATTTTTAATTTTAATAATTATAATACCAGGAGTAGTATAAATTAATTTTATTTTTTAGTCTAGAATTTATTATGCTGTTAAAAGTCTATTTGAACCACTTATATTTAGAGATGGAATACCAAGACTTGTAAGATAATGTACTTAATCAAATATTAATGAAATCAATGGCATTACAACAATTGAAACACCTAAATATCATGTCAAAATTTTACCATTTTCTACAAAAGCAGGTATTTAAAAGGTTATACTTTTTCCATAACCAGTTGGCATACAAACAAAAACATCTTTTCCTGCTAATACACAATTTATTATTGCTTTTTAATTTGCTTTAAATTATTCTTTACCAAATGCTCCCTTTAGTGCTTTTAATACATTTGTATCCCAATCAAATTATGTAATAGTCCAATAATGAACATCAGCAAATTAATAAGACTTTTGTTTTTTTTGGGCCTATTTTATTACAATTTTTTTGGAGGATTATTTTTAAGGTGGAAGTACTTCAGATAGTTAATTTCTTAGAATTAATTATTCCAACTATGCTCTAGATATTTATATTAATTCATCTTCCTCTGAAAGTAGTCTCTAAAAATCACCGTATTTCATTTATACTTGTAATTATTTAATTATATTAATAAGTATGGAAGGGACAAAATTTCATTAATTTCGATACTCCTAGACACCAAAACATTCACATTAAAATTCAGAAAAAATCATTTAACTTAAACCTACTAATATACAATAGTCATAGAGAATGTAGACTGATACTAACTAACCAATTATTAAACAAAGAATAGAAAAATCCAAAACCATATCATAATCTGTATTAAACTAAATTCATATTATTATTAAGTCTTATTATTAATCTCCTATTTTAAAGGATATACAACTTGAATATATAGATAGATTAAAAAAAATGGATAAAAACGATTTTTTTGCTCAATTGAATAGTTAGGACCCTTACAAATATCCCAAAAAATTAGAAGGCCTTTAATTTATTACATCTAATAGTAAAGTTTATCGATAGAAAAGGTAGAAATCTCCTAAGCCCAGGTTATTTTGCCAACAGAACTGACAGACAGAACCATATAACTAACTAAATTTTCTTCTAATTTAACAAAAAGAGTAGTGAAAGATAAAATTCATAGAGGTATTCCCTTAAAGTATTTTATTTGTATATTCAATTAAGGCATGATGTAAAAGCTTTAGCAGAATGGACTGATCTTATGCTTGAATAAGCTATTGAGAAAAACCAAGGTCAATCAGCAAATATATATGAAGATTTATAATAAATATTTTCACTTTGTTTAAAAGAATTAATTCGTTAGATATCATTTGACTGTATAGAAAAAAGGTATTATTTTTATATCATTATTTATAGTGTTTTATTAGAAAAAATATGGACATAGTATATTGATATTAATACATCTGTTTATTAATCAATTTTAAATTAAAATAATATTTTAGAAAAAGATCATCTATCAGAAGTTATGAGAACACATTAATTATATTAAGCAGAAATAGACAAATATTTAATTATTTAAAAAAAATAAAAAGCTGATATGGATTCAGTTTTGGAAAAATTTGTAAAATTAAAAGCTAATGCAAAATATTTAAAAAAAAATAATAGATATTTAAATACTTAAATAAAAATTTAAAAAAATGAAATCTAAGAATTAAAAAATGAAAATAAATAATTTATAGATTAAATTGAAAAAATTACAGATGAATTACACGATTATTAAAAAAATGTTTAATTATAATTTGAACAATTTTCTATATAAGCTTAAAATTAATAAAGAAATTAAACTAATTTTGAACATGAAAATTAATTAAAACCTAAATTAATAAGAGCTGGTACTGAAAGAAGAATAACTATACATCAAATACCATAATATAAACTACCAGAAATCAAACCTATTTAAAGAGCTAGTTGTTTGCAATTAGAAAAAGTTGATACAGATTAAGATAAACTTAAAAAAGTATTAAATGATAGTCTATCTGTTGGCGATATTGAAATTTTATTAGAGGAAAAAGCAACAGACACTAATGATCTTATTTAAATATTATAATTAACAAAAGAAGCATAAATTTAAACAATTGAAAAAAAGAAATTATCTATTTAAATACCTAAGTATAAATATTTATTAATTTAATAGATTTGAATTAAAAGATAGAAGATAATAAATAATTTAAACTGAAATATCTTTTTTCAATAGGATATCAAAAAGTGTATAGACTGATATAAATGAAGAATTATATGAATCTATTAAAATGGAAGAGTAACATCTTGAATAATTACAGGCAGCTATTCAGAAGGCAAGAGATCAATACTAAAAAATATTTGATAATCAAAATTGTGATTAACCACAAATTCAAGCAATTTTTGATCCATTTGATGAATTTTAAAGTAAATTGAAAGAAAATCTTCATTAATAAAAAGAAATGAGAACAAATTTAATTTTAGTTAATAGTACATTTAAAGATGAGAATACAAGAAAAGAATAATAACTTTAGCAATATGTAAATATCATTTTTATATACATAGTAAAAACGAGTTTCAGAACTTGAAAAGAATAATGATTTAGTTAATTAAGAAATGGTTGAGTTAGAAGCGCAATTAGATTTATATGAAAAAGTAAAACTTATATTTATTGATAGATTAATGAGAAAATTGAAAAAAAATATTAGCGTATAAAATCTGTTAAATCAATTTTGGTTGATAAAACTAAAACTTTAGTTGTTTAATTAACATAAACACATAAATTTGCAGAAATAATGAAAAAAAAAATATAAGATAAAAGAATGAGTTCAATAATTCCTATGTAAAGTACTCCTAAATCTCGATTTTCTTAAGCTTAACCTTAAATAATATAATAAAATTTATCTACAAGTCCATTATAAATTAGAATAGGTGAATAAATCGATAGTGAAAATTCATAAGAAAATATGATGTCAAATTCAGAAAGAAATCTTGTAAAATAAAAATCATTTAGAAAAACTGTTATTTAACAATAATAATAATAATAATAATAATAATAATAATAATAATAATAATAATAATAATAATAATAATAATAATAATAATAATAATTTAATTTAGAAATACCTTTTTAAATTGAAAAAAATTAAAATTGTTAATATAATATTTCTATTCTTCCAATTTAAGATAATTAGGCTGCATAATAATTTTCTTTACAACAGTCTAACTAATTTTTAAGTGAAGATGTATAATTTATTTGATAATTATTTAGGATACTATTGAATTTTAATAAAATTCATCTAGAAATAAAAATTAAAATAAACCTAGACCTAGTTAAAGATTAGTAAAATATATTATAGATATTTTAAGTAAACTCCAATAAATTAAGCTAAAAAAAAAGAATCAAAAGTGTAAAAAAGGGGATCTATGATGCCAAAACAAAATGAATAAATGCAATATTTTCATGAGACCATTTCCAATTTTATTACTTCAAATTTTTCATCAACATCTTCAGATAGTGAAGGTTCTGAATATAATTTATAATTGGAAGAAATAAAATAAAGAAAAAAAAAAATTAATCAAACAAAAAAATTCTAATTTTCATAAGTTCCAAGTAAAAGTATAAAAATATCTAGAATTTTAAAATAAATAATCATTAGATAGCCCAGGTTTAAATTATCTAAAAGCAAATCTTATAAAATAACTTGCTACAAAATTTGCTACTATTAATTAAAAAGAAATCATAGCAAAAATGAAAAAGAGTGCTGTATTAAAGTTAATCCAATAATTTTATGGAGAAAAACTTAAATAAAATTAAAACAAAACATCCTTGCACATTTTATGTTATGAATACTTTTTTAATACATATGGATTTAAGAATATAGCTGAATAAAAATTGATAAATTTTTATGAATCAATATTCGTACATCGAGATAATATAAGAGTTAATTTATTTGGAAGATTCTTATAATTATTTAGTTCATTAACTCTTGATGATTTAGAGATATATATCAAGACTCTGAAATAATTAGATGAAGATAATTAGACACTTAACACTGATAAGGTTAAACGTAATTATCATTTTAGGGTTAATATATACTGGTTGAGAAGGCCATTTTAATTTTAGAGACAATTCATTCTTAGATTCCATAAGAATATAGGAACAACATCATATATGATATTAAGATGAATTATATAGAAAGAAATATGAGACCTTATATTGATTATGATTACTATATTAGTAGGATTTTGACAGGTAAAGGAATTGAATTAATAAAAAAGGTTATGAAATAATCAAGAAGATGCATATGAAACATTATTAAGAAGTATTTAATTCAGCTGATATGGATCTTGATAATATGATGGAATATCAGGAATTTAAGAAATTATATTATTATTTTGAAGCTAATTAAGGTAATCAAACATCAATTAATGTAATGGAAAGAGAATTCTTGTCTCGATGTGACTTAATAGCTAATAATGAGGGTGAGAAGGCAATGTCATTTGATAGATTTTTAACATTTTCAATAGAATAAAATTTATTTTCAGAAGAGAAATTTACAAATTTTGCAAATAGTGTGGTTGATTAAGATCCTATAAAAACAATAGAAGATTTATAATAAAATTGGAATGATGTAAAATTAAGATTAGAAAAGAGAATATAATATGCAGTTGAAGAAGAGATGGAATATTTTTTGAGTGTTATAAAAAAGTTAGATAAAGTAAATAATAGTGTGAATTATTTTTAGGCTTTAATTTGTGAAGATAAAAGATAGAGTATTTGGATATCTTATAGAATAATAGACAATGATACAAGATTGATTTATATAAATAAATTAGTAGATGGTTTGATTCCATAGGGATTTAATGAACTGAAGGATGTTCTTAACTATTCTTCAGATGATAATTATTGATTAAATATATGGTTTATGATTAAATTGAAATTCAGAAATAAATAATAATATTAATCATTTAAGTTTGAGTAGTCTCTGAATAGCTTCATTAGTTTTAGATGTTTCTGATATAATTTTTTAGGTATTATTTTTGTTGCTAGCATTGATACTGTTTTGAGAATTAGTATTTCCTGCTTTTGCACTATTTCCTTAACTTTTATTTCTTATTGAAGATTTTAATAATTAAGCATTACAAATATCAGAGATAACATTAAGAGTGCTTCTTTAATTCTTTGCATTACCAAAGCCACCTTTAAGTAAGTATTAACTTGCTTAGATAATTTGAGATCTTTAGGTGATTGATTAAGCATGTTATTTTAATAGTTGATTATATTTAGTAAATAAATCTTATTCTTAAGAGTTTCGATGTTAAATTTGATAATTTAGTTTTCCAGACTTATGATGTTAAGATTGAGATTTCAAGGGAGTGGAGTGTCTCATTGAATTTTAAGATTATAAATTGACACTAGATGTAGGATATTCACTACTATAATCTACCTTCTTTAATCTGTGATCTGAATGACAAAACTAATAAATTTATAACAATTTACTTTTTATCTTTGATTCTTCCATTGACTTCTCCTTCAGTATGTATGATAGCTTTAGGATTAGGGGGATGTTCTACTGATTCTCTTAATTGTTCATTTTCTTTTATAAGTTATCGATAAGTCTAATTAGATTTGCCTAAATCTTTCTTCAATAGATTCATTTATTTATGCATTTATTCTATGGTTTCTTTATGTTATTTTTCCATATCCTCAATTTTTTATTGTAAACTTTCATTATACAATTTGAGTTGTTATTCAATCTTAGATAAGAAAGGAGACTTTTACACTGATATGTCCTCTGATTTCAGCTTCATGTTTTTAGATAATTTACTCTAATTTGTCATATTCTTCTTCTGGTTGATAACTTCTCTAAGAACTATTATCATTTAGATTTAGTTTGAGTTAAGTAATCTTTTTATCAATCTTCTTCATTAGAGTCTTAAAAACATTGCCAATTATTTTAACTAATCCAGCCAATGTGTCATAGTCTTTTAATTAATTTTCAATCATCTTTAAATCATTTTAACCTTCCAAATAGCCTTCCAAACAGAATAATACCTTTAATGAAAAGAGATTTTGTTACATCTTCAAGCAAAGCCTTTAAAGGTGCTTCAATTAGGGATTCATTGATTTCACTCATTCAAAAAAATAAATTCAGTTATTTAATAAATGAATACAGAATCAAATGGAGCTTCTTTTGGTGATGTACCACAATCTGAATATTTTAAAAAGTTTTTAGTTGGATAGAATTTAGTTGATTCATCTACATCATTTGTAAGACTCAATAGCAAAACAGTGACTGAAAGAAGTATTAGGGAATCCTTTTAAGAAGAACAAAATTATGAAGTCATCCTCTAATAAGTGATGGCAAGTAATATTAGATTGATGGAAGAAATTACCAAATGTTAAGTAACAGTGATCGAATTCATGAGCAGAACCTTGAAACCCAGGTTCAGTAGTTACAACGAAAGAATTCCGAACTTGTCTCTTAAATCCAGCACTTATAAGATGATAATGCCAAGTTATAACATGAATTAGATACTTTTAAAAAAGAGAAACATAGTCTTTAAGAGGAAATCAAGAAAAATGAAAGAGAGAATAGAAAAATTTACTTGCCTGAACCTAAACTTAATAATTTAATGGATATTAATAAAATCTTAATGAACAGAACTGAGTCTTCATTTTAATTCTATAAGGAACCATTGTTATCATCCAAATTTATTAGTACAAAAGTACATACTTCTAATCCCTTTATTTATACAACAAGACCTTAAAGTCCTTCAACTAGTGTTAGATAAAGTACACCAATTTAAACAGAGACCAAATCCCCAATTTTAATGTTTAATAATACTGTTAATTCATGGAGAGATAGTAAATAAAATAGGAATGCTGTTGAATTTAAGAAATTTTAATAAAAAATGGAATAATTAGTCAGAAAATCTAAAAAAATTACTTGAATCACTTAGATATATTTCTAATTTATTTAACAAAATATAATGATAATCAAATAAAATCTTCATCTTCATCTTTCCAATCTTCTTATTAAACCAAATAATCCATATCCATTTTAAATCTTAAAAATCCTCCTAATCCACTGAAACCTTTCATAAATTAATTACCTTCTACACTATGGTCTGTAATTAATTGAAAATCTAATCCATAATCTTTAAATTTCTCAGATAAATGTTCAACTAAATCCTCTTTTTATAAAATAACAAATTATTCTCCATTTTTTTCTTCAAGTAATGTACCAGGTTCATATCCTTCATTTCCTTTCACATATTTAATTTATTTTTCTAAAAATATTATATTATATAATTACATTCAGTTTATTTGCTTTAACATTCCAAACGTAGATATTGAAGAGTATCTACACAAATTAAAGTTTTGATTGTTTATGATTCAACACCTCTCATAGTATCTTAAACACCATATACTACTAAACCTGTATCTTTATCAATATTCTCAAAGAATTAACCAACCAAATTTTTTTCTCTGATATATTTGACTTCCAATAATGATTCTTAACTCAATTAAACTGCTTAATTCAATCCTTATTCTCCACCATAATTAATATCCACTACTGAAATAATTAATGGTTATAATCTCTTATCAAAAAATTGACTTCCAGCCAAATCATTTTTGAAATCAGCTGAACCTGCTAAAACTAAACCTTTCACATTAGGTCTATCTTCAGAAATAAAACAAGTAGTTGCTGTTTCGCATACTTTTCTTAAATAATTATGTCTCTTTTCCATACGAAGACGTGCAAATCTGACTGAAGATTGACCTCCCTTGTTATGTTTCTTTGGTAAATCAACATCGAATGACTTTATAATTTATTTACTATTTCCTTGAATAGTGGCAAACAATGATCCATTACCATCCATAATAATAAATCCAAAAGGTGGATCTATATTTAGGAGGGCTCTTAGTTCTTCCACGTGGAACTGGGGATCACAAAAATAGAGTGAAAGATCTAAGGGTCTATAAGGTTCAATAACAACTGAAATTTTCTTCTCTCCTTTACCATCTGCTTATTACACAATACCACAAAAAACCACTAATCCATTGTTTGGAGCCTTATTGTATGGTCTTAATCCTTGAATAAATAAATTTAAATACTTAGTATGGCTGCTTAAATAGCTTCTTATACAGATGTTCTATTTGCTTTGTCCTTAATAGAAGCTGCTTCTGCATATTAAGTATTGAGTCTATTTGTAATATCTGAAATGATTCTTTTGGGAGGAATATAAACAGACACAACACTTGTGCCAGCAGTTCTTTCCTGGCTCAAAGTTTTAATGAGTTTCTTAAGTCTAAATTGTTCAAGTGCTATTTCAGCATCACTAAGTTTCTAATCCATAATTAAATAAATTATTCAAATAAATTGCACTTAGATTTTCTGAGTTAATTATCATTTATCACAATATATTAAATTATATAATTAATATGTATAACAATTCAATCTCCACCAACTGCTTATTCTATAAACCATAAACTTGATACAAATGCTATGGCAACCAAAAAGATTATGTACTTTTCCCATTTATATTAAGCAATTGAAAATTCCTCAGTCAATGTCTCCATTGTAGATATGTAAATAAATGTCCCTACTGATATTGATACAAATATGCCAGTATACAATGGCCCTTTATCTGCCATAATCCATCCAATTCCTATTCCAATTGGATTCATTATAGATTAAATCAATATCATGTAGGTAGAAGTAGTCTTATTAACTCCTGCTTTTCTAAAGGCAAGACCCAATGTCATTCCTTCAGCCTATAATCATATTGTTGATTACCCATTTATGACAACAAACTACTAATGCTATACCTATACACAAAGAAACCTCTTCCTGTATACCTATTGATAATCCTTCAAAAACAGCATGTATGCCAATTGCAATCTATAAGATGTAAGGGGCCCAAGTATTTACATCCTAATAAACCATTGAATTTTTTGGATCTTATGCTATTGATTTTTTCACCATTTATACAAATGATGCTTTCTTTGCTACAATTAACTAACAAATTTAAGAATTTTAATACCTATGTATTTAGAGCATCCTTAAATGTATCTTCAGTATTCTTTTTTTCTAAAAGTGCTTCTGTATCTACACTTCCATTCACAAAAAGTTGATTTTAATCTTAAACCTATGTATTTTTTGAATTGCTATCATGATGGTGATGTTCTTCATCATGTCCATGATTATGATGATGATCTGTTATTATTTTTTCAATAAAAAGTATTAGTGCAAAACTTAATATTGATATTGCATAAGCGAATGGAAAATGTTCTTCATCATCATCAAAAGACTATTCAAAATTATCTGCTGCCTCTGGTAACAAATGAACTAAACCTACTGCAAGAAATAGACCTCCAGAAAATGCTCCCATATATGCTAAAAGTTTCTGAGCTTTTCATGATTTATTTGTACCTTATTTGATTTGAATGCTTTGAGTCTTATTGGGAGACTCCCTACTATAAGAATTAACATAAAAAAAGCAATCATGCATCCAACTTTTGTGATTGCAAGAATAACTTGATTCGAATCGTCATCACTCATTGATTTAATTAAATGGCAACATTAAACTAAATTTATGAATTCTTCTAATAGCTCTTCATTAAAATATGAATCACTTACTTTATATAAACTTTCATCTCTATAATTGGATTTACACTTTTATACAACATAATTATTATATTAGAACTTAGAAGAACATCTTAAAGTTTCTAAAATGATTTCATATATAAACAATACAATTCTAATTTCTATATGATCTATAAAATTGAATATTAAATCACTTTATAATTACAGATATTCAGATATTAGAATACAAAATTATAAAATAATATCATAGAAAATAGAGAATAAATACCTATATTTATTTGCAAAATCCGATAATAAGCTAATCATAATAAAATCATCTTTTAATTATTAATTATTTAGTTAATCCAATAATAAATTTTTAATTTATTAAATTATAGTCTATTGATTTACTTTGTTTTAAAAACTAATTTTCTTTTTTTTCAATCAAATTGATGTATGATTTGTATATAAAATAAGTCTCTGACAATTAGGCTATTATTTCAGATATTGCAATCTAAATTTTATTTCTATTTCTTTAAACTTTGGGTATAATAATTTATAATAGTTTAATTTTATAGTAAATAAGCTTAAAATCATTAAACCAAAGATGGTTATACATATTAATTCCAATCTTTAGGACTTATATCAATATTTTATTCTGATTAGTCAAGCCATTTAATTCTTTTCCCATCTTCCCAAAGTCCCAATTAACTCCTTCCATTTTATAGTACATATCTACCTTTTCCAGATTATTTTCCATTATTCCAATATCCCTCATATTTCTAGAATAAAATACTAAATATACCCTTCCATCAGGCCATATATAAATTCCATAGCCATGTTTTTTATCATTTAAATAACAACCCTCATATTTTCTACCATCTTTCCATAAGTAAATACCTCTTCCATTCATTTAATTATTGGCCCATTGTCCTAAATATTTCTTAAATAAGTTATATAGATACTCTTCCATCAGGCCATGTATATACACCAAATCCACATAACTTATTTTCACTCCAATTCCCAATATAAGAAGAACCATCTGCCCAAAAGTATTTTCCAAATCCTTCTTTTTTTCCATTCTAATATTATCCTTCAAATTTTGCATTATCAGCCCATATCTCTACACCAAATCCATGTTATAGATCATCTATCCAATCACCTTCATATTTTGCACCATTTAAATGAGTATAAACACCTTTTCCACATGCCTTATCATCCTTCCATTCTCCATCAAAGAAATCACCATCTATATGCCAAAATTTACCTCTGCCATTAGCTCTATTATTCTTCCATTCCCCTTCATATTTAGCTCCATCACTCCAAATTTAAATACCATAACCATCTCTACTTTAACCAATCCATTCTCCATCATAATAAGCTCCACTCTAATATTTTTATGTAAGAACCTCAATACCTTAAATATATGTCGAGGTCTCCTTTCTCTAACAGAATTTTCAGATTTGCTTATGTGAGTTTCATGCATGTCTTCTTAATTTCTTAACATCATCTCATTTTTTCGTTTTTTACTATCTTAGTTTGATTCTAATGATGTAGAAATTCAATTTACCATTTGTCATAACAATTTATGCTTAAGGAATTTCTACAAGTTAAGCTGGAACTGATTGAATTGGAACAACTTCTTTTTTTTGATTTAAATCCAAGTTCAAATATTTTTGTACAATTTGGCTAGAAGCATCTAAGTTCTTATCTTCAAGATCTAAATGATTATGTTATAAGATATACGATCATCATCATCATCTTCTTCATTTGGTTATTATGAATATTCATTCATTTATCTAGATGATTGTTATTCCTCTTGGCTAATGAGAACTTCTTCTTTTTTCTAACAATTCTAACACGTTGCACAATTGCTTCCCATCTTGATTAATAAATTAATTGAAATAAATGGAAACTTAAACTACTCTTATCATAATTAAATCTTTCTGGCAAAAAAAATCTGTTATTAATTAACTGATGTATCATTAATTAGATGGATATATTTTAAGAATAATGATAAAATATAATTTAATAAGGGTTAATGAATAAAAATATAACTACAAAAATATATATGAATTTAAAATATTGTTGAAATGTATTTATTCATTATTCAATACTTTTTATATTATAATTTTTTGAGTTTTCTTTGAAAAGCTTATTGGGCTTAAGAGAATTCTAAATCTTTAATGATCTATGAATTAAATCCAACTTAGGTTAATTAAGAAACCTTCTTTTTACTATCAGCCATAGGACTAATCTTTGATTCCAAAAATTTAAAATATATTCTACTATCACTAGTTTTTATGTCAATAATATTAATAGGTGGTGATAATTCTTTTGTTTTTAATTCTGGTAATCTCAATCTAAGATCAAATCCTTTTTTATTTTATTTCTCAATCTTAATATTTCTAATTAATTTTCTTTTATAATGATTCCATCTTTCTTTTTCTTCAAATAAATATTAAATATCATCATCATCAGGATATCTTTTAAGTTACTATTTATAAATTTGTATTATATCCATAGGAAGTAATTTTCTGACATTAAATGAACTTATTGATATTATTTAACAAGGAATAGATGTAATATATGAACAATCAGATTCTACTTCATTTAAAATTGCATAATCCCCAAAAACATCATGATCACTAAGTTCATCAATATCATAAAATAAATCTTATTTTTTTTATGTCAATTCCTCTCTTGAAGTCATACTTCCATAATTTAATTTAATTTTTCTAATTACTTTAACACATCCTTATTTAATAATATATAGATTTGAAGGTTCAGTTCCTTATTTAATTAAAATCTATTGGGATGAGTAATGTTCCATTGTACATTTAGTACAAATTTATACTAATAATGATTTTGAGAACATTTTAAAAATTGGAACTTTTTCTAAGAATTGAATTAATTTATTTAAATTTGCTGTCTACATTTCTTATTTGTTATCATTCTTTAAATATTCCTCAAAACTTTCTTTTGTTAATATAATTAAATCACTCTTTTCTGCTGCCATTACAGCTGCTGTTCTTTTAGAATTGTAAAGTAAAGAAATTTCTCCAAAAGCATCACCTTTTTATAATATTGCAATTTCTTTCTATATCATAATGTATATGTTACCAGCTACATAAAATTTCTGAATTCTGTTGGCTCTTCAATAAACACCTTAACACTTCCACTTAAAATAACATAAAAAGCATCACCTGTTTCACCTTATTAAAAAATATATTCTCTTTTATTATAAGTCTTTAGAAACAGATGTTTGCACAAATCTAAAAAATTTGGTTTATCTCTATATTATTTGAGAAATTGAATTTCCTTAGATAGTCATGATAATTTTTACTCCAGCAATTTAAGCAATATCTTGACAAATTGTTTTATTTCGTTTTTCTATAGGTACTTCTAGTAATAATCTCATTTTTTCAGTTTAATAAATGAATTTTTTTTTGGGATCAACTTATTATTCTTCATTCTCTTAACTTTCCTCAGTAGATAATCTCATATTTTTTGTATTTTTTAATTTATATATAAACTTAATTATAAATATATAATATAAATTAATAATGATGTAGTAGTACTGACAGAGAGATGATATAATTGTTAGAATATAAGGTATTATTCAATTATTATTTCTATTTAATTACTTTATAATAATAATTGATTGATTCTTAATTATAACTTAAAACTAATACAATATTATTTATTAATTATGAATTATATTATAAACTTAATTGTTAGTTTGACATTCATTTGGATTACTTATTTGGTTTATTCAATAAAGTAGTTTAAACATGATTAGATATCAGATTGGATCTTAATTTTTGCTAGAAGGTTGCTTTTTTATTCATCAATTCTGATAATCTTTCCTTTATTAATTCCAAATGGATTAGAATTTCAGCATAATTTATTTTTAAAAGATCACAAATATTTGAGAGTAATTCATTTGATAGATTAATTATCTATTTCTGAAAGAGAAACCCTTAGTGCTTACATAAATCAAGAATTTTCTATGAAATATAAAATAATGTTGTTAGTTCCTATTTTTTTATTGCTCAAAGAAATTTATCTACTTGCATAAATCAATTATAAAGAGTCATAAGGAAAGGAAGTCAATAATAATTTGGCTATTTCACATGAATATTCAACTCATCCTATTATTTTTCAACCTAAAAATGTTTCAGAATATGTGATTGATAAAAATGAAGAAATTTTGAGAATTGAAAGTTATATACAGAATAATAATATAGAAAAAATGAAATCTATAGATGAAATTAAGAGTAGCTATTTAAATAATTAATCAGATCTTTTAAATAAATTATAATTTGTATCATAATCTATTAATTTAGACAATCGATAGTAAAAAGCCTGAAAAAATATTGTATTCATAGTATAGCAATAAATAATTAGCTAATGCTAGACATTTAGGGAATATTGAAGAATCTGAATTAAAATCACCAAATTTCAAAACAATTCATTCTTAAGCCATGATTGAAAATTCATTTTCTTTTGATAATTAAAGCAAATTAGATACTCAAATTTAAAGAAAAATAAAATTAATAATTAGTGAATTAATTATATTACAAATAATATTTGGATATACTGTAGGTGTTCAAGAAAAGCCAATATTATCATGTTTGTTTATTATGCTATCCTAATGTATAATGATTGATTTATTTGATGACTTAATGTTATTTAGTAATTATCATTTAATATTTTAAGTTAAAAAAACAATAATGGGAACATGTTTACTTATATTTTACTTAATATTTGTAATTTCAATGTTTTTAGGAATGTATTATAATTAATATCTTATTCAGATATGTTATTGTATTATTATAGCATATTGTATAAAGCCCTTTATGAACTTTTATGGCCATTAAACAATAAAACAAACCTTAATGTTCTCTGGGATTTCTCTTTTATTATTGATTGTTATTAAATTGTTATTATTAATTTATTGAAATTTTAATGTCATTTCCATAAACATCAGGTAAGATTATAATGGATACATCACATGGAGAATTAGAAATTGAATTATGGTGTAAAGAAGTACCTAAGGGATGTAAAAACTTTATTTAATTATGTTTAAATGGATATTATGATAATTGTCAATTTCATAGAATGTTTCCAAATTTTATGATTCAAGGAGGTGATCCAACAGGTACAGGAGAAGGAGGAAAATCAATTTATGATTAACCATTTTAAGATGAATTTCATTCTAGACTCACTTTTTGCACAAGAGGAATTCTAGCATATAGTAATGAAGGTCCTAATACAAATGAGTCATAATTTTTTATAACTTTTGATTCATGTCCTTGGTTAGATAAGAGACATACAATATTTGGTATGGTGGTAGGCAAAACAATTTTTAATTTAATGGCAATGAATGGAGTTGATACTGATGAAAATGATAAGCCAGTGACACCAATATTTATAAAAAGTACTTAAGTAGTTATAGATCCATTTAATTTAACAATAACTCAAAATATTAAGCCAAAAACACCTGAAAAAGAAATTAACTAAATTTAAGAAAAAATAAACTAGAAGCCAATTTAAAAACCAAAATAAAAATAAAAAAATATTAATGTCTTATCTTTTGGAGATGAAGAAGATAATGAAGAACCATAATAAAATAAAATAATTAATAGTCATGATGTTCTAAATGATCCTAAATTAAAAAAAGAATATGCTATATCCCAAGAAGAATTAGAGTATTTTATTATTTTTATTATTATTATAGGATGAAAAAACAAAAAAAATTAGAAGAAGAAAATAAAATCTTATAACTCAAATAAAAGATTACATAATAATAGAATAGTAATTAAATTAATAAAGAATAACCTATATAATAGAATACTAATAGAAATATTTTAATGAATGAAAAATTTTTAGATAATATACCCTAAGAAGATAAATAATTATTAAATTACAAAATTAAAAAAAATGCAAAAGGAGAAGTTTAATATATTTTTAATGAAGAATCTGATTCAAATTCTTCAGATTCTGAATCTTCAGAAATTGAGGATGAAGAATAAAGATTATAGAGAGAAAAATAATTAGAAGAATATGAAAAATTAAAAGCAGATTTCTTATAATTTAAAGAGAATAAGTTTGGATCAAATAATCCAATGATTAGAGATAGATTATAACATGAAAAAATGTTATTATCTACAGTTGAATAAAGAAGAGCACGATTTATTTAGAATATGAAAGAATAATCTCATAATGAGGCATTCGAAGAAAAAGTTAAAAAATTTTAAGAGAGATTAAAAGATGAGAAAATTTAAAATGATAAATATCATTGGCTTAATCATAAATTAAAATTTCATGTTGATTCAGCTAATGCATATAAAGTTGTTGAAACAAAACAATAAGTTTCAGATTATCATGCATCTGATATTGTTAATGAGGATACATATAAAGTTAAAAAAGAAAAGAAAAATATAGATAAACTTTTAAAATTAAGTGAATTATGATTTATATATATATATAATAATAAATATATATAGAAAAATATACACTCATTCTTCAATTTTGACTTACCTTCTTCTTCTTTTTCTACTTAAATAATATGAAGGATTAAGGTGAAACAATTTAAAGCATTTATCTGTACATAATGCTACATTGATATTATAATAATTGTGACAGCTTTCACAAATAAAACTTGATTTATGAATTTTATGATTATTCTGTTTTAAACAAACTTTACATCTATTATCATAAAATTTACATTTACTTCTGACAATGAGAACCTTTCATTGGAAAATGAAGATTCTTTTCATCTTCAAAAAGAGCCAATTAAGTTATAAATAACTATTTATATCCTTCATTTTTTTTAGTTGGTTATTTTTAGTTTAATAAATACATTTAATTTTTTTGGTATAATTTGAGTTTTGTGATCATTACCAAAGTTTCTTAACAAGTAAATTTAGGCAAATTTACAAGGAATTTAGCTAAATAATAGATAGAATTTGGTATATCATGTATAAGTGTAACATCTTTTATTAAAGAATATATGTTATACATTTTTACATACTATTCCTTTAATTCTAATTATTCAATAAATTCCTTGTGAAAGTCGTCTACTTATTTTATTTATCTTCGAATGAACTCTTCATAAATCTCTTGATCTTTAATTATATCCTACTGAAATTTAAGAAGCACTTATTAGTTCTGAGAATATTAAATCATTAAATAACCATCCTTTAGTTAAACTATTTTCTGATTGTTGATCCAAATAATTATTTTACTTTTGAGATAAGGTAATTCTATCAATCGAAGAGCAGGTTACATAATATCTACTTTTTCTTCTTAGAAATCTGGACCATAATTTTTGAAATGCAAACACACCTCTTAATTTGACTTAAGAATGCTAATAAGAAATTCCTCAACAGCTTCATAGTATTTGTTTAGGTCGGATGATAATTAGTCTATATCAAAGTGTTATTGTTTAATAATAATAAAAGAGTAGGAATCGTAAGCATAAAAGAAAACAGCTTTAATTTCTGATATATATCTTTGGAAAACTATTATGGAAGTATATTTATGTTCTGATTGCTCAGACAATTGTATCTATGATTAAGTTTCTAATATTCTAAATAAACATAACATTGCCATGTCCATAATATCAGCAACAGATGAATTCATCTATTAACTTTAAAATATTTAATCAAATTTCACTATAATGAAATGAATTTAAAACCAAAATCAAATGCAAACCAAAAATGCATTGAGAAGTACTATTTATAAATCAAAATAGAATGTGTTTAGTTTACTATAATATTAAATTATAATTCAATATATTGTATTTTATAGGATGATATTAGAGCTGTGATAATAATTTGATTGAAATACATTTTTATTGAGCAAATCTTTGATCAATTTCCATAAAATTCGAATCTAAATAAATTATATCCTTTCTATTTACTTTATTTTATAAATATCAGTATATATTTTAAACATCTAAAAAGAATACATTAGATGTATAAAAACTCAATTTTAATCAACTATTTCTTTAAATAATCCCAAAAGCTATATCTAGTTTACTTGATTCATATACTATTTAAGTTGAAAAACTTAAATAATATAATTTCCAAATTTCTATAAATAACCTTTAACTTCTCATTTTTTCTAAGTATTTTAAACTTATATAATATTTTTATATTTTATATATAATTGAACAATCAGCCCAACCCTATTCATAAGTAAACTAACTTAACTTATTTATCTACCCTTTTTAATAAAATTTAATTTACATATAATAAGCCTTTCTTTGTTTCAGATGCATACCTTACATTCATTATATATTATATATAATTTTGGATTATTCTATCTCCTACAAGATATGATGATAACTTTTCAATAATATCACAAATAAAAACTGAATCCCATTACAAACTGAGTTTATTGAATTTTCAAGCTATATTGAGTATTATACATGTAGAAGTAGTGCATTAGAAAGTGGATTCTACAATCAAGATCATAATTCTTTAAAGTATATTAAATTAATTAACACTTTTGATATAATATAATATATTAATTAAGTATGTAAAATGAGAAAGATTAAATACATAGTCCCTTATTATAGAATCATCGAGAATCAGAATAAAGAGCATAAATGATAGAGATGCAAGTTTTTAGAAGTTTGGAATTGAATGATTTTGAAAAGCATTAAAAAAAAGATGAAATTTTAGAAATAGAATCTAATAAATTATAATAGATATTGGAAGCTAAAAGTTAATGGAAAACACTTTTAAAAGGATGGAGGAAAGACGGAAATAAATAATAGCAAAATGATGATAATTATTTTGGATTTTAATATAATAAATTATTAGAAATCTTTGATATGAATTAAATATTAAAAGAAGCTTAAAGCACTTTAACAAAACATGATAAAGAGAAAGACTTAAAAGAGAAAAAATTAAAAATTTAGATTGACAAATTAAATTAATTAGGAGGCATTTATGGTTTATAGAACTTTTTGAAGACTTGTATAAAGTAAGGTTTGGATGATAGTAATGATTATGACTTGAAAATGAGAGAAAAGTATTTTGGAAAGAATGAAAAACCTTAAATAGCTATTAAAAGTGTACTGTAAATAATAATTGAATAATTTCAAAAAGAAAGATTATTTTAGTTATTATTGATAATAACAACTATCAATATTATAATATATTTTCATGAAGATATGTAGATCTACTTATTTTACATAATAATGTTAATAATAATGGTTGTATATAAGGGAGTGATAAAATAATAATATAATAAAGAGATAGTATAACATTAAAATGATATTAAAGAGAGGAGTAAACACTTAATAAAGCGTTGTAATGTATTAAGAAATGGTGATGATACAATTTAAATTCATAATAGTTAATTAGTGGTTGGGGATATATTGATATTCAAATAAGGAGATTTTATATAATGTGATGGCATAATAACAAAGTTATCTAATTGTAATGGGATAGAAGTATTATAACCATTTCCTAATTTATTTAATACTCATGAAGTCAAAAATATAGATGAAGTTAAAGAATCAAATTGTTCTTCAAATGATGAATAAATGCAATCAAATATAAGTTTGATTGATAATTTTATATTTGCTGGTTCTCAAATAATAAAAGGATCTGGATAATTACTTGTATGCAGTGTTGGATAACAATCATCTGATTATATATAATATAAGTAATCTTTTTTAGAAGATACAAAGACAGAGAAATAAAGAACAACTTATATGAAATAGAATTCTATGTATAATCCATTTGCTTTTAAGATTGAATCACTTATGAATAAAATTGGTATACAATGTATTATAAGTTTACTTATATTATTGATAATATTACTTTTTAGGAATACTTATTTAATTAATATTACTCAAATACTATTATATTTATCATAATTATCAATTATTACTATTCCATCTTAATTACTTTAATTAATCAATTTATTTATGATCTATGTAATAAAGAAATGTAGATAAAGAAGTATTTATATATAAGATTATCTATCATTATATTGGTTGGGGTAGGTAAATGAGATGATTATAGATAAAATAGATAATAAAGTAACTATGTTTAGTAAATCATAAATAAATATTAGACTTTTCACTTAATTATAATTGGAAGAAGTTTAAAAAACAGCAATTTAATCAGGTCTTGTAAAAGAAGATGAAATAGATGATAAATATATAGAAGGAACTTTATTAAGTAGTAGTTTTGAATAGAAAAATAAATTTGTATTTTTAAGTAGAAGACTTACTTGTCCTACTTTGGATCATTTAAAATTAGAAAAGATTCAATCAAGTAAGACTTTGGAATGGTTAGAATAATAAAAGTAAAAATTCTAATTTTAAGGAATTATTGATTAATAAAAACTTTATGAGGAAATTAAAAATAAAAATATTATTATTGGAGGAAATGCTGATAGAAAAGAACAATTAATTAATCTACTTAAACTATATGATAAAATTATATTTATAAAAGGAGAAGAAAATGATGGAAAAGCAATGGAAATGGCTCATGTAAGTATTGGACCTCATGAATCTAGATCATGCATCAAATTATTTAATCATCTCGAATAAACTGATTATAGTTATATATCCTCCATGTATGAATGTATTAGTTAAGGAAGAGCAGTATATTTCTATATATTGTCTTATTCTTATGCTTTGGCTTGTACATCATAAACTATTATGATATTTGCAATAGCTTCTGCTATATTATCTGATAACATTTATATTATGCCAATTCCAACCTTTATCATCTTCTATTTAGCTTTGAATCATTTTTCACATTAAGTATAAAAATAATGTAATTTGGATGTGTAAAAATATGTAATGCATAGAGGTCCTTATACTAAATAAGGTAGAATTATTGATAGAAATACAATGAGAAAATTATATAAATTGCATTCTATTTTAATTGTTGAATTACTAATTGCCTATTATTATGGATATTTTCAATCTGTTTAAGATGTTTATATAGGATTACTATTTAGCAAACATGTATTTATTATGGTTAGACCTATTAAATAAGTGTTATAATAAATTGAAGGTATTATATATGGGTTGATAATAAATTTAATTAATTAATTTATAAATTAGTCAAATTAAGATTATCATAGTATCTCAGTACTCTTGAGAAATTATTCAATTGGTTTAATTGTTGTAGCATTTAATTTATTTGTTGGTTATAGATGATTATAATAATTTTAATAATAAATTTATACATATTTATATGAATATTTAAAATAAAATCATTATAATTCTTACTATTATTCATTATCATTCTAATCAATTTCATTTTATACATTATCTTTTTTTATTTCTTCATTTTAATCTTCCTCATATTCTTCTACTTATTCATTATTATTATTTATTTAATTCTGTTTACCTAATTTATCCAAAAAATCAATATTGATTCCAAATTCAGGCAAACTTTTTTTACATAAACCTTTTATAGATTCTAATTATTTGATTATTTTTTGATTTTCTTCTTTTATTAGATCTCTTTCAACTTATTATTATTATAATAAATCCTTAAATTAATTAATTAATTTCTCCTTCTATGTTATTTCTTTTTAATAAAACTCCTCAGCTTAAATCATACCTTTTAATAAAGCTTCTTTATCTTATAATTGAACTTTCCTCTCATTTAATTCTTTCCATGCTTATCTATTCATAATATACAAAATTACTGCTTTTATGCTTCCATTTATTTTTTTATGTCAATAATCATAGATGTTGAATTTCCACTTGATTAGTAATTCTTAAACTAATTTTCATTAGATTCAATTTCTTTTTCAAATTACTGTAATTTCTTTTCATATTATATTTCAAGAGAACTGATTTACTTACTCCATTTCTCTTCTTATTTAATTAAAAATGATTATTTAGCCTCTATTATAGCTTCTAATTCATTGAGTTCTTGCTGCAATTCATATGTTATATTAGAGTGGTCTTTAATGCCACTTATGATAAATTAAGTCGATTTAATCTATTTCATCTCTTTTTTAATAGATATTTTACATTAATAGGGAATGATATCAGTTCTATGTTATTTCAATTTCTAATGTACCTTTTGATCACAATTATAACACATCTTTTCTTCACAATCAATACATTAGATTGTAGCTGGACTTGTTTAACATTTTGGGCATAGTCTTAATATATTAGACATTATTATATTTAAATATTAAATATTAATTTATTTAATCAAATAATTGATGATATTAAATTTAATAAATTAGAAATACTTAATGATACAAACATCTAAAATCAAAGTTTTTCATAATCTTTTATTTTTTGTAATCTTTCTTTTGAACAACAAAACGTATGGTTCTTTCTCAAAAATTGCATAATGTAACCATCCTCTACTTTAACATACTCTCAATTTTCTCCATTCTCTTTCTTTAAGTAATCTTTCTAGAAATAATATATATAATATATTACTTTCCCACTTTAAATCCTACATTATTTTTACAGATTCCTTTCCTAATCTTATTATACGATATATATGTGTATCATCTTCAAAATCTTAAGATATTTAATTTGTGAGTGGATATTTATCTTTTTATTTTTAATCTATGACATACATCTTTTCATCTAAAATTTGTTCCATTTTTTTAATTATTTAAATTAACTGAATGGGTTGTTGCACTTCTTAGTNTTTTTAATAAAACTCCTCAGCTTAAATCATACCTTTTAATAAAGCTTCTTTATCTTATAATTGAACTTTCCTCTCATTTAATTCTTTCCATGCTTATCTATTCATAATATACAAAATTACTGCTTTTATGCTTCCATTTATTTTTTTATGTCAATAATCATAGATGTTGAATTTCCACTTGATTAGTAATTCTTAAACTAATTTTCATTAGATTCAATTTCTTTTTCAAATTACTGTAATTTCTTTTCATATTATATTTCAAGAGAACTGATTTACTTACTCCATTTCTCTTCTTATTTAATTAAAAATGATTATTTAGCCTCTATTATAGCTTCTAATTCATTGAGTTCTTGCTGCAATTCATATGTTATATTAGAGTGGTCTTTAATGCCACTTATGATAAATTAAGTCGATTTAATCTATTTCATCTCTTTTTTAATAGATATTTTACATTAATAGGGAATGATATCAGTTCTATGTTATTTCAATTTCTAATGTACCTTTTGATCACAATTATAACACATCTTTTCTTCACAATCAATACATTAGATTGTAGCTGGACTTGTTTAACATTTTGGGCATAGTCTTAATATATTAGACATTATTATATTTAAATATTAAATATTAATTTATTTAATCAAATAATTGATGATATTAAATTTAATAAATTAGAAATACTTAATGATACAAACATCTAAAATCAAAGTTTTTCATAATCTTTTATTTTTTGTAATCTTTCTTTTGAACAACAAAACGTATGGTTCTTTCTCAAAAATTGCATAATGTAACCATCCTCTACTTTAACATACTCTCAATTTTCTCCATTCTCTTTCTTTAAGTAATCTTTCTAGAAATAATATATATAATATATTACTTTCCCACTTTAAATCCTACATTATTTTTACAGATTCCTTTCCTAATCTTATTATACGATATATATGTGTATCATCTTCAAAATCTTAAGATATTTAATTTGTGAGTGGATATTTATCTTTTTATTTTTAATCTATGACATACATCTTTTCATCTAAAATTTGTTCCATTTTTTTAATTATTTAAATTAACTGAATGGGTTGTTGCACTTCTTAGTCTGTTAGTTAAAGAGAATTGGTGTTACATGAGACTTATTTAAATTTACATCATCTCTATAGAACAGAAGAGGATGATGAATAAACATAGAGAGATTGGATTATAGTGGAGGGTGGACGATATCATGGTTAAATTGAAGATAATAAAATGCATGGTTGGGGTATTTTGGTTATGGATGATGGCAGGAGATATGAGGGTTTCTTTGAGAATAACCTTTTTCATGGATAAGGCAAATTATCAGCTGAAAACTATCTATATATTGGTAGCTTTTAATAAGGGGAATGTCATGGTTAGGGTCAATTAAAAACTAATACATCAATTTATGAAGGTAAATGGGAGCATAATTTGTAAAATGGTTGTGGTTCTGAACGATTTGCTGATGAAGCTGTATACAAGGGTAATTATAAAGATGGTAAGAGACATGGAAAAGGTTATATTGAATTTGTAGATTCATCTTATTATAGAGGAGACTTTTTTGAAGGAGATATTTAAGGATAAGGTATTTTTAAATGGGCTGATGGGAGTGAATTTAGAGGATAATGGGTGAAGAATCAATTTGTTAATGGAATTATGAAATGGCCAGATGGACGTATATATGAAGGATCATATGAAGATGAATTAAAAGAGGGAATAGGAAGATTTGTTTGGCCAGATGGTAGAGTGTATAATGGATATTGGCATTAAGGAAAATAACATGGTTATGGATTATTTACTAAAGATGGAATTACTAAGAGAGGAGAATGGAATATGGGGAAAAGAGTAAGATGGATTGGGGAGGATGAAAATATTGAAGAATTTTAGCAATTATATATATAAAAATAATGATTATGCAAAACAAAGAAGTTTTACACAGAGTTTTTGACTTCTATTGCAAACAGTAGTATGTATAGGGATAATTTGCTACATTTGATAGATAATAATATGAAGCAACTATATTTACTATTGGTAAGTGGATGCATTTTTGTAGAGATTTTTAAGTGAAAATTAATACTTCAAGACTAGTAGAGTTATTCAAAAAGCAAGCTAAAAATTCAAAGGAACTTAATTTTGATTAGTTTGTTTAATTATTAAATGTCTTAGCAGGAGAAGAAGGAATAAATTATGGGTAATATTAAACAAATTTAGGATTAGATAACTGGAAAATTTGTATTTAAAAAATGAAAACATTTTAAAGACCATTTTAAATGAAAGATAAAACTGAAAGAATTAAAGATATCAAATATCAATTTAAAATATATCATCCAGATGTCAAAAATGATGAATAAATCAAATAAATTTTATTATAAAGGAAATAATAAAATGAATAATAAAAACTTATTGAAAGAAAAAAGAAAGCATTTTACAAATTATAATTTGAATTAAAACATTTTACTAAATCTTAACTCCTTACTAAGTATCCTAATTTAACTGAACTTATTGAAAAATTACCAGATCCTTAAAAGCCTAAATCTTGTTAATTTAAAGAATAGGATTAGAGTTTGAATGTATCTTAAGAAAGACAATCTGGTCTTACATGGGAAAGTTTAAATAAATTACCATTGGTAACAGATTTTCTTAAAGATTTAATGGATCAATAAGAAGAAGAAGATGATATATATTTATAAGAATATTAAGAACAAAAGCTTTTGAATAATTCCCCTAAGAAAATTATAAAAAGTAATAGATATCACAGTATACCTGGATATCAAAATGAGAGATAAAAGAGATCTGTTTCAGATCATAAATAAATTATTAAGATTTCAAAATAAGATGAATAAAATTCAATAGAAAGATTAAATGAATTTGAGATATAAGGTAAAATAATAAAGTTTAAAACAACAACTAATAATGTAGAAAATAAATAGAGTAATAATTTTATTTCTTTACTATAACTGAACTCAAATTAAATAAGATAAAAAATTTTAAGATAATAAAAGTAGCAATTATAACAATAAAATTATTCAGTTGAAATGCCAAGATAAAATACATCATTAGAATATAATGATCCTCATTTTTTAAAAGATAAGTCTATTCCAAATAAATTGAATATTTCAATGCTTAAGAGAGTCTAATAAATATCTGGATTGGAAGCTATAAAAGAATAAAATTTATTAAATTAAATAATTTCATAGTAGAGAGAGAAAATAAAAATTGCTAAGAAGTGATTTAAAAAAACTTATTAATAGATTTTCCATATTATTTAATATAATATTATAATAAATCATCATTTGAGAATGATGTTTAACTTCTAATTCTTAAATTCATAATCTGAAAATACTGCCATTATCTTAAGCGTATCTGCAATTGAACACATTGATAGTTAAAGACTATTTACATGAATTTTGATGTCTATAAATTATTTATTATTTAACATACCTTTAATTTTGGCAAACATTTTGATTAATTCCGAGATTTCCGTAGGATCTTAGACTCCAGTGATTATGAGATTAGATGAGAGTGGCATAATTTTCTATGTACAGTTTTCATTATAATAAATCATGTATTCATCTTATAAGGATGTTGGTTATAAAGGTTGTAAGGGTTCAAAATATATGCGCAACTATATATATATATTATAAGACATTATTACAATTGAATCAAAGAATTATGTGTTATTGAGATATTCTTTTGCTATGATTGCTTAATTAATGGTCTAGAATTTCACATATGCTTTCTATAATTGTTTCTAATATAGAATCTCTTCAATATTTCCAAATTTGGTAAAGACATTATAAATCATCTTTGCAGTTACTTTAGAGTCTATTGATGCAATTCTAAGTAATTTAGATTGTTTCTATCTTAGTAGGGTTTGTATTTCTGGATGCATGTCAGTCAAATTAAGTTGTATTTCTTGTTTCCATATATCAAAATCATCATCATCATAATCAAGTAATCGATTGATCTCTTCATTTCTAACTGGACTTGAGTTTGCTCTAGAAGATGAACTCTAACTAATATGATTAGTTAAGTTGACTCTGATATTATCGTCTGTTTTAGAATGAAGTATAGAATCTGAATTTTGACTATTGCTGCTAGCTTAAGTATAATCCGTTCCTCTTGAATTATCCACAATTTCGAGATTAAGATTTTTAAGTCGAGAGTAATGGATTATCATTCTACATACAAAATAACTTATTACTTTCCTCCTTGAATATTCAAGCCATTTAATTATTTCCTTGCTGATATTGCACTCTTTAAATTATAAAATTCCACAAAAGCCTTGTTAGTCTTTCCTCTTTCGAAAATAAGTATTTTCTTAATGTCTCCAAACTCATTAAACTTCTTGTGTAAGTACTCATTTGTCAAAGGGAAGGAAGGTGGTAATTATGTTAGAATGAGTAGAAGAATTTAACTTGGAGGATCTCTGCAATTATTGAACATTAAATTTAATTAAAAATTAAACCATAGCAATTACTAAAATATGCCCTGAATCTTAATAAAAGTAACAGCAATTAAATCTTAATCCTCTTATTCTCTAATTCTTCTATATTATTATTAAAACTTATTTTTATTTCCGATGACGTAATTATAATTAAATTTTTCTTAATTTTTCTAAAAATATTAATTATCACAATTATAAAAATGAAGTAAATGTAAACATTTAAAAAACAATTATATTGTTATATAAAAAAACTAATACATGTAAACATTTCCAATTTGCTGATATTCATTGATCTAATCTATTTCTTAGGCAGTCATATAATTTAGTGACTTTAAAATATAATGTATTTAAATTATACTTTGATAATATTTTTAATTAAATAATAATAATAATAATAATATCATTAATATAACCTATAAAATATATTAATATATATTTATTTCATCATTCAACTTTATAATTTGTAAGCATACCATCTACGAATTCAGCACAAGTTTTAGCATTATCAACTAAACTTATATTATTAGATTTAAGATAATCATAAGTATCATTCCAAATCTTCAATGAAACCTCTATTTAACATTATCTTTATAATAAATTAGCTTTCTCTTCTTCTTTTGCATTTTTTTAATTTAATTTTTCCAATTATTTTGAATATGATGCATTACTTATTAATCTTATTTCATTACTAAGACAATACATAAGTAATGTAAAATATTAATCATCCTCCAATTTAGATGGTTTATGAGTTTCCAAAAATTTCTCATCTATTTATAATTTTTACAATGCATATTTTTTATATCTAACAACACCATTTATCCTAATTAATTTACTTGCTTTATTCATCATTTCAACAATATTATCCATATAATAAGGAATCAAAAACTTCTAATATAAACCCATACCTACACCACCTAAAAGACCACCAAAAAAGGCACCCCAAAAAGCAACAGGAAACATAATACTACCTGCTATTGTCATTCCTACACCAATAGTAATAATGAGACCTAAATGACCTAAATTTTTAGCTGTTTAAGAATCATTAATTACTTTATTGGCTAGAATAGATTTGACAGCTAAGGCAAAAATCACTTATTAAATGATAATACCTACAATTGGTAATCTGGAAGCAAGAATACCAAGAACACCAAAAGATATAGCTGTAAATCCAGCATTTTTTAATTTATCATCCCATGGTATATCTTCATCTAGACAATCAACAATAAGAACACCTATACCCATTCCAAGTGCTTTACCACCTATAACTCTATTAGATGTTCCATATCTAATTGGTTTTTTAGGTGCACTAATTTTTTTAAATTTTATGACAGCATTTTTGAATCCAGAAATATCATCAGTAGTTCTATCAATAGATTTTTCACTAGCAACTCTTTTTTTAAATTCAGGATGTCCACAATGAAGATAATCAAATTATTCATTTAAAAATTTAGCTAAAAGTATATTTTATTCTTTTTCATCTTCAAATTATTCCCAACCTTATTCAAATTTATGAAACATTAAATAATGATAAGATAAACTTAAAATAAATTATTAAACTTTATTAGTTTTCTCATCTTTAACAATAATTTTTAATCCTTTTAAATCATTTTTTTATACTTTTACTGATTTTATTACTTTAATTTCTTGACATAATTCCATAAGTGGAATATCATCTTAATCTTGAAAAACTTAAATATTTTAAGGAAGTGGCTTAATTATATTAAATTAAGCATTATTAATTAATTCATCAAAATTTTTATGTTATTTTGTTGTAAACCATTATTTACATTCATCCATTACATAATAAAAATGTTTAATACTTTATCTTACAATAACAGAATGTTTTTCTGGATTTACTTAAAATGATTAACCTACTAAATTAATATCACCATAATCAATAATATTTTATGAAATTTCCTTTTACATATATTTGTAATTCTCTTGATTTGCTAAACATCCATAAACTTTTAGTAATTTATCTAATTGTTACATTTTATAATTGGCATGACAAGCAATATCAATAAGATAATTAAAGAAATCAGTAACTAAATCAATAAACAAATTTTATAGAGTATCTAAAAATTCATTTGTAATTTATGTATCAAGATAAGCAAATTCAAAAAGATCAAATGCAACCCTTTTTAATTGAGACTCCAAAATTTCATTCAATAATACATTTATTTATGCACTATTTAAGTAATCATCACATAGTTCCCCAATTAAAGTATCACATAATCTATCTAATGACTAATTCAAATTTACTCGAATGCGTTTTCTTAAAATGTCTTATAATATGCTTTTATTTATATTCTAATTTCAGGGAGTCTTTGTACAAAAAAGATAGGTTCTGTCCATTCCTCTGTACTTTTATCTATTAATTCATTTACTATGTCCTATTTTTAGAATTATAAAATACTTCAATAAATTTAGGGCTAACATTCCATCCTATGAACATATACTTTCGAAGTATTTTAATACATTCAATCATTAAGTTAACAGTTCGTCTATTAACTCTATCAATCAAGTCCTAGTTTAATAAATAGTCTTCTATTTATAAAAACTGTTATTCGTTAGAAATTTCACTTAGAGCTTCTTTGAAATATCGACAATCTAAGGTTATTGGAACTAAGATTTGAGTTTTTAAAGCCTATAATATAGAATCATGATAAATCTAATTCATCAATAATAATATTTATTTCATTTATTTAACTAACTCATTATTTAATTGGCTTCGTCTCTTTCTGGTCCATTAAAATCATATAATCTTTTAGCCATCTACATAGCTCTTTCTTTATCTCCTCTTCTTAAAAAAGCTCTTGCCAAATATACTAAAGATTCTGACAATTCTTTATCAACTATTTATTCATCATCTTTCCTTTTCAAACTCTCCTCAAATGCTGACAATGCTTTTTCTGTTTTACCCTAATCCATTAGAAATTTAAATGCTTACCACTGCATCATACAATTTAGCTAATTGATGTATAGCAATACCCTCTTTATCTTTACATTAATTTGCTCTTTCATAACATTTCATTGATTCATTTTTCTTATCCATCTTATCATAACATTCTGCCATTGCATTCCACATTCTTGCATCTTTAGGTCTACTTATAACAGCCCTACTAAAATAATATAAAGCATATTGATTCATTCCTTATAAGGCATATGTTTATCCTAAACCATACCATGCTCTAAAATCTTTAGGATCAATTTCTACTGCATTTCTATATGATTAAATTGCAGATGCAACGTTTTTCATTTCTAAATATTCATGTCCCATAAGAGTCCAGGCTGCCAAACAATCTTTATCTAATTTAAGAGCTCTTTAAAAGTAATTAATAGCTTTTGCATGTTCATTCATTAAAGAATAATAATTACCTACAACACAACAAGTTTCTGGTACATATTTATTATTAGTAAATGATTATAATGCTAAATTTGCTAATTCACCTTAATTTTCTTTTATATACAATATATTTGAATATGTATCTAGACTTTCAAATCTATAAGGATCAATACTCAATAATCTTTCAAACCATTCAAGTGATAATTCAAATTCTTGATTATTATAATATGCATTTGCAATTTAATTTATTATAAAATTTGAATTTCTAAAATAATAAAGTAAAGTCTAAAATTATTCTACACAATTTGCATTTTTAAACTTTTCTAGATTAAAGTTTGAACTCCAAAATTATTTCATCCAATGATTTGGTAATTCATCTAAAGTATCTTCTTCTGTTAACAATTTACATAATTCCAACCAAACACTCCAAAAACATGGTAATTAATGTAAAACTTAAATGAAAACTTCTCTTGCTTCTCTTAATCTCATTGTATCTTTTAATATTAATCCATATAAATAAAGATTCAATGAGTTTAATTACTTTTAATTATATAATTTAGATAATTCCCTTTCCAATAATTTAAGCTCTGGATTTATAGCTGTTTTTGAGTTTTCATTTTCAAACATTTCTTCTTCCTTTCTCAATTCTCCATGCATATATTGAGAGTAATAATAAAGGAACATTGCTGATTCATTTTTATGTATTAAATTTTATAATAAAGATGCACATTTCTTATATTCTCTTAAATCATATAGATTTCTAGCTACTAAAATAATATCATTATATTCAGGAACAAATTCTCTTATAAAATGATAATTGTAATCTGTATTGTTTTGGATAAATTACATTGCAAATTGAGATGATTATAAATCTTCTTCTTAAGTCAATCCTAATAATAACTCTCCTGTCCACTTGCTAGAATGATAAAGCTTATTTTCTGAGAAGAATCTAGTATAATATTGCAACTCTTTTTGAATTTCTTATAATTTAGGCATTAATTCCATTTTTCAAATTTCAAAATTTATTACTAATTAAAAAATAATGATAACTGGAGCAATTAAAATAAAGAATGGTCTATTCAGAGGAGATGAATTACCTTCTAAATTAAAATATTATTTTAACTTAAAAAGATCAAGAATTTGTGATCCAGAATTAAGTAACAAGAATTGTTATTTGTTCAGCCAAATAATTACCATACGTATTCAAAAACTACATGGATTCCTATCTAAAATTTAATTGGCTAGAGAATAAACAAGTTTTGTTATATCAATATTTTTATGTTTCTATTTGTATAATCTTCTCTTCATTAATTATTTTAACAATATTTCCTATATATAATGAATTAGTATTTACTTTTTCCTAATGATACTTTTAATGAAATCTATCAATTTAGTAAATATGCGCATAATAATGGAGAATCTGTTTTAGTTCATTTAATAAGAGGATGATCTCGTCCTTTTTGTGCCCTTTTTGCCTATTAAAAAGAAAGTATATGTGGAAATTTTATAAAATTTTAAGTTTCTTAACTTTAGAAGACCGGATCTTGAAATTAAAGCCAATTTCTATCATTAATTAATCCAAATTGAATTAAAATATCGAAGTTGGGTCTATCAAGTACATGGCAACCAGAAAAAACTAGATTAAGATGAAAACCTACCGGAAATACATTTATGAATGATTCTTGCTGGTTAATTAGAAGATTATTCAATTAATATCTAAATGAAAATAAAATAAGAACTATCACTTAGTTAGATAAGCTAAGAATTTATTAAAAAAATCAAATATTAAAATCCAAAACAGCTGTTAAATTAAATAGCCAAATTAATATTAATGGAAATATCTATCAAGTTACAATTAATAATAATTTAATTCTAAAAGAACCACTAAAAAAATGTAATTAAATTCTAAATTTCAGGGATAATCATTAATTATTCAAACAAAATAGTAACACTATTTTATAGTTTACAAAAATTAAGAACAGAAATTTAAATAATCTGGAAATTCTTAATCTTTAAAGTAATAAAAAAGTGATCCAAAAGAGAGTCCTAGATCTGTATATGTATACAAATATTCACTAATCTAGATAGTCTGAGATTCAACTTATTCTAAATATACCAAAACCAATACCCTTTGTCTGACGTCACCTTTAGGCAGTTTCATTTTAATTCTATTTTTAAGTTTACAATGTTCCGAAAGGAAAAACTAACTTAATAGATTCTAAAAAAAAAACAAAGGATGAAGATATTGATCTCCTGAATAAATGAAAAATGATGAATCTTTAATACAATCTAATATTAATAGTAAATCTTTATGAATGTGAATATAAGTAATACTAAAGTTAATTATATATCTTTTTGTATTAATTCTAATATAATATCTTTACAAATAAGCTCTCAAATATCACTACTTAATTTTCAGATTTATCTATCTATCTTTTTAAATTATTCTTTTTCTAATACTTAATTTTATTATCGCTTCAACTTATTTAATTGTTCTAATTGATCATCATTTTCTCTTCTCAGTAAATTTAATTACTCACTTTTTGCTTACAACAATGTTTAAGCATCTGACAGTTCAAAACTCAATCTTTATATTTCTTTAGTCATCTTCTCTAAATTACCATTGTCTCCCTTTTTCTTATTTATTTATATAAAAGCTTAATCTAACTCTTATTCTTTCATCTCTAGATCACTCTTTAACTTTTCCACTTATTTTTTCAATGATTGCCTCTCACTATTTGATTTTTATGAGTTATTCTCAAATTCATGAATCTCATTTAATAAATTGTTATTTTTCTATTTCAATTAATCATAATCTTCAATGTGTACATAATTCTAATCTATTTATTATCTTAGAGAGTCATACTATAGTTCTTTGTCTTAATATTAAGTTTCCAAATTTATAAATTATTATTATAATTGATTCATTTTAGCATCTTTTTAATTAAGCTTTTATTATAATATTTCAATTTAATTATTTAAAACATCCTAATACTGATTTAAATATATACCTTTTCATTTTCTAAACTCTTAATCATAGCTTCTTTTTCTTAAAGTATTTATTAAATTTATTTATTAGATTCTTTATGTTCCTCTTAATATTTGATAAATTATTCTTCATTCAATTTCAACTATTAATTTTAATTCATAATTTGATCTAATAATTTCTACTCTTTCTTTTTTGCATCTTCCATTTTTTATTAACATTCAAGCTAAGTTTAATCCATTTATTTTTATGTTTTGTCAATTTAATTGTTAAGATTGTAAATATCAATTTCATATTAATTAATTACCTATTTACACTTTGATATTCTAGTTTCATAAAAATTAAATTTTTATTTAAACTAATTTCTTTCAAGATCTCTTTATTATATTGATTCTTAAAATTCCTTAAGATAAATATCAGATCTTTAATTTAACTCTACTACTTGAAATTCTGCTTAATTTAATTTTTCTTTTGTTTATTTTAATAAAGTATCAATTTTATTTTTATCTTAATTAAATTAATCAATTTGTTAATCTTTTTATTTTAATTGTTCTTGATAATATTATATCTATTAAGAAGATGTGAATTCTAATTCGATTTTTGAAGTTTCTAATTCTTTTAATTTTTATTTTTATTACTTTAATTGTTACTCTGTTTATTATTTTTCTTATTATAACCTGATATTTTAATTTTTTAATTCTTTTCTAAAATTTTCAAATTCAGATTAGTTATCTTTAAATTCATTTATTTTTTGTTTTTCCATTTCCCCTAATTAATATTTCAACTCATTTATTGAATTATCTAATAATTATTAATTAAATTTATATTAATTTAATTATTCATTATTCTTACTATTTTAAATTAATAGTTTTTCAATCTCTCCTTATAAAGTTTTAATCTATTCTTCCAAATTATAAATCTGTTAATTATGAAATCCTTTCAACTCTAAAATATCTCTTTCCTATTATTTTTTAATTCTTATTTCAATTTCATTTATAGAATTCTATTATAATTGTAATTCACTTTTGATATCATTAATAATCAGATCTTGTTTGTTACACTCCTGTAATTTTTCATAGTATTTTGATTACTATTCTAATAGTTATTGCTTAAATTTCTAAAGATCTTCTTGTAATTATTATATTTCTTAATTTTTCAATTTTATAATTCTCTCTTATTCTTTTTATTATATTTTAATTTCTTTCTCTAATTCCTAATCTATCACATATAATTTTGCATTTTCAGTCTTCATTATTTAGAAATGATTCTCAGATTATTATAATTACTATTATAAATCTCTTATTCTCTAATCTTATTGTTAGTTTTCACTTTAATATGTTAAAACAGTTTCATCTAATCTTCTTTATAAATTATTGATTTATTATTATTAATCATATTATTATTTGAGTTCTTAGATAAATGTTTAATGCACAGAATCTTATTAATTATGGTTATCATGTATTAATTATAATTCCTTTGTCAAACTAATACTTTTTTATCTTAGTTCTTCAGAAATTTAATTTTATTAATTAATTTATTATTATATAGTAGTTTTTTCAATTTATAGATTATCTATCAACTATTACAATTTATGTTTTTCATTTATTAAATTATCAAATTAAGCTAATAATTTTGAATATTTTTATTATTCTAATATAAGTTAATCATTTTTCTAGCTCAAAATTTATTAATGTATTTATTAAACATTTTTTAAGTGTAGTTAACTTTTAAGGGAATTCTCATTTTCAACTTATATTTAAGTTTCCTCAATTTACCTTTTACTTTAAAGTTGAATATCTTGAAATTATTATTTTAAACATTATAACTCATGTTCTAAATTTTAGATTTAACATGTTAAATTCTAATTTTCATCTGCATATTGAACATTCTTGTTAATAAATCATAATAAATACATTTTATTAAATTTATTTAAGCTTAATTTCATTCTTTTTCATTTCATTGGCTAAAAATTAAATTTCTTCATTTTTTTATTATAATAACAATTATTATTATTAAATATTGTGTTATTCTGTTTATAATTGATAAGATTAATTTTAGAGCTGCATTTCTAATCCATTGATTATTTTTTCGTATCTTAATTAATCTGCTTATATTTGATTTTATAGATGAACATTTTCAGTATTCAAATTACTATATTTGACTTCATATGAATCAATAATTTTGATGTTTTCTTTTTTTCTTAAATTAGAAGATTAATCTTATTTTCCTATAGGAGAATAAATTCTATCAGCTTATTTTAGATAAGGAAATACTTAAATTATAGAGGGGAAAATTCTGAGTATTTTGGCTTAGAAGATAATATTTAGGATGGTCAATGATACTAAATTATTAAACAGTTTCATCATTTCTGACATATTTAGAAGTTTATGAGTTTTAAATAGGATAACTGTCTTATTCTTTTTGTATTTTAGGTGTGTTAAATTTTTGTTATAGTTAATGAAATGATCTGTGCATCTAACAGTTAATAAATATAATAATTTTTATTATAAATATGAAGAAGATATAAAATTAATTATTTTTAAATTTTTTATAGAGTAAATCATTTTTTCATCATTTTATTTTTTGATTTGATTTTTTAGACATATAACTATTAAACTGAGATTTAGGTTTTTTTCTAAGAACTTGTACTCTTTTAAGCACTAGTAATCCTTTATGTTTCAATGTTAGATTGTGTTTTTTATTTTGAATTGATTTTTGGACTGTCTAACATAGCTTTGTATTATTAAAAGGGTGTCTTAATATTTAAATTATTCATATTAAGTTGGTTAATATTGATATTGATGTTTGTTGACAAAGGTACAGATGATTGTGTAGTATATATTTTAAAGAGTTTTTCAGAGGATTTTGTTTGAATTAATTATTATTTTAGATCTTATCCCATATTTGTGTGCATTTTCAAAGAGATTTATTTAGAATACTTATTAGGTGAATTTATCTCTGTATAATGAGTTTGGGTCTAACTTTTCTTATGTGTTGGAATAATTAAATTAGGACTATTAATTTATTTCAATGGTTATTGTGATTATATAAATTTTAATTGCTCTGAAGATATACTTCGAGTGCTAGTAATATAATGAATACTATTTTATTTAGATTGATAATTTGATATCTGATTAGCTTTAGCAGATTATTTTGAACTAGATATACATGGATTTGCATGATTTTAAGATAAAATTTATTACTTTAAAAATTTCTATAAATCTGTATCTCCATTACTATTATTAATTATTTTATTAGATGAAACTAATGACTTTTGGGATATCTCTTTACTTAAAGTCTTGAGATGCCCTTTTTGTTAAGGTGAATTTTGAATAGACTTCTTACTAATTCCAGCTACATAAATATTTTATTTGTCTTTATAAAATTGAGTATTTTTGGATATTAATTATTTAAGCAATTTCAAATTAGGAGGATATTAAGATTTTTATTATTATTACTATTACTAATTCATAGTCATCCATGTAGCATCTATATTCTAAGGATATATGAGATATAATTACAATTATTTCATCACTAGCTTTAGATTTTAAGATTTCTCTTAATAGGGAAAGACTAGAAACTTGAGTTTGTTGAGTTATGCTATTTAATACTTTGATATCTTCTTTAAGCTTCTCATATTCTAATTATTTCTATATGATTACAGGTACAATTACTAGCATCATCAACAGGAATGCCCAACATAAATTTTATCTTTCTATACTCTATCTATCTAATATTTTAATCTTAAAATAATTTACTTCTTTTTTTCATAAAAATAAATTGCTAAATCAGAAACTCTTGGTAAAAACATTCTTGGAATGTCTTTGTGATACTTATAGTATTCTAATAATTAATCAAATTTAGATTATTAATCACTCTTTGGATAAAACCTAATAAACGCAAATACTTTTTTCTTTTATACCTCTTAAGAAATTCATCATAATCTTCAAATGTTAATCTATCTTTAAATTGAATCACCCATGATACTGGTTTTGTAGAAAATAAGTCCTCATATTTTTTTCCATTCCATTGAGATTAAGAATATTTTGTGTATAAAGCCTAATTACTATATGATTATTTCTTACTCGATTGAGAAGAGGTGCAAAATTAATTTTATCTGTTGTTACTCTTCCATATTTCTAACAAAATAGACAATCTTCTTCTGTAATGTATTTCTTCAAAATTATTAGAGCTTCGTCTTTTTTCATAACTGAATATATATAATTATTATTATATAAAAGTATCAATTACAATTACAAATTCAAACTAATAAAATATTATAATGACTACTACTTTAATACAATCAATCATTAAGGAATCAAAAACAAAATCAAATTTTATTAATATCCATTTTATTGCTATGCCTAAAACTATTTATCTCTATTTTTTAGTAATTTACAAAAAATAGATATACACAATTCTAAACCTATTTTAGAAATGTCTTTAAACAATTTTAATAAAGATTTTCTAATAAATTCCCTTATTATTAAAAAATATTAGATTTAAAAATGTTTTTCATTTGAATTTTTTCAATATTCTAATAACATAGATTTTTGATAATATATATATTGAAATTATAACCAAACTACTATTATATATTAAAGTATTATTGAATATTTAATAATTTCAATTTTGAAAAAGGGAAATAATATAGCTGATGTTGAATTCTGGATAAAAATATACATATTCTTTAAGACAGTCAATGTCATCAACACTTAAAAGATCTTAAAATTTGAATTAAGATGAATGTAAAGGAATGCTTCGAATTTCTGATCTAAGCATTTCTCCAATCTATTAACTACTTGTGTGAATAGATGGCTACAATTATATATTTCTATGGCTACTCTTTAATTGTTCATACAATTTATCTGTAATGTAGTCTGCTGTATACCCATCCTTTTAAATTATAGGCATTTGTATATTTCCTTTACTTGTTACAATAAAGTTTTTATCTGTTAATTTTTGACTTCCGCTGCCATCATCAGCATGTATTTCAAATTAATCGTAACTATCACTAACACTACTTTCACTCTAATCAATCGTTGCATCATCATTTTATTTGTAAATCATCTAAATACTATTAAATTTGAATATTACATATGTCTTAAATGCTCTTTATCTTTTCTTCTTAAATCTCTTATTAAATTTCATTCTAATATTGTATTCATTTAACATATTAGAAGTTATTTCTAATTTTATAATTTTACATTTTCCTTCTGAATGAAATTAATTACAAATCCAACATCTATAATCTATCAGACTCGTTTCACCTTCAAAGACTATTTTATTTTTTATCATATGAAATGATTCCTATTCTTAAATGAATATTTACAAAATCTTATCCCACTGTAAGACTTGAATGAAAATCTTCAGGTTTGATGTATAATAATAAAAAATGATTATCCAATTCTAATTCGACCTCAGAAATGTTTTTCTAAAAACAATTGATTAATCCAAATACAAATTATTTTGATTCTATTACTTTTTTATATTAAAATTTAGTTGCAAAACTTAAATTTCCTTACCCTTTCAAAATCAAAAATAATCCATATTTATCTTCTTTTATTTTATCCTTAGTTCTCCTTATTGATTTCACTTTTGAAGATAAATTTATATTAAATTATTTTGAAAATATCTCTAAAACTTTTAAATTATCTTTCAAAATTTATTAATAAATTTTTTTAATAATGTCTTATTGAGCCAACTTTTATTTATAATAAAGTAAATACTTGTAGTTTTGTAAATTCCCTATTAGAAATTTATGAGTAATATTTTAATTTTTTAAAGATTTAACCTTTATGATGCCATATGTAATATTATAATACATAAACATCAAATTTAATTTAATTTTGAATACAATCATCTTTAGATCTAATTTGAATAATAACATTTATTGTATAAAACATAAGAATTAAAGCCATTATCTAATTTATTATTACCTCAAAATTCATTGTTGAATCCTACACATTATAATTTGTCTAAAAGGTTAAAAAATTAATGTTGATTATTAAGGATTCTTAATATTTCATTCTAAAGTCCCCATCACAATTAGTATTTTGAAAAAAACTTGAAAATAGATGTAAAAAGTAAATATAATAAACAATTGCTTTAAATATAGCTAGAGTTTTATAAAATTTTTCTAATTTATTTATTATTTCATAATTTACTTCTCTAAATAATGAGCAAAATACTAGATATTTCAATCATTTTATATCCAAGGTAAAAATAATACAATGAAATAATTTAAAGAATTAAGTTAACATTTTCTACAATATAAATTAATATAAAAGATATAACTGTTAAATTCTTTAGAGTAATTTCATTTAAAAATCTGAACTTTTCTTCACAAGGTTATCTTTTTGTTTTGATAATTTATAAGTATGAGAATTGATTTTAAATTAATATTGTAAAAAAATGAAAAAATATTAGAAAATATAGTACATTTCTAATTTTTTCATTGTCTTCTATGAGTTTAAGATAAGGAATATATAATCCACAAAAAAGGTTGAGTAGGATGTTAAAAATATCTATCAAATATTTCATAAAGATGAGTATTTAAATAAATACAGAAAATTGTGATAATTTTCTAATTATTTATTTTTACTTTAGAGGTGCTGGATATTTAGTTGATTCTTATGTTTCTATCCATTTCTCACAATTCTCAAGCAGAAATTGATTAATTTATTCTTATTTTATTTCTTTTTAGTTATTTTCTAATATGATCGGTTTAACTAAGAAAAAGCTTTCATCAAAAGAGGGAGGATTTAAGCATTCTTCAAAATTGGTTTTTGGAGAATTTTTTATTATTTTCTTGAATTCAAGTTTGTGTAACACTAATATAAGATTAATAGTTACCATCTTCCTTATGAGAATCCATTATTTATAAACTTAGATAATGAATATAATTTCAAATACAAATTAATGTCACATGACAAATATTAAGTAATCATATTTATGATTTCATAATTCTTTTAATACATATATGATTATATTTGCAAGACAATAATAAATATACTTGATGATAGCAATTCGATAAATGAATTCAGTAATTTGAAAAATAATGGCATAATAAATAAATATTACTAGTGCTATAAAATAATATATTCAAAAAGACTAAAATAAAATGAAAGAATATAATAATTATCTTGAATAATTATAGAAATGATATTTTTCTTTCAGGATCGAATATAATTTTGAATGAAATTTTGTTGATAATTTAGAATTAAAATATTAATATTAATTAATTTACTTCTTACAAATAAATTATAAAAGACGGTTTCTTAATAAAAATTTTAGTGTTAGAATTATTAATAAACAATATAAAATTTAAGAAGTATAATTAAAAATACTGTTCATCAATCTAATATAATTATTATTAATTTATTTAAATTTAATGCTATCATAATTTCATATCTTCACATTATTTGTAATGAATTTAATCTATTATAAGTATATATAGATATATTTATATATAATATTTAATATTTAAGTTCATTTGTTATAATAAAATAATTATAATTTGATCAGAATATACTACCACCTCTTTTGATTTCTAAAAGCTTTCTTTAATAATCTTAGCTTTATTTTGCTAAATGCTCTTGTAATGCTTTAAGTTACTCTTCAGCCATTGTAGCCCTAACAATTAATTCAGATCTCTCTTTTTCTAATTGTTTAAGAGATCTTTCATACATTTATAACTAGAAATTTAGAATAAATATATTATACTTTTGATTAAGCAGTTTTTGCTTCTCCTGACATTGGTCCCATAGCATTTAAACCTACTTCTTATTCTTTCATTTATCTCATTAATCTTTCATTTTCTCTTTATAAAATGTAAACATCCCATTTTTTATTATCTTTTAATAATGTCACTAATCTTCTATTTTCTTCTTATAAATCATTTCTTTCTTTTCTTAATTAATCAATTTAAAAGTCTCCATCAATAGATGATTTATTTCTATTTTATTTTAACATTTCCATTTCATTAGATATTCTTTTACCTAAATCTAAATTACCTCCTCCAACACCATTCATAATATTTTCTTATAAAATTCTAACTTCATTTTCTAATTTTTTATTCCTCATTCTCAATCTTTCAATTTCAGCTTAATGATCTCCTTGTAAAGTACCATAAGTTTCATCATCTAAAAATGTAGCATCTTTTGTAAGTATATCTGGTAAAGGAATTCCAACTGGTGCCCAATCTTCACAAAGATATTTTAAATTTCTAGCATAACTTTTAAGTTATCTAACTTAAAATTAAGCTTATTTTGCATTTTTTTTTTCTCTTTCTATTTTTTCATTTAATTCAATTTCTTTTTCAGTATATGTTCTTATTAAATCTTCTCTTGCATTAAAATCATATCCAATTCTACTTGCTTTATCTGGTTTACCATCAGTTGCAAATTGCATAAGTTTATTTCTATATAATGATCTCATTTCATTCATTTATAAATCCATTTTTTAATTTTCTGATTATAATTCTTATAATTATCTTTCTAATTCTTTAATTCTTTCTTCTTCATCATTTACTCTTCTTTACATAGTTTTAATTTTATGAGTTAATTCCATTTTTTAACTTTCCCATAATAATTTTTCATCTCTCATTTTTTTAACAGCATCATCTTATTCTCTATTCATTTTATATACTTCATTTTATTTTTCTCTATTTGCTTCAAGAAATCCTTTTTCAATTTCTAATTTTTTATTATCTAAATCAATTCTATGTTATTAATCTAAGATCTCATATTTAAGCATTTCTGTTTTCAATCTCTCAATTTCAGCCTTAGTATAAATAAGAGCTTCTCTCTATTCTCGATTTTCTTACTCTAATTTTTCAATTCTAAACTAAATCATAAGTATACTTCTTCATAAATCTAGCATTTTCTTCATTTGTATTTCCAGATTTCTTATAGATATCATTTAATTCTTAATGAAGTGATTTATTTTCATTAACAACATTAATTAATTCTAATCCTATATTCTCACTTTTGGCTTTTTCAGTTTCTAATGCTGTAGATATATTAATATAATTCTTTTTAAGAGCAACAAATTCAATTTCTAAAGCTCTTTTGTCATCCTTAGTTTCTTTTAAATTATCTTACAATTCTTAAATAGTTTTTAATGCTTTCTCTTCTCTTATATTTAAAGATAATAAATCTGATTCTGCATTCAATAATTTATTATTCATATCATATTTTTCATTCTATATAATTTCCATCAATCTTGTATTCTCTATTTATAATTCTACTAAAGCTTTAGAAACTTCTAATTTTTCTTCCTCACTTCTTATTAGATCTTATTATAATTCTGCTTTTTGTCTAACAATTTCATTATACTTTTCTCTCATTGTAGATAATTTCTAAGCCATTCTTTATTTCTCATCTGCATTCCTCATTTTATCTAAATTATCTTCTATTAATTTCTTCTCTAACTCTAACATTTTATTATTTCCAGTATCACCATAACCACCTCTTCCAGATAATCTAGCTGCTTGACATTCTAAACGAAATTTGTGTAATAAACCAAGTACTTTACTATCATTAACAATTGGAAAGTTCTTGATATTCTTACAATATTTATAAATGTTTAAAGTTAAACTAGTTCCTTTTGGATCACCATGCTATACACAAAAAATACCAATAGAAAGTGAATTACTACCTACTAACTCCTTTACAATAGAAGTTAAAGCAGAAGTATCATAGGCAGCATGATCTGCAGTTTATGGTTATCCTAATTCTTTAAGTAATTATGTAAATGAAATTATGGATTTATTTAAAGTAGATCCTTATTTAATTCTTATGGTTTCTGGATCATCTATCAATACCTCAGATCCTGCTAAATCAAAAAAACATAATCTAGATAACATAATTAATGGTTCATTTGTATCCTTTTATAATGAACTTTATAATAATTCTAATGTAAAAAAGGATGTTGCCTTATTTGATACTTTACCAAATTCATTTGTAGTTTGATTACGATTCCTTTATCCACTATTAAGAGCTTCTTATAATTGAATTTCATTATTAACAGTTACCCAAGTTGAATTGGCAATTGTGGGTCCTTCCCATGCATGATCTAAGATTTGTAATTGATCATTTAATCGTTTATTTGGTGGAGCAAATAGATCAGAAACTTCTTCATCTATAATTTCAACATATCTTGCTCTTAATCCATATGAATAATTAACAAGTTAAGATGCTTATGATTAATTGGTATGAAATTTCTTGTTTTCTAATAATGAGAATATTGAGGATGCATAATTCAATATAAGTCCATGTTCTTTTTTGTTCCCTTCAATAGTTTATGTTTTGCCTGCTCCTGTAGATCTAAGTTTTATTTTTAATTTCACTACCCATATGCGAATATGTTTACGTTCAATCCTTGGATGAATGGGCCTGTAAATTATTGTAAGAATTATTCATAGATTTGATGCATTGAGAATTCAGGTCCATAAGCTTCAGGACATTCAAATTCTTCCAAAACTAAAAGAATTATAATTAATGTTAAATATTACTTCTATTGTTATCAGTAAGAAGTATTTATTAATTATTGATTCGTACATCTTCCTTTTAAAAATTTGAAGGTGGCTTAATTCTGACTATGCAACGAAGCGGTTCTCCTATAACTTGCTTAGCAAAATCAACAGATTACATTTATTATTAATATATATATATATATTATGCAAAATTATATAAAATTTGAGGATTGAAAATAAGGATATGTAAATTATGATATTTATAACAATAAATAGTCTTAGTCAAAATCATTTTTTAAGATTTTGTAAATATAACTATTTTTGTTTAAGTGCTCCATATCCTGCTTAGATAAAAGGATTAGCACTTTGAATTGTATTAACATTCTTTAATTATCTTGAATAATTATTATTAGATTGAGTTTTGATTAACTGCTAACTCTAACCTATTTGTGAACTTGCCATATAATTCATTCCCTTATTTACTAATGGTACAAATGAATGAGTCATTGAATATTTCTCACCTTCTAAAACTTTTTTTGGAATTGCAACAATTTCATATTCATCCATATTCAATTTTTGAAAGTCATGTCTGAATTTATAAGATGGATAATCAGATCTGGTTGAGGGTGTTAAATCAATATCTTTATCTGATTATAAAACTTTCTAAGCATTCTTTTGGAACTTCTGAAAATAGTATGATGGAGGATTTTAATACGTATTCACGTTGGTTGTGATAATTGATGCCTCATTTTATTTATTAATTGGTTATGAAACCTTTGATACTATTCCTATAACACCATTTTTATCCATAGTAGTAGTTCTACCTTAGAATCGAGTTTTAAAATCCATTTACTTATTATATTAATTATATGTCAGTCTATTCACTTCACATTTCAGGTTTGAAACACATCACTGATAGTGTTTATTGCAATCATTAAAAATAAGAATCTAACAAAACAACTAAAGGACATCATAAAATGAATAGCTCATAACAATTGAATTAAAAAGTTCTTGTTAATTGTAATGAACAAATTGTAAATCAATCTCATCATAAATTATCTCTTAAAAAAACTATCTATAGTTATATTGATACTATAAATGATCCTAAAAAGAATATCCATAGCTCAAGATGTCCATAAAATTATGAAACTATGATGCATAGAAATGATTTTCATTTGAAAAAATATTATCCAAGAGGAGAATCAATTGAAAAAGAATGGAAATCATCTATTCGAACTTATCATACAGAAATTACATAAAAATCTGTCTCACCACCTATGAATTAAAAACCTAAAATTTAGTAACAATCAAGAAATCCAATATTATCACCTTAATCAGGAAAAAAATAGAGACCTGTATTTATTATATTTAATATTTAGACAAAGAAAACATAATTTGAAAAGGTACCAAAAAAAGAAAATAAAAATGGCATCAAAATATTTAAATAAGCTAATTCTTCATAAGGGTTTGTGAATACTTTAGATTAAAACAGTCCTTCAAATAAACCTATTACTATAATTTCTCCTAGGTTTGGAGAAGGAGTTTAGATGAAATAAATATTTTCTGAGTTTTTCGTTAACGTATAAATATATATTTAATATTAATTTAGTAACAAACAAAGAAATGAAGAAAAAAAAAATGAATTATAAATCATATCATATTGTATTTTCTATCTCCTCATTACATTTTTTTATTCCTAATACATCCAAAGTTGAAATCAATTGATTTTAATTATTATTATTTAATCCAGATTCTTAAATGCAGTCAGTTAAATTAATATCAATACTGCATTCAATCTTGCTACCTATTTAATTTACAAATTAATTTATTTCTGTTTATTTCTTCTTATCTTCAATTTATATATTATTTCCTGTATTACCAAGATCGACACTAGATTATATATTACAAAGATCACCAAAATAATCTTATGTATAATTTTCTGTAGATACTAATTCAATAGTTTATTTCTATACATATGCTTTATGAAGATCCTATATCTAAATTGCATTTCTCATTATTATTTTAAACTTCTGTTTAATTGTTACCTGAACTATTCCCAAGAGAATTCATTAATTATATTAGACCTGGATAATTTTCTCCATTCCTTTTTTAAACTACATGAATATTGCCAAGTTCATAAATTAAATCTTCTATAACTATATCTTAATATTCTATTCCTAAATGTAATGTCTTTAATGCTCTATGCAAATTCTATTTTTGATTTATAGATAAACTGGTTTATAAAGATTTACATTTATTTGCAAATCCATCTTCATCTTCAAACATCTTAGAAGATGATAACATAGCTAAAGTAGTATAAATATGATTTTTTTCTATGAATGGATGTGTTAATGCTTCCATTGCTGTAATCCGTTTTTTTGGATCAGCCGATAAAAGTCTAAATAATAGATTTTAAGCACTAAGTGATTCATCCTTGACTTTATTCTTGAAATTCCATTATTCAGGTGTTCTTAACAATTAAATTTAATCACTCATAGAATTCTCATGTAAAGGTAATTGACCTGTCATACATTAAAACATAACGACTCCTATACTCCATATATCAATTTCTTTTGAATAGTGTGCTTAATGATAAATTTCTGGAGCACAATAATATATGTTGCCAGTTTTGGTTAGCATTTCAATGTGATTATTTTTTTATAAAAACCGTCTTGAAACACCAAAATCAAGTAATTTTAATTCACAATTACCTTCAATATTTACTAATATATTATCTGGCTTAATATCTCTATGACTTATTCCCTTATTATGTATATGTTGAATAGCAATTAATAATTACTTGATAATTTATCTAGTTTCATCCTCTCTTAAAGTTCCTCTCTCTATTAATATTTATTCTAATGTAGGAAAACGACAATATTCCATAACCAAACAAGCACTGCAATATTTTTCATTTATAAATAATTCAATCTCTTGAATAATGTTTTGATGTCTAAGACAACGAGCATTATAAAATGTTCTTTTCACATTATTATATATTTCATCATTATTCATTCTTGTTATTTTTACTGCATATAAATCATTAGTTTCTCTTTTCCTTGCCAATTTCACTATAGCATGTGCTCCCTAACCTATACATAACTAAAATTATTACCCAGTACTTAAAATGTCTCATATCTATCCTCAAATTTTATTGCATCATCTACTATATTTAAACTGATTATTTCTGGCTTTTCTTCATCTTAACCAAACTCTATTTTACATTTCAGTCTCTCTTTTATAGAGTTACTTTGCAGCATAATAATTATTTAAATTTATTATAATATACTTGTAACATCATATCTCAATCATCTAAAATAATATTTTTAATACAAATTTATTAATACATAATAATACCTCACATTGATTGATGATAAGAATTTATATAAATAATAAAATTAATTTATATGTGTTTCTATATTAATAATTAAATTTATTTTAAATTCAATTTTTATTATTAGTTATCAACCTATCTTTAAATTAAACATTGTATCTTATTCTTATTTTTTCAATTACCATCTATATTTACATAAATAAAGTTTATTCATTTCCAACTTTAACTTTTAGATATTTCCAATAATATCATCACTTTCCTTAAAATCAATTTAGTTTCCTGTTTTTATATCATATCGAAATATTCTAAATCTACCAAAACCAATACTTTCACATATTAATATTATTTTCTTATCAATAACTTTATAAAATTCAAATCTTCTTATACACAATTATCTTAATATTTTTTGATGCTTTATAGTTTATAATTTAAAACCTTTAGAATATTCATTTTGTTAGAAATTACAATCTATACCTTGTAAAGTATAAATTTTACTATCAACAAAATGATTACTAAATGTATTAATTATCTAAGTTTTTACTATCTTTTTATTTATTATTTGTTTGATATAAATTTAATAATCTTCCATTTAATCTTACTCCATTATTACTCCAATCATATTATTTAAATCTATCCTTTAAAGAGATAGATATTCTAAATTCCAATTAGAACATAAATTAAAAACTTATAATAATACTGTTGAATTGAAGATACTTCTTAATTGTATTTTAATATTATTTTATTATTTGCTTCTTAAATATAATACAATCATAGACTAATTATTTGTTAGTTTTAATCCTTCAATTTTTTAGTCTTCTTTAGCTTTTATCTCATGTTCTTTATTATTAGGAATATTATAATGAATTAAACTTGAATTTGAATTAATTATTAAGAAAAAATCTTCTAATTTCTTAGAGATTTTACAATATTGTTTTTTTCCTAAATATTTACAAAATTTTTAGTATATGAGTTTATCTAAATCAAAATGATATGTAATTTTATATAATCCTGTTAAGAGTTCTTCATTCTCTAAATATATTGATATAATGTACATATCTATTATAAAGCAATTAAACTAAAATCATTTATTGACTTAATTTTAAAGTGCTCTATCCATAAACCAGTGTTTATACTTTAAGATACTCTTTCATAACTATTTGGATTGTCATTAGATTTAGAATTTAATGAAGCCAGAAAATTAAACATAATTTATTGGGTTTTAAATATGTAATATTTTAAAAATAAAATTGATATTCACTCATTTTCCTAAAGCGTATTTAAATTTTTATATGAATCCTAAATCATCTCCTATTAATATAATTTGATCATCCATAAAAATAGCAGTAGGGTGTTAACTTATGATATTAGATAATAATTATTTTGTGTTGTGAAAATAGGCTTTTGATTCATAAACACTTCCACTATATCCAATCAGAAACAAATATGGAATTGAAGGACTAGGAATAATCAAACAATTTGGCTATCCAAAATTGAATTTCTTTACTACAGATTTCTTTGCTATAGATATCATATATAAGTGAGTAAAACCAATCAATACTAAATAATCATTAGTATTCTATTTAATTTCTTAGATATTATCGTTAATTTATAATTGCCATTCTGATTAAGATAAATTATTGAGATTATAGATAATTAATAATTTTTGATAAAATATGGCTAAATGATTTTTTAATAGATAATTAATTGTCTTAATATTGAAATTCCATTATAGTATTTAAATTTCTACTTTGGTTTTGAATGATTTTTTATAAAAATGTAAATTTGATTTTTGATAAATCATATCATCTTATCCCAATTAAAACCATATAGTATCTGTAACTTAAAAATCATAAACTTGATTAAAAACCTTTTCTGTAGAATCAAATTAATAAAGTTGATTAGAATTATTGTATTAGATTAAAAGTTTTTTGTCAAAATAATGAAATTTATTACATAAAATTATTCGTTATCTAGAAAACTTTGATATTAAATTATAATTCATCAAATTATTATTTTCAAATAATATTAGAGTTGAATCAGGTTATATATATTAGAGTTAAATAATTTTTTTTTCTGATGTATTTCCAACAGAAATATTGTCTTACAATTTAGCTTTAATTTCTATATTTTAGATTTCTTCTTCCATTGTTTATGACTATATTGGTGTATTTATTTTGATTTTGATTCTACTTTCAGATTTTTATGTTGATGTATTTTGATTATAAAAATTTTAGCATATTTTTAATAAATTACCTATTTTATATAGTATATCTGCACAATCAATCTTTAATTTTAATCCATTTGATCCTATTTCTACATTTTAAGCTAATAATTTCCAATTTGGGTTAGATTTTTGATATTCATCTAACAATAAATTATATTACTTTTATTGAATTGATAATTTATCTAAAAAAGTAGTTTTGATTTTATCAAGTGTTTCTTTGAGTAATTAAATTTGAGTGAAATAAAAATTAGAATCCAAAATGATATTAGAATTAAATAATTCATTATAATAACATTCTAAATTGGAAATTTCAAAACAAATATGATTAGAATGCTATATTGATAGACTGCATGAGGGTTCTTAACAAATATATTCTGGATTCATTTTTTTATTTTATTATTAAATAAAAAGACTTTCATATAAAACTATAAAATAATAGAAATTAAAATAGTATAATTTCTAAGTTTATTTAAAATAGTTATTATCAATAGTTATGATAATACTCACTTAGGTCTTTCAACTCCTAAAGCTATCAAAAATGAAGTCCAACAAGAAGTAGTTTTTTTAGTAGTATCACCCTATAATTATATTATATTCATTCTATACCGATCTCCTTTATTATTCAAATACTTCTACTTAATGAGGTTATGGTTTATCACCTAATTCTTTCAATTATTATTATTAAAGTAATTTCAATTCCATTTACTTTTTTTTTAATCTAGATTATATAACATATATTTACTCATTTTCTTTTTCAATTCTTTTTCTTTTTCTTTCTTCTTATTTCTATCTTTATCTTTCCTTCCTTGCAATTTCATCATAATCTTTTATAATAGGCATTTTCCCATTTCCTATTTACTAATAATATATATATTAAATATTACGATAGCTTCTAATGTTATAACTGTCACTTCAGTTTGATTTTATTCTCTTAATATAGTTTTGATCCATAATTCACATTCTTCTTTTGTTTGTGTTTTAAACTTATATATTTTTGAATCTTCTAACTAGATCTTAAAATTTGTAGACTTTTTAGGATTTGGAATAACTTCATCAACATTTTAAAGATTAATTTTGTTCTAAGCTTCTCTTGAATTTGAATTTATATACCAATACATAAACCCTTTTCTAATTCTAACAAATCTATAATCCCAAGCCTTTGATTTAGGTTTCTTCTTATATAAATAACCTTCATCTATATATTCTTCTTTTTCAATTTAAATTTATTATTATTATTATTAAGGAATCTACAAAATTAATTTATATTTACATATTAATTTTCATTATCATTAAAATCTAATCGAATATCTGCTCTTCTTTATACTTATTCTTGCTATTAAAGTTAAGTAGTATTTTATTCCTCATCCTCTTAACCTAAGAAATCTATAATTCTAATAGTGTCATCTTCAATAGGTTAAGTTTTATTAATATCATCAATTAGATTCTTACAAATTTCAATAGTCTCTTTCTTTTTTTCTTTATCCATATCAAATCTTAGAGTCATAATAGATTTTATTGTTTTTTCAGAAAATGCTCTTCCGAAATACTACCTTAAACTTTTACAAGGATCCAAAATACTTAGAGATTCCTCATTCAAAAATGATATCATATCATCAAAAGGTTTCAATGCTGCTTACAATTACTTTTCAAAAATAAATGTTTCTAATTCTTAAAATAAGATTTCTTTATCATTTTCTAATTTTCTTATAAATTCATTTTATTATTCCTTTTTTGCTTTACTACAAGATATAATGAATTAATTAAAATAGTAGAGAATTATTGAATCAGTGAGTTATTTCCATAATTTTCTACTAAAACTATCATGTAATTATGATAATGCTTCAGTGGCTGGTTCTATTATTGATTTTAGAGTATCTATAATCTTAATTTCGAGATAATGCTTTTTAAAATGAGTACCAACACGACTGAAATAAAATATGAAGATTCTTTCTCTACAATTACTGGCTATTTAAACAAAATTCTTAGTAATTTTTTATCCATCAAATACTTTTTCAACTTCTTCATCACTTAAATTGCCAAAAGTTTATAGTCTTTTTGAATATTGTTTTGTATTATCATGTAAAGCCAATGTATTATTACATATGGCTACAAACTTAGATATCGAGAGTTAATATTCATCAATGATTTCTTGAATCCCTCCTTAATACTATTATAAGATAACTTTGCCAAAACCTCCAAATCTAAGTACAGTTTCTTTACATGAACATAATTTATATGCCATATCAAAACCTTCGTTTATAATTTTGAACAAATCAACAGGAGTTTAGGTAATCAATTATTCTTAATCATTTAAGAATGGTTCTTATATTCTTTCCTATTCAATTATTTAATAGATAACTGATTCCAAACTTTCAAGTGATCGATTTACATAGATATTTAGAAGTACTCTAACTCCTAAGAGTATACGATCATCATTAAAGAAATCCTTCATCTATAATAAATATTCATGTAACCATTATCCTATTAATAATAATTCTGGAGACTAAAAATAAGATATGAATTTATTATTACTTATAATTTCATATAAAACTAATCCCAAAATTTAGTAATTCTATCACATATCTTTTCATGATAAATATCTGTATATTCTTTTACTATATCTTTTCTTTAAGGATCTTTTACTATACTAGCTTACATTGACTCTAACATATCTTATCTCAAATCAGTTAATTAATTAATCAATTTATTTAGATCAACAACATCCTCTTCTGTTAAGATAGCTGCAATATCCTATTCTAATTTTAATCGAATCTTTTCTCTTCTTGCTATCAATTGAGTTTCTTCATCATATAATTTGATTAAAGGATCAATATTCTTTTTAATTTTAATTTTTAATGGATTATTAATTTCTTTTGTTATTCTTATAGATGCACTTAAAGCAGATTGCCATTTTGTACGTTCTAATTCAGAATCAGCCATAAGATGATATAATCTATCTCCCATATTTAATTTGAAGGTGTAGCCACTTTCTTTTGATTTTGACATATTTTTTATTATAATTTCTTAACAATCTAACATTTTGACATCTCCTTTAGATTTAGGAGGTTTTCCTTCTTCTTTTTATTTAAAATAAGTTATTGTATCCAATTCTAACCAAGGAGGTAATTAAGATTCATGCAATATCTTTTCATCATTATAATCAGAATACTATGATTATTAAATAATAAATACTAAAGGTTTAGCTGATACTAGAATAAACCAACGTTTTTAAAAGTACTTTACTTTTCCTTTGCTTCTTTTACTCAAATAGCCATAAATCATTCTTTGATAAATAAATTACTCATTCATATTTTTAAAGAATTCTTTCAAACCAACTAATTCAATCATCTTATCATTTGATAATTAAGAGATATTTTGTTTTTCCTTAATCTTCTTATCTCCCTTAGACAAGTCTATGAGTAGAGAATTACGTTGCCTCTCCTTATACACTTATGCTTATTGAGCTGTATAAGTATCCACAATCTTATGGTTTTATACTACAAAATGAGAAATTTCATACTCTTAGTTGGACTTTCGTCTGCCATCTTTACAACTGAATCCATACTAACTTATCTCTTTGTTCTCTGAGGAGAAGTGGTTGCTCTTAGATAATTTAGAGTGGTAATCCATTATTGACACAATTCAGGAGTTTTAACTTTTAATTCTAGATTTCGACCAGGAAATTAAATAGTGAATTCTTTTTTGGATATCTAATTAATGGATGTAATTGTTGATAAATCAAAAGCACCATTAGGCTTAGTATCAGTTTTCTACATTCAGGTTATTTGACTTACATCATTATCAAAATACACTAATTTCCAGGGTCCATCCTATTAGTTTTCAATGAGCATAAAGTAACGCTTTTGCCAACCTTTAAGAAGAGCAGGACTTTTCTTCTTCATCCATCCTTTAATTGGTTGTACATCAATTTTATTTTCAATTCTTTTCAACTCATCAGAATATGCATCAATAGAAGCTGTGGATACTGTTAAGGCAGACCTCTTTTTTTCATAATCATTAGACATTACTATTAGTATAATAATTATTAAAAAAATATTAAGTAATAAATATGCTAATATTAATACAATATATTATAGTAGAGTATGTAATTGAAATAATGATGTAATTTACAGGAATTAAGTATCATATATATGATTATCAACTATTTTGATATTTTCATATTTAACCAATTATTTTAATTAATTTAAAATGTTCCCCTCCATCAACTCAATCAAGAAACCCAAGAAGAATTTTAATCTATTGCATCTTGAGACATAAGAGTAATATTTCCTCTCTCTCAAAGTGGCATTAATACCAAGTACAAAAAGTGATGAGTAATATATTTCTATATTCAATCCAAATTCAGAATTCGAGGCAAATTGCATTTATGTTCACGTTCATTGGTTTTTGAGCCTAAATCATCTTAGTTGCCACTAATGAAAATGAAGTACAGTAATGGGCTCTTTATGAAAGTACTCAAAAATTTCGAACCAAAATCTCTTGGTCTTTTATTGAGTATTCGTTGGGGCCATCAATTAATGCAAGAGGATATCGATCAACTCGATTTAGCATCAATTTTAAATTAATAGAAGGGAGAATAAGTTTCTACTATTATTGATTACTAAATTAGAAATCGAATGAACTTTTAGAAAAGCTATACAATAAATAACGCAAGAATATGATATAATTAGCATGCAACTGTTTCTTCATTAAAGTCGACAAGTTATTTATCATTAATCGAAATCCAATAAGTCCATATATTACAGAAACTGTAAAATACTTAATTCTCTATATAGTGTGATGACAATATTTTATTCACCATCTCTAAATCTAATTCAAAATAGAATCTAATTCGATTTCTTAAATTATATTAAGGAATTAATTAAGCTGAAGATGAGTTTACATTCATTAATTAAACAATCTAACAAACATTGAATGATAGTCTCCTAGAACATAAACAAAATGTTGGATCTGAAGGTCACAAAATAGAATTTGTCCATAAAGGTAAGTGTATATTCAAATGATTAGTCAAACTTATCAAACCTGAAGGAGTAATCTTTGGGTTATTTAGTATATAAAGAGATGAGATATTACAATTCATTCCATTAATTAATTCACCATAAGGTAAAATTATGTAATACATGTTTACTGATATCAAATATTTTCTTAAATATAGATATATGTTTAAAAATAATGGAATTGAATTTTGGATGTACAATAAAAAGAGATCCTATCTTTTTGTATTTGATGATTAAACTACATAAGAATCTGTCTTTAAATATTTCTAAAAAAAAGCATCAAAACATTGTTTATCAGCTTTCACTAAAGAGAAAATTACTGAAGAATGGATTAATGGTAATATGTCTAATTTTGATTATTTAATTGCTTTAAATACACTTGCCAATAGAAGTTTTAATGATCTATCTGCATATCCTGTATTTCCATGGGTTATTGCTGAATATAACGAAAAAGATTTTAATGTTAACTCTCCCTCTTTTTTTCGAGATCTATCTAAACCTATGGGTGCACTCAATAAACATAGACTCTAAAAATATAAAGTATATTCCATTAAAATAATTATTCTAGGCATTTTATAAAGATCAATTAAAAGATAAAAAATAAGATCCTAAACCTTATCTATACCCTACACATTATTCCAGTCCTGGAACTGTTGTTTATTATATGATAAGAAAGATTCCTGAATTTGTAATTAAATTATAAAATGGAGTATTTGGACCTACAGACAGAATATTTAGAGGCATTGATTCAACTTGGTTTACTACACTTAATCTCCATGCTGATTCTAAAGAACTTATACCAGAGTATATAATTATTTATATATATATATAAGATTTTATGGATTAGATAGTGATTTTTTAGTTAATTGTGATAAATTAGAATTAGGTATTACATAAGATGGTGAAGTGATTGATGATGCAGTCATACCTGCATGGGCAGATAATGCTCCAGATTTTTTAGCTAAAATGAGGATTGCTTTAGAGAGTCCATATGTTTAAACTAATCTTCCTTTGTGGATTGATTTAATTTTTGGAAATAAAGCTTCTGGAAATGAAGCAGTTTTAAATGATAATTTATTCTATCCTTACACATATGTAGAAAATGTGAATTGGGATAAATGCAAAACTGATATTGAAAGACAAGCTCTAGAGATTTAAGTTACTGAATTTGGTTAAGTACCTGTATAATTGTTTTAAACAGCTCATCCTTAAAGAAAATTGAAAATTTAAGGGAATTTAAAATAATTAGAAGATGAAAAGAAAGAATTAAAATAATAAAATTAAAATTTATAAAACAAAATTTAAAAATTAACTCAGTAAATTTAATAGAGTTAAGATAAAGAATTAGTTTTATAATTATAAACTTAATTGGCTGCACTATAATGGGAAAATGAGAAATTAAAATTTAATCTTGAAACATTTAAATAAGAAATGATAACAAATAAAGAGGTTATATAAACATTTAATTCATAATTCGATTAAGAAGAGTTTGATAAGAATGGTTTTGATTTTCTTAATGATGATAGCCTCTTAGATAGTTCTAAAAAACCCATTTCATGAATGATTCTAAGATAGATATAAATTTATTAGTTTTTTTTACTTTCTTATATATATTTATATATATATTTTAGAGTACATTTAATTGATGAAATTATAAAATCATGATTTTTTTTCATACAAATCTATTTCTTATTGTAAAAGGATGAGTTATTTCTCCTTCTCAATAATTTTAGCCTTAATCTCTTAATTCTCTTTGATTAGACCTACCATCATCTAAGGATTATAAGAAAATGATTATGATTGAGAAAGTTATACTCCTTATTATGGCATTTTAATATGAGGTTTCTTAGTGATCATATGCTATGGTATATCCTAACTTATTTTATTTGCATATGCACTTTGTTATATTGACTATGCATTTCGTAATCTTTGATAATCAATTTATTAAGAAGTAGGAGATGCAAGTCGTTATCCTTATGAAAACCTTTAAGTTGGAGATGCAAAAGAAACATATTAAGTAGGGCATTGAAATTGTTGTACGACAGGATGATATAATGGTTAACGAATTTTCATTATTGTAATTAATTAATGCTAAATCAAATGGACCATTATTTTTCATACAGACAAATTCGATACAATACAAAATATATATAAAATTTAGAGTATTAGAAAAGTATAGAACTGAAATTAATGAAGAAAAATAACTAATTTAATTAAATGAGTGGATAACTCAAAATTAACAATAAAATTTGAAGAAAAATAGATATGATTAATGGTTACTGAAAGAGATTATTTGAGTATATAATTTATTAGAAGAATTGTTGATATTAAGATTAATAAAGGACTCTTGAGATAAAAGAATTATAATATAAAGACTGATTAGGAGATATATTTAAATTTTTATGGAAAATATGACAGATTATATTAGAAAATATCCATTTATTTATTAAAAAACGATTAAATATCATATAAAATTTGGATAAATCCATAATATGATGAGGACATTGACAAAAAGAGAAGTTAAAGGGTAGAAATCTGATGAGAAGAATTAGAAAATGCGATGAAGACGAAGAGGTGGTGGAAATAGAAAAGTAAAGACTTAGTAAATTATGAATTAATTATTGATAGATGAGGTTAATTTAAAAATAGAAAAATGTTTTGTTCAAAAGAATAGAAAATAAAGTAATTTTAGACATTGAAAAGATCAACTTAAGTAGAAGAACTATTTATGATATAAGAATTATAGTGATATTTTGTTATTTATATTCAAAATTTTTAAAACATATTTTATTATAAATTTAAATTAATTTTAAGTATTTTATTCAAATTATACAATAAAGTTAAAAATGAATATTGTGTTCCCTTATATTAGGAGCATTTGAATAAAATAATTTAAATTGAAAAACGATTGAATTTTAATAGATTAGACACACTTAAGCGAACAAAAATTCAAAATTATTAAGATTAATAAAGTAAATTTGTTAGAAATATTTGATAACTTATAAACTATTTAGAAAACAATATTCTAATTAAGAGAAAGAGAGAACATTAAAATAGAGATATTCATATAAAAGAAGAGTAATGATAATCAACAAAAATGATATTGTCAGACTAGAAATTCATTGATTGAGGATTAACACTTAAAATATGAAATATCAACTGAAATAAAATTAATTAAAGTTATATGGGTTCTTGTTGTTAAGGCAGTCAAGCAGCTCAAAATTAGTATGTATTCCCAGATGGAGGTGTGTATACTGGAGAGCTAAAAGATGGAATACCAGTATGAGTGATCATCATTTTTAGCATGGTGTTGGGGCAATATCTTTTGATAATGGATCATCTTTTGAAGGACACTTTGAGAATGGGGTTAAATGTGGTAAAGGTGTTTATAGATGGAGTGATAATTCTTATTATGATGGAGAATTTTAGAATGATGCATTTAATGGTTATGGCGAATTTTATTGGAGCAATGGTAAATGGTATAAAGGTCAATGGGTAGAAGGTAATATGAAAGGGGAAGGATAATTCTTTTCTGATGGTAAAACTTATAAAGGTGAGAAATATTATGTAAAATTTAAGGTGAATTTGAAAATGACAAGAGAAATGGTAAGGGAGAGTAAATTTGGCCAAATCGATAAAAATATATTGGAGAATGGAAAAATGGTAAAATGCATGGAAAAGGACAACTCATTGAACCCAACGGAAGAGTTATTGAAGGAGAATGGGTCAAAGGAAAAAAGAAATGATAATTTAGTATATTTAATTTTTATAACATATTATTTTATGGGTACTGTGTGTAAGACTATTCACAAAACTCAAATAGTGGAGACAGATGGTTTTGTGCTCGAATAACCTATTGAAACTAAACCTTTTGAAATTAAAAGTAATCTACCAGAAGTACAAGAAATGTGTGCAACTAAAATCTAAGCATTATATCGAGGCCATTCTGTACGAAAACAAGTAATATGTTAAAGATTATATGAAAGAATAAAGAAGTTGAAGAATCTTTCCCTCCTTTATAAGATGTAGCCCTTCCAATTGAGTAAGTTCCTGAGATATATCATCATGCTGTTTCAAAAGTACTTTTGCAATTAGGTCCTTTTGATTACTCTAAATGTTCTACTATGGTTGGAGCCAAAACACTTCCCCCTTATTAATTTCTAGACAAAGGAGGGATCTATATAGGTTAATGGAAAAATCATCAAAGAAATGGCAAAGGTAAATACATTTTTCCTGATGGTTCACTTTATGAAGGGTATTGGGTTGATGATAAAGCAAATGGATATGGTAGACTTATCGTTAATAGTGGAGATTATTATGAAGGAGAATGGAAAAATGATAAGAATGATGGATACGGAGTTTATGTTCATTTTGATAAATCTAGATATGAAGGATTTTGGAAGGATGATAACAGACATGGATAAGGAACTGAAACATGGGCAGATAATTCTGCTGTTTACGATGGTAGTTTTTATATGGGAGTCAAAGAAGGATATGGAATTTATAAATGGGCTGATGGATCAAATTATGCAGGAGGATTTAGAAATAATCAATTTTAAGGATAAGGAGTTTATATATGGCCAGATGGTAGCAAATATGAAGGATATTGGTAGAATAACAAAATGAATGGCTAAGGTGAGATGATCTGGATAGATGGCAGAAAATATATAGGTATTTTTTCTATTTCATTAGGGGAGTTATAAGGACAACAAAAAGGATGGTTATGGGGAATTCTATTGGTCTGATGGTAGAATTTATAAAGGTTAATGGTAAAATGGGTTGTAACATGGAGAAGGAATCTACATAGATAAAAATGGTAAAGAAATTTCAGGAGAGTGGTTTGAAGGGCAAAGGAGATGATTTATTTTGTATTACTTAATCAAGTTTAACATATACTAATTAAATATATAAATGAAATATTAAACTCCAGATAAATAATGTAAGTAGACTCTAATTTTAAATAATAAATAAATTTTTAATCCTGCACACAAATGGTTGAAATGATAAGTTGAGTGGGTAATATTAAAAATCTAAGAAGATTAAAGGATGAGTTCTTTTTCAAATTTTCTTTGGTTATTAAATAATATAATGTAATATCTATATTATTAGATGAATTTAAAAAAGAAAATTTAATTAATAGAAATGGTCATTGAATTCATAATGACCATTTCTTTTTTGAAATAAAATTAAATCAATTATAAGTAATTCTATTAAATGAATTCTTTTGGAAAAGATATACAAAAAATGTATAAATATATATAATTAATCTTTTTAGTTTTTAGAAATAGTTGTGTAAAAATAGATTAATTTTAATATAAACTTAGAAAATAATTAAATAGCATTTGTGATAAATAAAAGATGTGCTTAATTTTGTTATTTATCTTTAATATTTAAAATTGAAATGTAACAATTATTTAATTATAATATGTGTTAGATAAAATGTATAATTTTTTAGTAACCAAAAAATTATATTTAATGGATAGAATAACAAAAATAAAACAATTATTGTTTTGTTTTTTTATAAAATGAAATTTCTTAAAATGATCTTACTAGATAGGAATTTATTTGATTTAACATTTCTAAGACAAACATATATTATTATATAATTACCAAGTTAAAATGTAAGATGATCGGGTTTTAGAGCGTAGTCCATAAGATACATTAAGAATCCCACCACGATTATCAATGATGGATAGGAAATGTAGTGGTCGTTTTACATTTGTGAAGACTTAAGCAGAGGAACAAAAAGAAGCAGTTCAAAACAATATGAATCGAATAAAATAGCAATTTAGATGTAAATAATAAGGATTTAGCCTAGGTTCACTTAACCAAATAATAAACAAACCTATTTAGCCTCTCTAAATTAGAGAAGAATAACTATTTGAGTTGGGTAGAAAATTGGACATTGAAATAACACCTAGTGATGTTGAAAACATTGTACCAAATACAAAAGAGTTTTTTGAAGAATATGAGATGCATGAAAGACTGGGTGAAGGTTGTTTAGGATTAGTAAAGAGAGTTGTATAAAAAAGGACAGGATAAGAATTTGCAGTGAAAATTGTGGCTACTTAAGATGATGAGATAATAAGGAATGTAAATTATATTTGAAAATGATTAGATGATTAATGAGTTTAAGAGATTGATAAAATTATCACATGGAAACATAGTTAAAGCATATAAAATGTTTTTGGATTTTGATAATGGATTCTAATCTGAAAGTCAAGCTTATGTGATATTAGAGCTCATTAAAGGGAAAGAAATGTTTGAAGTAATAAATGAGGCTGGACATTATAGTGAACATGATGCAAAGGAATTATTCAAATAGTTGCTTAGTGCAATTGAATATATGCATAGAAATGGTATTTGTCATAGGGATTTGAAACCTAATAATATCCTTTGTCTTTCAGGTAATATAATAAATACTAATGATTTCAATAGATAAGAAGTTGATTAAAGTTACAGATTTTAATGTTAGTAAATTCAGTGATTCATACAAAGAATTTGGTAATCTTTAGGATACTGAGAAAATTGAAATGTGGACTTATACAGGAACTGTAGCATTTTCAGCTCCAGAAATATTCACTGGTGAAGGATATAAGTAAAGTATTAAATTTATCATAATAGTCAAATGGTTGATATGTGGAGTGCTGGATGTATATTATATTCAATGTTGTCTGGTTAATTACCATTCAATGCAGATTAGTATATATTTTTATTCAATATTATAAGTTTGAATGATCTAATCGAATCTATCAAATTAGCTAAATATGAGTTTCCTGAAGAAATCTTTTAAGAAGTTTCAAGCGAAGCTAAGGATCTAATTTAGTAATTACTTTAAAAGGATCCAGCTTTGAGACCATATCCTGATGAGGCACTAAATCATCCTTGGTTTTCAGAAACCATTGTGAGAAAAAGTTTAAGACATCTAACTATAAATAAAAACATTTCTCATCTTTCTTCTAGAAACTCTAATAAATTAAAATAAAGAACTATCCTCTTAAATAGAGGACATTATACAGGTTCTAGTGATGGAGATGAAGGATATACAATCTAAGATATGAAAATAAAGGGTACTGCTCGAAAAAGTCTGTTTAATACTGCAATAGCCCCATTAGAGTAATAATCAGATAATAAATGTCTGAAAGTGTAAAATGGAGTGCTTCGCAAGTCACATACAACTCATATACAAGAATTTACATAAAATGATGAATAGTGATATATAAATTAATTAAATAAATAATTTTGGTTATCCAAAAATATCTTATTTTATTTATTTTTGCTATTTTTAAGCGAACAAAATTTTTGTTTTTCAAATCATTAATTAAATTTAGCAATGTAAAATAAGACCGTCTTTGATAAATTAGGAGGATAAGCCAACATTGATGCTGCAGTTGTCAAGTTTTATCAAAAAGTTCTTTCAGATCCATCTGTTAGTCACTATTTCAAAAACACAGACATGAAGAAATAGACAGAAATGTAATAAAAGTTCCTTACTATGGCCTTCGGAGGTCCAAATCATTATACAGGAAGAGTATTCATTTCATATTTATATAATCTAGGATATGAAAGCAGGTCATGCTGGACTTGGAATTACCACTGCAGCCTTTAATACCATTGTTAAACATCTTGGAGACACTTTGAAAGAGATGGGTGTTCCAGCTGAGGTAATTGCTGAAGCTGCAGCTGTTGCAGAAACTACTAGAGCTGACATTGTTGAAGTCAAATGATTTAATATACATATATGCATTATTCATTAAAATTTATCAACTATATTCATTATTTTAACAGATTTACAAGTAGATCAATTCATTGAAAAATGCTTAATCCATTCAAAAATTCCAATTAACAAATATTAATCAATTATTCATCAGATATTGTATTTGATGACCTATTACTTCGAGATTACAGATTATGATATTCATATTCATTATTTTAAAAAGACATTATGTTCAATAATAATAATTGCTTAATTTATATTTCCAGATAATTTTGCCAGTATTAAATTATTTGAAAAAGAATGAGAATTATATACTACAAAAAAGCTAAAGAAACTTAAATTACACATATATCAAAAGATTAGTATTGAATTTTAAGAATTAATAAATCTTTTTATATATTCTGTGTAGAAAAATTATCATTTCTAAAGTAATTATTAATATATTTAATTAATAAATTAACAGATTTTTATTAATTCTTATGTTCCAATAATTATTTCAATTATAATATTATTAGAATTGAATTATAATATAACTATTCATTTAACAATTAATTTACAAGATAAAATAAATATTTTATATAAATGATTGTTGATATTAATTTTAATAAATATATAAAAATATAAATATATAAATTAATTTTTTTTTATTATTAGATAAAATGTATAGTATAAAAAATATCTTGGATTTAAAGAGGCTTTAAGCAACTAATCTAATATTTTTAACTCTATAAAAATAGTATTAGACAATATTTATAATGATTTGATATTATCTAATTTAATAAATCAAGTAAATTGTATGCTACTAACTAATAAGATTTAATATCAAATTTAAATATCTATATTAATTAAGAATGCATATTTAATCAAAGTTCCAATAAAACTTATATAAAAGACAATAAAAATTTGTAGATTTTCACATAAATATTATTGAATTCTGAGATAATGTCTCATAATCTAAAAAATGTCTTATTCAAACTGTGAATATACTTAAATAGAATTGATTAATAGGTTTCAACTTTCAAAATTGTAAAATAATATTAGTTTATGCTGTTTAGATGCTTAAATTTTATTTTAAAGAAGAAATAGAATTGAGATTTATTTAAAAGCATAAAAAAAAGTTATTCTAATGAGTATGAATGAAAATATTATAATGTATTTAGATGGGATTGCTTAAAATAATATAGGATGCAAATATCCTTAATGATAATTTTTTTTAATTCTTAAAAAGCTCTGGTGATTGAATAGTGTTAAAGAATTATTGAATTTTAAGTTAGTTTATTCTAAATGACCACGTTTTGTAATGTAAATTTATGAAGGAGAATAATGAATGAAAGAAATGTATTTATAATTGTTTGTGTGAACATAACTACTCAATATCCAGAATCAGCAAGGTATTTTGCCATATCAAGGACTCGCTTGTTGCAATCGCTGGCATTCTATGGAGCACCATTTTCAGCATTAATGGTTTGGGAGAATGAAGCAAAGACAGCAACTGTATTAGACCAAGCAACACAAGCTCCACCTTTATTCTATGATTATGAATATTTTAAATACCTTCTTTAAGTACCAGGATTTGGATTCTCCATCAAATTAGACTGAATAATATTTTTAGTTATTGATTCTAATTCCAGCTTTATTACCTGATTCTCCATTGTGAGTAAGAGCATGTACAAAAGCAGCCTTCTCATCGTAAGCAACCTTTGTTGTTACGTCTGGATTTTTCTCATCTGGTACATCAGCTTAGTAGGATGGGAGAACAGCAACACCAAAATTGCTAGCCCAAATGTTTCCATCTAATCCAATGATGGCAGCATATTCTAGTGCACCATTGGCTGTCAAGTTTGTTACATAAGCATCCCAAGACATTCTTAGTTAATATAATTATTAAAAACATATCTTCTTATAATACAGCATATATAATGAATTAATTGAAGATACTAAATACTTATAGAGTATTAATTATAGAATATACATAATAATAGGGTTATATTAATAAGCCATTGATATTAATCTATGAAATGTTTTCTTTATTGATTATGTTTTCAATTGAGTAATTTGTAGAAAGTAGAAAGATTGAAAATATTATTAATATGCAATTTATTATAATTAATGAAATAGAAAATGATTATATTATTAAAATTGATGAAATAAATGATTGTGATGTTTAGTATGTAAAATGCAGAAAATATATAATCCAATTAAAAATATAATTGATATAACAATTTATTGATATTTTAGACATTGTGTCAATTCATAGTTATTTTAATTAATTATAAGCATCCAACTTAATTATATGAATACAAATTTTATATCAGATTGTATGTAATATTAAATAAACATTATTTCTTATTGAAAATGGTATGATAGTATTCTTATAATTTAGCCATCAGCATAAACTATGAAATTAAGAAATAAGATTAATAGAAACAATATCAATAAATAAGGCAAGGTACCAAAATCTTTGATGGTAAATATTGATATTTAATTAGAAAACTGAGGAAGCTGCAGCTATGGGTCCTATTCTTTTAGGAGTATTTCTTTTTGTGGTTGTTGGATCAGGTAAGACATTCTTATATCTTTATAGCCATCTTCTAAATTTTGAATGTATTATCGAATAGCAATGAGCTGTGATTTCATGAGTTATATTAAAAATAGTTTATTTATAATTCAACCAAAAAAGGAATGAAAACCACAAACTACAAACACTAAGTCATCTTCGATTCTCATGAAAAGCCCATCAAATTAGATATGAAGACCTATCAAAAATATAAAACTAATATTATGCTTTAACCAAGAATATCACCTCGAAAAACTGATAAAGTGATCTACAATCAGAAAATGGTTAATGATTATGTTGACATTATCAATCATAGATTAAAATTAGAAGAAACAGATGTTGATTCTAGGAAACTACCATAGAAGAATAATTCAATGTATAAGTCAATAAGTTCTCAACATACTAAATAAATATCACTTGTGGAACCTGTTACTGCAGAAAAACTATAAAGTAAGACTAATCTCGATAATCATTCCTCATTTTTTCATAGTCGTAAGTCTCTAACTAGAGAAGATAAATTATATTTACTATCTGATCCACTTCAAGAAATGTTAAAAACAAGATAATCTATAACAGATTTAAGGGCAATAGAAATAGAAGGAGATGAATTTACTTAATAATATAAAAATAAAATAAATGAAGACTATGAGAAAGAAATATGTCGTAAAGATATGATTTAGAGAAGAATATTTGATAGTTAATTGAAATATCAAGGCAATAATTCAATTAAATAATTTATATTCTAATAAAATATGAAAGCATCTCAAAAATTCCACACTGAACCTATTGATAAAAATATTCACATTATAAAAGAATTTATTGTGGAAGATAAATTAGATAAGCCCAGATAATCTAAACTAATTACCAATAATAAAATCAATCTTATTACTCTTAAATCTACAGGAATAAAATCTTTTTAGGATTCTGAAAATAATAACAATTCTAGTGCTTAGAGATTTGAAGACTTATATAAAACATGTAATAATTTCTATAAAGAATCTCGATAAATTAAAACTAAAATCATGAGACTTAAACGACAAACTTGGAGAAAATATTAAAAAATCTTATAAATAGGAGCATCTTAAAAAGAAATTAAAATTGATTGAACATAAAATTACTATTGAAAATATACATATCATAAATATAAGAAATATCTCGATATAATTTACTATTGTTTTTATTTCATTATTTATTAATATAAGAATAGTCTATTTCCATAATATATAATAATTATTTAATATTATATTCTACAAACAACTTAGATAATACTTATATTAAAATGAAAATAAGTTATTATATTGTAAATAATTATATCAAATGGAATATTAAAAATAATGAATATTATAATACTATTTAATAAATGATGTAAATTTAGTTTGAATTTAGTAGTAATTGATTGTCATTTATGATTTATTATATTATAATAAATTATAATATAATATATATATGTTATCTGATCAAATCAAATAGGTGTTGTCAACAAAAACTTCATCTTTTCTCGCTCCTAGATTCTCTCGAAAAACTACATTGCTTAAAAAGAGAAATAAAGCTCTTTCAACTTGTAGTATAGAAGACATTGCAACATTGACATAATAAAAAAGCTTATAATAACCTTAATCTAAGTAATAAATAGCCAGATCAGAATCTTAACACAATCCATCAACTCCATTAGCAACTCCACAATAAAGTAATTCAGTTAGTTGTCAAACAAATACATCTCTATTTGATGAACAACTTCCTGAGATTCCTGCATCTGATCCTATATGGCTTGAGATTATCCCTTAAGAAGTATTGTAAGGATCATCAGTCGAATAACTTCTCGAAGACAATAAAGATTACTTTTATTATTTATTGGGATTGTATCTCTAGGAATAAATGCATGGAGATTTTAATATGAACAAATTTATTTTACCAACTAAATGGTAAAGTTAATATGGACGTGATTTTCCACTTAAATAGAAAGAAAGATAAGAAATTATCAAAAATACTATCTATGAAGATTATAAATCTCCTTAAACTTCAGAATTTTCAAAGACCAGTTATAAAAGTTAATTTTCAGCATATCCACCAAAAGATTACAATCCAAAATTAGAAAGAAGAAAATATGAAAAAAGTGAGTTAAAATTCGCTACATTGACAACATATAAAGTATAATAATTATTTATAATAGGCTAATCATTATGATTTCTAAACAAATTATAAACCTGAAAAAGTAACAGCATCTAAACATTTAACAACTGGAGGGCTTTCATTATCTTGTTAAACTCTTTATAAAACAGAATATTAATGGCCTTAACCAATAGAATAACCCTCAAATTGTAAAAACATTTATTCAAAATTGTATATTTTATCGTTATTGTTAATTAGAAATCCAATATAATCATCTGGTATCTTTTTCGATAAATAACGAGATATTTACAGTAAATTTCCAGTTGATCCTATTTGTAAATCAGCTCCTTATTAATAAACTCCTACATATTAGAATCAATATGTTTCTACAACTAAAAAGTATTATTTTTAGTATATATAAATTAGTGATTTTTAGGGAACAAAATTTGGAGAAGTGACTCAAATGAAAAATTGGAAACAAAGTGTCATTAGAAGAATGAATTAATTGAGAAAACAATCGCAAATATGATCTTTAATTGTCAATATTCATCTAATTTCTTATGAACTTTTGAGAATGCTGTACTAGTGTTCAATCCATCAAACTTGTAGGTGTCTCCCAAAAAGGCCTAAGTAAATCTAGCATCTCTAGGATAATATTTCTCAATCAATTCAAATGATGTTGGATTTAACTGTCCATATTACATATTAGATGTTTCATATATTGGTAATCCTATTATCAATCATCAATTCATACCAACATTGATTCCTTAAGGAGGAGCCTTGTACTCTTATTCAGTGACATGAAACTTCTTTGATGGTACCTTGTTATCTAATTTTCTACGTTGCTTTTCTTCTTCAGAAATTGGTTAAGATAACTCAAGTCCTATAGTTTAAGCAACCAATTTATTTTTCAGTAATTTCTCAGCTCTTCTAAAGTCCTAATCTAGTTAATAATAGAATTATCACTTGCATTTGACGTACAATTTCAGCATATGTAGGCACAGGACATGATGTCATATCCACCTATTGTTATCCACTATGTAATAACCAACCATCACCATATGATTAGTTATTTGTAATATAATGAGCTGATTGATTTTTATTCATTTTAATAATGAAACAATATTCTAAATTATTATTGCTATGTCCATTCAATTCAATTGGCATTTACATATTAGATCAAAAAATAGAAGAGTATCTTAGAACTAATTAAGAAGAAATAGTTATTTATTTAGTAGGAACACCAATTACATATCTCAAAGTTTATGAACGAATTCTTTTTCATCTTTATGAGAAAGCACAATAATATACTGCTAAATTTAATGTCATCTTTGATTTATTCAATATGGATTTCAGAAATAAATACTAATTTGATTATGTAATCAATTTAAGTACAGATTTATAAGGTGATATCAATATTCAACTTTAAATCAATCATGAAAATTAATAAATCTAATTTTCTTAAGAAGGCTATAAAGCAAATTAATTTAAAAGAGGTGCTAATGGTGGAACTTTTGATCATTTACACATTGGACACAAAATTCTTTTAAGTTTGAGTTTATTAGCAGTTAGTTAACATTTGACTATAGGAATAACTGGTGAAATGTTATTACAAAAAAAGAAATTAATAGGATTCTTATAATCCTATAATACTCGTGTTAGATGTGTAAATGAGTTTTGTTCAATGTTTAGACCTGATATTGAATTATATGTTTCTGAATTAATTGAACCTGCAGGACCAACAAAAAATGGATAATATGAAATACTAATTGCCACATAAGAAACTGAAAAATCTTTAGTATATATTAATAATCTTAGGAAAGAAGGAGGTTTAAATGAATTAGAAGGATATATAATTGGTATGATCGAAAATTAGAATAATTAAGAAGAAGTAGATAAACTATCTTCATCATAAATTAGAGAACAAATCTAAAAAAAGAATAGATTGACTGAATAAGAATATTTGGAACTTAAAAATGAATGGTTATCAGTAAGTGATAATTTATATTGGTTTGAATCTATTCTAGTTGATTATTATTCCTAACCTCAAAGACATTATCATACTTTAAGACACATTTATGATATGTTATAATAATTAAAAGGAGCTAAAAATATTAAGAATGTTAAATTAGCAACTTTCTTTCATGATGTTATATATTATCCTAAAATCAATGATAATGAAGAAAAGAGTAGTTTTTTGTTTTAATAATATGCATAAGAATGCAATATAGATTCATAAATAATTTCAACTTTCATCTTAAAAACAAAAAGTCATTAAATTGATGGGCTATTGTTACCAGAGGATGATTTATAAGATTTAATGATATTTTTAGATGCCGATATGTCCATTTTGGAATCTGATGCATATCATATTTATGCTAAAGATATAAGATAAGAATATTCACATTTTTCAGATTAAGATTATAAAACAGGAAGAATTGCTGTATTATAAAAGTTCTTGTAGTCTAAAATATTTAATTTGAGAAATGAAGAAAAAGCAAGAAAAAATATAAAAGAAGAAATAGAAATTTTATAAGTGTAACAATGAAATAATATAATTTTCTAAGTTATCAAAATATTTTTAATATTATATCAATTATAAATCACTCTTTTTAAAATTTTAGGTTTTCTTTTGCAAATAATCAATTTTATATAATACATCCATTACCAATTGAAATTATAATTCAAACCTTAAATTTCATATTTTGGATCATCAAAATTGTAAGTAAGAGTAATTTCTCTTAGTAATGGTTCTAAATTTGAATATAAATGATAATTATAATATAAATTATATATTAATTATTTAATTTTTTTATATTCTTACAAATCCAAGGGATAATTTTAAAAAAAAATAAGGGAATTCAAAAATTATTTTAAAATATTTACAATAAAATAAGAGAATTATTATGTATTAAAATAGAATTATGATAAAATATATATAATTTAAAAAGGATATTTTTAATAAAATATTTATTCATAAGTTTCAAGCTTTGAGAATTTTCTTTGCTTCTTATTATGTTGTTTTAATGACAGAACTTTATTAATTGTGATGTGATACTTTGTAAAATGTTACTAAATCACTATTTAAGTTTATGAGTTCAGGTCTAAATGTAATAATAATGTATTGAGATTCTTTTGATAAATTCAAGATAATTTAAGCAACTTGATTTCTATAATTATCATCAAGAGCTGCATCGAATTCATCTAAAATGTAAAATGGAGCTGGATCACATTTTTATAAGGATATTAGAATGACAAAGGCAACAATTGTTTTTTCTCCACTTGAGAATGATGTCCAATTCTAAACTTCTTTGTTCTTAAATGATACTTTAATATCAATTCCCCAATTTTTTTTATTATTTTTTCTTAAACCTTTAATTAATTTAATTTAACATTCTCCAGTGGTTACTATTTATAAAAAATAATATCTAAAATATTCAGCAAATCTTTTATATAATTAATCTTATAATAGACTTTCTGCTTTCTTATCCATAATTTCACAAAGATTATCAAAATCTTATTAAATTTACTTAAGATTTTATAGTTTCTATTAATAATCTGAAAATCTAGTTTCAATTTCATTTAATTTTTCAAATAAACTTTAATCTTTTTATGTAAATTTATGATTAAATTTAGTTTTAAGTTCTTTAATCTTCTTAATAATTTAATTCTTAGATTATTATTCATCTAATTCACTAAATGCATCAATCAACCTTTTATCTTTTTCAATAGTTTCTAATTAATTAACACATTATTGAGCTTGCATTTCAAATTCAGTTTATTGATTTTTAATAGAATCAATTTTTAAATCTATTTTACTTTTTTCTAATTTAGCATTATCTCTTTCTTTTATGGCTTGAGCTAAATTCTTTTTGTTTTCATTTTAAACTTAAATTATTTCTTAATGAAATTTCTGTTTTCCTTTTAATTAAATATTTAATTAATCAGTTTATTACTTTAATTCAATTTATTATTATTCTAATTATTGAATTTTATTAACATCTACTTTCTTTTATTATCTCATTTTAATATCATTTTTTTTATTCATTAAAGTTGTAATTTATTAAGATAATTATTATTTCTCTTTAACTAATTATTATAATGTATTAATATCTTCATCAGTTAATCCTTTTTTTATCTATTTAGGATTTTTTAATTTTTATTAAATATCTTTGATTCTATTATTTGTATCTTATATTGGTATATCTAATTATTTTGCAAGTTATTCAAGTGCATCTAATTCTCTTTATTTTTTTTCTATAGCTGAATTATCTTAAGATTATAATTATTAAAGTAAATTGTTTAAATTATTTTTACTGTTTTGTATTTCTCTTTAAATTTCTAATTATTTATTTTAATCATCTTCCATTTGTTATTCCATCTCTTAATCTTATTTAGTTAATAATTTTATTTCTTAATGCATAGCTAATATCTTTTGTAATGAAATAGTCTTACTCTATTAAACTCTAGTTGCACCAACTTTAGTTAAGAAACTATCTGCATAAACAACTTCATTATCTTAAGTAATACAATTAATCTCATATTTTGATGAAATATCTAAAGCAGTTTAATAATCCTTAACAGCAATCCATTTTCCAATTACTTTAGCAATCAAAGACTTTTTTTTATCAAAATCTCCATTTAAAGTGACTTGTTCTTATAAATTAATAGTATCTTTTGGTGCATCAAATGAAGTTACTCTTTCATCTATTAAATCAAGAGGATATATTCTCAAGACAGATCCTTATTAATCTTTATTATAATCAATAATTTATTTAGCAGTTTATGTATCTGGTACTATTAGACTAAATAAACGAGGGCCACTAGCAGTTTCAATAAGAGGCAATAATCTTTTTTATTTGACATTCATTAATTAAGCAAAAACTCCATAAACAATTAATCCTTTTTCTTCAGCAAATTCCATAATTTTAATAATAGATGCTGTAAAGATATCTCTCAATTATTTATCTAATTGATTACATTCAATATCTTATTCATTCTACAATTTACATAATTTTTATTATTAATGTGTTTTAGTTTTCTATAATTCCATATTATCTAATTAAGTAGACTCAAGTTTTTTTCTCAATTAAAATAGATTATCTTCTGTTTTTTTAATATTACTTTATACTTCTCCAATATTAATTTGATTTTATTGTTATTATTTTAATTAATTCAAATCTTTACTAATTTAAGATATCTTAAATTCAACATTCTTATATTCTTTTTGATATCCTTCTAATTATTTTGTAAGAGATTAAATTTCATCTTTAAAACATTTAACTGGATCATCAGTTTAAAGTATTTAAAAATATTGAATCTATTTATCTACTTTAACTTGTTATTCTTATATTTTTAACATTTCCTTATCAAGATTTTATTCAGTTGTTTTGTATTCTTCTTCAATAACTGATTTATTAGCACCCTTTAAAGTATTTAATCTTTCTCTAACTTCATTCAATTAATTTGATAAATCTGAATATTATTTTTACATATTCTATTCCTCTTTTTCAAATTCTTATATTTTCTATTTATTTTCATTTAGAAATTAATCAAACAATTCAATTTCTTTATTTGCTTTAAATTAAGCATTACTATAATCCTATTATTATTACATAAGACTTTGTAATTAATTATGTAATCTACTTTATTCTGTATTCAAATCCAATAATTAATGTTAAAAACTTTTAGCAGAAATTAACGATAGCTATACTTCATGCAATTAAATTTGTTTTTAAATATCTTTCAATTAATTAAATGCTTCCTTCTCATCATGTAGCTATTTAATTTATGCACCCAACTCATTCAAAATTTTAACTATTTCCTCTTTCTCTTATTATGCTTATTTTATATTATTCATTGTCTCTTGTTTCTTTTCTTCATATAATGCTACACCACTCACTTCCTCTAAAAGCTCAAAAACTTCAACATCACGCATTTAAGAAATCTTACTTATCTTACCTTATCTAACAATATTGTAATAATTTTAGCGGGAGAGATTAATACATTACAATAAATTACTAAATTAAGAGACTGTTGCAGCTTTTCCATTCAAAAAGAATTCATCCTTTGTAGTCATTTGTCTCATTATAGTCACTTCCTCTGTACTGTATGGCAATCTCTAATTTGCATTATCTAAAGTGATGGAAACCTATATTGGCAATTATTCATCAGAAATTAGATTCTTTAATATGTTTTCGTATATAAATACTTACATTTTCAATCATTTTCCTATCAAAACTTCCAAACTTATCTGTAAGTGCAAATAATAATGCATTCACAAAATTAGACTTTCCACTTCCATTCTTACCCACAAATATATTTAAATTGCCTCCCAACTCTAAATCTATAGCTTTATATGATAATAGGTTTCTTATTGATATTCTTTTTATGCTCATTATTTAGTTAAATTAATAATTATATTATAAATTCTCAATTTTGAATCCTATTTGTAAGATTAATCTCAGCTAAAATTTAGTACTATTTAATAACATTTGAATTCTCTACAACCAATTCAATCTACTATCCATATAATTCCAACCTAATTTTATAGCAAACATACTATACTTTTTGCTCAATTCTAGATTTATACTTTACTAAGTTTTTAGTTCACTTTTTAATTGAACTAATTCTGAGTTCAAATTATTTTCTTTTTAATTCATCTCTTTTTTTTTATTTGATAATTCCTCATTCTAACTAACTTAAAAAAACTGTATCTCTTCCTATCTTTTATGTTTCTCTTCCTCCAATGAGTTTGATAAATCAATTTTAGTATCTTCTAATTCATTCTATAATTTATTAAAATTTATTTCTTTTGTTTAAATTAAGATTCTTAACTATTCAATTATTTAATCCTTTTATCTATTTTGATGTTCTAGGTTAGTTATTTATCTTTCTGCATTTTGTTTTTCTCTCTGTAAAGAAGATTAAAGAGAAATCAATTTTTGTTCTTTTTCTTTATTTTATTCATTTAAAATAACTATTTACTCTTCTAATTCCTCTATAAATTATTAGGATTATAATTTGATTTATTCATTCTCATTAGATACTTCATTTAATTTATCCTTATAATTTAAATAATATTAATACATATGATTAACTACTAAGTTACTTAAATTAATTTAAAGTTGTTTCATATTACTTCTCTTTCAATTCTATAATTTAATTTAAACATTAAATTTATTATTACAATTATATCATTAAAGTTGATTATTATTTATTATAATTGATTAACTCTAACTTTTATAATTCATAATCTTAATAGTTTTTCTAGATTTAATTTTAATACTCTTCTTATTGTTATAGAATCTATTAAATTAATAAATATAAAATACTTCTTTTTTTAAACTATTTATTATATTTTAAACTTTTTCTTAATCTTATTCATTACTCTAAAATAATTCTTATCTATTTTTTTATAATTCATTCAATTAATCTTCATATTCTTAAATCTAAGTTTTAAAATGATTGACTTAATTTTCAAGAATTTTAATTTAATTAATCAATAAACATTTTTGATCCTCCATTTATTTTTCAAAATAAATTCTTAAATTTCTTTCAGTATTTTAATTTTCCACTATAATCTTCTATTCTTTTTCAACAATTTTCTATTCTAAATTATCATTGGATTTTCTAATTTATTATATTTCCTCTTCAAAATTTGCTCTCATGCTCTTATTTTATAATAAAAGAGTTTCTATTTCAGTATTTTTCATATCTAATAAGCCTTTTAATTTCTCTATTTCTAAATCCAAAATATCTGTTTATGTTTTATATTATTGTTTTAGAATTTCAATTTATCCTTAATTTATAATATCTTATTTTTGTCTCAAATTAATTATATCTATTGAAAATTCCCTTTCTTAATCTTATAATCTATTTCTTAAAATATCATTTTCTTTCAGTAATTCATTTTCAAAATATTCTTTTTCTTCTAAAATTTAATTAAATTTTATCTCCAAAATGTCCATTTCTTTATCTCTCATATCAGTATACTCTCTCAGTTTTCTTATTTGATTCTATAATAAATCTATTTATGTTAGATAATTATGCTTTTGCTGCTCATTTTATACTAAATCTTTATTATAAATTATACTTGAAAATGAGGTTTTTGTAACTTCAACCTCTTGTTATCTCTCTTTTTCTAGAACATTATTTCTTTCCTCTAATAACTTTAACTGATTGCTCAATTTCTTCAACTCTAACTCATATTATGCTTTTACTATGATATTATTATTAATATATTATACATTATACTGAGCCATTAATTTATTGCTCATATTTAGATTTCCACAAATCACATTCCATCTTCTTTTATGCATAACTTTTTTATAGTTTATCTAAATCTTAATTAAGTAATTGATTCTATTGAAATTTGAAATCAGTCTTATCATTTACATCACCTGATTGACTAATTCTTATCATTATTGCATCTAATTCATTTTTCAATTATTAAGCATAAATTTCAAGGTCTGCACTTTTATTCTTGTAATATACTAATTCTTCATTAAATTATTATGAATCCATATTTTATCTATTCTCTTTAATACTTTTAGTAATAAAGGAATTTTTAATGGAAGCATTATTGTCTATACCTTATGTATATTAGTTTTTATATAATGGACTATATGTATAAGGCTTATCCAATTTCATATGAGGTGATGAGTTTATCATATTTGAATTCGTTAAAATAAATTAATATTAACATCTTCACTTTGACAATATAACTAAATTTTCAGAATCAAATAAACCTTTTTTCTCTTGAAATGATTTAATTTCATTATTATTTTGTGTTATAAAAATTCTATTGTTTAATAATTTGATATTTTATTTTTTCAGTAGAATTAATATTCATCAATATAGTTAAACTAATTCTAATAATAAATTCTTTATTATTAGTAATATTTAACATATCTAAATTATATAATATAATTATTATAAGAAATTATATTGTTTAGATAGTTAATTAATAATTTTTAAACAGTAACTGAAGATCATTATGATTATATCTATACTGATTTATTATTATTTTGTTTTGAGACAATAATTAATCTAATTATCTATTTTTAGATTAAAAAATAAATAATCTAAATATGATAAAAATTTGATAAATTAAATTGAAATATTTTATTATCAATTTTATGATTTTTGTATTAAAATAATTACTATTCTTAGAAATATAGTAATTCAATCTAAATATGAGTAAAAAGAGATGTTATAACATCATTTGTCTGAACTCATTCTTAAAAACTATAAAAATGGAAATATGAAAGAAATATAGTTAGTATGTTTTCTAAGAATACAGATTAAATTTTTTGAAATTTGTATTATTGATAATTAATTCTCAATCCTTTATGATTTTTTTGCACTTTTAAATTGTTTTATGGACTTTTCTTTTTTTTCTATGAATTTCTTTCTCATTTAATGGAGCTGGTATAGGTTTAAGGATAACCTTTCTCTTCTTAACAATTTTCTTCACTTTAATCCTCTAATCTTCGTTATTTTCAAGCATATCACTATTTTATAATTTTTGTTAATGTTCAACTAAATCATCTTGATCTTATTATAATAGTCGGGTTTTATACTAATTTTATGTAAATATCTTTTAATTGGTAAGCTGCTTCTGCTAATACCGTTATCTTATTGTCTACTCAAAAGATTATCCTTTACAATTTATCATGATGAACATAATAAGAAAAACGATAAAATGCTTCATGAAATAAATTAATTAAAATGGATCCTACTTATCATTCATTTGGAATGTCGAAAAGTGATTATAATATTTGAAAAGTAACCTCACTTATGTAATATATTGATTATGTTTGATGTTAATAAATTTTATATTATCTTTTAATCTATCACTAAATAGGGCTAAAGTTCTTTCAAAATCAAGTAATACATTATAGATAAATTAAGATTGAAATGGAATTTTTAATTAAGGAATCAATTAAGATTGTTGTATGAATTAAGAAGTGATAATTTCAAAGAGATATTGATAATATCATGAAAATCTAAGATATAAATAAGTTATCTGTGCATTTTGAAAATTTTAGTTTAAAATTTTTGATTCTATAAAGTAATTACTAACTAAAGAAGTCATAAAATAGTTATATAATTTTAAGTTTATCTGCTAAATATGTTATTAGATAATTGGGAGAGATGAAATATTTGCATAAATTTTAATTATTTAATGGGAATCCTTTGTTCTAAATAACATCCTTAATAGGCTACTTAAGTGGTGTAAAATTAACATGATTTCTAAAATCTTCTAGATTAGAAATAAATAAACTCTTTAGAACCAGAAGAAGAAAACAAAGATCAAAAATATACTAAAATTGATGTTGCTCAAAATTCAATTGATTTGAATAAGAAACGTTATTCAAGTAGAGATATGTCTATAATATCTAAATATATTGAAAATGAACTAAGTATTTCGATTTTATTATGAAGAAAACCAATCTGTTAAACTTGAGAGACTTACTATTGACATGAGAGATCCATCAATGAGTGTTAAAGGTGGAACAATTGTATAAAGGAAAGAAATCTCATAAGATCTATTTGAAGAGGATGACAGTCATATATGTTACACAATCTATACAAATCCGAAATATAAACGCTTGAAAAGTATAAATGAACACACAATGGTTCTATTGCATTTGAATGAAAATAAGGAATATTTAGATTTATTATACAGAGTAACTAATGACTATCATTTTACTATTGAACATTAAGATGAATTCAAAGATATTTTAACAAGATCATAAGATAGTTTTCTGTAAAATTTATTAATTTCTGAAAAATATATAAATGAATATGGAATCTTTCATATAATTAGAGAAGCAATTAAATGTAGCAAATTAGAATTAATACTTTAAAATGATTATACTCTAAATTCAACATAATTGCATTATAATAAATGTAATAATTAAATGAATTACATTAGTGTTTGTTGATATAAGTTTATTCCCAATAATTTTGGCCACTTAACATATTTAGATTTTTTGTCTTGAATTCACATAATAGATTATATAATATAAGAAATTAACTAATTCTAATTAAGATCTTATTAAATTTCTTAATGAAATAAAATAAACTTTAGGAAATGATGTAAACAAATAATTTAATATTTTTAACTAGATCTAATTTTTATCAATTTCTCAACAAAATTAAAATATGGTTTTATCCTTTATAATTAAAAATATGTAATCAAATAGAAGTGTTATCATTTCTAATTTTAATACAATTTTAAATGGAAAATTTGGATTTATCACTTGTAAAACATAACCATTGATAAAGTATGTTGGATGTGAATTAAGTGATATAGATCCTTGGAATAATAGAGAATTTAAAGAAGAAACAAGAGCAGACAGTTAATATTCATTATAATATGGATGGAAGTATAAATAGAATTAATAATAGATTATTTGGTTTGAATTTTAAACAATACAATATTTCTAATATAGGATTTATTTACTACAATCCAAATCAAATGTACTATTAAAATATAAGAATCTATTCATTAAGTGACATCAATAAATATTCTAGTCAATTTGAATTGATTGATATCAAAGTTTATTGTGAAAAGAAATAATACAAAATATTATTTTAAGTAACATACTAGGATGATGATTTAATTATTATAGATAACATGGTAAATAGTAAGGTTCTATTATTAAGGCATATCTCAATACTTTGATGAATTCAAGATTGACTGGAATTTTAGTATATGATACTGAAAAATATATGAAATATTGACTAAGAACTCTTGATGATATTTATAATAATTATTAATGAATTATATATATATATATATATAGATTCAATTATTCTCTTAATTCTTTATTTTATGTTTATTATTCTTTTTTACATTTATTTCCAATTATACAAAAGGAGAATCACTTTTCTCATCATTTTTATCCAATTTTACTTTTTTTTATTTTTGATTACTTTTATTATATATCCCTTCTTAACTTAAATCTTATTGAGCCTATATTTCAGCATCAGTCTTATTTAAACAATGTTCACATTTACAAAGATCATTACATCTAATATTCTGACTGTAACATTCACAATACTTTTTTTTACATCCAGATTTCTTACAATTACATCCTTTACGTATAGCACTTGAATTATCTTTTGATGGTTCTTTTATTGGTTTATCTTATATTTCATTATATATTATTATACCTTATTGAACAAATTGAACACCTCCCTTTGTTGAAAAACTTTATGCAAAAGCATCAGCATTTCTTAACAAGGCTTCTTCTATTGCTTTTTATCTTTCTTAAGGATTATCTATTCTATTTTTACAATCTTGGCAATTACAACTCTATGAACATACCTTGTTGTTAAAATTTAGGAAGTTATATCATACCCCATTATTGGCAAAACATTCACAATAAAGTTTGAGGCATTTACTTTTTTTGCAATTGCACTAAAAATCAGAAACCTTTTGATATGAAACTAATTGACAGACTTTAGATTGAAGTTCCTTTGAAACAGTATTCTAACATTGAAGACCATCATACAAAGGAGGATAATAACAATAAGGTGGCATCATTTATTAAGGAGGTCTAGGTTGATACCATGGTTGAACCATAAACTATTGACCAGGGGGATATTTCATCATCATAGGTTATGGTGGATATTTCATTGGATAATAACCAAAAGGATAGTGATTACGATGTGGATCATCGTCCATATGATCAATTTATGGAACTTCTCCTAATGAATGTTTTCTAAATGCATAACTACTTTGACCCTTTTTGTCACTATTAAGATATTTCTAGGGATCATAGTCATTGAAACCTGATTAAATTCCCTTATTACCTTTGTTTTCAAGATCGAAGGGAGGAGGAATATGAGGATATAATTATGGATATTGCATAGGAGTAAATCGTGGTGATGGATTCATAGGCCAATCCTCTGGATACTCATGAACTTTCTTATTGTTCTCCTATTTCCTTGGTGGCTCATTTGAATTGTCTCTTCAAATTAATTTATTTAATATCCTTTACCTATTATGTTCCTCCGAAAAAGCACTCATAAATTAATTTATTTAATCGCTTAAGATATTAAAATTAATGATTAATTAAAAAGTGCTTGTTCAAATAAAAGACAACTATTAATCTGGCATCCTTATAGATAAAGACAAGGTCTAATTAGATGATGGTTAAATTGTTTTGACCAATTCAATAATTGATAATACAATACCAAATGCAAACATACATTAGATTATATACTAATTATTAAACAACAAATCCATAAATATAAACAATCACTTATTCTTAATGATAAACAATTCAGCAATTAAATTTTAATTTAATTCTAATGAAAGTTATTGCTTTTAAATTTCAAATTCAAATATTATGTTATTTAATCATTTAATAGAATAAATAGATCATAAATAAACTAAATTATTATAGAGTTTAATTATTTTCAATGAACTTTTCAAATTTAATTCAAATGATAACAACTTTATTACTATTTTTAATAACAACTGTTTTAAGTATAAATATTTTAATATTTCAAATCGAATTTTTGCTAAAAATTTTAAATTTCCTATTTTGAATTTATTTTATAATTAACTTACAAATGAAAATAATAGCTATATAATTGATTCAAATACATAAACTTAATATTAATATCCTTTATAATAAATTGAAGATTATAATCATTATATTTTTAAGGATCTATTAAAATAAATTAATTAGATATCAATCTTTCAAATTATATCCAAATTATTCTCTTCTATATTACTACTTCAAATTATTAAATTTGAATAACTTTAATAGTAATCAGAATTAATTAATAAAATTGAATCTAATCTTTAATTAAATACCTAATCATTATTCACAGAATTAACCATCAAAAAGAGAAAAATGGGAAACAAATATATTGAATAATAAATGAATCAATAAGAAATGGAAATTATCAAAGATTAAATTTCTACATTCTTATATTATCTAGCTAGATAGATCATCTTTAATACTAATACAAATTAATAAGATAATAATGAAATTTAGACCTATATTAGTTTACAATTTTATTCTTCTTTTAATAACATTTAAAATAATTTAGAAGCTTTAATTGAAAATTATACTATTGAAAAACTTAATTATTAATTTTATAATAGAATCAAAATCGAAAGGGAAAGAGATTTAAAAGAACTCTAAATTCAATTTTCATAAATTACTCTAATAACAAATTTATAAATCATAGAGTTATTTGATAAAAAGACAGTTGGTTTATTTGGATTGATTGAGGAACATACTCTAAATAATACAGATGAAGGCAAACTTATAGAAAAGATTAAGTCTCTTTAAAGAACATATGTTAAATAGATGAAAATTTAAGTATAGAATCCACAATTATTTACAATTAATCATTAATAAGGCTAAATTAATTATAGTGTTGCTGAATTTAAAATATAAAATAAATTTGAATCCTTATCAAAAATTGCAGAATTCATTTAAACTTCTAAAGATTAAGTAATTTCTTCAAATGCTCAAATATTTAATATTTAGTATAAAACTAATATAGAATAATATTAAAATTATATGATTAAAATTTATGATGAATTAGAAAAGTGTAATTAAATCATGGTTTACCAAATGTAAAATTCCAATTATTAAGATATTCTCAAATAATTAGAATAGTACAATATTCCCAATTATCTAAACTATTATTATTAAATATACCCTTATAGATATGAAGTATAAGATTTTGTAAATACAATTAAATCAATTTATTTTGTTCCTCCTTAATTTACATTATAAGAAAAGCTAACTTATTATTAAAATAAGATTTATCAAATTGATCATCTTATTTGTGCTAATAATATGCTCTTTCTTACATTTGAGTAATAATTAAAAATTGAGACTATCAATAATAATTGCATTAGAAAATTTATGAATTTCAAGAATTTATTGAAAAAAAACTATCGTTCATTTATTTTAAGAAAAAAAATAAAACCTAAAATTAGAAAAATAAAGATTTTTAATTCAATTACATAATTATAATTAATAATTACAAAATCTGCTACTATTTTAAAATGGAATCGTATGATTTAAGATATAAAATTCATATAATAAAAAATACGAAAATATTTATAAAAGTAGGCATTTAAGAAATAAATGTTTGCTAGGTCGATTTTGAGAACTGTTATTGATTAAGTATGGGTGAAAGTTGAAAATTTGATGGCAATTAAATTATAAAAGATTTTTAGAGGCAATAAGATAAGATAATAAAATAATGAAATAATAAGTAAAGTTAAATAAAGAATGATTGAATTTATTAAGTTAAAAAAAACTATTATTATTTAGAAACATATTAGAAGATATTTGTGTCAAAAATATTATCATTAATAATTAAATAAGATTATATTAATTTAAAATTAATGGAGAATGTAAAAAACTAAAAAATATTATTAAAAAATCAAAAATTAAATAATCTTCATTTAAAGATAATTTAAACCAATTATTGTTAAATCTTTATCGAAACATAAAGAATTTTTAAATTTTGATAAAAAGGAAACTATTCAATTTAATGAATTTCAAAAGAATAATAATAAAAATTTACTAGATTATGAAAAATTATTAAATTAATAATTTGATGATCAAAAGATTAAAATATTTTAAATAATTTTGAATTTAGAATTTTTGGTTGATCTTTCAGACATTTGTTAAGGTTGGCTATAAAATTATAGTTTATATTGGTCAAAATGTTTTCATAAAAATAAACCAATATAATTTTTAGAAGTTTCTGAGGCTTAAACCTTTGTGATTGATGCAGTAGGTAAAGTGTATTAATGGGGTTTGATTGATGAAATCTTAGTTAAGAGTAATGTGAAGTATTTTTAAGTAGGTGAAAATTTAGCAATTTATTAAACTGATAAATGGAATTGTTTAAATCTTGATGAGAAATAAACAAAGCAAAATATCACTTCTAATTATTCATGGATGTATATTAAAAGCAATTAAATATTTGGTTATAAAGATAATTGTATTGATAGTTTTATATATTCAAAAAATTAAGCTATTAGAAATTGTTCTTTAGAATTTAAAAGGTCAATTGATTAAATATCTTGTGGACATAATTTTGTCTTATATCTTACAAAGGGATAATTATGGTCAGTCGGTTCTAATAAATATGGATAATTAGGTTTGGGAGATTATAATGTAAATATGAAAATTAACTCAGGATAGGAATTCACCATGTTAAACATAAATTGAAAACATAAATTGGATAGAGTGTGGCTAGACACATGCTATATTTAAGTCATTTAAAAAGTGTTATGGATTTGGAAATAATAAATATGGATAGTTAGGATTATCTAAAAAATATTATAATAGTCCTTAATGTCTAATAAATCCTATAAATGAAAATATATTATCAATTTCAGCATCCTTTAGAGGTACATTATTTATATCAGAGTCTAATAAAATCTTTATGACAGGACAATGTAATAATTTTAAGTCAAATAAGTTCATCTAATATATTGACGTAAAAATATTCATTTATATAAATTTAGTATCCTTTTTTAAATAAATAACATTATATTCCAATAAAAATATAATGTAGTTGGAGTAAAACAATATCTATTATAAACTGTAGATTCATATTTGAAAATTTGTATAATATATTGTAAATAATATAGATATAATGTAAATACAGTGAAAAAAAATAAGAGTATACATTAATTTATACAATTGTATTAAAATCATTCACCAAACTTAGTAGATCCTCCTAAATGTGAATTTGTTTAATAATATTGCTTATAGATATATAATAAGTTATAATAACATGTAGATCAAAAAGTAACAGGTAAAAACTATTAAGAATAGAAATAAGTAAAATTTGAACGTAAAAATATAGAATAAATAAAATAATAAATAATAGCATTGTAAAACAAACCTAAAAACAAATGGAACATTGATGATCACAGATTTTTAGAAACAGTTAATATGCTGAATATATTGAATTAAATCATTTGAATATCACCAATCATCTCTCTGTATAAGATTTCCTTCATTTTTATCTTAAATTTCTAGAATTCTTACAACAGGTACGACGAATGATTCGATTACAGTTAATATTTCTTGAATATTATAAAAATCTTACATTCTTCTTTTAAAGTATTATAATTATCAGGAATGTTTGTTTATCTCCATTTTTAATATTACAGTATTGAATCTTCATATTCTGAACAGGAAATGATCAAATATTTCAATTAAATTTCTGATAATATAATTTATTGTATAGGTAACTTTCCTTTATTTAAAACTAATTTTTCTGAATTCTGTTCTGTAGTTTGAATTGGTAAAACTGTATCATCAATTTAATTATTAGGAATAATCTTAAAGGAATGTTAAATAAAACTATCATCTTTTTCTCTATTATTAAGTTTAGACTATAATTTATTAAGTTTATATTTAAGTTCTTCAATTCTAGTAATATTATTCAAATTTAAATGACATGTTTTTTATTATTTTAAATGTTTACCTTCTTCTATTTGTTACATAAATCTAATGTACTTTAAATAGATATATTCTGACTATTGATTTAAATATATATATATACAATAATCTATTTGGAAGAGTTTCTTTAGTCAAAATAGCTATGTTATTTTTTTGGTTTCAATTATTCTTAATATTTTTCAATAAGATCTCTAAAATAAATTAATTTTATACTCTTCATTAAATTCTCTATCTTTAAGAGGTTTATGTAAATGAAATATGCGATAAATCAAAAAATAACGAAATATTAATCTGACATTATAAGACCAATGAATAAAAAATTTAATTGCTAAATTTTCAAATATCATGTCAGTCAATTCTTTCTTAAGATCCACTAATTATATATTAATTAAAATTTACCTGGAAATAATATATAATTTGTGTAAATTAATTCTAAACATTTAGCTATACTTTATGCATGCTCACTTTAAGTAAGGATAACTCTAATTCCTTTTAAAAAATATTTTTAGTCTAAGAAAGATGGCATACATAAATTAAATTGGCTTATTTTTAAAAAACATTTATTTAATAGATCTAAACAATGAACTACATCATCAGAGTTATATAAACTAACTTTACTGAATAAAATGATTATTATTGTATTTAATAAATTAGTGTTTCTAAGTAATGAACATAAAGCTATCTTAAGAGATTCTGGATAGTTGCTTATTTATCTTGTTTTTAATTCTACAAAAAATGCCTTAATAAGTTAAAAGTATCCTGGTAATTAGTGGTATGGTACATTTTTTGTATTAATTATATATGTATTTAACAAATCACACCATTCTTAGATAAATAAAAAGAAAACAGTTCCTCTTTTTCCTAATTGATTTTACCACATTTATTAATTAATTATTTCATTCATTTTATGATTATTGGCATAATATTTTGGTTATTTCATAAGATATTCATAAAAATGTTTATTCCAATCAAAAATATCATTAAATTCTTAATTAGGTATTCCACCTGTTGATTTAGTTAAAGATCTCCATTCTGGTATTTATTCATCATCTGTTCTTTAAACACAAACAATTATTCTATTTCTAAATTCTGGTACTCTAAAATAAGCATTTGCAAAGAAATTTTCAACAAAAGATCTTTCATTTTGTGCCAATGATTTTTATTTTAATTTCTCTAATGTTATTGATAATCCTTTTTATAAAAAGATCTAATAGGTTAAACCAATTTCCATTTTTAATTTTAATAACTTTTCATTTGTTTTTTGTGTTTAATCAGAAAATCCCAATTAAGCTAAACTTAATTCTCCTCTATTCATTATTAATTTAAGTATAGTATAATATTATTCTCTTAATGTCTCTTATTATTAGTCTGCTGTTTCTAATAATTTAATTGCTAAATCAATTAATAATTTTTAAGAGTTAAAGAGATCTTATTAAGTTTTATATTCAAAACACACCATAGATTATTTATGACTTAATTTTAAATTATCAATGATCTAAATAATAAAATCATTTTATTATTGAATTAATTATGAATCAGGTTCAGTCTATTAAAAATATTAATAATTGATTTACTTTACTAAATATAATATATTAAGTGTCTAATAGACCTTATCCAGCAGAACTTAATTGTTATATTTCTCTTATACTTGCTTTAGCTTAATTAATCACTCTGGTTCCTTAGGATAATCCTTTATCAGTACGAACTCCAACTATTTATTATTTTAAATGAAATGGCAAAATAATTTCTAGATGATAATTAAGTATTCCTTCTAAAACTCCATGATTCCAAACTCTTCTATTGTTTTATTTCCAGTCTATTTTATAAGACTTAATTCCCTTATCAATAATCTAAATAATATAAATAATATAATTACCTATTCAGCTTTTTAATTTAATGCATAATTTAAATTAACATATGCTTCACATTCTATTTCTTTTTTACCATCTTTCCCTATATGAAATAAAGCAATTTAAATGGAAGAAGAAGTTATTTCAATTAAAGGTACTTCTACTTCCATTTCAACTTTTGAATCTTTCCATAATATTTATTTATTAGATTATATTTATTATGTTTTATAGAATAATTGATTTTAAAAGACTGGAGAATATTCAGAATGAAATTGTAATTGTGATGTCAGCATTCTTAATTAGAAACAATATTCATGTTTATTTAAAGGTTCTTCTAAATTAAAATCAATTAATTTTGGAATAAATCTAACAATAAGAATTTAAGCCATCTTGAAATCAAAACTCACTTTTCCATGTTTTCTAGATCCTAATTAAGAGATTTCGTAATCAAAATGAAATGGACCTGTAGCTATTTAATATAAATTGAGATTAAATGTGGAAATCTATTCATCCTTTTCATTCTTCAGTTCCACAATAACAAATTGTTATTTAAGTTATTCCTCATTACTTTTCAATTAAAATTTGTGAATATGTTTAAACTAAAAGATTAATATATTATTACATAAAATTATCCTTAGATTTCATTCTCAATTTCAGTCTCAAAGCTTGAATAATTTGATATAATCACTTTCACTTTGCAACTTTACTTATTATAATTAATAAACATTATACTATATCATCCATTTTAACTTTAATATTTTCAACAATTATATCAAATCCAAGTTAACCTCGAGTTAATAAAGGAATATTATCAACATCTGACAATAAATTATCTTTCTGTCTACTAGAACAGATACCCATCAAAAATAAAAAATATGTATAAATTATTAAAAAATAATTGAATCAATTAATAAATAAAAACTTAATAAATTGTTTATTGATATTTTTAAATATCTTAAGTGCTACTTGAAATTCAGATAAATCAAGCATCACTTAATATTAATTTTATTGATTCCTTTTATATTTTATCAATAATATATGCCACCAGCAAACATGGAAACTATATATAATACGACTATTAGGCCAAAGAAATTTATTATTGCGTAGACTATGTGGTATCTCATCCAAGCAACCAATGCAATAAGTAAACAAACAGGTAATGATATTATCATACTTACTCCTAGAAAAATAAAAAATAATAATGCAGCTGTAAATTGACCAATCCAAGGTAATAATGAAAAAAGCCATATAACTGGATAAAATAAAAATAATATTCCCATAACCTTATTTATAAAAAAATTGAAATACCATTAATATATAACCTAAGAATCTTGTTTTATATGTTAAAGCAGCATTTTTACTTAATTCCATTAAGAATACTTTATTCTTAGACCATTATTTTTCTCTTATCCAATCAATTTCTTTTAATGGTTCTTCAGCTGCTTTTGCTAATTCAGCTACTTTTTAACAACAATCACCACAACAACCTTCATCTTCATCCATTTCATCTGGATGAAGACTCTTTTCAGATAACCATTTATCTTCTATTACATATGGTATAAAAGTATTATTCATTTGTTTTGAAATTACTGTTGCATTACCACATAAAACATATTCAAAACAAACTCTTAGGTCTCCAACAGTTTTTTGATATTCATTTTGTTATAAATAAAGATCACGTTGATTAATTTTTCTATATTATTGAAAATAATCAAATACATATGAGGAAATTCTTTTCCAAATAATTTTGATGCTGCCTATAATTATGCATCATCTGGAACAAAAAATTAAAAGTTTTTACAACCTTACTTTAATGATTCAGATAAAGTGAATGCTCCTAATCTTACATCTGGATTAAGTTTATCCTAAGATTTAACTAACCATAATTATGGTTTATTTTAATATTCAGAAGGATATCCAGCACTACAAACTTATTCAGCTTTCCATTTTAATTCATATGTATATGTTGTAGCACTTTTTTTATGTTTATGCTCAATTCTAACAAATTGAAGCTATTCAACATGCCGTTTTAATTTAATACAAGAGGATAAAGTTATTCCAAATTCAGTATCTTCAACGATTATATCTGTTGATGTTTGTCCTATTTGAAATTTTTTATTCTTTTACCTTGAAAATGAACTAGTTCTCCATTTAATTCATGATGAATTTCATTACAATCTCCAATTTTACATATATTTCTCATATTTACTAATCGATATTCTGTTATTGCTTCTCTTCTTTCATTGTACCATAACAAAGCTGCTGAGAAAATTATGAGAAAAAACCCCAGAATAAAAAGAAAGAATATTGATGCTGTATTGTCATCATCATCATCTTCATATCCATCATCTGTTAAGAATTATTATTTCTTATTTTAGATTTCCTTACAAGCTATTGCGACCAATAAAAGGTGGAAATATTGCATAAAAAATATGATATTAATGATTGAACAAACACACGATTTTTTTTCAAATTCATATAATACTATTATCTTATTGTTATAAATGATAATTCTAATTAATTTATATTATTTATTTATGCAAGTTTTTGCAAAAAATCACTCTTAAAATCTTTAACTAAGAAAATATTGTTCTATTTGATGAAAGTTTTGTTAACTTATATATTACATAATATTATAAAATTACATAATTATTCTATATGAATAATTTGACATAAGCAAATACTGGCAAGATTAATGAAAATATCATAATGTATATTATCAAATATTTTTAACTAAATTGATATAATTATTTTTAATTGAGCTAAAGATTTTGATTCAATAATATAAGATATTATAATATCAAATAAAATATTTTTAAGTATATATATGCATTAAATGGAAATCGAATTATAAATAATATAACTTTTTATTTATAATAAGATTTGCTGATTTGATCATAATAAAATTTTTATTATTTGAAGTTAGAACTATTGATAGAATATTTTTAAATTATCATAAAAAAAAGATATGAATAATTCTTAACTTAATCAAGATTATAAATGATTGATAATAAAATATAAATAAAAAATAATTATATTTATGTTTATATTAATTTGATTATATTAAATGAATAAAATTTATAGTATAAATATTAATATATTTACAATTTAATGAAATCTTAACGTAATCATTAGTAGATATTCTATATGATTATGATTGTTAATCTTCTATAATGAATAATAAAATGTATTTTGAATGATTTAAGTTATATATTAATGAAATAGATTTATAAAAAATTATTGGTTTTAATCAAGTTGGAACAACAATGGGATTGATTTTAATTAAATCTTAATCATATCTAATTTGATCATATTATTATTTTTCAATAATTGTTCTACAATTAAATAGACTTTTAGTTCTTTGACATTTTCTATTAGTTGAACTCATTTCTAAATTTTTGAGTTGTTCCTTAGTAGTTTTACCGGTAATAATGAGAAAGATATGAAATATAAGCAAACCAAAGATTAAAATTATACAAATTCCAAAAGGGATCATCAAAACAATGATTAAAATTTGTTAAACTTTTTCATCAGTTGTTGCAATTAGTATAACAAAAGATAAAAATTCAATTCCAAAAGATATAGCTGCCATAGTAAGTGTTGATATAAATGATATGAAATATGCATAATTACGTTTTCCAATGCAATTATTAACAAAAGGACAATGATGATCAAATACATCTACACAATTATCACATTCTGCACAATGATTTGAACGAGGTGGTTTTTTAATCATACAAGTGACACATATTTTAACTTAATAATCTGCATTATCATCTTCAGTTGGTATAAAATGTAATAAATTTTCATCTTTCATTTTCTCTATGATTTCCTTCCTAGGTATAATACCCTTATATATTGATAGTAGATATTACAGGATCAGTGAACTAAGTTAAAAATAGAAATAGAACACATGAAAAGTACATGACATATGAAATGATTGGTAGAGAGGGATGCAAAACAATCCAAATCTGAGGTGAGATGTAGAAATTAAATGGAGCACCTACAAGTAATATTAATAACCATGTTATTATATTGGTAGTATTGTCTGAACTAGGTCCTGTCATTAAACGACCACGACAAAAGAATCTATTGTTAGATGGCCATAGTTGATATAAGTGTACTAGTTATAATTTATTTTAATTCATAAAGGAAATTAAGTATTTTAAAATTGGAATTTAAGATCATTAATTCATCTTTTATTTTGGGGAGAAGGGTCTATTATATTCCTGAAATTTTCTATCTGAATTTTTAACAGACAAAGGTTCTCTTATTTCATGTGGACCTGATTTAATAGAAGATTATTTAATGAGAGGCTTCTCTTCAATGATAGAATTTAAAACAGAGGCTTTAATCTATATGGAATGGGGAGGCATAATCTAATTGAAATGAGGAAAGAATCTATTGAATTTGTAAAAACTCAACATCTTGGTTTACAATGATTGACACTAATTTTGTTGTTTTATTATACTTCCTTATATAACTCTAATAGTTATTATCTATTGCCTATGAGAGTTGGATTCTTTTCTATTAGATACTTAACATCTTTGAGTATAAAAATATATATATCCTGTATGTCAAAATATAAGAATTTAACTAAATGTGCCATAACAGGATTAGGTTCATGATCTTGATTGATTCTTTCTATTAATTATTACATATTCATTCCAATATAGCATTAATTAGATAATGTAAAATAGATCATAAGATCATCTTAAGGTTTATTGAATTCTTCATTAATTAAAGTTGTTTAAGCGGCCAATTTATAAATATAGCAATAATAGGATTAACATAATTAGCCATGTAAATTCTCAATGTCTTCTTAACTCTTAATATTTATAATAAGTTTTGTATTGATAATCATTTTTGAGAATTCAGCTCTAGCTACTTAAGAACTAATGATAATATGAACTAATAAGAGCATTTTTAATTTTATATAGAAATTTCTCTCTTATTGTAGATAGTCTCCTACTATTATTAATAATGATTTTAAGAACTAAGACTATAAAAATTTGATGTATTTATATACTTTTGATTGATCATTTGCAAAAAAATGTTTTAATCTTTTACTTATTTCTGCTTATTATGTAAATTAAGTGTCATTGCTGTTTAATTTTAAGTCTCTTATTGCAGTCAGAACAGGATTATTTGTTTGTCCAACAGTGTTATCATTAATCAATTGTTTTAATTTTGTAATCATATGATTATTTATATTTTCTGTTAAAGTACATTTATATAATCAATTGACAAACTGTATGTATTTGCTCATTAATTTATGATTTAAAGCATTTGCTATATATTCGATATTATATGAAGGATAATAATATTCATAATTGCACACTTAATCTAAATCGTCCTCATAAACTTCTTATTATGGAATTATTGAACCTAATTAAGATATTCCTGAACCTCCCAATCCTGATTTCTTGTTTAAAGAACAACTTGAATTTGATTATTTAATCTTCTAACTTCTTTTCACTTATAATTCATTTGAATTAGATGACTTAACTAAATTTGCCTTTATAGAATTATTTGTTGCACTATAATCAATATGTTTATGAATATATCTTCTACTATTCTAAGATGCTTCCCTCTCTTCTACTTTCAAAACTGGAATGCTATTTTAAAAATAAGTTTGACTACTAAAAGTATCTCCCTAATTATAACTTTTAGGAACATCAAAAGTTCCAAGTCTTTATTATAAAGATTAACGAGAAGATCTTTCTTCTTGATAATCATTCAATATAGAATCTTCAAAATTACTTATGGTTCCTTGAAATCTTCCCATTACTTCATTTGTTAAATCAACTTCTAAAGCTATTTAATTTATTATAGCAAAACTAATAGCTGTAATACATATAAGATTTTTATTCATTAGAGAATTAATTCTATTTCTACCATTATCTCTATAAAAATTCATTCTATTATTAGGTTCTGAAGTATTATGTAAAAGTATAAGTTCTTTAAAATTTGGTACATAAAATACATGATTACATTAATGAAAAGTATGATTTCTATAACCACAACAATGACAAGCAATCTTATAATTGTCTTTCAACATACAATATTTTTAAAAATCAGAATTATGTAATTTAATTAATTGTAAAAAATCATTTAAATCTATATATGCTATTAAAGATTCACTCAAACATTTTAATTAAATTGGACATTAAATTTAACAATAGAAATATTAAATTGGTATTTAATTATGAATTAAAATTTTATTACCTATACATTAAGCTACATTCCCTTTCATTAAAAATAATAATCTATCCATCATTTAATTTTAAAATTACAAAATTGTACCATTTGAATAAACAGCACTTTTAAGTTTTTAACATAAATTTTATAGAAATTATTTAGAAAATGGTAATTTATATAATAATGGCATAAAGAGTTCTTCTCTTAATTCTTATTATAATTCTTATTAAAATTCTTCAATATTAATTGATTCAATTTTATCTCTATGTAGATATCTTTATACATTTTCATTCAATTCAGCACTAATTTTATATTTATCTGATGATTTCCCAAAATTAATTACATTTGTTATTAAATAAATAGTAATAATATAACCAAAAATAGTTGTTACAATAGATAAGATCTATAATTATATTGACTATTAAGAACAATCTTCTATTTCAATAGTATTACCACTATTAGTAATCTAATATATTGTCCATTATAAAGAGATTACATATTTAGATAGATAATTATGATCTAAGAATCTAATTATATTTTTAAATTTACTAATCTTCAAAAAATTTTGTATGAATTGTTGTTATTACATGTATTATCAATATTGGAATTGTGTAATTCAAAATATTAGTCTTAATAACATATAATCTTTATATTCTGAATAATAGAAATATTACTAATATAAATAATGTTGTTACTGAAATATTAAGAGTAAAATATTGTAAGGAGACAAGATATTATATGTACTAAATCATAGATTAGATATTATTTTGCTACTAGCCATCTATTTTCTGTGTATAGTTCTTAGATATAAACTCCAATAAAGTAATTGCTCAGAGTTTCTACAATTGTGAATCCAACTTGATTAAATTATAAATATACAAAAAACTATAAAGATACTATTCGTGATAGTAAAAGCGAATTCTAAATAGATAAGTACAAATCCAACAATGTATAATAATAGAAAAATATAACGACTCCAAACAATAAATGGAGAAAATGGATTTAAAAGAAATATCTTTTGATTTATAATCAAAGCCTTATCGTCAATTAACATTAAATGTGATTGCTTAAGGATTTTTGGTTATACTGACATCAACTTACTTAAAAACTTAATTATGTAGAACCATCTTTTAGGCCATTTAGCAACAGTAAATGAATCCTATAATGGACATTCTTTTATTTTTAGATTTGGTGATGAACCTCTTCCGATTTATTCTGTTTACTTTTAAATTCCAATATCATTTGGATCACTAACCTTTCTAGTATTTATTATAAGCTTCCTGGCACTGACATTTTACATTTCAATTTGAAATAGTTTTAATGATTTATAATTTTCTTCAACTTCATCAATTCTATTGATTTCACGTTTCTCAATAGAGATTTTTGAACCTAAAATATCTCCTTCTTCTAAACTTTCCTTATGCTCGCTTTTTTATAATGAATTTGGATCTTCAAAATCTATTTATTTATGGCCTCCTACATAATAAGCTTGAGATTCCTATTGAATGAGACGAGGAACTGTCAGAAACGTCTATGATTATTATGAAGAATTTTGAGAGTTTGATTAATCTAATTACTATGAAAACATTAATTAATAAATTAAATATAACTAATAATTACTTTTCACATTTATCCAAAGTTATGAGTCATATTAAATTGATCATCTTCTTAGAATCCTAATTCTTCAATATAAAATTATTAACTCTAATACTATTCTTAGAGATAATTGTTATCATTAATAAGGTCTTATAATTTCTTTGTCAAAATATTAATTTAGTCTTGAAATTAATCCATATTAACTTAAAATTATATAGCTTATTCAATTTTCTAACTTTACAATTACTTATATAATATACAATCTAATACATCTAATTATTATTCCATAATATTGCTTTTTCTAATTGCTTCCTAAAGTGTATATTACATACTATCTCTTTATTTAGTTAATTCTTGGATTTATATTTAGAGTTCCTTCGAAGTTGAACTAAGAGAAAATGAATTCCCAGGAATCCTATTTAGATTCTCTTTATTTTAATTGACTAAAAATGAATTGCGATCATTTCCTTATCTAATTGGTTATTTTTCATCTATTCTTTGTGTCATATTTAACTACTACCTATTAGGAGTTGAATCTAAACAAACATATCTCACATTAGTTGGAGTTATAGCCAAACGAGTTCTTGGAATTGAAGCTTAAATAAACATTCCTTTTTTTTAATAAAATAACAGTCACTTAAATTAAATATCATTATTCTTATTCATCTTTTATTTCTATCAATCTATTTTATTATCTCTCTTGTAATGATTGATTATAGTTATCTCTACTATTCTTGAATTTGTAAGTCGAACTCATATCTTAGTATGTAGATTTTGTCTTCCTTGACAAATAATCAGCTGTTGATGGAACTTCAATTGAATATTTTATAGGAGTTATTGATTTACAATTTGTCAATCTAAGACTAACATATTTCTAAATAGTATTTTATTTTGGAGTGGGAGTCTGAGAAGCCACTTATTTAATTTAAATGTTTTTCACAGATTTTACTTACTTAAATAATTGAGTTGAGTTGAGAAATTGATTAAGACTCTATTCTTTTCTTTAAATTTGCTTAGATTTTACTCTTGGCATACTGGTTTTCCCTTTAGATGTAACCTCTTACATAGCAATTCTTTCTTGGTTTTCAACTAATTATAATACATATCTACATACCCATTATGAAATAACAATCTAAACAAACTGCTATTGTTTTATATTTAAATCCTTAAGATTATTTCAATTCTTGATAGTTTTGAATATTTAATTTTTCATGTATTTTCTATAAGGTCATTGGGATTTAAGATATAGTATTGACATATGCAATCTTTTCTTGGTTTGCACCACTAAGTTTGACTTATTTGGCTTATTTCTTAACTTCGAGAGGCCATTATTCAACAGGAAGTGGATTTTCAGATAAATCAATTAAGAAATGATATGGGACTTCTACAAAGTTTGATCCTTTCTCCAATTAACCACATCTGATACACTTATGTTCTCTATTCAATTATAGAGGTCTTGAATTGTAAACAGACATCAAATTATCAATTGATTTTGGAATCTTTTGAATTATAGGATGAAATTATACTTTGATTTGAGATTAGGTATATAGATCTTTAGGTAGATTCTTAAGTTATTTATCATCTTCAAATTTAAGATTACCACAAAATAGGAACCAACATCTAGCTTTTTTATCTACTTTGAAATAGAAAGTTCCTTGTGATATATTTAATTTGCCATAAGAGATAGCATCTAGATGAGATATCATTTTATCGATTTGTTCAGAGATTCTTTAGGATTAGAAATCTTTCACTTATGCTTAAATGAACTATGAAGGAGATAATGATACTTGCTTCACTGAAATATTCAGGTCCTTCGAAAGTACAATGTCGTTCATAAATGTTCATGGACTTATTGGTGAAAGATTTCTTGCAAACTCTTTTAGTAAATAGAGTGACTGATTTACTCCAGAAGGCTTGAATTTGGGCTATGAAATAATGATTAGTTAATTTACAATTGCGATCATCTGCTGGTTCAATGAATTGTTATAAAATACCAAATGGTAATTCAAAGTGGCCATCCATAAATTTATTGAATCCTTCAACATCAAAGTATATCACTTGGATTTAGCCACTGATTTGAAACTTTTCTGGAGGGTAATTCAGATCTAAATTATCACTTGCAAATTAGTAGGGAACAACGCATACATAAAATGTAAAAGGTATGCTACAACACCACCTCGGCCAACTTGTTGATTCCAAGTTTACTTTATATTTTGTTTAGTAACATTCTTTCTCATTTTCTTTTTGATTTCACCTGTTTCTTTATCTGTGTAATACCAATAGATGGGCATAGAACGAATAAGTATGACAGTATCAGGAATCAGGATGGCAGGAGGATTGGCAGTTTCTGATTTAACCCAAAGGTATTAATAGATTTTATCATACAAAATATGCTCTTGCATACTTTCACTGCTAAACATTGTTAATAATATAAAATTATATTTATATAATCTCAAATGTTTATAATGATTATTAACATTCAATAATGGTAGATAATAATATTGAGGAATTTTATAATAAAGAACTAAATATTTCAACTAAAATTTTAGCAGTCTTACTTTAATAATATTTTTATGATTCATTCACATAGCAGAAGTCGTAGTAGAAGTAGAGAGAAGTAATTGAGACCCTAAGAGACATGCCAACATAATTTATAACAAATCAAAAAGGTTTTTATGGATGTAACAAATTTATACAAATATTCCATTAGGGTAGACCTAATACTAATCCAGAAGATGTTAGAAAATATAGATAAACTAATAGAATCTTCATCAAATCAGCTCATACTTTTGTTCCTGATCCTATACTTAGATTTGAGGATGTATACTGTTTTCCTAGACCATTATAAGAATTAATTGTAAAGGCTGGATTTCCAGCTCCAACTCCTATATAAGCATAAAGTTGGTCTATTGGTTTGACAGGTCATGATTTAATTGGTATTGCTTAAACAGGATCTGGTAAAACTTTGGCATTTCTTTTGCCAGCCATAATCCACATTTTAGCTTAATTGAAATAAAATTCAGACCCATAATGTTTGATTATGGCTCCTACAAGAGAACTTACTAACTAAATTTATGAGCAATTTACAAAGTTTTCAGTTGGTTCTGGATTAAAAGCAGCTTGTTTATTTGGAGGTTAAGAGAAATTTATATAAAAAAATTAATTGAATTAACATCCTCATATATTAATAGCTTGTCCAGGTAGATTAATTGATTTGGTTGAATCAGGAAGTACAACATTGAAAGGAATAACATTTTTGGTATTGGATGAAGCTGATAGGATGTTGGATATGGGATTTGAACCATCAATAAGAAAAATAGTAGCTTAAACTAGAGCAGAAAGATAAACAATGTTATTTTCAGCTACTTGGCCAAGAGAAGTTTAATCATTAGCTTTAGACTTTTGTACACAATAACCAATTCATATACAGATTGGTAGTCTGGATCTAACTAGCAATAGATAAATTTAATAAAAGGTGGTCATTTTAACTAAGGAATAAAAGGAAGAAAAGTTAAGAGAAATTCTGAAATCATTAGGATCAAGAAAGATCTTAATCTTTTGTTAAACTAAAGTGAAATGTGATTAATTATAACTTTACTTGATTCAAGAAGGTATGAGATGTAAATCATTGCATGGAGATAAGAGATAATCAGAAAGAGATTTTGTAATGAATAGTTTCAAAAGAGGAGATACAACTGTATTGGTGGCAACTGATGTAGCATCTAGAGGATTAGATATTAAGGATATTGAATTTGTAATTAATTTTGATATGCCTAAATTAATAGAGGACTATGTTCATAGAATTGGCAGGACAGGTAAGAATATCTTTAAATTTATATTAGGTAGAGCTGGGGCTTAAGGTGTATCTATTTCATTATTTGATTCGTATGAAGATGCCAAATTAGCAGGAGATTTGGTTGGAGTATTAAGAGAATCATAAAATGAAGTGCCAAATGAATTATCACGTTTAGCTAATGTGAATAATCAAGGTTACTAAAATTATCGAAAATGGAATGCTCCATCAGGTAAGATTTAATATTGCACTTGATTTTATGTATGTATTTTTTTTAAGATAAATTGTTCTGTTTTTTATGGTTAAATATATCTTCATATCAATATAAAGATTAAAAATATATATAAATATGAATAGATTTAAATCAAAATATAAATTGCCTCCTAAGATGAAAACCCAACCAATAGATCCTCGTGTATCATATTATGAAGTGAAATTGTAAGAGTTAAGTTCAGAACCTTCACAAAAATACAAAGTTTAATAAAGCACATCACTAACTCATGAAGGTTTTGTTCGTCAACGGAAAACCATAAGTGATTATAATAAATTACCAACTCCTCTTCCCAAAATATAGACTGTTCGAAAATATAATGAAGAATATAGAAGCATATTTAGTTAAAGGAATCTAACTAGATTAGTTGGTGGATTACAATAATTGTTGTGATTGTTTATTAAAAATTAATGAGAAGAATTTTGCATCTCTTTCCAGGCCAAGGTATTTAAAAAGTTGGTATGCATGCATCACTTGATTCTCAACAATATCTGAATCTAGTTAAATATGTACCAGGCTTATAAAAATGTATTGAGGAAGGACCATAAGCAATTCTCAATTAAACAGAATTTACTTAGCCAGCCATATTCATCTGTTCATACCTTCGATATTAATAAATCCATGATGCTGAAATATAATATGCTATTGGACATTCAGTTGGTGAATATGCTGCTTTGACAATAGCAGGTCATTTGGATCCATAAGAGACAGTCTAATTGCTTTATAAAAGAGGATGTATAATGAGAGATTGCAGTAAAGGAAGATAAATGGGTATGTTAGCAGTATCAAGCAATTAAGATTTCACTCAAATCATAAATAAGGTTTTACTTTAAAATCAGATTATCGAACCTGCTTTATATAATTCCTAAAATTAATTAGTCTATTCTGGAGATAAAGAATCTTTGAAATTGATGTAAGCAGAATTGAAAAAATAGAAGGTTAATTCTTTATTTTTAGAAGTATCAGCAGCTTTTCATTGTTCTTTATTATCTTAAGGTAAATTAGAATTTGAGAAAGAACTATAAAAATATGTTAAGTTCAATCCAAAAAGTGAAATCAAAATAATTAGAAATATTGATGCTAAAGTCTATGAAAATAGAGATTAAATAATAGAAGGTTTAAGAGATCAATTAGATCATCCAGTGATGTTTTAATAGAGTTATTAGAAAATTAAAGATCTAAATTTGTAATGTATTGAATATGGAAGTAACATTTTAACTAAGCTTTTAAGTTGAGTAATATATTATAATATAATTTTATTATTATTATTTAATAAACAATAATTCTTTTGTTGTCAAAACAAACATTATTAGTGGTAACAAATAAGATTATGACTTTGGAATTCAAGTTTAATTTTTCTTAAAGATTATTTTTTCTATAAATATTCGAGATAAGGTGATGATTGATTATTATTTTAATACTACTCATCATTCCTTCACTCTTAGTGACTCTGCCAGACTTATAATTCTGGTCCAGACTTCTTACATAACTTAATTATTTTCTATTTCCAATTATGCTAAATCTCTAATTATTCTCTTGTATGATTCATGTTTGTCTTTCTTAAACTTATCAATTGCTTTCATTGTCAATACATGAGTTACCAATTAATAATAATATTTATATGAGTCTACATCGTTTTAGCTCTTTTATATATATAAAACTATTTGTATACTTCAACTATTTGTAATTCAATTTTCTATCGTTATTCTTCTTAACTTTTACCAAAACTACTTCCTTTAGCTATCATAACTTTTGTTAATTATTCCTGTTACTCTCTTAATTTGTTCTCAACTTTTGACTTTGTATGTAATAGAGATTCTCTTGATTAAAAACCTTATAAAAATGCTTCCATATCTCTCTATTCTGTTGATATCAAGTCTTAGATTTTATCTAAAGATATTTAATTTTGATCTTTCTAAAATTAATATGTATATATAATTACTAAATAATCTAAAGTAGATTTCAATTCTTAAGCATCAGGATTTGTTAAAATTAGTTATTTTTCATTATTTAAACATGGAAGTAATATTTATTATTCAAATTCTTACAATCCATATCCAAAAAAAGAATGGAATAATTCCTTCAAACATCTTTTACTTCCACTTAAACTTTTGGCTTAATCAAATAATTTAATCAATAATTGTTGAGATTATTTACAAAATCTTTACATTTAATTAATCTTATTAATTGAAATACTATCTGGTTCTTGAACTTAATCCAATTCAAAAATATGTTTGAATTTCTCAATCTATGATCTAATATTAGGTTTTGGTAAATTTTGTATTTACTATATATATAAAATTTATGTATACTTTACAAACATCCAATTATGTTGATCTTAAAAATACTTATACAAATTCTTCTGAATAATATAAATACTTTATTTGTGCCATTTTCATCACAAATATATTCAATAATCTAACTCTTTCTAATAATTGATCACCTGTTGGATTTACTAATTTATCTGGCAAAGGTGGTATGTACAAACCTGGCCAAATTTATATTAATGCTTCCCTCAATGTATAAAATTCATTGAATCTTCTCTGAACTTCAAAATTTCCTAAGGCATCTTTACCCTTTACTGTATAAACAAGGTATTTATTCATAGAGGATGATTTTACTTCTGAAGGATTGCTCACTAGGATGTATATCTATATCATATAAATTTGATTACAGGTTCATCATCATCAATTTGTCTCAAGAGTGCTTCATTTGATTATTATTATTATTCAAGAGTTTATTATTCAATAACTTCTTGTTAATTATCTTATTGGATATTTTCTGTCTCTTTTTACTATGATTGTACATCTATATCATTAATTTATGTTGTCGTATCATTAGTTTCGTCATTTTACATATTTATTAATATAGAATTTATTGAATGAATATATATATAATATTCATAAATAGATAATTTGATAAAAGATTTATATTATATTAATAAGAATAGACTATAATTTATTAGGTAATAAACAGAACTCAAATTAACATTCATAAATGTATGTTGTTAAATTTAAAATTATGTAAGAATTATTTTAAATTTTATTATTTAAGAGATGGAAAACTTTCCTCAGCTATATTCTAAAGAGAGATTACAATAATTTATTACTAAATATAAGGATTTAATCTAATTAGATCCTCTTAAAGAAATTCATTGTGGAATTATTCATTTAGATGAATTACATATAGCAGGTACATAAATATTGTATAATTGTAGCCTAACTATTACATTAAGGTGAACTAGTAGCATTTCCAACTGAAACAGTGTATGGATTAGGAGCAAATGCTAAAAATGCTTAAGCTATATTGAATATTTTCAAAGCCAAAAGAAGACCTTTAAGTGATCCTCTTATTGTACATGTTCATGATAAAAATAACATATATACTGATAAACCAGACTTTTTGGATTCTTTTGCTGAATTATTTTGGCCAGGACCATTCACAATTGTGTTAAAGTATTTAATTAATATTATTCAGATCAACTTAATTAGAGACAACTGAAATTTTATCAGCAGGCACTGGATCAATAGGAATTAGGTATTTAATTGATAATATTCTTGTAGAATACCAAATCACAAAGTGGCTTTAGAATTGTTAGAAAAAGCTAATCTTCCTATTGCTGCCCCTTCTGCAAATTTATTCACTCATATATCACCTACTAGTGCTGCTCATGTTTTTAATGATTTTTATGATTAAAGAGTTCATATAATTGATGCAGACAGAAGTGATAATGGTATTGAGAGTACTGTTATTAAACCATTGGGAAATGAATTGCATATATTAAGATTAGGCAGTTTGGCAAAGGAAACAATAATATAGAAGATTGGTTAAAGTGTTTAATTAAAGCATTTTGCAATAAAATATGAAAACAAATATATGTAGATAGAAGAAAATGAAGAAGAATTAGAAAAAGAATTGGAAAACTTATAAAATTTAGATCGTAAGAATTCAATGGAAGCACCTGGTTAATTTTTGAAACATTATTCTGCTAGAATAAATTCATTTATTGTTACTTTTTAATAAATCAATATAGGTTAAGAGATTGATTTAGATTTAAAAGAATCAGTAATTATTGATTTTGGATAAGAGTTAAGAAATAGAATAGTTAATATAGATGGTATATATATATATTAAATAATATAATAGAAACCAAATATAAAAGTTTATCAATTAATTATGATGCCAAAGAGGCAATGTTTAATTTATATGATTCATTAAGATGGGCTGAATTATAATAAGGAGCTAAATAAATTTTGTTGTATGATTTTGATACAGTAATAAATCAGAAAGTTTAATATGATGAAAATATCCTATCAATATAGGATAAAATATTTCGCTCAGCTTCAGGATAAAAGATTTACTATAAAGATAATAAATTTTATTTGTGCTAGTGATTATTTAATATATAAATATCAAATATGACACCAGAATAAGTCTTGTTTAAACTAATAATGTACCTTAATCCATTATTTTGGTATAAATTCTATTTCTATGAAACCATCTTTATTGTCACTATAACTATATTTGCTTTCTAATATATAAGAGGATCAAAGTTTAACAAAAGATTAGCAAAAATTCATATGAATCAAATTAGCCTTGAGCTATAGAAATATTTTAAAAATGTTGGAGATAAAGAATAAGATATACTCTATGAATAAGATAATCCTCATACTTACAAATTATATGCTTCCAATCATCCATCAATGAAATTTTGTTTAGTTGGATTATATGTATAATTATAATTAACAAATAGCTTCATAGAAGAGAAAATTTGTTCAATTATTATGGTTATTAATTTGTATTTCCATCAAAAGAAAGATTAGTTATTGAAATAGGTGTGCAACCATAATTTAGATAATATATATGTTTTGGAATTGTTAAACAAAATTAAATTAAGAGAATCAAATAAGAAGGATATGAAGATCTCAAGAATATTTGTCATGTATATTCATTAAATATATCTAGAGACTCTTACAATACCAGAATTAGATAATTCTCTTTAAATACTCACAGAATATGATGAAATTGCCCAATAAATTTGCACTCCTGAAATTATACAATTACTTAATGCTAATCAAAAATCTATTCATATTATTTATATATCTGATGTTGACAGAGATCCAGCATGGTATACTTAATTAATATATTTAAGTAAAATTTGTGTTAAAGTTATGACAAATCTATCCACAAATCCTGAATATCTAAATCTAGTCTAATTGGTTGTTCAATTGTCATTATAAATTGCTTAAATTAAAATGGATTTGAAAGTAAACTATATTTATTATTCAATTTAGAAAATAACTAAAGCTGGATAAACACGTAGAAAATTCAATTCTAAATTTAAAGATTGATTTATTTCTGTATGTACAAAATTATGATGTATTATTAGATTTTTAATGTAGTCTTATTTTATACATATTTATATATTAATATAATAGGAGGAAAGATCTAAAAGAAATTTTTAACTTAAGTCAATCCTCTGATTAATTATAATTTAAAATATAATAATAATAATAATAATAATAATAATAATAATAATAATAATAATAATAATAATAATAATAATAATAATAATGAATATCAATCATCATCCTATATTATCAATTTTTCTATCCTTATACTCATATTGTAATCTTAAGTTTACTTTAATAAATTTTAATCCTTTTTCTACTATGATATCTTTTATACTACGTTATATAAATTATATTCAGCATCAAAATAACTGTAATTTTACCACTTATCAATATTTAGATTTGTAAATTAATTATAAAATTCATTGTTTAAAATAGATGTCACCTAGTACATACTCAATATATATAATACTTATCCAGTTAAAGATATAAACTAATGGTGCTACATTGAGTTCATATTTGTTCCTGACATCTGCCTAGATTTGTAGCTATTTAAGTTGTTAATCATATTGCTTGATTCACATTCATCCAAATAAGGTTTGCTATCTGTAATTATATATTAATATGGATTAATTAAAACATCTTAGCAATCTAGATTCAATGTTCCTATATTAATATCCATCTATTAGTTGTGTTCTATATTCTATTCTAAAGCAACAAATAGTTTGCTTTTCTTTTAAGTATCATTCTAAAATTCTTAAATAACATGTTCACTATTAATAGAATTTAATTAATGTTATAATATTTACTATTCTAATATTTTTTCACTTGTAAATTCCTTAGGAATATCACCTATGTGAATTAAATAAAAATGATTACTGTTATTATCAAAATTAAATGCTGAACTCTTCCTTTCACCATTTTATGTATTATTATTTTACTTTTTTTATATATTCCTTGAAGCATCAGATCTTGTCAATGTACTTTTAGGCAACTTAAATTTTAAAATGTTACTCTTTTTCTTATTTTAATATCTTATATCTAAATTAATTATATTAATACATTTTAGTCTTTCTTAATTTTTTGGGGATAGATATGTAGATATTATTTCATTTTTATCAACAAACATGTGTAATTATGGACAATTACTTAAAATATGATGAGTTGAATTACAACATTGACATTACAATTTTAATAAAGAATAATTTTATTTATTAATGACTTAATTTATTATTATTGATAGTATCTCCTTGTCAAGAAGATTAGTTTCTAAACATTTTAACATATTCTATCTTTTTAATTTGAATATAAGTGCATAATGATTACTTTTGTAGGAAAGATAATCTTTTTAACCCGTAAAAAACGTTAATTATCCAAAATGTTCACCTTATTATAATTCTTCAATTTTTTCGAAATTAAAATTTTAATTATTTTAAATTCCAATATCTATTGTACCATGTATCAAGAAATAAATAGATTACTCTTCATATAGATTATCACATGAAATAATTTATTACGGATGTATTAAATGTAGTTCCATGAATTAAATAAGTTAATCCTTTGATTAATTAGAAAATTATTCAAATAATTATGATTATTAAAATAACAGTCTTCTCAATTATAAAAGAAAATATTAATTTGATATAATTTGATCAAATAATGATAAATACTTGATGTCCTCTAATTCATAACTCTTACTTTATTTCAAAATCTTATTTGACATTTCTGAATCAATTTATAAATCTCTCATCAATTTCTCGTATTATTTATGTTTGTTAACCAATAGATAATCTATGCTAAAATAAGTATTCCATAAATTTAATAGATAAATGAAGATTTAAAAGAATAAAACATAATTGAAGATTAATTTAACTATCTCCAATAAAGCTAGACCAATATTATCTCCACTTTCTTGAACTCTATTACATTATACTAAGATCAAAATATAATTTCTAAAAAAGGACTATAAATTAAGAGATTATTTATATATTAGACTAAGTTTATAACATTCTAAAAGGTGGAAAAAAATAAAATTTCCTAATAATATTTTTAATCCTGCTTGTGTAGAATGATTTGATAATGAAACATTTTTAACTAAACAAATAATGCAAACAATTATTTACATAATATTTATTACTTCCAGCTATTTTAATTGTAATATATGGATTAAAAATAAGATAATTGATAACAATAATATAAATATCTCATAACAGAGATTTTAAGCTAAATAAATTATAAAGTTTTTTGTTTTGTATTTGTCAGATGCTTTTAATTTACTTTTTAAAAATAAATGTAGCATTATCAAAGATATTAAAAGAGTAATTTAAAACATGTTTCCATATATTATAAATGAAGTGTTTTCAAGTACCATTTAAGTTGGACTCGTAATTCCAATTAGTAGTAGGATTAATACTTGTATGAATTTATATAGTGAATTTTCATTAAATTAAATCTTTTTCTTTTTATCCTGTTATTTAGCAAATTACGCATCTGATAAATTTTTATTTATCAATTACTACAATATAATGGAAGTGGTATTATTATTATCTTGCAACAATAGGCTATTTAATGTCTTAGCATATTACTAAACTAAGTCCTTCTTCTGTTATTATATAATATCTGAATTATAACAATATTTTTTTGTATTATTGATGGGTTGACAACTGAATTATTATTATTATACTTTCATTTATTATTGAGTATTCCTTTGTGGTTTATTAGATTCCAATTCACTTTAATCAAAAGACAAAGAGTTTATTTCAAAGGCTGAGCTGATGTCATTAGGTTAAAATGGATAGTTTAATTTGTTTTTCTTAGATTTTTCTGAGATTGTTTTTCTAAATTATTATAAATATGTACAATGAAACTTAGTCGTTCCTTGGAGAAGAAATTTAGATCATATAGTCTGATCAATAATAAAATAATTAAAATTAATACGCAAATCTTTAAATTTCTCGTATAAGCGTATTTAAACTATTTTACTGGGAATGAACATAACTCATTAATTTAAAGCTTCGTAATATATTTAAATTAAATTATTTTTCAAAATAGTTAGTCATATCCTTTGAAAATATTTAGACATCATATATTCTTTTGTTTTAACAATCAAATAATTTTAACTTTTGCTATTACATGTAATATATTATAAAAAAAAATTAGTAAGCTTTATGTTTATATATTTCTTTTATTTTTATACTATAATTGACTTTAGTTATTTGTATCAATAAAGAAAATCAACAAATAATTCTGTTTGATTGAATCCAACTTTTTCAATTTTTTTTGTTCTAAAATAAAATTCTTATATAAAATGAGATTCATTTAAAATAATAATTAAACTTAAAAATAGAATTGAAAACCGTATAAAATATTTATCAATATTAAAACAGTTCAAAGGAACAATAAAAAAATTAGTTTTTACAATAAAAATTTATTATTATATGATTATTAATCAAGGTGTACAATCGTTTATTTTATTCCATCCTAAAATTTGATCTTTTATTAATCTAGATTACCATTCTTAATCATAAAGTGAAATAACATATTTTGCATTTTCTAATTTGTAATCCCAAAAAATAAATAGTAATCAATAAATAAAACAGCAAAATATTTTAATTTGAAACCGTTATTAATATTTGTTATTTATAATAAAAATCAGGTTTAATTATTATCATCATAATAATTAATTAAATAATAAATCATATCTCTTGTATAACACTCTGGTTAACTTAGAATAATGTAAAAATCAAATTTATTACATTATAATCATTAATTTGCATTTTTTAATTCATTTTATCTATTTTTTACAAAATCAGAATTTATTCATCACTACAACTCAATATTTGATTACAATATATTGATTTGCTTTGCCTTAAATAAATTATATTTAAATGATATTCAAAATCAAACAAAAAGAGATAATCATGAAGGACAAATTTGGAAAGTTATTAAATAATTAGAAATCAAAAGTCCAGTTCTTATTTATTTTTACTTATTCTATTTAATCTCATTCTAACCATTATATTCTTTTTCAATCAGTCAATAACCCATACTTAGGTGCTTAATAAAGTAAATGATATGCCCCTTATCCTTATTATTTACCTTCAACCTAGTTTCCTTCATTCTCTTTCCTTTTGGCTATAAAAATTAAGCTCTTCATCAAGCCATTCTCTCTCATAAGCATGACCATCTGAATGTATCAATTTTCCATTTATATAACATTTACCATCATCCTTTATAAATTGAACCATCTAGCCATCTTTAATTCTTTGGCCATAAGCGCTTTGCTACTAATTTAATATACTGTTACATCACTAATTTTATTGTACATTTAAAGCCATTATGTAAAATGCTTTTTTGAATTATCAGAGTAATAGATTTACTGTATTATCTTATTCTGCTTTTTACACTTTTTAATTATAGTCAAAATTTTCCTTTTATTTAAAAAAAAAATCAGAATTTTTTAGTGTTTTTCTTGGAGATCATATTTGGTGATGGGACCATAATCCTCAAAATGTTTAAGTTTTGAAGTAGGGCTGTATTATTTGTCAGATTAATTATCTGCAGACTCCTATTTTTATATTAGGCTTTACTCATTTTAGAATGATCTACTATCTTTAGACTTAAGTAGAACTTAGTCTTCTTTGGAAATATGTTATTCTTATCTAATTCTTATTATTGATTTAAGCAATCCTCTCTGAATTTTTCTGGTTATTTTTGGATAGAGAGTTTAATTTATGAATCATCCATATCTGGATTGCCTTCAATCAATATTAATGTCACTTTTCTAATTTATTCTTAAACTATATTACTAGCCTTTTTTATAAAAATTTGCTTAGCGAGTACTCATAAAATTAAATGTATATATAATCAATTCAAAATTTTAATTGTTTACTTTTCTGAACATAAATGAATTTTTCATCATTCTTAAGGTTACGCCACATGTGTTTGAGTGTTTCTAATCTCTCCTTGAAGCCATATTCAGGATGTTATTTTTTGACATCAACAATATGATCGAGCTTGAACAATTTGAAAGCACTCTTGTTTTTTTGATCCTTAGGAGTAAAGTGCAAGGGAGGTAGTTCTTCAGGATTGAGACTATTGTGTGATTAAGAATGAATTACATTTGTTAGTTCTCTGCCCATAATTACCAATCTTTCATAGCTTTTTCACAATCTTGAAAGTGTTTGGTTTAGTTCATTAATTTATGTAATAGTTATTTTGGAAGAAAATTGAAATCGACAACAGTAAGTGATTAATTCAAATTTATTAGAGAAACATGGTCGTCCACCAAAGTTAGAAGAATGTGTCAATTTAGTGTATTTGATTGATCAGAATCGATATTTATACTTTGGAGGCAAGAACCCATTTAATATTAAAGATTTGTAATAGGAAGGTATGCAATTGAAATTAAAGGATAGAGAAGTAGCCATCTCCTCCAAAAAGTGATGGAATATCATTTAAAATAGGGGCTCCAAAGTAGGCAAGAGTGAGTAGTCCATTTAGTAATTAAGAATGCTAAGATTATGTATACATATTGGATCCAGCTACATATTAATGGAGTATCAAGAAATGTACAGGGAAACCTCCTACTAGAAGAACAAGTGCATAAGTGTGGTATGAAGCACCATTGTTATATGTGTATGGAGGGATCACATATGAAAATAAAACTGTTAGTGATTTGTACATATTGAATACAGAGAAGTTTATATGGAAACGATTTTTTTATTTGGAAGGTCCTCCAGGTAGATTGCATTTTGGATTCTCAACTTAAGGAATTAAAAAATATTTAATGGGCGGAGCAAGTATGCCAGAAAATTTATTAATGGATGATGTATGGTAATTGTCTGTAAGCAATATTTGTAAATAAATTAGTTTGAAAATGTGGCATGGGAAACTTAATCTTTAGAGTTGCCAGGTATCACATGGGAGAAACTTCCATTTGATGATATGCCAGCTATAAAAGCACACACAATGATATAGGTATCAGATAAAGAATTACTTGTGTATGGAGGATTTAATAAATAAAAATAATGTTAGGATCGTTGTCTTCTATTAGATATAGAGACATATGATATAAGTTAGTTAGAATTAAAAGGATAATCACCTGGTTAGAGAGCATTTCATGTAAAACTAAATTATACTTTAAGGAATTATTAGTTGTTAAGGAGAATTTGCTGTGTTTATTTGGAGGATATAATGTAAATGAAAATTAGTTAAAGAATTCAGAACCATTAAATGATTTATACCTATTAAATTTGAATGAAGGGTATTGGTCTAAACCTATAGCTGGTGGCTATATTCCAACTCCTAGATTTGGTTATGTTATGTCATGCAATCAAAATGAAGTCCATGGTGAAATCATGTTATTGGGAGGACGAATGAATGATGGAACCGTTGATTAATGTATATATGTGTTGCATGAATTGGATATGGAGGCAAGAGATGCTTGGGATGAGAAAGATGAGAAGGAAAAGAATAAATATGATACATATAGAGAATTAAAGAAGGAGAACAAAAATATTACTGTTCCAACTTTGACTTTAGTATTTGATGAAGCTGAAAAAATCATTTTAGAATAAAAGAGAACAATTGGTGAAAAAGAAAAGGATTTGAAATAATTGTAACAGAATTCCCTCTCACTTGAATAAAGGGCTGAGAAATTGCAAGAACAAATTGATGTTGGAAAATTAAAAATGGATTAAGATCTTGAAAATACAAAAATTGAAATAACAGAACTCAATCAGAAAGCTGATCAAAGTCAATCAACAATAGATAAGATATTATAATTGTTGGCATTTGAAAGGAAAAAAAGGAAACTTATGTACAGGAAGGCTTTGGCTTTGGAAGATCTTTATAGAAAAACTTCTTTATATATTTTTGAAATGGATAAAGTATTTGTTAAGGGATAGAGTGAGAATCTACTTGAAACATCTATCAATGAAGACATTCTCAATCTCATTGATTAGAGAAAGCAAGAGTATAAAAATATTCTGATTTCTTTTCATAAGTCTTTTGAAGAAAGATACAAACAAGAAATGCAAGTGAGACAGTAAATCAGAAGCAATAAAGACATTCTCAAATAATTCCATAATATCAATGAAGTGTATAAAAAGACTCTTCTCAAAGAAGATAGAGAATACTTAGACAAGAAAATATGATGTATCATAATTTAATTCATATATCATTGTGACTATTAAAATCTCTATTCCATCTTATATATTAAACATACTCCAGTTTACAGACCAAATGCCAAATAATTAATTTTATTATACTCTCTCACTGCACAGCTTTATGCATATTTATCCATAAGCATTTCTGGAGGCTATAAATCAACATAATTGTATAAACTTACTCTTCCAATTGATTTCTAATAAATTATAATTTAATTAATACATCATCAATATATGAAATTACTAACATAGGCCATGTTCTCAGTACTTGCATTGTAATAATCTATCTTAAATGTAATTCATGATTTAGTAAATACTCTCCCATTCCAATTTTTTTATAAACCTTTATTTTTTCTAGCATACTCACAAACATTTTAGATTAATTTGTCAATATTTTAGTCACTTTAGATTCCAACCCTTTCATTGTACTAATAGTTCCTGTGGATTATTCCCAAATTTAAATGAAATTGCTTCCTCCAATGAAAGCAGTCTTCTAATCTAAGTGAAAAGCAGTTGGGAGATCTTAAACTTCCAATCTTTTCAACTCCCTCATAGTTTTCAAAGACCAAACCTTAACTATCTTCTCCTCCCCTACACTATATAATAATCTATCTGCTACACTCACCTAAATATACAGTACTCCAGGCTTATCTAAAATATGAATCTAACTTGAAGATTATCTAAATGTTATATTCTTAGTTCCTTCTTTAATATATGTATATATGTTCCCTTTCTTGGTTGCCAAATAAAGTTATCCATTCTGATCGTCCAACTCTAAATAAGCTAGATCTGTATATTCAGCATCAATTTAAATTGTGTGAATCCTTTAAGGCTTTTCTGAGTCTTAAGATGAAACATCGAACACCATAAACTTAGATCCACCTATACCTCCAATCATCTATTAATTTAAATATATCATTTTATTAATTTCCTATCCTGCAGACATAAATTAAAATTCCTTCAATTCTTAAACATTCAGAATAGTCTCACCATCACCTAGATTGTCATCTTAAGATATTGCTAGTTGTTTATATCTAAATTATTACCTTTATAAGGAGGTAATTCAGGTTATTTTTGAATTATTTAATCTTACTTGGATTTCTTTTATTGTGCAATACCATTATTATTATGTTTTTTCTATAATTCCGTATTAGCAGCATCTTTTTTACCCGTGAGCTAAATAGGTTTGGTAGAAGTGGTTCCCTCTCCTTCTGGCGCCATATGGAGAGAATTATTTTATTTATTTTTTTAATTTGATTTAATTTCTTTACTTGTTTCAAAAGGATCTTAATCTTCTTCAATCTAGATTATGGTTTTAGCTTATTATTATTATTATTATTATTATTATTATTATTATTATTATTATTATTATTATTATTATTATTATTATTATTACAATTATTGTTATTATTACAATTATTATTATTGATTACCAAGAGAGACATTAGTAAAAATATTATGAGATTTGAATCTATCAAAACGTTTACCATCAATCTCTTATTCTGTTACTCTTGTAGGAGCATTAATAAAAAAGTTTGTTATATTTTTCTTTAGAACTTCATGTAATTGTAGAAACTATTCTGTAAATGTATTAGCTGAACTTTAATATTGCTATGCATAAATTTTCCCATTTGCAGCACTTTCAGTTGATTAAGGAAGTAATTGGGTTGAACTTTTCTTGACTGTAAACGAGTACTTATCAGAATTAGGCTTGAATAACTCAATTTCAGCAAGAACCTTACTAAAATTTTCTTTGGAGGGTTCTGACTCAAATTTTTTTAAGATTAAACTTTGACTTTATTTTAAGGTATCAGAAGTATTTATTTATTGTATTGAGCTCTTGGCACTAAATCATAACAGATGTTTATACTCAAGAATAGCTGATTTTGTTTTATTGAATATTTCATTAATTAATTTTTGAGACTATTCTAATGTGGCTTCTATTTATTCAAAGTGAAGAATTAGACTACAAAAATAAAATAATTAAGTACTCATTGTATATTAATTTTGAAGTATCTAAATTTGTCTAATTTAGTTGATTTTGAAATTATCTTAAGAAACTCTTTAATGGAATACATTTGCATTTTGAATGCTCCTATATGCAATTACAACATAGTAATTGTCGATTAGTACATTTCTCATCTATACACACAATATTAAGGTATTCATCATCATGATCTGGCAAATTACAAATTGAATAATTATGAAGACTCATATTAATTTAATTATTATTATTTTTTTATTTTTATTACATATTTTTGGCAATTATGAAATAAAAAATTCACATGAAAAATGAAAAAAAATAAATTAAAATTTTATCAAACTTTAGTCTCAATCCTCTTCTTTCTTTGTGAATCTCCCTAATAAATATTATTTTTAAATTTCTATTTTTGAAAATTGATATCATTTGTATTACCATAATTACGAGCAGAAGAAATCAATTTAATTTCAGGAAGAGGACAAGCTAATTTCAAAGATATTAATTTTCTTTAAGTCTAAGGAGAATTACTTTATAATTAACTGTTCATCTCTGTAAGACTTTGACAAGACATATAACTTAAAAAAGGATTGCTATTTCCTAATTCTTTTTATGATTAGTGTTTCTCTGTTTTTTGATTCACATAACTCTAAATTGAAGCAAAAGGCTTCTTACATTTTCGAGATACATTTAAAACTACTTTCTAGAGTTCAGGTTCAATAATTGATTATGGAATCTTAGTTTTTTTCACTTCCTAAGATTATAGAAGTGCAAGTTCATCAATTGGCTATTGAGATTATTACAGCATTAATAATTAAATTTCACTGTTCCTTTGATTATTAATACTATTCTAATTGCCAATATTACGAAGTGTTGTCTGATGTTTAATTAAGATACTCGACATACGTTTGAATATTGTTTTCTTTCTTTCCTTTGTCTTCTAAATCTCATTTAATAATATTTGCTATTATTAAACACAAGTCTTTGGATATAGACAATCAAGATGCATCTAATTGATATAATAGAAATGAATACTTATTTTTCAGACAACGGTTCAATACCACTCTTTCGTCTTTATTATTATCTTGTATGATGAACAACTTTTAGATCGAAGCTTTTACTTAATCTATTTTATTAATCTTCTTGAGTTCTTATTCTTAAGCTTCTTAGTATTCTTATTCGATTGATAGGAGACTCATTTTTTGTAATAGAACCAAAGAGACAAAGCTAATTTTTATTTGAGAGCAAATCAATAACTAACTCATTTGAAATTCTTACTTTATGTGGCATAATTTTTAGAAAGTGTTTTATTTAAGGCTCTCTTGCTTCTGCCTTAGGTTTTAATTGAAGATTCCATAAATATAATACTTAAAATAATAATTGTTCGAATTAAGTAATGATAGCTATATGTTTACATTTGGTATTATAATTTTACTAATTTATAATAGAGAATCTTTGATAATAGCAATAATAATAATCAAAATTAATGAGTCTTCAAGGTGTAATTAAGGCAGGAGTTCTGATTGGAAATGTAGCTCTTTTAACAGGAGGATATGTACTTGTAAAAATGCTCTACAATAATTATCTAAATTACAAGAAGGAATCAAAAAGATTAGAAAAAGGCGGATAATCTAATTATTAATATTTAGTTGATGCTTTTAATTAAGAAGGCAAAGTTGGAGAATTAGTGAAGATTAATAACTTATCTTTCATTGGAACTTCTGAGTATAATTTAAATTTAATCTTAGACCGGTTGCACCAACTACTTTTGTGCATTCAAAAATCAATAATATAGAGAAATATATTTGTATAAAAGGAGTATTACATGAATACAATAAAGATATCATTCAAACTTAATGGATCAAGGCATTCAATTTGAAAGATGAAAATAATCATTAAGTTACCATCCTTGTAAATAACAAAGAATCTTTTATGCCTTAATTATTTAAACGTGTATCAGAACCCAAAGATGATTAAAAAGAAGGTTAGCTAGTTAAAGAAGCTTTTAGTGTTAAAGTTACAGAGAGTGGAATAGCAGTATATATTATTGTTATTGAAATAGTTTGGATCAAATTTGTATGTATTTGGGAGTTTCATAAAAAATAAATTAGGATAAATCTAATGTGTGGAATCTAAATTGATATGTAATGCAAGTGATGCAAAATCTTAAACCTAAATATAATCTTATATATTTTGGGTAGGAGCAGCTTGTGTAGTAACTTGTTGTTTATTAATTTCTGGGATTACTCTCTATTTAACTTTTTCAGATTCAGATGAGAAGAAGAATAAATAGGAAAGAGCAATAAGAAGATGATTAATATATAAAAAATAGATAAATAATTTAATATTTTTGATGAATAAAATTCAATTATTTAATTCTGAATTTGTCGAATTAAAAAGAATTGACAAATCCAACTCTACTTTAGATCTCCCTTTAATGATAACAATCTTTGTTAAATTATTAAGTTTGACTTACTTTGTTAGAGGATGATAATAGAAGTTTTCAACCTCTCTTTACTTAGTTTAAATTTCTAATTGAGAAATCTTGAAAAGTAGTTTATTGATTTCCTTATTGTTCCAATCAGAGGATATACTATACTTGGTTCCTTGAATTTATCTTGAATCTAGAATAGATTAAGTACATAAATACCAATGCTATTTGAATTAGATATTAATTTTTTAAATCTATGTTTTAAAGAAAATTCAGTTCGTTTTTTATTATTTGTCAGAGGTGATAATCGAATAGACAACTCTGCCCATTTTCTTCCATGTTATAAAAGAAGCTACAGAAGATGTAGATCTTCAATATCTGTCCATTCATCACTATATTATGAAATTTAAATCATACCGATTTATAGATGGATCTAACTTATTTCCCCAACGTTCTCTACATTACTTAGGTGTACGAATATTCTTATCAAGACTTTGTTCATTTAGTTCTCGTGCTATTTTACTCCATTTGTTTCCTTTTCTCATACTTTAGTAATGCCTAAAATAACTATAATTGATTACAATATAATGTCTAATAGTTATTTATCCTCAGATTCAGACCATGGATTGTTGTATGCCGATTAATGTATAAATTGATGACAAATTTAAGACCATTCAAATGGAGATTTATGGGTTGGCATTAGTTCACTAATATGAATCCATTATTATTCATTCTATGACTTATTACTTTAAAATTACTAATTTTAAGTCTATAGGAGCTCTCATATTCAAGAGAATGCATTGTAATAAGATCATCTCTTTGCTCTCACAGTCTTCAATAGATTAACCTTATAATTCATAGTAAATAGATTCTAAATTTTTGGGACTAGGGACATTAGTAAAAAGTAGCCTCCATTTTTGCTTGTATGGTTTTAAATCAATGGATTGGATTTGCACAAAGTTTAATTTGGAATTTAAGGGATGAGATGTTTCGTCTGTCAATTGTTAAGAAGATTGAATATGAAGGAAGCTCATATTCGATATATAATTTCAATAATCAAATTTATCGCTTTGTAATTGCGAGAATATAAAACCCAGAAATATGTATATCTTTCTAATTTTTAAATCCATTTTATATAATAAATAATTTATTGCTTAGATATCACAATTAAATTAAACTACCATTTTTAATTATGGCTAAGCAATACTCTTGTTCAGAACACAAAAATTCACAAAAAGAATATTTTTGAGTCTGACTCTTTTTAGTTTTCTCTTAAAGAACTTCTATTTTATATAGAATCATGTTAGCTTCCTAAATATTCCAATATGGACTAATTTTGATATCACTTAATCTTTTTGGTCTCTAACCTTGCAAACTTATAAAATTACATACCATAGTATTTTTTAAGTTGTTTAAATTTGTGTTTCAAAACAAATTCAGTTCTTCTTCTTTATTTAGTAATCATAGATAATTTGATAGATATTTCAACCCATTTACGTCCATTCTGAAGTAGCAATTATAGAAAGTTTAACTCTTCAGACTTTGACCATGGTTCTCTGTAAAATATTATCATTACAATTACCTATTAATTTGTGGATCTAATTTATTATTCCATCGTTCACGACATTATTTTGCATTTCTTAATATTCCAGACTTGCAAATACAATTATATTAATAAGCGATAGTACTCCATTTCCTTTTACAGCGACTAGGATTATCTCTATTGTAAATAAGAAATATATTACAAAATGATTTATAACAAAGTTTATTCTTCAAAAGTTGACCAAGGTTGTCTTGGAAGAAAGGCCTTATAGAAAGATTAGAATTTAAAGCATAATTCTGATAGACTCCTGTATTTAGGCATTAACTTTTGCACTTTCTCCCAATCGAATCGATTCTAAATTTTTATCATAAGTACCTTAATACATTTTGGATTGAGACTCAAAACTATAAATTATAATAAAAGTTCCTCATTTAGATTCCAAGAATCATCTGATTCAAATTTAGAAGACTCATAAAGTTTAATAAAGTCATTAAAGTCGGGTAGATTTTTGAAATGTAATTTGAGCTTTGAAGATAATTACTCTAGTTTGATTTGTTAGAGATTCGAATAAATTAAAGCCCAATCATTAAGATCTGTAAAGGAGCTTTGTGAAGAATTCATTTTCTTTTTTTATAAGATTAATATTGTTTATCTAAATTCTTGAGCAGCATTTAAAGTCATAAATTAAATCAAATTAGGAGATATTATCTGCAATATTTATGAAATAAGACTCACTTAATAATTATTATATATGACTTAATAATTTCTATTGTTCTTAAATCATATAAATTTGACATTAAATAAAAAAATTATAAAGAATATATCAAAAATTATATTTTTGAGTTATAACAATAGAGTAAAGAAGCTAAATCCATATTTTTAAATTATTTAAATAATATTCCTCATTCAAAATTAATATAATAATTATAACATTAATCCAATGGATTACCATTATCTAAGGTCTTAATAAATCTCCCATCTGTAATAATCACTTAATATTTATTTAATAACTAATTAAATTATGTCATCATAGAAGTGTTTATAAATGAATTTATATTAATTTTAATGTAAAATAATAATAATAACCAGTCAATATTAAATATTTGCTGATATATTTTATTAGAGATTATCCAACTATCTGAAATATAAACATATAATCTAATATGTGCTTATATCTTAATTAATTGAAGATTGATCATTATTGCTATATTTCAGTTTGAATAATGTTAATGCCATTAAATTAATAATAATAATATTAATATAAATAAATATATATAAAATTATATATTATCTGAAATGTATTTGTACTTATTAAAATTATATTATTTCTTAAATTCTAAATTAATTTAGACAATAATATTATCATTTTTGATAGATTCTTAATTATTATATGATAACATTCTAAATGGATATTTCTCATTAATTTCCATTAAATAATAAAGAGTATTATAATATATAATTCTGTTTTAAATTAAAAATTAATAATCTTTTTTATAATATGACTACATGCATAGGTCCCAAAATAAAGTTTGAATTACTCCAATAGAAAATAGATACATTTAGTTAAACCTATGACTAAGATTAATTAGATTCCATGTAATAGCAAGGTGAGAGAAAGGTGAGTTTTGCAGATTCTTCTATTGTATTTCTGCATTACTCAAATGAAGAAGTATTCAATTTCAGATAGAGACTAAAAGCTCAACTACTCTAGAAGCAAATTGAACCTTTATTTTTAAATCCTTCATTATGTTACTCAAATTTATAAAATACAAGGAAATCATGTTTCAAAGATGTTGATATTCAAATAGATTGATTACTTTTATATATTCTTTATGATAATATCAAAACTTCAGTAATTATTATAATTTAATTAGTAAATGATCATCAGATTAACTTCTCTTTGATCAAATTAAATTTTACAGACAGACGATTACATTTGCTCAATACCTTTTCTTAAAGGATCAATTCCCATTAATTCAGCCACCTAATTAGATAATTAATATTTTATACTATAAAATTAATTGATGAAATCCTGAATCTCTACTAGAGACATCTTCTTACATTCTTGAACATACATATTAGTTTATTTTATCAATTAGAGGTTCAAATATGATTTCAGCATAATCTTGAATGTATTCAAAATAAAAAAGAATTCTCTAAATAGTATCAAAATTAGATGTTTAATCTATATTTGATATATAACTAAGAATTTTTGGTATTACTTATTTTTCTAGTATTTGATTCCATTAATTTTGATAAAGTTTAGTAAAAGGGGATAGTATACTTAAACCAAAATCAGGTTAATTGTCTAGATCAATATTAAATAGTTTTTAAATCAATTAATCTTATAATTCTTGGTTGTTAAATTATGAATAAATCCAAGGAAGTATAACTTTATGTAGTTAAAATGAATCATTTATACTCCAATTAGATATTGTTTATAATAATTTAGGAATAAGGAGATTAATAATGTTTTAAATAGTTATTGTATTAAATAATTTAAGTTTTTCCACTTTTTAATTTTATATTTCTTCAATTTCTATTGATGATATATCAATAGTCCATAATTTAAGCATTTCTAATAATAAATTATCTTAACATGGATCATATTTTTTACATATATAATTTATTAATTTTGATATAATAGGATTAATGAGTATATCAACAATAGTTTATAGATTTTGGAAATCTTTTGATGAGATTAAGTTATCAATAATGAGAATTTTAAAATCTTTATTATTTGAAGTAGTAATTAATGATTTTTATTAAATGAAAACATCTTTTACTAAATTGACAATTTTATTAATGAATTTAAATTCATTTTCAAGTATATCTATTTATGGTCCTTCCCAATTTTAAATCTTTTTTATAATTTCTTCTATTCCTTATTTAATTAATACATCAATCAGATTAAATTAAATGAATAAGTCAGGATATTTAATAAAGCATTCTAAAAATTTTTCATATAGAGGAAAAGGTTCATTAGATATTTAGACTTCATCATCTTAAAAAAAGAGAAGATATTTTTAAAATGATTCTTTTTTTCTTATGGATTCTTTTTGCTTTTCTAAATTATTAATTGCTCTTTCTTTTTCAATTTCTAATTTATTTGTTTAATTTCTTTTTTATTCAATTAATTATTCATCAATTTCATATTTACTTAATTTAGTATATAATAAATTTTAGACTGATTAAGTCAATTCTTTTACTTCATTCAAATATTCTTAAATAATGTTATCTTTAGAATTTAATTAATTGAATTATGATAAGTTTAATTAATTATCATTTTAATTTCTTTTTCTCCATATTTTATCTACTTTTTTTATATTCTTAGTTTCATTTGGATGATCATATAACCATACCTAATCTTCTTCATTATTTTTATTTTTATTTAATTAAATTCCTGTAAATACTTACTTTTTAACAGGAATTACAGGTTCTAAAATTCCTTATCTATTTATTCCTAAACCTTCACCATATTTAAATCCTAATTTTTAAAGTAATTCTAATCCTACACCATAATCATGTTCTTTAACCTTCTTCTCTAGATTTCTTATTTCTTTATAACTTAATCCTTTATTTTAATAATAATCTTCATCATCATCTGTATCATGTTTAAATTCCTTAGGCTATTTCTTTAAAATACTCTTTGGCTATTAGGTTAATTCTTTGACTACTACTTCAATAATAGAGTGTTAATCCTCAACATCATCATTATCATCTTCTGAAGTAGAATCAAATCTATTTTGCATTGCATATTGTTGAATACTTCTCTATAAATTAAATTTCTCATTTAATGTTAAATATTCACTAGGATGCTTCACTATTAAATGGAGATAATTATTTTGAAGATTAAATTGAACTTATTTAACTTTACTTAATTAATTGTTATCTTAATTTTATTCTTAAATATTATGGTTGATCATTTTAATTGTAACACCCTTATCTCCTTAAGAGAAAAGTGGAACATGATATTTGATAAAATTACTAAATGCTTAGTTTTTACGATATTCTTTATGAATGTCTTTCAATTTAATGGATGGATCTTCTTATATATTATATTCTTATTAAAAGTTTAATTATTATTGGTTATGAATTTCATTTTATTTTATCAATTCTTATTACTTATTATCAATTTCCAATAATGAACGATGCTCATAATTCATTTATAAAAAATAATTATAATAAATAATAATAATATATATAGTCTAATAAATTAGTTATGTAATTTAATTATCTATGTTAATTCATTCCAATATTTTTATTAATATGAGAATATACATATTTTGTTATTATAATAGTTAAAAAATTAATTTAAATGTTTTATTATTAATAAGTTGTTAATTAATTTAAATTATGAAGAGAAAACTTTACAAATTGTCATTGTTTAAAGAAATAGATGAATTTAATCAAAAAGATAGTGATGGACATTAGAGTGATGATTCTTCTACATCTAATGAATTTTTGAATACTACATTTGAAGCATATGGTAATAAATTTGATTATTAGATTTAGAGTCTCAAATATTTATAAGTAGTAATCAAACACCTATACATTCTGAATAATTATAATTTATATAAGGAGTATTTGATAAATCAGAAGAAAGTGAATAATCATTTGATTTCAACATTACTAATGTAAATAATTATACTATAAATTATAGATAGAAGGTGATAATAGAACAACTTTAATGATGAGAAATATTCCTTAAAATTATACAAAAGAGATGTTGATGATGGAAATTGATCCAAAATTCAAAAATAAATTTGATTATCTAAATTTCCCATTTGATGGAATTGTTAATCCTGGTTATGCATTTATCAATCTTAAATCAAAGTCTTATCTTAAAGACTTTTATAATTATTTTAATGGCAGAAAATGGAAGACTAATAATCCATAAAATAAAGTAATTAAATTTTTGTATTTTAGCCTTGTTATTTAAAATATGCTAAAATATAACATAAGAAATTTAAACAAATAAATCCATAAATATATTTACAATAAAGCAGTGTTATCAAACTTATTTAAAGTTAGAAATAATAATGCAATTTGTGAATCATATATAAATATACTTTTTCTCATAACTATTTATATATATATATTAATATATTAACATAATTATTAAATTCATGATAACAGAGAAATCTACCCTTGTATTTTCAGAGAAAAATAGTATTTTTGAATTTCATACCAGTTCACCAATAGCCAATCACAGGTATTAGTGCATCCAAACAAAATGATAACCTTTTCCTCACCATATCCGAAGATTCAACTATGAGATTATATGATCTAAGATTGTAATCATCTGTTAAATTATTCAATCTTGGGAAAGTAGAAGAATCATAAACTGCCAATTGTTTATTATCAGATACTCAAGTCTATGGTGCTAGGAATAATGAAGTAATAAATAAATATTATTCAGATTTTATTATTTGACATAAGATAAGACATTATAGTTAAAGCTTGTACATTCAAATTTGAAAATGATAGTGAAATAAACTAAATAACTTTTGATACTCAATAATAATTAATTTCTGCAAATTTTGACTCGTATTATTATACTTCTCTATTATTAGTGGTTGTACATCTATTTTTGATAGATAACTCAATCTTAGATCCAATCTTAAAGAAGGACATGAAAATGTATTTATTACTTATAATATAAAGACTTGTTTTAGTGGAGATTTCATTCAAGATGAAGGAGAATAACTATATATATCTACAGGATTTGACTATAAAATTATTCTATGGGATTATTAATATAAACACTAGATTGAAGATCAACCATTAATCTAATAGGCATCACAAGCTAAAATACTATTCAAATTTGATTTAAGTATCATTATTTATTTTAATTAAAGGTACAATTCATTTATAATATGCACCTTTAACTGTTTCACCTCCTGTAATATATTCTGCAACTTCTAAAGATAATTCAATTCTGATATCAACTGAAACTGGATAAGTCTATTGTTTCAAAGTATAATAATTGAAAAGAAAGAAAAATAAAAAACCTCCAATTCCTGAATTTGTTATTGATGCTCATAAAAGTAAAGTGATGAGAAGCACTTATTTAAATGATAAAATAGTTACAATTTCAAATGATTAAACATTTGCTATATGGAATAAATAAGTTTAAGTGTTAAGAGCAAAAATAAAAAATAAACCTAATTGGATAGAGAGTATAGGAAATAACACTTTGCTTGTCAGTGACATTTCTAATAAATTATCAATATTTGAAATTGTTTGAAAATGGGTTTTTATATTTTTGAATGATTAGATACTCAATTTAATTGAAGTCTTTCTCTTAAATATTCTTTAAGAGTTACTATCTTATCCTAAATGTGATCTGATATTCTTGAAATTAAATCTTAAGTCGAAACTCTTGATTAAGTTTCCATCTAATAAATATCTTATTATTATCTACACCATTAATCTTATCCTTCCAAATTACTCTTATATTATTTAAATTATTTATTACTTAATTTCTTTCAACCTCAGCTGCATGATACTCAACCTTGCCTTCTGATTCTTCAATAATACTCTAATAATTCAAAATAGCTTATTCCAAATTTTATCTTTGATCTGATCTATTAAAAGTATAAATAATAAAAATTTACAATGTATTTTTTTCATTTGTTAAATCTGATAAGAATTATTACCAATTTAGACTTTATTATTTCTCAATTGATTCATCATTTCCTTTACTTTCAACAATTTAAACTCTTAAATTGGCCAACAACTATAAAACTTTCTTTGCAGTGTCTGAATCAGATTTTGATGATAATTAGGTCATCATTGTAAGAATTGGCTAGAATAATAATCCAGTTGATTAACTAATAGATTGCAATAGAACTTTACTTCTATAATCTTTACAATACTTTGTTAAACCTTCCCTTAACTTATATGAATGATGAACCACTTGATAAATGTTCAATTAGAGCATATGCTTCATCAATTGCAGCTATAGCTTCTGTATGATCTTTGATCTTTGATTAAAATTCAGCATATTATAAATCTCTTTCGCTCTATCCTGCATTTGTTTTCTTGGTATTCTCTTCAATTTCAACTGAGACTTCTGCAATCTTATTTAAAGATCTTTAGAGATTATTTGTGTTTTCCTAATTTATAAATAAAAAGAATAACCTCAACTATTTTCTGATGAGCTTTCAATTGACTCTAATGATAAGCTAAATTTGTTGAAAAATCATGTAACAATCTATTGCATGATGCTTATGTGCTTTAGATATAAAGATCAGCATCCTTTTATTCTTATTCCAACATAAATCTACAATCAAGGTTATTATATACCTTATATTGTTTATATAACTCTAAATCTCATGTACAGGTGAACCTGTTGCCAAACTAATTTGGATTGCATTCAAGAATGTTTTCCCCATATGATGATCATCAATTTCTGCCAACACAATCTTTGGATCTGTGCCCATTTTACATAATGCCTAACATCGTATATCAATACTACCATGCTCAATAGAACTAAAATCACAATTCTCATTTTTATATTATTATTAAAAACGAATACAAATTATAATTCTAATCTTTTATCTTATGTTAAAATACTTTAAACTCAATGTGAAAATATCTTTGAATCTTCATATCAATATCAAATATCTCATTAACGCCATACTAGTATGTCAATTATACATATTTTTATTATTTTCTAGTTTTAATTTATTAAACTGCTATCTAAGTAATAAAATACAATTTGATATTCAAATTTTTAAAGATGTAAAATTAAATTGAATATTTAAATTCAAATTCATGTAAATAATATTAATGAAATATAATACTTAAGTAAAGTGTTTGAGAATATTTATCTTTATTTATTATCATTTTTATATTATATCTCTTATATTAGTCTTCATTATAATTATCATATAAAAATGAATGATTTCTTCATATTATTAGAAATCTATTTAGATATTAAAACACTAGATTATTATTTATTAGTATAATGTTTCATTCTATTCTATATGATTAAATGATATATATTTCAATATAATCATATATTTGACTATCAGGAATAGACAATAATATATTTATTATGAATAACTACACCGTTTTGAGATGTTTGCTATTTTAGATGATAGTTTATTAAAGTTTGATGAAACATTACTGCATTTTTATTGAATTATAGACATTGTATTTTTTAATTTGTTGGAATATTTACAATATTATAATAATCCGTTTTAATGAGAACAGTGATTCTGATAGTTATTCTGATATGTATTGCTCAATCAGCATAAAATTTGAGACAAAAGAAGATCCATATTTTGAATGGATAAAAATTAGCTTTGATTGAAAAATAAGTGTAATACATTGATGATGATGTTTAATTGAATTAGGAATAAGATATTTAATAAGAAGGAATCTAATAAATCAATGTTCATGAATAATAATAAGTTCAAATAGAGGAAGAAGCAGTAATATAAATTGATGAAGAACAAACATTAACAGCAGAATAAATGGAAGAATTAGATAGAAAAGAATAAGAAGAATATGAGAGATTGAAGAGATAAAGACTTGAAGAATAACAATTAAATGATGAAGATTCTTATATGTAAAGTTAAGAGAATGAAAGAAAACCAAATAATCAATATGAAGCATAAAGTGAAATGCCTGTTGATGTAGTTGAACATTAATTAACTCCAGTAATTTAAAAGGATCCAATCCCTGATTAAAAGGGAGTTGTTTCTCCATTTGCTCCAGCTGATAACAGTTTACCTTATTCATCATATGATAGTGAAAGTGGATTTGAAGTTAAGGAAAGTGATATTAAAATGTAAGGATCAATCAATCCTAACGATTTGGATCAATATTTGGAAGAGTAATATAGAAAAGAGATGGAACAATTTGCAAATTTCCACATTTGAAAATATAAAAATAATTATAAAAATAATAATTCAATCTGAATCATCACTAAATGGACAATCTATATGATATACATGATTAGAATTCTAATCCTTAGTAACTTAAATTTCTTTTTTGTATGTTGAAATATCAATAGATTTAAATTTCTTAAGATCTTCAGAAATTTTGGAAACTGATGAATTTTTTAAAGAGTGACGTTTCCAAATTTCTCCTGCTCCAAATAGAAAACATATTTATTTTATTTTTTTGGCACTTAATTCAGAATCAGTATTTATTTTTTGATTTAAAAATCTTGCCATATTCTTTTCTAAAGTATCTCTAGGAATCTCTGATTTATTTTAAACATTTTTAATCCAAGGATGATCTAGAGCTTATTCAGGTGTTAATCTATGAAGTGGATCTAATTATAATAAATTTTATATTAAATCTTTTGCTTATGATGAAATTTAATCCCAAATTGGACCAATCATTTAGTATTTACATTTCTAAATTTAATCAATAAGATCATTAAGATATTCTGAATTAAATGGTAATTCACCACTTAACATTACATACAATATTACACCTGCACTCCATAAATCAACTTATTCACTGATTAAAAAATATAATTTACTTGTACAAACCACCTGAAAATATTTCAGGAGCTGAAAATGCAACAGTACCTGTATATGTCCACATTTCAATTTTACCATGATCATCTAAATTAGTGAATTCTTTATAGCCATCAGTAAATTTTGAAACCTAATTTATTAATTTATTATATACATTAAAGTCTGTAATCTTAATTGATGTGCCATCCTCTGTACATAAAATATTATTTGGTTTTAAATCTCTATGACAACAATAATTATCATGCATATATTTTATAGAAACCAATATTTACTCAAATAAAATTCTTGCAGTCCATTCTAAAAATTTATATCATAATATACCACTATAATTCTTTTACTTTTGTATTACTTCAAACATTTCCTTACCTTTTACCTTTTCCATTATTACTAAAACTGTTCCTGTGCTTTAGAAACCTTCATTCCATTAAATGAATAGTTCCTTCATAGCAACAATATGAGGATGGCTTAATTTTTTAAGATTCTTGAATTCTAAAATCATCTATCACATAAATATTCAAAATAACATTTTTAACAATCTCCTCAGAATCTGTCTTTACAATTTTACATGCAAATTCACAACCATCTTATTTTCTTGTAACACTTCTTACTAATCCAATACAACCTTCTCCCAATATTTCACCATCAATATAATTTTCATGAAACAAGCTCATATCGAATTTTATGTATTTAAGATCTTCCTCTTCTAATTCAACATTTATTCTAATTAAAAACTCTTAAATCTATTTATCTTAATCCTTATTCTCATTTTTATTAATCAATTAGAGCATTTATCCTATAAATATAAACTCATTTTACCTTTGAACCTATTTTTTAATTATTGTAAAGCACTAGAATTTTCATTTGAAGGAGCACGAGAGAATGAAAATTTACTCTTTCTTTTCTAATTTTATATATCCATTAATAAATTACTATGTTTGATTTAAATTACTATAGTAGTAATTTATAAATCAAGCGCATTAGAAACATTTAGTTTCATTTTCAATCTATATTAACTAAACACAATTGATTTTCACCAATATATATTTATATAAGTGAGAAAGAGATTCCAAAGAATAAAACTCAAATATTAATAAAATTAAAGCTTTAACATCAAGTCATTTAATTTTTCTATTAATATTTAAAGTGAAGGAACATGTTTCTTATTTATTAAAGTTAGTATATAATGTATAAAGAAATTTGCTATTATCAGAATTAGAAACATTTGAAATTTAAATGAATTATTGATTAAAAATTTTTTAATTATAATTTCAACAAAATAAATTATGTCTGGGTATGACATTAGTCGATTTCAGCCTTAACCTCAATAACATTTGATGTGCTTGGTTTGCAATAAAGTGGTTAAAGATCCATTAGAATGCAATTTTTGCGGTTAAATGTACTGCAGTGATTGTGTGGCAACAAAACCTCCATGCAAAAGCAAAGATTGTTGTTATCCACCAAATTCTTCAGAAAATATTCCATAATACATTAAAATTTAAGGAGCAATGCTTAAAGTATATAAGAACTTGCAATTATATTGCTTAAATCCTGAATGCAAAAAATTATGCTCAATTATTGATATTGAATAACATCAAAATTAATGTATAAGAGTTAAATGTTTAAATCATGATAATTGTAAAGAATATTTATCAACTGAGGAAAACAAGTATTGTTATTAATAATTTTTAGGTAAACATCATTTTGTAGCTTATTATGTGAGCTGACAGTACAATTGTTTGAAAATGCATCAGATCATAGAAAATAATATGAAATTATCAAAAAATTTTAACCAAAGTTATCTGGATCTGGATCAGGATCAATCAATCTATCCACTAATAAGTCAATTCAAATAATTTAAATACAACCTAGTATGAATATTGAGGGAGGTCTTAATTTTAAATGGGATAAAAATAAATGTGGATCAGGTATTCTATTGACAAGCGGAGATACTTGTGTCTTTCTTAAAGAAAGCTCATATATTTTCAGAACAGTCTTGGGAGATCAAGTAATATACAATTAAATATATTTAGGGATTTGAAAATGGTGTTCATTATTGGGAAATTGAAGCAGATAGTAGAACAGAAAATGAATTAAAAATTGGAGTTTGTTAAGGAAATAACATTAACTTGAATGCTGCATTTTGTGATTTAAATTAAGGCTTTGCTTATTATGGATTAGCATAATTAAGAAATGGAAGCAATGCATCAGGTTAAACTTATGGAAAAAGATTCAAAAAAGAAGGGGTTCTTGGAGTTTGTTTAAACATGATTAATGGTACTCTTAATTATAATTATTTTAGGTACACTCTCTTTCTCATTAAATGGTGAATTTATGGGCATAGCTTTTAGATCTGAATTACTTAAAAAAGGACCAATTTATGCTGCAGTAGCATTACTGCATTGTGCTGGCTGCACTCTTAAAACTGGAAAACCAAAACCTTCCTATATGGAATGATGTTTATTTAACTAAATTTTAATAAGCCATCTTTAATAGAATAATTAAATTTAATTCATGCTTTACAATTCAAACACCCAGTCAAATTTTATTCTCGTGCCTCTTATATTGTTATCATCATAGTTTAATATTTTTAAACATTTTCACAATTTATAAGATGATACTTGGTACCATTTCTTGTTCTAAATACCATGCCTTCAGGAATAACTTATAGAGTTTAAAATTAATATTATTATTTTTATTATTATTATTATTATTATTATTATTATTAT